TTTAAATTTTCAGTTTTTCACCCATTAATTTAATAAGCAAATTTTGTTGTAGAATCAATGTGTGTTACTTGCTTTCACTTTCAATTTCCTACTTTTAAACTTTTCTGATTTAATGCATAATCTCAATATTTGTATAATTTATCTAAATATTAAGTCTCTTAACATGGTCAATAGTCGAGCAATGGCCGTGCCAGATCTTCAAGTCCCAAAAATATGTCCAGACAAAGACAAGGGATTAGACTAATTAACCTAACTCTCGCCTCATGAATGGCAATGCCTCTGATATCAGATGATTCAGCTTTAGTAAATTGTATATACCCACTCTTCTTTTTATGACTTTTGATTTTAATCCAGCTTAGGGAACCTAGATACCTATATCTAAAGTATGGGGGAACAAAGGATGCATGCTTCCAAACTGAAACATCCTCGAAATGTTTCATTGCCTTATTTATGAAAAAAAGAAAAAGAAGAATATGGAAGAAAGGAAGAATAACAATTACTATCTGCGTAACGATAAATAAAATGAAGAAAACTTATGATACATGACGATCTTATAAAAGGTAAGTTTTTTGTTTTTTGTGTTTTTTTTTTCATTTTCCAACTCTATCACTCTCTTTCTATTCTCTTCACTTCAACATGTAAAAAGAAGTTTGATTTTAATATAATGAACTTAATATTATTTTTAATTTTTAGTTTAAATACATTTGCAGTCTTAATATTTAACATTAATTTTTAAGTTGATTAACTTACATAAAAAAATTATAAAATGATCATTGTATGAAAAATTATTTTAAAATGATCCTTGCTTTTAGTGGATGTTATAATATCATTATTGTTCATCTCTCTTATCCTCTTATTGCTATTTTATTCAAAGCATCCATGGCTTTTACTACCGTGAATGAACCTAAGGCTAGTAAAACAATGTTCGTGGAAATCTTTATGATCATGGAACTTCACCCCTTTTTCACGAACATAATCTTTCCAAATTCTAAAGCTTGTTTTTTACTATTTTTTTTCACTCACAATCTCTCGAAATCTATATAGGACATCCTTCATAAGATATTTTCTTACTTTTTTCCCCCTAATCTCCACCACCATCCCTATCGCTCCTTCATAAAAAAAATCATCTTATCATATTGATAAATGAATTTATTTGAAAGTGTAAAATAGTTTTGGGTTGCTTTCTTTGTTTCTTGTAAGTGATGTTTGGTATATGATTTTAGTTGTTAATTTAATTACTTGCAAAGCTAGCTAGCGAGGAAAGGAAAAGGTGCTCTATTAATGGAGGTTCTACAATAAAAAAATATGTGTTGATAACTAAAACTCTATTTACTATACTTGAAGAGCATTGATTCTGTAAACAATTCAACACAATAGGAAAAATGTGAAAGGAGGATGATTAGTATACACGGTGAAGTTGGTTATTGATATGCGTGAAAAGGACATTAATCGAAACTAGTTGAAAGATAGAGGAAATTTATCAAAACATGAGTTGCAATGACAATGTTAGAAGGTCCACTAAAGACAATGACTATTTTGAATTTTTTTTTTATATATATAAGGACCGTTTTATAATTTTTTCTTATGTATAGATCAACTTAAAAGTTAATGTAAAGTATATAAATAAAAAATGTATTTAAATTTTATTTTTTTATTATGATGTATAATTATGTCGTTTAATAATTTTGTAGTCAAATTTTGTTATTCAACTTTTCATTATTTTTATCATTTACTCAATCAATTAGATATAGATTTTTGAAAAAAAAAATATTGAAAACTCAGTTTTGATGATGATTGATACGTTTTTTTAACATGAACAAATTTGTGTACTAATTCGAATAAATTACATATGTTTAAATTATTTATTTAATTTGATTTGTTCAAGTTTAAAGTTTTGATTGTGATTGATTTGTTCTTAATGATATGCTGCAACTAAAAGGGTACTCCATATGTTAAAATTTAAGTATTTAAAATACTTAATTTTTTTACCAACAACAATCATTTGTATTATTTAATTTAAATATTTATATCACTTGATAATCAAGAAATACTTTATGGTATTGCTTTATTTAATTAAAGAATATCTTAATAAAATATAAGTAAATTTTATGTTGTATCAACTATAGTGGAGATAATTTCTTTTACTTTATCTTAATTAAGATCCAGCTTTAATGAGAAAAGAACTACTCTCTAACTTTTAGAATATCCCAAATATGTTAATATGTCAAAATAGTGTAAACCAACAACTACAGTAGCACGTATCAGGCGAGCTAGCAGCAACTACCATTTAGAACCAACAATATTTCTACTATTATTACTACGGATTACATATTTTGGAACCTGAAAATTCCATGAACTAATGAGGTTGATTTCTAAAGCCTAATGTCATTCTTACGGCTATCAAAAGTCATGAGACATGTTGCCTATAAATAGGAGATATCATTCAAGAATCATATGCGTTGGATGGGAAAAAATCATGCAAGAGTAGTTCAATCCTTGCAACACCCATTCTTCTTTTCAAATATTGAGAGTTTTACACTTGGCAGTTTTATTCTAGAGAGTTGAAATATTGAAGGTTAAATATAAGAGAATTCTTTATTTTAGTAGAAAAGGAAGAGAGTATAGATAGTATTTTAAAAACCTTATTTTAATAAAAATATTTACTTTTTTTTTTTTTTTGTAAAAATAGAGGAGAATTTTTGTTATGCCACTCCTTAGAATGGAGATAACAAACTATTATATATTTTGCTTTGTGTTAAAGTAGAGAGGGATTTGTCGGAATTATTGTAAACAAAAATTTGACATGAAACAAGTTAACAAAATCTCAAATAACAGCTTGAGATTGGACTGAAATTGGATAAACCAATTATGCATATTTTTTCTCTTTATTTTGTATTATTTTGTTGTGTGCATATTATTCTTGGTTTATTTATATTAAAAAATTTCTTTATAGTTTTTTCGTTGTTAAAAAATCAAATTACCCCTCTTTGTTCTTCTAAAAATGATTTGAGAATTTTTGAAGTCAAAATTTCAATAAAATTTAGAAAGCTTAATACTAATACAGTGAGATTAAGAATTTGAAGAGAATAGAACTTAAAAATTTTAATTTTTTCTAAAATTATAATGTTTTGATCGATGAGTTGTAAGTAAAAGAAGATGTTAAATAATTTAATGGCTTTATTTTCTATTTTCTTTTAAATAAGAAGTTAAAAATTTATTAAAAAAATAAAGAATATATTTTTAACAATGAAAAAGTTGAAAGACTAAATTCAAGTAAAAATTATTAAAAAATTAAAATTACACATTAATCATAATAGAAGAAGTAGGATAATTATGCTTTAAATATATATTATATTTTAATTTCTTATTGATACTTTATCAAATGTTTATTTACGTTAACATTCAATTAAATGAGATATCAAACTTAATAAATAATATAACATGTCATTAAATGTAAATATAATTTTTTATAAGACCGTACATCCAAATTACTTTGTACCTCTTCATTTTGTTTCAAATGGGAACCTCAAATTAATGAGCCAATACATAAAAATTTACCTGAAGATAAGACGCATTTTTTTTTAAATTTCAAACCAGGTTAGATACACCTTGTTTTGCTTTCGATTACATACAGAAACTATATATGTATGCATATTATTTATACATAAACTAGCAAGTGATTAAATGGGGTGGATTATTGCAAGTTAACCTTGGATATTCTTGTACAGTGTTTGGTATTATTATAAAGTTTTCGTCATAGTCATTCTTTTTCACTTTGTTTCCCCATTTTGCTTTCTTTTTCATTCATTGTCACTGGAAATGCTCTTTGCCTCCCTATGCCCTCATGTCGTTTTTCTGTTGTCACTGTATTAATTTGCGGGTTTCTCTCATCTTGTCTTGCAACTAACTAGGGTTCCTCTATGAACTCTCACATCCAATAGTAAATTTTCAAGAATTCTCTCTCAGCTGGGTGGTGGCAGACTTTTTCTCTGCCAATATTAAAGAATTAATAGATCTTGAAAGAGCAACCCTTCTGCATTAAGGTAAAGATCGAAATTACACATTGTTTGTTCAAAGAAAGCTAGCTTCACCAGGTATAGTTTTTGTTCCAATTACCTCCTTTTTCTTGTTTTTTCTTTGGAAATTTGCCAAATAAATTAATGTTCTAAGGTTGGATCAGGGCTTTTAGTTTTTGAAATTTTCGGAAGGTATGAAATTCTGGGTGATTGGTGTACCATCCAACGGAAAGAGTTGAAAATAGAGAAAACTCCACATGTCCAATCCATTAACTAAAAAGATACCCGGTTGGTAGGTGTACCTTTCTTGGCCTTGTAGCCACTTCCAATTGAACATCAATTACCCCACAGAAGGCTACACCTACGGTGGATCGGTAAAGAAAAATTAAGAAAGGTTAGGTTAAGGAAAGCAATGTCCAAAATAGAGATTGAACTTGAAGTGAAACTAAGAACAATTAATAAAACTTTGCCATAGAATTATACTTAATATTTTATTTTTATTTTTATTTTCCTCCCTGGTCCTTCTGTCCAAAAAAGGGAAAAAGAAAACAAGAAAAGGGTTCTGGGTATTGAGAATCTATTAATAGTGGCATCCTGAATCAACGAAGACCGCTTCGGCACAAGAAGTTAAAAAACATAAAGTTGATTTGAAAAGTATAGCAGCAGCAAAGTGCTTTAATAACCCAAGCAAAGTCATAACCCTAAGTTTAATTAGATGTATTTATGGGAGAGATTAAAACTCTTAAATAGGATTATTACTATGCAATTAAAATTCAGACTGACAATAATTATTATATATTCCCAAGTTTGAAATAATTATATTTATGCTGTGGATATAGATTTATGTATAATAGAGTACCATTGTTTTTAAAATATCATTTAGAAGCTTGAATGTTGAGAGTACTACTATAGTTTGTAATTAAGTAGTTGTTTGATTTAATTGAATAGTATACACTGGATTTTGATTGTTGGGCAGTGAAGATCATGGCCTCTTCTAGCTACTCCAATTCACCATGTGCAGCGTGCAAGTTTTTGAGGAGGAAGTGCATGCCAGATTGCATTTTTGCCCCATATTTTCCACCAGAAGAGCCTCAAAAGTTTGCAAATGTTCACAAGATATTTGGTGCAAGCAATGTGAGCAAACTCCTCAACGAGGTGCAACCTCATCAAAGGGAGGATGCTGTGAACTCTTTGGCATATGAAGCAGAAGCACGAATAAAAGACCCTGTCTATGGTTGTGTTGGAGCCATTTCAGTCCTCCAAAGGCAAGTCCTTAGGCTCCAAAAGGAACTCGATGCCACAAATGCTGATTTGATCCGCTATAGCTGTAATGAAATGCCAACTACTCATCAAGCTGGAGGTAGAAGGACGAGTGATGGAGTAGGAGGTTCCTCTCATGGTTTTTATTATCCTTCTACTACTTGGAACAATGATCCTTGTGGAGACAGCTACCCAAGAGGTGATACATAACACACATAACAGTATGTGAGTTTTCAACCCTCCCTATATGCATCAATTATGCTAGTGATCAGGTATTATTAAATTTCAAGTTAGCCATTTAGGGTTTCTATAATATATATCTTGTAAATTATATATTGGATGAAGGGATCTTAATTATTCTGTATATATCTATGTCTATATATTTATATATGCAGTCAAGGTACATATATATGAGAATATAATATGGCATGTTATTTAACTGGACTTCCCTCTTAACTACGTACCAAACCGATGAGTGAAAACTTGTCTTAATTAGTTTCTCATTGGCAGCGTGACATATTATGTTCTTTAATTTTCACCCTTAATTTCATAATTCTTTTCAGAGAAAATTAAATAACCTAAAATATTAAAAATGCCCCCACAGATTGCAGTCCATACATACTGATTGGCTTATTTAAGTCTAAGGTGTTAGCCAAACAGAATCTTATTGGTCTACCATTTTTTTTTATTATTATTTTTATCTTCCACAATATATATATTTGGCCACCTACCTTTTCAGGCATGCACTGCAGTTTCCATGTACCCATAATATGAATTTATTTATTCTTTAGGTGAGGATCTCAAAATGGCCTTTACTAGATATCTAGAATAGCTACACAACATGTGTCTTATATACTCATTACATATCTTAAACTATATATGTATAAAGGCTACATATGTATATAGCCTACATAAAAAGGAAAACAGAACTTAACTTACCTTCCATGTTGTGTTTCCATTTTCCGATGTTTTCCTTAATATAAGACTTAAGAACAAATATTGGTAGTGGGTACATGCCATTCTTTCTACCCTTAATTTGCTGTATATATATAATTCACATTCTGGCTACGTCTAATGAGTGTAGTTTACAATATTAATATATCTAGCATGAGGGAAGTTCATAACACTAGACATATGTAGGTAATTCAACAAGATTGTGGCTAAAAATTTATGCTTAACTTATTTTTAAATTATAATACGAAAACTAGCAAGAAAGTGTCGTGACTTAATTCTGTTGATAAATGAAATTTATTCTTTCTCAATTGTAATTAATTATATAAAATTTATTCGGTAATTTGTATTATCTAGCATTACTCTATTTAAAAACTGATTCAAGAAAAGATGCTTGTTCAAGTTTTATATGAGAAGGATTCTGAATCTATTGTTACTCTTTGAGACATCTTAATAATGGTCAAAGAACTGGAACTGTTAATTTGTTGACTTTCTATGTGTCTTTTTAACGTGCTTTTTTTTTTTCCTAAAAAAGGGTTATAAAAAAAAGAAAAATATTATTGATATGGGAGATGTTTCCGCAAAAGCATTTCCATGTCCTCCCTCTGTTTCAACATTATCATTGTAAGTATCCAAGTAAATATGAGTGGCACATATGCCAAGGAATATTGGATCCGCGAAGGGGAGTGTTCACGCATGTGATCACAATTGGGTCATTCAAGTTTCAACCTACTAAGACAAGTAACGTGCATGTTGCTCATATATTGCCCAAGTTTCTTTTTACAACACTGTGTTTTGTAAAATTTGTATACTTATTAAAATTAAATTCTAATGAACAATCTTTGTTGTCATAAGTGACCATAAAGAGCTTGGTTCAAATTGGGGTAGTTACATGTTAATTGTATCACATTAAATGGATCTACTTAGATCGATTTATATATTAGTTGAAATTTAATGTAACTTTTTAGTGAGTCTTATAAAATAAAATGTTATTAGCACAATCATTTACGTTACATATGAATGCATCAAATAATTATGCTTATAGTTCTGTTTTGAATTTGATAAGAATTATCAAATTTAATCATATATATGGCCGGTGTCTATATCCATGGGGAAAGAGGAGATAAGATTTATCGTCTCTCTTTGGTAATTTAATGTTGACTCCATAAAACATTTAAAAACCTATAAGGGTCATTCACCAATAATTAAGTCGAGTAATATATAACTAATGATTTAAAGTGCATATTAGGTTTTACATTGACCCTTTAATAATTGTCTAAATTTAATTTTATTTGGATTATTGTTTAAATAGTGTAAATAATTATTATCGGTAATATTTTTGTCATATTATATTATAAACTAAATGAACAAACTTTTTTAAAAAAATTCATAGACAGAAATCATAGAGTTGTCTCAATCCTTATTATCGGATAATATCTTTTTTAACATCAATCAACATACGCAGAAGCAACTGACAAAAAGTAATTATAGGGGTGTCTTTTTTTTTTTGTCAAAAAGATATGTATTAATATTTGAATTTTTTTCTAGTGTTCATTATTGAAAAGGGTTAATCAACGGTCTTATTTTAGAAACTAATTGAAATTCGTTTCATATTGCAATTTTGCCTATGTGAATGTTTGACAATTAATCATTTTCTAATTTAAAGTTAGAAACTTACAACAAAAATACTAACTTTGCATATAGAAAAATAGGTGGGAGGAATTAATGAGAGAGTTTAAGTAACCTTTTGTTGTTGGGCTGTCAATCAAATATCGAGGTTTGTCGAATTGAATCTGACTTTGACTATTGATGAAAGTCGAGGGAGGGTTCTGTTCTTAGTCTTTCGGTCGATGTTTGATGTTTGGTGGTTTCTCTTTTGTTGTTTGTCGACAAGTGTTAAAGCTAATATTAGCCACATTTTGAGGATTATAAAAAGTGATTATGGCCTTAGCTCTTAGGGGAGAGTAGAGAATAGAGATAATAAATCATCTTCAGAACCAAAAGATGCCCACTGTTTCTCTTTGTCCTCCAACACCCACCACGCCAATATTTACAAAACCTTCCCTTTTATGTTAATTCATTTCACCAAAACCAGTTAATTAGTAAAACAAATGGGTCTCTGAGTTTGTAAGCTGCAACATTTTATCATCAAAATTATATAATTTATTGATAACATGGCAGAAGCATTTTTTGTTCTTGAGTTTAACAGTGAAAGTGATATTGATAGCATTCCCTCACAAGATCAATGGGCCACCATATGTGTGATTGATGGATGAGACATAAGACATGCAAAAAATTAAAGCCCAACGAGGTTAGGGACGTGCCAGATGACCTATGAATCCTTTCATGGGGTCCCTCCTCTTATCATCTCATTTTTTTATTCACTTGTGAGTAGAAAAATTCACACGTCACAGTAATCCAATAGTCAATTTACTATTTTCTTTATTAGTTTTTATAATTTTTATTAAATACCATAAAGTTAGAGGAATAATATCATTTTTTAAAATTATTATGGTTTAACCCCACTATAATATCGACTACTGACACAATGGTCTTTAATGACACTTAAAGTATGCATAAATCCTAATATTGTGTTACCTATGGACATGCTGATTTTAATAATATTGAGTTTTTAATTTAACAATTGATATATACAAAGATATATGATTAAAATTAATTATATTATTAATGACTCCAAATAAATAATACATATACACTAAACACTAAAAATACTCAAAATCAAAATGTTTAATATAATAAAAAAATAATATAAAAGATAAACTGTCCTTAAGTAAGTAGATTAAAAGTACTCATAATGTGTATGTTCGTAACATGCTTCTTAAATTTCATGAGCCTAAATAATTTAGTTTAGGCATGAATTAGCATGTAATTTATATTAATATACTTAATAATTAATTATTTTTTACAATTAATATTTTTTGCAATAAAAATACTTTAACTCCAAGCATTTAACACTAGTAATTGTATTTTGTTTTTGGTAAAATGCAAAGTACTATCTATTATCACAAATAAATTTTCAGTGCCTTAAATAAAATGCATAGTACAATATCGAATTTCCAAGTAGCACGAGTAGTAAAAGCAATAAATTTTACTTATACCGTAATTTTGACCCAAACAACTATTGACATAAATTATTCTTTTAATAAATTGTAAAAAAAATCATAATCCTGAATTATTTTTATAAACTCTCCATTTCTAAGAATACTCTTAATTTTTAGAATTTGTAGCATCAGTCAATTTGATTTCTTGATATTATAAAAGATAGTTTAATTCATATTTTTAATTGATATTATATTACTAGTTAATTTAATCTCTAGAATTTTTATTATTAATTTCTCAACGTTATCAATCGGTCAATATAATTCCTAAATTTTACAATTACCGCTATATATATATATATATATATATATTATTTTTTTATTTTTATTTTTAGTTTGATTTTGGTCAACAGAGTAATGGTTAGGTAGGTAACACAACCAAAAGAAATGAACATCCGAGCCCAAAAGGCCAAAAGAGAAATGTGGGTATTGTAACCTCTCACTTCCTTCACAAAAAGCCATGCCAAGCCCAATTTTTAAAAAAAAATTCCATTTTTTATTAACTCATTTTATTAAAAAAATAATAAATAAACAACGATAAATATTTTTACAATAATTTCGGCACAATAGTAATTTTTTTTAAAAAAATTGTGAAATATTTTTAAAATATATAAAGAACACATATAATTGATATTACACATATTATATTTCATTAAGATAAATGTTAATTAATACTTTTATTTAGTTAAAAATTAGAGATATAAATTTTATCAATATTTTTTTTATAATTTCAATTAGAAAAATTTTAAATTTTTTAAACGATATTTTAAAAACATTAATCAACAAGAACTTACATAATTACAAAAACAATACTGAAATTTAACTCTTGTCCTCTATAATGTCATAGAATTTAACCAAAGGCAACTTGAAACCTGTTTCTCATGCAAACCATCTACTCACCATGTCACATGCACGTGTCAACACCCCACAACTCCACCGTTCTATAAAACACCACCACCTCATCATCCTCCTCCTCAAACCCTCACACCTGCATTAATCTCTTCCATCACCCAAACCCTTCCATTGAAAAAAGAAAATCTTATTCTTCTCTTTATCATCAATGGCTGAAATACGTACACAACCCCATCAGGTGCAAGTCCACACAACAACAACACACCGTTACGAAGGAGGTGCCACCACCCAACCCCGTTATGAAGGTGGTGTTAAGACCCTCTTCCCTCAGAGAGGCCCTTCCACCTCTCAAGTTCTTGCAGTTGTCGCCGGTGTTTTCATAGGTGGCACACTGCTCTTTCTCTCCGGCATTTCGTTGATCGCCAGCCTAATTGGGTTGGCGATCACAACACCGCTTTTTATCCTGTTCAGCCCGGTGTTAGTTCCGGCCACCATCACCATCGGGTTAGCGGTGGCCGGAGTTTTAGCATCAGGCGCGTGCGGGTTGATGGGGTTAATGTCATTCTCGTGGGTGATAAACTATGTGCGGCAGACGCAAGGGACGGTGCCGGTGCAGCTTGATGCGGCTAAGCGGCGCGTGGCGGATATGGCAAGTTACATGGGGCAGAAGACAAAGGAGGTGGGGCAAGACATTCAGACAAAAGCACAGGAAGCAAAGAGAATATGAATGATAATTTGAATATGACGAGACAAGACGAGAAAATGGTTTCAATTTAGCACGTGTATATAAGTGTGTGGGAATTAAATAAACCGTAGTGTAGATGAATGTATCTTTAGTGCTTTTGGACTTTGGAGCTAGTCTTCATTCGTGTTTATAAGTTTGTGTTCTAGTCATTGCTTGCTTTGTCATGCATGCATGTGTCTGTGTTATTTAGTTCACTTGCATTTAATTGTTGAATTTAATGTGCCATTTCTTGCGTTACCACAATTTTCTCACCTTCTTCTCTGGAGATTAATCTCATATGGACAATATTCAAGACATATATTTAGTTTCTTTTTTTATTGTTAATTACCCATTTCAGAGTGAGATAGCTAGGGAGATTTTTTGAGGGAGGAAACAAAAAATCTTTGAATCTCCATTTAGCTATGCACATCCAAAATGTGAGAACACTATGACATGACCTTCAATTCTTCAAGAACAATGTTCCACCAATATGTGCGTGTGTTGTTGCTGCTCCAGCTGAAGGAAAGAAGGCCCTTAGCTTATCAATACAACATAATAAAATGAAATATATGAAGTTATAGACATCTTACCTGATATCGCAGTGCTGAAAACTTTGCAGTCATGTGTCTTCGGGTTCTTTAATGCATAGGAATATTGAATTTTTAAATTCATATTTAATGCAGTGGACATGAATATAATGGAATTAAGTATTGCTTTATGGAATGGAATGAGATGTAATTTTATAGTACTTTTATCCCAGATGCATTAATTTTAATTATTAAAATTTTCTATACTGTTAAATTCTATAAATGTCATGATAACATATCAGAGGAATAATACAATTTTTTTTTGAAAGAGCAGATTTTTAAATTAATATTCATTTAGTACTTGAACGAGTTGTTCTTTATAAATATTTTTGTACATTAGTTGTTCATGATTTGTATATCCTGGAAATTCTGTTTCTAAAATATTTTTCTTTTTTCAATTTCTCCTTTTCACTGAATTGGGAGTTGAGTTTGTAATTCCGTTTCAGGTTGAAGGCAATCAGGCTCTTATTGTTTCAATTTTAATGTATTATCTACACAATTACAATTTATATTAAAGGGTGAATATAAATATGTGAATTGTTTCTCTTCGAGTAGTTCGTCACCCCTTCGATTGCTGGATATGAGACCGTGAAGAGTGAAGATAGATAAGTGGTCACATCTCATTTACTGCAAAATAATTATCAGTCATTAGTACTTTAATATTAAAATAATCTTTTAAAATTATTGATATAAATATTTAAAATTTGCATTAATACAATATATTATATTAACAAATTATTTCATTAGTAACTATAAGTTTAATCCTAAAAAAATGGAGATTAACCTTCAAGGGGTCTCTCCCAGGTCCCCATCCTTCTTAATTTTCATAGTTATTCCTTTGTTGTTAGATTTTTATTTGTGTAACCAAACTTTTCTTTACTAAGAGAATGATGTAATTTAGTTGTTGAAAATATTTTGACCTTAATTTAGTCATTCTAGATTTTCAATTTTTGAATATCAGTTGTTGGCTTAATTTTTTTGGATGTTTGATCACCATTTAAATATTGAGTTTACCTATGTTAATGCCAGGAATTCTGAGTAAAATATGTACCAGTTTCTTTCAAACATTACATCATTTAAGGACAGTTTTACTAATGTGGTTTTACTTAAATTTCATAGAACTTAATAATCCTATTTTGTTAATTTGATATAAGAAATTAAGCTTATTATCAGTGTTTAAGTAAAGTTGTTCCACCAAAAGAATTTAGATTATAACAGAATTAGAAAGCTTAACCATCAATGAGAACATTAGAATTAAGACCACAAATTAATCAATTAAGGTGACTCAAACGATGCAATTTCTATTTGTAAGGTACTTGAATTTATACTTCATAAGAAAAAGTAAATAAAAATCGTTTAAATTGTGAAGTAATAATTGTAAATAATTTTGTTTATTATAAATAATAATTTTTTAGTCTCACCTTTCTACGCTTCATATAACTTGAAACAAATCCTAATTAACATATTTAAGAAATTTAATTACTAATTGATTGACATAATATTTTTACCTATTATATTCTTTTAAGAGGGAATATTGTGCGAGTCCTTCTTATGCTAATTGGCGTGTTGGTGTTGTGAATGTGAAGACGAAGCAGAGAGTGAAAGTGATGGAGTCTTACGCTCCTCTTCTGGAGAAGACCCGAGTCCCCCAACCGGGGCTCCAAAAGTTGGCCGTCGATTCAATATTTTCGAAGCTCCGATCAGCGCCCAAACACCTCGACCCGGAATCCGAACCCGGAAGACACGCCATTTCTCACTGCCTCAACTCCTCTTCCCCTCACGTCGTCGACCAATCCGTTCGCAACGTGTGTCGCCTCGTAACCGATTCCGTCATCTCCGTCTCCCGCGCCTTGCTGGAGCTCCAATCCGCTCTCGAAGGATCCGACCCGAAACTCGTAACCGTTTTCGTGAAGGGATTGGGCTTCCTTGTTCGCTACTCTTTCCGCAGCAACAATGCCTCTTCCGACTTCACTTCTACCCTCACTCACCCCTTCGTTAAGGTCTGTAACTCACCGCAATTTCCACACATTATCTACTTCCATATGTATACACATATAGCTATGTATCTGTACGTGTATATTTCACTTTCATATTTATTGGTATATTATGCAAAAACAGGACAAAAGATAGTTGAAAGTTACAGTAGGTTTGAAATCACGTTGAAAAACCTCATAACGTGGATTTAACGCAGAAGTTACAGCCAGTAACACTGAAGTATATGTGTATCTATAGACATTTAAACATGAATTTAAACAAATTATTATTATTATTATTATTATAAATCGCTAAGAAGAAAATTGCAAAGAATTTGGAAAAGGAAAATGATACTTTCATTACGACTTTTGTAAATAATATTTATTGGCCATAAAGAAAAAGTTGCGTTGGGATGGCCTGGAGTTTATCTTGCATGAGAGTATGGGAGGAGTGTTTTGAGTAGTAGTTTGTGTAAGCATGGTTTTGCTCCAAGAAAAGGCAAAGCAAAAATGACAGAAATTTGTTATACTTGGTTCTTGGTGTGTAAGTAAGCTGCTGATTCTTGAATGAAGTGTGATTTATCTATTTTCTTACCCTTTTTTAATGTTTGGCAGGTGTTGTTGTGTCGGTCGGAAGTTCAATCTGAACTCCTGCGGCAAGTGTTGCTGTTTATGTTGGAGAATAAGCGTCTGGAAATGGTGCAAGTTTGTGAAATTTTAAGGCCCTTGTTGAATTTCTCAATCATAAAGTTTTTAGCTTTGGAATCATCATCCTCCTCATTTGCGATGCAACTGGTATCGTCTATGGCAGCATTCTGTTGCTCCTTTCCGCATGAGTCCATGCCTGTTTTTAAGCTGCTAATGGGGTCCCTTAAGTATCTTCCACACGAGACATGTGAAGTAAGTGTAATTGTGAGAAGAAGCATTGGATGTGTTGTGTTTTATTAGTTCTTCATTGTGGTCATTGTGTCTTGTTAGTGTAGTGATAGGTGAAGTGAAATAATTATCTTATTGCAGTTTTCTTTTTGGACCTTCTCAGGACTACAGGAAATTAGTATTTGTTATAGAACATATGGTGGAAGCATATATAGTGGTACTGAAATCTTTGGCTGGAAATAAATCAGTATGTCCCTTGTATTTTACTGTTCACATTTGTGTTCGTTACTTTCACAATGTTGTTTCCTTGATACATGTAATTTATGCCTTGCTCTTGTATTGTTCTTTATCCCTGTAAGCAGCTGATAACTGAAGCTCAACTACATGCTGTTGAATTTCTGGAAACAATTCTTTCTCTATCCACATGTCTTCAGTGGCACCCTGGTGGCTATGAGCCCATATGTGAACTCTTTAAGCGCTTGTTTTCTGTACAGAAAGATCTTGGGTTACAATGGTTGCCTGGTTTGTCATCGACCATGCTGTCATTATTCACTATCCTTATTCAGTCAGAACTTGAACATGAACAAATTTCTATATTGAAATTCCTTCTCTTAATCCTGAAGTGGAAATGCAATAACAGTAAGTTTTCTGTAGCTGTCCCAACTTTGGGGGTTTATGCATCAAGTTGAATACATGCGATCGGAAGTATGATATTCTTCTTTTAAAACCGCAACATTTATTTTTGTGTATTTTCCTTTGAGTTCTAACTTAATATCTGCACCAATGGCATTTATGTGTCATAGAAAAAAGTTTATGAATTTTTTCTGGATACTGGTTTTGCATACTCTCTTGTTGCTTCATTGTGATGAATTGGGTTCAGGTCTTTAGGTGGTTAGTTTGTTAACTGTTTGGCAAGTAGGCTACATTTGCCTTATACATGCCTGATGCTAGATTATTTTCCATAATTCCACTGCAACATTTCTTCCTGCTGTCAAATGCTCTTGCGCAAATTCATAAAATAATATCTGTACTTATGCTCATTTGATAATCCCCTTAATATTATCATTTTAATTATTTATTCTAATAGTTTATGGTTACCAATGCAGATGATGCTATCAGCAGAACTAAATCCTCTTTTTTTGAAGAGACTTTGTTTCTTCTTCCTGTTGTTAGCCTCATGTCATCTTCATCCAAATCTGTGAAGGGACTGGCTATTGATTTGCTTCTCCTCTTGGAAAAGCTCCTTGTCAAGATGTTTGTGGCACTAAAAGATAAACCAATCGTTGAGGGGGGTGTTCATTATCCTAGCACACCAGGATATATAGTTTTGAGACTTTTACGACATCTGTGGTACCAGGTTTTTTGTCTGTCTCATAATATTTTTTCCTGTGTAAAATGTTGCATGTATCATCTACAAAAATGATATTTATTTTTAGATGGAAGCTTTGATATGCTGTAGTCCTGAATGAATATATCCCAATTTACTATTTATGTGTCAAGAACAGGGGCGTTAAAATAATGAGAATTGTAGCTATTTCAACTTTTCTATCTCAGCAATAATAGAATTTTAGAAATTCTATGCTTCTATTGTTTCAGGATGGAGAATCTTCTTACAGAATTTCCCTTCTGAAGTTGGCTTTAAAGGGCATGAATCAAAGTGAAATAATGCATGATAGTCCAACATCTTGGGTTTCTCATGTAAGAGGGTTCTGTTTGTCAATTGTTGACCAACGAAAATCTTCATTACCTCTCTCACATTTTCAGGAAGTATTTTTGAATGGTATAACCCACTAGTTTTTGGGAAATGGAGTTATAATTGTGTTAAAGGATGCTAGAGATTGATGTTATCTCAATGTCTTGCTTTGCAGAGATACCCTTGTTACTCAGTGCTGTTCTCGGTGTTTTATTGATACAGCCATTAATGGGCGCTGCTGCTGTCGATTCTTTGTCTTCCATTGCCATTATGGATCCCAAAATGGGAGTTCCTTTGTTGTTAACCATTATGTTTTACAGTAATATATTCACAAGACATGATGTCAATCACCATGATATGTTGGTAACTTCTCTCTTTCATACTAGAATTTATTGCACGGCATTACCTTGTTCTTTTGTCTCCCATTGTATGTGAAGTATTTTTTCCCTCTCTTGTTTTTGAACTGTTTTTGCAGCTAAAAGTTTTTGAAATGCTGCCATCACTTGCTTCACACTCCGCAATGATTCCACTTGTAGTTCAAACAATCTTGCCAATGCTTAACAAAGATGCAAAAGTGTGGGTACTCTGATAGATTGTGTATTTTGTTTGCTTCTTTTATTTCTCAAACTAGTTATTGTATTATTCTTGCTTTGTGGTATCTTGTTTTTGTTGGAATAATGTTATACCATTATGGTCCCGTTTTTAGCATTCTGACTTTGAGTATTGATCTAAGTGTTTGAACTCTGAGCTGCTATTGTATTTAGTTGGAAAAAGGACCATATGACATATAAAAGCTTTTATGTATAATTTCTGATTTTCCTTTGCATTATTTTCAGAAGTCTTAATGGCTTTTAATATTCTTTGTAAATGATATATCCCTTCTGTACTTGTGCTCATAAATCTAAAATAGTGCTGTTACTAATCTAGCACTCTATATATGGCTGCTTAACCTGATTGAACCTTCACCTCATCACATAGAGGATGCTTGGTTTTAAGATAGAAAATTTATTCTGGTCCTTAAATGTTATTTTGGGCTTGAAGCTAAAATTTGGCCCTTGTGCATTCATCAAAATATTGAGTATAAATGCAATTTTCTTTAAATACTTTTCTCCTCACTTGCAGCTCATTATATTCTACAGCAACTAGATTGCTATGTCGAACTTGGGAGATCAATGATCGAGCTTTTGGGAGTTTGCAAGTGAGCTTTTCATTCCACAGTTTCTAGTATCTTCTGCTTCCACCCATTATTTTAGGTGGACATAAATAATTATTTAATGAAGAAGATGAGATTATTTGGACAGTAATTCATTAAAGAAATAGAATTGTTAACTTAATGAATTTAAATTTTAATTGTTTATAGAAAGCTCTCTTAAAGAGGGTTGAGCACATTGAATTAGTGCCAGGATTCCATTCTTGAACTCTTTGTTATTTGTTGAGATGCTGTGTTATGTTGCTAATAGAGTCATGGTGTAGTTGATTAATATTTCCTTAGTTCTTAAGAGCAGGATTTATTGTACCATGTCTTGAAATGGATGATGCATCAAGGACATAAGTTATTTGTAGATAAATATAGTAAATAACTTAGTTCCTAGGCTTTTACTAATCTCAGATTGTTGATAATCTGAGATGACTCCTGACATATCTATATATGGCTTGTCCAAACAATGTTTTTGATTCTCAAAGCTAGCTGCTAAAATCTTTTTATTGTTTTTTTCTCCTTAAAATTGTGTGCAATGGTATAATTTAAACTTTGTTCGATTTGTAGGGGATAGTTTTGGAGAAGCAAGAATTTTAGTTGCTTTTTGGCCAAAAATGACATTACATCTTTTCTCATTTTTTTTGGTGAGGGCATGTTCACCCTAGCAGAGCTCAAACTTATAGCCTTAAGATTTTAATGCAATTAATGCAATATAAACAATTATTTATTCATGCAAACACACTTTTTCTGCATCATGATATTTTCTGGTGAATCTGTGCAAGGTCACATCAAAAGGTTTTCCACAATTTTACACGATATCTGACAACTTAGTATTGTTTGTCTCATTTTATCTTTTTAAGAATTGTCCATACAGAATATTTTAAAGAATTTTATTGTTAAGAATTGAGATGCCAATTTGCTTTACTCTTTTATGCCATTCCTTGCTGTGTCTTCATGATCTTTTACATTTTCTCCATATCTAGGGTGTCTTGCTCCCTAAAGCGTTTACTGATTTCACTTCAGAGAGAACTATCTGCATCAGCATGGCTGCTTCCATTCGAGATGTTTGCCATAAAAGTCCTGACAGGGGTGTTGACCTCATCTTGTCTGTATCGGTATGCCCTGCCTGTACTGTTTTCTTGCTTCTACTTTTCCGGTGCATGCTTTTATGAGAAATAATGGTTGTGTTGGAATAAACAGTCTTGCATTGAGAGCCAAGATCCTGTAATTAAAGCTCTTGGCTTGCAAAGCCTTGCCTTCCTTTGTGAAGCAGATGTGATTGGTAATTTCTTTTTTGTGTAAATATATTTAATAGAGTATACTATACTAAGGCATACTGGCATAGTAAGTTATACATGAAAAATAGTCTGACACTAGATCATGTTTCATTTAGTTTGTTGTTGAATGTAAATTCAAAGCATTCTGATTGGAAATACTATCTTCCTTGTTTAGATTTTTACACTGCATGGGATGTCATTGCAAAGCACGTGCAAGGTTACCAAGATGACCCTATTCTTGCTCATAGGTATACGTGTTTAAGGCTCTGTAGTCAATTACATGTTGTTGACTTAAATTTTGGTAAGGATGGTGGTGATGTTTCTTCTAGAAAAAGAAAAATTATAAATTGTAGCCTAAACTGAATATTTTGAACTCCTGTCCTTATGCATCCCAACTCATCAAGTGGCATTGAGAAGAGTTTTTTGTTCTTGGGGATTTTGAGTTTTTTAAATAAATATTGCTTTAGACATATATCTTCTTTTAGTTCATTCTCTTGTCTCAATAAAAGTCACCTCCTGTCTTGTGACAGCCTTTGCCTTCTGCTAAGGTGGGGTGCAATGGATGCAGAAGCATATCCAGAAGCATCAAAGAGTGTGTTGCAAATTATGTGGGATGTAGTTACCTCTGGTCAGGAGACACTGTGGGCAAAAGCAAGAATTTCAGCCCTGGAGGCACTTGCCCAATATGAAGTATATCCATCGATGCGAACCTTGCCCTGCATGCGTGGATAACACTTAATTAAAAAAAAGTAATTTACACTTCTTCCATTAATATTGTTTTGTTAACACTTTCAGGTGTCTCAGCTTGAAAAAAGTATTCCTGATTTCAAGAAAATGAATTTGGAGATGTTCTTTTCTGAGACTAATCCCAAAGTACTGACGGTTATGGAGGAATTCTATGTCAAGATAATTACATATGAGCACATGTAACCATTGCATCCTACAATTAATTTACTGACCTCTTGAATGTGATAACATCAGTATGATTGAATTTGTTAATTTTCTATTTATTTGCTTTAGAAATCGCCGAAGACTTGTCAAGGAGAAAAAAGTTACAGGAAGTAAGATTGAAAAATTGATGAATGTATTTCCACAGGTTATGTTCTCTTCAGGTATGGTGGTATCAGCTGTTCATTTTGTATTTTTTTTATCCAGAACTCCTACAGGAAGAAAATCAGATCTGAAAGTGGAAAAAAATAAAATAAAATGCTTAAACTAACTTTTCTTTTTATCCACAATATCTCTTTCCTGAACTCAAGGTTTGTTACTGCCAAAAATGAAGGAAAATCAATTTATTCAGATTTTGCCAAAATCTAAATGAAACTGAGTGGTCGTGGTTATGTTGACAGGACATGACTTTTTTCATATGATTTATAAACTGAATGGTTCCTTCAATGGGATAGTGGAAATTCTCTCACTATTTGCTTTTTCAAACTCTGGTTTAATATAGTAATTTTCTAGTGATATTTGTATATGCCTTGATATGTAAGCATTCTATTTGCAGGAAAGATAAGTGAGGCTAGGGAATTACCTGGTGCAGCTTTATTGTGTTTTTCTTTCCCTCGTAAAGATGTGAATGAATATCAAGCGTCAAAAGTAAGATATTAATAGATTAAATATATTCTGATTAAATTTGGCTGCACTTTTGAATCTGATATCATAAGTATTCAGAGGTTAAGAGATGTACACGCTGGGTATGCAAATGCTCTAGTGGAAGTTGCTACTTCTCTTCAGCTGTCAAGAAATATCTTGCTTGCACTGATGGCACTGCAATCATGGAAAGGCTTCATGCGACATTGGATGAAGGCTTACACTTTGTCCTATGATGCTAAGGCACAATCAAGTGCCCTAGACAAGACTTCTAAAGCTGCTAGTGAAATTTTAAAGGTTAAGTTTGGTGTTTTGTCATTACAGAATATCCTTTTTGTTCTTTTATCTGCATTCACTGCACAAGTTTATGCTGTATCTAATGTAGGTTGTTTTGCACATGCATTTTTTGCAGAGTGTGATAGCAATAGCAAATGAGGCTATACCTAGAGCTGCTGAAAATATTGCACTGGCTATTGGTGCACTCTGTGTGGTGAGAAGATTTACTATGGTTACGCACTCATTTTAAATTTCTATGAAGTTTAACTGATTATTATCTGGGCTGCATATTGGCATCTCAACATATAAACTATTGTTATGATTATGAAACATGTAATTCTATGGATATTTATTTATAACCACATTTTATATGACCAATTTTACATAAGAAATGATCATGAAAGTAATTTAGCCTCATAATGCCACATATCCCTCAATCTGATATCTGTTGCAGTTCTATAATTTTGCTTAGGGTTATGCTTAACTAGAATGACATCAAATTAATGAGTCAACTCTCTAATAATTTGTTTATTAATGTATCTTGTGTGATTAGCATAATAGCCTTTTAATCCTCTAGATCTCTGGCCATGCTATTGTCAGGTTTTGCCTCCATCTGTTCACACTGTTAAATCTGCTGCTTCAAAGTTTCTTTTGGAGTGGTTGCTCCAACATGAACATGAACACCGCCAATGGTCTGCTGCAATTTCTCTGGGGGTAATCTCAAGTGGCCTTCATGTAACGGATCATAAACAGAGATATCATAACATCACGGGACTTCTTGAGGTATTCTTGTTCTCTTCTTTTTTGTGTATGTCTAAGTTGAGATATTATGTAGATACAGATATCCTAGGAGATATGATACAGATTTAATTCAGATGATTTTGTCTCTACCTATATCAGATTTGATTTGTATTTATGCAAATAGCCCTTTGTTGATGAGATTTTCTGTACATTATGTAATTAGGACCAAATAAATATCCTTTTTACAGTTTCAATCAATAAGAAATACATATTTTTCTTTCTTCTAACTTAAGATTTAGATTGTATTCTTTCTATTCCCTTTTTTTATTATTAAAATAAAAATCTGATGAAAACAATTTTGAAGAAAAATGAAAGTATATCCTTGTTTATGAATTTCTCTTAACAGTTTAGATGAAATATAAGTGTTTCCAAAACATTTTTTAACTCCACTTTCTCCCCTTTCCTTATCTTTTATGAACTTTAATCAAAACCATTTTGGAGAAAGAAATTCACACCTTTATGTTATTAGATTAATGCTGTATCATATTTATGACCCTATTTACCTTTGTAGTAGTATAGTTGAGAAGGAAAATGAAAAATGCTATTACACACACTGAGAGGCTAAAATCACGAGTTTTCATTGGGTCCTCTTGTCATTTTATTATTAATTTTTTAATTGGCTTCACTCTTGTGAGAACTTAGTTGTAAGATTAATTGGCATTCTATTTCACTGATTGTGTGAACTTCCAGGTTCTCTTCGTTAGCAGAAGTTCCCTTGTAAAAGGAGCATGTGGTGTTGGATTGGGTTTTTCTTGCCAAGATCTTCTTACCAGAGTTGAAGCTGCTGATACCTCTACTGTTGAGAAGGAAACAGAAAAGGTTCCAGAATCTGAATTACTAGGAAGAATTGTTAGGGCCTTAGCTATGATGATACAGCACAGAACTCAATGTTCTTGTGATGTTTTGGACAGTCTATGTTCATGCTTTCCACTGGGTTCATATGATGGGAATGTGAAAGTATTTGAACCATTATCTGAGAACAATGAAGACTTGGAAGAAGATATCTGGGGTATTGCTGGACTTGTTCTTGGTCTAGCTACCTCTATTAGTGCAATATACAGAATTGGAGAGTTAGAGGCGGTTATCAAGATAAAGAACTTGGTAATATCATGGCTTCCACATGTCAATTCACTAGGTGAAAACAGTAGTTTCAAGGGGGAGGAATCTAAGATTGTTTTGGCACTAGGATCCTGTATTGCACTTCCCACAATAGTTGCTTTTTGCCAGAGAATGGAATTGATGGATGATGTTGAGTTGGACCACATTGTAGTTGGCTTTAAAGAGCTGATTTCTGAGTTAATTTCTGTGAAAAAGTCTGGTATTTTGCACCATAGTTTGCTGATGGCATCATGTGTTGGAGCAGGGACAGTACTTTCATGTGTACTGAATGAAGGTGTTTACTCTGTTGAGATTGAACATGTTAAATGTTTACTGGAACAGTTCAGAAAATGTTACTTGAATCCATTCCCTTTTCTTGTCCATCTTGGAGGCATGCTAGGAGTTGTTAATGCTATGGGAGCTGGTGCAGGAATTTTGGTCAATATGAACTTTCCAAATTACACTAGGCAATCTGGTTATCAGAAGAAGGTAATTGACCTTTTTAAAGAGTTGCCGCCAGCTATCACTCTTGTCATATTTGTTAGTTTCTTGTTGTTTCATATTTAAATATCTCACTCTGTAAACAACAGGAATCTTCTTCTGTCATGGGTCCTCTTCTATCAAGTTCTGATTTTGAATCCCACTTGACATCTTTGGTGCAAGAGATGTTTCTTGTGGCACAGAATTCTGATAATCATCAGCTCCAACAGTTTGCTTCTTGGGTGCTTGCCTTCCTTCGACATCATTTATGGTCCAAGGAACTTTTGGGGGTTGATGAAGAGAGGAATGTGGCCCAAACTAATTCAAAATCTGTTTCTCAAAGTTTTTCTGAGGACAGTCTGGTTCTGAAACTCAGTTTGTGGCTTATGGATTTCAAATACACTGAGGTAGATCTCTTGCCCATATTTTGTGTAAATTAAGTTCTTAATCTCTAGCTGACATGTGAACGCGCACGTGTGCATATTTCAATATTTTTCTTTCATTTTTAGTTTCTGTTAAAAATCATATGGTACATCAAATCAATAATTGAGATCATTCATGAATAATTTGTTTCAGTTTGATAAATTTTGTTTTTGATCCTTTTTGAAATGTAATAACTGTGCTGACATCTTTGAGTGCCATTGGTTTTTAGTCCTTGAAATTATGACAAAAAAACTTTAGTTCCTAAAATTACATAAACAAATTTTAGTCCCTTTGACTAGTTTTGTTAAATTTGTCTAAATACATGTTAGATATAATAAATTAAGTGTTAATGCGATATTTATATGACTATCAATGATATGACAATTTTAAAATAATAATAAAGGATGTGTTGATGGCCTTGAACTTCCTTGTTCACTTCAACTTCATTCAAAATTTTAAAAGCATACCAGACTAATGCTTTCTTATCTGCAAAAAATTCTATTTTACAATTTCAAGGACTAAATTGAATAGTGTTTATAATTTCAATGACGAAATTAAATGATGTCTATAATTTTAAGGAGTAAATTGATTGGTTTCTTATAATTTTGGGTATTAATTTTTTTTATATAATTTTAGAGACTAAATTAACAGATATCTATAATTTCACGGAATAAATTGAGTCGTTTCATATTTTTATGGACTAAAATTATCAATTTATAATATTGAGGGACTAAATTAATAGATATCAATAATTTCAAGGACTAGATTGACTGATTCAATAATTTTTGGGATTAAATATTCTTTTCATAATTTTTAAGGATTGAATCGATATGTCTATTATTTGAGTGATTAAAATGAATTATTACTCCATTTTGTATGTGCTATTGTGCTTGAGTCAGTTTTAATTACTATGCTTTAACAACAAAATGAGTTTTAATTTTTGTTGCTTTTGGTTCTATGATCTTTATCTTTGTATTACTCGATCTTTGACATTCTTTTGTGCTTTACAGCTTCGTGAAACTATATTCTATATTATAATTACTTCCGCTTCCCCTAATTAACTCTCTATTCTTGATTTTGGCATGGATGCATGTGTATAATAAACTTCCAATATACATCCTATACTTCAAAAGTCTACTACAATAACTGTTATATGTTTCCTGTTTGTCTCTTCTCATTGTTCTTATTTTGTCTTGTCCAAGTTTAGCTGGGTACTATGATACACATTGGCACAGTGGTTGCAGTATTAAGGTGCCTTTCTAGAGCTCCCAGGTTGCCAGGCTTGGATTGGGGGTCAATTATTAGGCGTTGTATGAGATATGAGGCCAAGGCTGCTGATTTGTTACCAAAAGACTCTGCTTGTAAGAAAGAAACTCTAAGGGAGGAGTGCGTACTGTTTGCAATAGCTCATGCAAATCAATTTGATTCACTGCTAACTTTTCTGGATGAGCTATCTGATTTTTCTAGGTTCAGGACACTTGAAATAAATCTGCAGGCATGTCTGCTAAATCATCTAGCAGATCTTGTAAAAGTATATTCAAACTCCAGGCTTGAGAAACTATTTGGTGATGTGAGTAATCACTTATCTTTATTTTCCTCATCTGAAAAGTCTAGTACCTGCCAGAAAAGACTGTTATGTATTTCATGCTGGAAGGGTCTCTATGAGTGTCTAGATGAAGTTTCTGTGGACACATCTGGTCACATATCCCATATTGAGAGGTGCATGGAGGTTCTATTTAGTATATTGCCAATGGTGCAATCTTCTGGAAATGTAGAATCAGGGGACATAAGTTTTGCAGAGGAGTGGTCCAAGGCTGTAAGATGCTTAGGGAAGGCTCCACAGAGTTGGCTATTGGATTTCCTTAAGGTATGGTATGCATACAACATTTTACTGTATCTCTTCCTCAGCTTTTCGCATCAAGAAAATTATTTTGAAATCTCTCTAATAATAATCTTTTACGTTATGTCATCATTTCTGTTGTTCAGTACCTTCCTTATGTAGATCTCCTGTTATTTGCTTAAAGTTAATATTCCTTGGTGTTGATTCAAATTAAAGTTACTATACATGCATTATTCTTGCACCTGACTTTTCTTTTTTGTTGGCATGTTGTACATTTTATTTAATTTAATGTTCAGAAATATTAAAACCGCAAATATGTAAAGAAAACTTCCATAATTTATTTAATTTTTAATATTATGTAATTTTTGTATATTACAAAATTATAATATTAAAAAGTTTTCATTCAAATACAATAAAGATAAAAACAATTTAAAAAAAAAGAATATAAAATTTGTAAACAAATAATGTCTTTTTAACTTGGATGAAAAAAATTAAAGTTAGATTAAAAAATTATAAAATATAGAAAGAAATCATCAATTTGAATTTTTTAACATTATTTAAAGTTGTATGATGAAAATTAATTTAAATAATTTTTTTATCTCCATAATTATTTGATTTTTATTTTTTAAAGTCGTTCTGAAATAATGAATTTGTAAAAATATGTAAAGAAAATTTTCCTTAATTTGAAATTAGAAATTATTTTATAGTTTTTATGTCAAAAATTATAATGCTAATATTTTTCATTAAATAATATAAATAATTATGTGAAAAATAAGAAAGCATTTTCTTTAGATTAGGGGAAAGAATTGAAAAAAGAAAACTCTCTAGATGGGGGTGATCATAAAATAAATATAGAAAGTTTTCCTCAATTTTACTTTCTATCATCATCTAAAATTTCTTATATCAAAAAGTTAGTTTAAATATGTTTGTCTCTAAAATTGACTTTTTTGAGTTAACTTTTTTAGTCACCATGTATAAAATATTTATGTTTAGTCCTGACAAGTGCCTTAAATGGACTATTCATTAATATTTATGTATCATTAATTTTTTTAGTCCACAATGTATAAAAACACACTTTTTATCAAGTATAAGTATTATAAAAAAAGTAAAACTGGACTAATTCTAAAAATTGTTATACTTGAGCCAAAAATATATTCAATTCCTAAAGGTTATAATATTAATAATCTATATTCAATAATGATACATACACAAGTGTAAACATGTGCACACACTTTAAAAGATACATCATGTTAAAATTTTATACTAAAAATGAAATAAGTAATTAATAATAAATTTCTATGCTAATAATCAAATTATAGACAACTTCAGTATGTAGTGCTGGCAATAATACTTCTTATCTACAAATTTAAGTTAATCCTCCTTAGCATTTAAACCGTGACCTAAGGGGCCATTTGTAAGCACAGGTTTCACGCGAGGAGTTTGTTCAGACTCTTCAGAGTACTGACAAATCAATTGAAGTCCTAAAAAAGGTTTGTGCTAAGATCAAGCTAGTGAAGACTGGTTCTCTTTCACTGATTGAACTTGGAAAAATGAAATCCTACATATTGAACTCCAAATCACAAGGTTAGTTTTCTCCTCTGTTACTCTGTATTACTCTGCTTTTGGGCATAGGAGCTCAGATGAATTTGGGCTGAAATAATTAATGGTTCTTACTTGAATTAGAGTTGCTATTTATTCACTTGTAAACTGTTTGGAACATGGAAGCATATTAAGCTGGAAATGCTTCACATATCAAATGTCAATTCTAAAGATTTAACTTTTGCAGGACTCTGGGATATACTCTTTGAAGTTGTTGCAGCTTTGTACCATGCAGAGGGAAGTATCAAAAGACAGTGGCTAATTGATGCTGTTGAAATTAGCTGCGTATCCAGTTTTCCTTCCACGGTAGGAACTTGATATTGATACCTTTATTACGATATATTTGGTAGTAATTATCATGCAGATTTTGCATGGAAATTTTCAAAAAATAAGCTCAGCAAGAATTAGTGTGATATTTTCTTTATTTGAAAAGTATATAATACATTAATTTAAATACATTTTAATAGGAAACAAAATTATGTTGGTTTGTTGTGAAATTTCATGTGCACAATGTTCATGATCAAACTCCCATTCACATGGTGGATGATGTGAGAAATTCATCCCGTAGAAAGAGTTACTCATTGTTATATGATTGATTTTAATTAGTGTTGATGGATCTTAACGTTATATTTTTACATATATAATTTTTATACTCAGTTTTCGTGAGGTAGAGAGAAAAGTGTCCTTTATAAGTTGTCATCAATGATATCAATGACATTGTTCACATGTTACAGTTTTTTATGGGTCTCTATCAAAATTGCTGAACTGTGAATTATTATTATTTGTAAATAATGTAACATGAAAGAAGCTTCTGTTTCTATCAATTTGAATGCCATAGACACAATTATTAGGTTTCTTCTTATGGAGTTCAGTTTTCACTGCCCAAATTTTTCTGTTGATGCTTATTGTTCATACTGTATTGTGCCTGATTTATTTGTGTGACTAGCATATACTATGCTACTGTTTGCTATTAATCGGCCCTGGTATAATTCTATATCGAGAGAGAAGATATGTTTTACTCCATGATAGATGATAACCAAGTTGAATTTGTTATGAAGCTCACTTCATTTATATACATCTCTTCATTATTCTGCAGGCGCTGCAGTTTCTTGGTCTGTTATCTGCTACCTGTTGCAAATATATGCCCTTCATGATTGTGGACCAACAAATGGTGCTGAATAATCTACCAGTCACCCTCGTGTCTCTTCTAGCAGATCGAAGCTGGAATGTCGTAGCAGAAACCGTTGTGTCCCACTTTTTTTCATCTACAGAACGTATATACAATTGGGCTGTTCAAATAGCAGATGGTTCTTATATTCCTGGTTCGCAACCCATTGATGAAAGTGAGAATCACATGGCTGTTTTTCTACCACGAGTGATGCATCATACGTGTGTATTACTGAAAAGCTACTTGCCATTAGATAAGCAGCTTAGGCTCGCCAACATGGTTATTGCTTGAGATGCAAACTACATTCTTGAAAGTATAGGATTATGATCACATTAAAATTGAGGCACGTCCTCATAAATTGTTTGCTCAAAGGAACGGCACCATCTTGCCACGCGTAGCACGATGGTGTTTGGGAATTATGCTTTGTTATTCATGGAATGCGGATAATTCTGTGTTTTTCCTGCACTCCCCGATTCGTTATTCCAAAGTGAATTGAGAGGACACAGTGTTGAGCAGAAGCCAACCGTGTGGGATGTCTCTTGCAAAGCATGAAGCTGTACATACACTTGTTCAATCCGATGCACTAAAATTCAGCAGAAGCAGAATGCATGTTGTACCATTTTCTTTTTTCCCTGTATACAAGTCTGTTGTATCATATGCTTATATGCAAGTAAAAACTGAACAAGATAGTTATGTGCCAAGACCCAAAATAAACAAAGAAATTTATAATCATAAAATCTTAAATATAACTTTCTTTAGTAATTTACTCTATTTTCATACAATTCCTTATTGAAAAACCTATTAAATTTGAACGGCATCTATGAGTAATTTACGTTTGGTAATATTTTTGTCTTTAACTGAATATTTTCGTATGTATAATTGAGAAATTTACTCAACAGAAATAATAGCCAAGTAAAGTCGTCTCTCAGTACTAATTTTAGGATTTAAATTTTTAATACTGCAAATAACATTTGTCTAAAGTAACATTCTGCTTTTATTAATGTTGTTTTGTTTTAACTTTAAAGTTGTTACTATTTTTTCAATATATTCCTTAATGGGATAAAATTTCATGTTAATCTTCATATTAAATAACAAGTAAAAATCATTTTTTTATAAGGCTAGCAAAAAAAAATAAAAATCTGGACTATAATTTTAAACTGGTTCTCGAAGGATAAAGAATCTTTTCATTTGTTTTTAAAAGAAAAAGAATGTTAAAATTAGTTGGTAAACATGTGGTTTATCCTTCTGTTAGTTAATTTTTACCAAAACAATAATATAGTACCTTCAGATGTTTTAACTATGGTAATTTAAAATGTTACAATATAAAATGTTTTAAAAATATTTTATTCACCTTATTAAAATATATTGCATTGCATTTAAGGTCATATGATACATTAAATTGATATAATAACGAATTTAAAAAATTAAAATAAATATAAAATCATACGTTCTGTAATTAATTTTAATATATTTTTGTAAGACTAAATTACATGATTCCTTATCTTTGTGGACAAATTTCAAGTTTTAGTCATTCATAATTAAGCGCCCAGGATCAATAAAAAGTGTTTACACAAAACACCACACATTTTCACTTGACAGGGGCACTCTGTTCCACCGTCTTTTGCCGGAAACCTGGTATGTTGTTATTTTTCTCTCCTATTTGGTGGCTACTTCTTACCCATCACCATCATCAACATGATTCGTCGACCTTCAATCAATGGGTCAATTCTTTCAGAACCGTTCTCCAACACAACTTTCACGAAAATATCATTTTCTTCTCTAATCACCCTTCAGGATTCTCACCCCAAACCCATTTCGAGTCCCTTTTACAATCTTCTTCCCCCAACCCAGAATCCCAACAACATCGTCAACCTCATCTCTTCTGTCCTCAAACACAAAAGTTCTCACCTTTCACTTCAGAACGACATCAAAGGGATTCTTCCTCACATGGGTGCCCATGAAATTTCAAGGGTCTTGCTCAGATGCCAATCTGATTACTCTTCAGCTCTCACTTTTTTCAATTGGGTCAAAACTGATTTGGGTCTCACACACACTGTGCACAACTACTGTATTATTGTTCACATACTTGCTTGGTCTAGAGTGTTCTCTCAGGCCATGAAATTTTTGTCTGAATTGATACAATTGGTTGAGGTTGAAGGTGTTTCTCCAAATGAGGACATTTATCACAATTTGGTTGGGTGTAGTGAAGATTGTAATTGGAATCCTGTGATCTTTGATATGCTTATCAAGGCTTATGTGAAGGCAGGTATGGTTGAAAAGGCATTGGCAACCTTTAGAAAGAACGTTGAAGCGTGTTTTATCCCCAATGTGATTGCCTGCAATTGTTTACTGAGTGGATTGTTTAAGTTTAATTATATTGGTCAATGCTGGGAAGTGTATGAAGAGATGGGAAGAGTTGGAATACACAGGAATGCATATACTTTCAACATTTTGACACATGTTTTGTGCAAAGATGGAGATACGGATAAGGTGAATGGATTCCTGGAGAAGATGGAGGAAGAAGGATTTGAACCTGACTTGGTGACATATAACACACTCATTAATAGCTATTGTAAGAAAAGGAGGTTAGAGGATGCATTTTATCTATACAAGATCATGTACATTAGAGGTGTGATGCCTAGTTTGATTACATATACAACCCTGATGAATGGTCTTTGTGAAGAAGGGAAGATCAAGGAAGCTCATCAACTTTTTCATCATATGGTTCACAGAGGGATAGATCCAGACCTTGTGTCATATAATACTCTTATATCTGGCTATTGCAGAAAAGGTAAGATGCAAATGTCTAGATCACTATTGCATGAAATGATAGGAAATGGGATTTTCCCTGACAGTGTGACATGTTGGCTTATCGTGGAAGGATATGCAAGGGATAGAAAGCTGCTTTTGGCCTTGAATATGGTTGTGGAGCTTCAGAGATTTCGAATTAAGATTCCTGAAGATGTATATGATTATCTGATTGTTGCTTTGTGTAAAGATGGTCGACCATTTGCTGCTAGAAGTTTTTTGCAAAGGTTATCTCCGGATGGCTACATGCCTAAAATGAGTACTTACAATATATTGGTTGAGTCTCTATGTAAATTCAATAATGTAGAAGAGGCATTAAATTTGAAATCCGAGATGGTAAAGAAGAGTAAGAAACTGCATCTTGCCGCCTATAGATCTATTATAAGCTGTCTGTGTCGAGTAAACAGGACTTTGGAAGCTGAAGGTTTGTTGGAGGAAATGGTTAGTTTGGGTATTCTACCTGATCTAGAAATAAGCAGGGCATTAGTAAATGGATATTGCGAAGAAAATAATGTTGATAAGGCTGTGTCCTTATTGAAATTCTTTGCCAAGGAGTTTCAAGTGTATGATACTGAAAGCTACAATGCAGTTGTTAAAGTCTTCTGTAAGGTTGGTAATGTAGCTCAGTTGATGGAGCTTCAGGATAAGCTACTCAAGGTGGGGTATGTTCCAAATAGGTTAACATGCAAGTATGTAATCCTTGGATTGCAGAAAGCTATAGATCTAGATGATGAGATGTTGGGCCACAATATGCTTGAATAACACTAACCCAATGTAAGACTATATTCAAAATCTCACCTACCCAATTACTTGGGCATGGCATATATATAAGGATCAACAAGCTATGAAAGGATTTCTCCTGGCAGACAGTTTATTGATACCATACTTTATTTCACTGAAGATGAGCTAAACAGGAAAGCCTGCTTTCTTCTCGTCCATCACAATTGAATCATAAACTGCAAACTCTGTAAGGAGACTTAATATATGAGAGCAAAGTACAGCGGAGTTATCTGAGTAAGTTGATGAAAGATATCCAATATTTTCTGTGTTGCAACTTTCCTAACTGAGGAAATAAAAATCCAAGAAGGAAAAATTATGTTGGATTTTTTATTTCTGGTTCTAAAATATATGCTGAAAAATCCATTAATCATACTTTGGAGAAGAGATGAAGACTTAATGCTTGGCTTTTCTACATTGGATGTGTTTCATGGGGATAAAATATAATTCATAAATTAGCTGCAGGACACTTAGTATTGGTTTTTTCTAATTGTAAGTAATTTAGTTTTATTTTCTCAATGTGTAAAAAATTGGATTCTATTTCTAAATGTAATCATGCTTGATTTACTTTGGAAATAAAAAGATGTGAATGGGTTATTTAAGAATTGAAGTTCTTAGTTTACCTTCGTGGAAGATTGTCTTTTCTCATAATTATTAGCATTATCTTTATATTTCTAGAAAACATGGGCACTTCAAAACATCAGCTTAATATGCATGGTAGAGCTAGCACATTGGGTCTGGGCAGGCATGAACCCATCCGATAAAATACAGAGTTTGAACTTCAAATTTTGAGCCCGAATTAAATCTAAGCCTTTTAAGCCTGATCCAATCAAGTTCAATGCAGGTTAAGCCTTAAAAAACTCCTTAAAAGTCAGGCTTTATCGATTTTTGACACTATATTTTTAAACTCGAATTACAAAGTCTGTCACTCACCATAGGCCCGTCTAAATGGGCCAGGTAGCCCGTTTTAATGGCTCTAGCAAGGCAATTTCGTTATGAACCATTGGATTTTCAGCACTTATTTCTCAAATCTTTGATGTTTATTTCCATGATGTGCAGATGTATGGGTATTATGAATATAAGTAGTACAGGAATTAGTTTCATAACTCTCATTTGACAAGGTGATTGAAACATAACGTTTTCTGACTGGGATGATATGTTTTCTCCTGCTTTTGAGATGCGTATAGGATTTCAGTTCACATATTTTAGAACTGTTGGATACATTTATCTCTTCTTCTTTTTTTAATGACGGTAGTTAGTTGTAAACCTTGATTTGTCAGGGGAATTAGGAACGCGAGGAAAATATAGGCTTTTTGACTAAATTTGAAAAAAAAAAACCATTTACTTAAATAATGCAACAACAAAATTATCTGTTGGGGTTGTTTTTGGACACGTAAAATAACTCTTGCAGTACGTAGTATGCGAATTGGGTGCTTTCTCCTCAACATTAACAAGTTCTGAAGCAGAACCATCAACACATTACATATGTATACGCCATGCTTCTAACCAGCAATACTAAGGACATTAGTGTTGCCCCAATCCAATAAATTCAAATAAAAGTCATCTAAGTATATTTGGAGCATACAACGTTTGTGCTTTTGATGCCTTCTCTCTCTCAACCAATTTAGTATCTCCACGGTTCATTCTTTCTAGCTTTCTGTCTCCCATGATTAAAAAATTAAAAGATAAACATATATATAGTCTTTACCATAATCCCATGATTCATAATTTTGTCATGAGTCAAATATAATTAATACCCTTACGTACAAGAGTTCAGTAGAATAGGTATTTTTATAAATTGACCGCTTCTACCTTCCTTAATATTCGAAAAAAGTTAAACAATACTTATGTTCTTTTTATTCTTACTATCAAATTTTCCCAACAAATGATGATATATGAATGTTTTCTAACATTAAATAACCTTCATTAATATCCACATATCAACATTAAGAAAACTTGATGACCATGATATATATATGTATATAAACATTAAATTGTTCTTTTAAAGTATTTATATTGCTTCGTCTTTCTTCCGCAAATGACTTCATTGGTATAAAATAGGCGAAAAGATTAAACATTAATGGCGAACCAAATCATATTAGCAAATGCTTCTTTACTAATTCTGACGATGTATCAAATCTAACAAGCCAAAAATAAACTTACGTACAATTTACAACTAACTTGAGCTAAATTGTGTAAATGCTTGTCGTGTGCAAAAATATAACAACCTACTTGAGACCCGATAACCGAAGAAACTCGCACTCGCCAAGAAAAACCTTTGAAGTTAATCGCGTGAGCATCTAATAACTGTAAAAAATTACGTTAAAACAAGTGATAAGTTTAAAAAGTTTTTTAAGAGCTTTAAAACATAAACAAGGACGACCTTAAAAGGTAAAAATAACGACTAAATATTTTAATGAAACTGTTTTATTACTAGTTTTAGATAGCATGTGCCTAAATGGGATAAAAAGCAAAAGCACTCAGTATCGTAAAATCTAAAACATTTAATATTTGCTTCTGTAAATAATTAGGATAATATAATGAATAATAAATGTTTCCTCACCTATATCACATGGACACCCATTAAGTTATTAACAAAATTCTATTAGCATTTATAAAAGAATAAAAAATAATGAAAACTTATAAAACCTTCAAATAACCACTCATAAATAATAATTTCCTATTTATAACAAACTTTATATCATGAGCACCAATAATTATTATTATAATAATAAAATATATTTAAAATGTTTTCAACTAACTCCTCGCACAATATAAGGTCCTTTTTTCTGGGAGGGCCTTGGCATCACAGCAGCAGAGGAGGGGAATCCAACCGGATGATCACAGTTCACACTATGCCGTTGGCTTAATGTCTCAGTTTGAGTTTATACTTATAATTAATTTTCATTCAACGATTTTTATATATCACTCAGTTTCGCTTTGAAGAGTATTGAAGCAAACTAAAAGAATAAGTAGAAATGAAACAAGCAACATATCAAGGATAATGGAATCAAACTATGCGACTAACCGCTTCAATTATATTTTTACTAACTAATAACATAAAGGGAAAGGTGTTTCCGAATATTTGTTATGTAACCGTTCAATGGCTTTTAACAGAATTTTGAACATCAAAACTTTTATCCTAGGAGTGAACTATCCAAGCTCAGAAACAACATGATGCACCATTCAATTAATACCACCAAATACAGGGGGCAGCCAAAAAGAAGAAAATTTACATGTCTCGAGCATTTAAAAAAGGAACATGGAATAATAAATTTTCAGAAATTGAAAAAATAGGCCCCTGAAAATTAGAGTTTGATAGATTTAAATTTTTACCTCGCTGTACAAATCTGGCCATTAGTAGATCCTCAACAACCATTGCCCTCAGGTGATTGTTTGTCAGAAGCAACTTGCCTTGGGGTACACTGGGGATCTTCACACGGGTCCATTTCCATAGGCTCCAAACCATTTTGAGTTTCAGAGTTTTTATGCTCACCACTAATGGCTTCTTGATTCACAGAGTTTCCCAATTTTTCTTCGGAATGGTCATCTGTATCTAAGGGCTCCTTGGGAGCAGATAGAGAACGTTCTCTACTACCAGTGGCATTGCTCAGCCACATGAATTTCAGATTATGTTCTTTCCAGCTTTTACCATTAATAAATGCCCTCTCAGCTGCCCGACGAGTGGCGAAAGTTATATGTGCTTCTTGTTGACTACTATCATTGACTTGCACATCTTCTAGCTCTACAGCGGAAAGTTCACCATACGGTAAGAAGTGTTCCTTCAAAACAGCAACCTAAAAGATAGAAGTAGTTGAGCAAAAATAGAATAAGATGAAACTGATTGCCAAATTTAATAACGGTATGGTAACAAATATAAGACAACATGATCGTAGAGGAGAACACTGTTGATAATGAGAAAAAGAAGGTACAGAGAAAACTAAGGGAGAAGGCAACCACTATTAACTATGATCTTAAACAGCACAGATACCACTAACCGCTTATCCTTAATTTATGCTAGTACTACAGCTCATAAATGAAGCTGATACCCTTTGATTGGAGTATAGGTAACTCTGACTCCTTAACCTCTAGTTATGCTAGAACTATAACTAATAATTGAAACTTGTAGCCCTTAAGTGAAGTTCATTCCAAGCAACTACAGTTTAAATCATGATATTTATCAGTAGTTAATATTTAAGGTCTACTGTAGGCAATTGCACGTTACCACAGCTTGGTCAAACATATGACCAATAACATTTTCTATTGTCAAAGAACCAAACAAACAACAATTAGATTTTATCTGTCAAGTGTTATTGTTAGAGTCTACAAGAGAAATGACTCTTAACAATAGGATAACCAATTTTCTTCACCTAATAGCTTAACCTTTTGGTATAGCATGTTCATGACATGATATCAGTTCAATCCTGATTGCCCCGTGTTAGAGATGTAATATAAAGCCAATCATGTATCTTCAACTGATAACTGCTTTTGGGATAGTTGGTTTATGGCACATATCATACTTGTTAATAATGCGCTATAGTAGAGCTATCATGCCGGTGCGGCGGCCACCATTGCCACCACGTCGCAGGGCATTTAGCATGTCGCAGCAGGTACGGGTGTTCTCGGCCAGAACAGGGAGATGTTCACAATGCAATCGCACGATTTGGGGAAAGAAAGAAACTCTATTCTATTTTTTATAAAATGCACTGTTTGAATTATTTTTAAAGGTAGAAAGGTCATTTACCCTTTATCAAACATATATGTTGATCTCATCTTTCCCACGCTCTCCTCTCTTCGCAAAAGGTCCAAGTCTCTGCATTTGGTTTCTCCCCTCACTAGCTCACCCATTCCATTTCGCTAGATAAATCCACTAGTCTGGAGGCTCACTTGCTCCATTTCGCCGGAGGAATCAGCTTCTCTAGCGTATCCTCTGTTTTTTGTTCACTGTCTCCCTTTTTTTACTATTCACCAGAAAAATCAGATTCTCTAATGTCTCCTCTGTTTTTCTATTCACCAATCACTCTTGCTTCTACTTTATCATATGAAAGCATTTTTTGTTTAATATAAAATGTTTTGCACTTTTACATGGAATGATGATTTATGTGATTAATTTTGAGAATTTTTTGAGCATTTATACTAAAATTTTGTATACATAACATATTATATACGTATATTATAAATTTTTAACTAGTGGTCGCAATACTTTATTCCATTACAGCGTTTTAGGAAACAGCTGCTATTTGCTGCTATCTGAAATTGACAACTATGGCACATACATGCTTGCACTTATCTATTTTTTTATGTCTCTTCCATCAATTTATATCCTACATTTCAACCATTTTCTTCTGCCCTAGGTTCGATTTCACATGCTTTTTAACCCAGCTGGAGACATGCTACAGGAAGAGAATGTTGGCTCTTGAGCAAAATGAGACATGGGATTTGGTATCCTTGGGAAAGCATGCTACTGGATGTAAGTGAGGTTATACTACCAAGGTAAATCCAAATGGTTCCCTAGCTCCATTGAAAGCCTGGTTAGCAGTCAAGTCATAAGCACAAATGCATGGGGTTGACTACATCAATAGCTTCTCTTACTGCTAAACTCATATTCCAGGATTGGTAGATTTAGTAAAGTGGTTATGGAATTAGGGTTAAGAAGGAGCAAATGATAATTTAGTTTTCTTCAAACAAATTGACAATGACTGCATCTTGCTAGTGGTGATCACAGGGACCAATAACCTGCGAATTAGTAAACTAAAGACATTCTTCCAAACCATATATGGGCATTGAGTTCATGCATTCAAAGAATGCGATCTTCCTTTTACAAAAGAAGTATGTCCTGGATTTGTTGGATGAGATCTAATGGGATCTAAACCATGTGAGACCCCTATGGTGCTAGGTATGAAACTTACAACAAAAGGAGTTCCTTTCTCTAACACATAAAAGTATTAAGAGGTTAGTTGGTCAACTGAGTTATTTTATTGTCACGAAGCAACATGGCTTTGTCGCAAGTCAATTCATGTCTACCACAACGGACAGTTGTCAGGAAATACTGATGAAAGTACTTGATGAATTCTCTGTAAAAAGATGTTGTGTACAAGAATCATGACAACTTGCAAGACGAAGCCTTTTCAAATATAAATTGGGCAAGACCCCTCATGAATAAAAAATTCACCCCAAAATACTGTCTCTGGGAGGTGATTCAATGACACATAGAATAAGAAGCAAAATGCAGCGGTAGCAATATCAAGTGGTGAGGTAGAATACCATGCTATGCTCACACTACTTGTAAACTTATGTGAGTAAAACAGATGTTAGACAAGATTGGATTTGATGGTATATCCCCTATAAGATTGTGATGTGATAACCAGGATGGATTGCCATTTTGTCCAAGAGAAAATTAAACAAAACCTTATATCTAGCACCCATGTTAGAGTTATTGTTATTTGTTAGTGTCAAGAGTTAAGTGCTAACTTTAGGTTATTGAGAATATATGGGCATGACACAAATGCATTTTGTACTGTGCTGTACCACACTCATACCTAGTGCTAATAGCATATATACATAAGGAGTCTATGTTATACAGTTTAGCCCATTACAGCATAATTCTTTCATACTCTCCTTTACCCTCTCCACACCATCTATGGTGGGAGACTTTTCTGTAATAAGGAGTAGATAGCATATCCTCAACCTCAAGAATTGACATGAAATAATGTATAATAAAAATCCTTTCAATTGACAACGACTGATTATGCCACTTAAGTGATGAAGCATAAATAGTAAACAAGACAGTACAAAGACGTTGGGAAATTATGCCTTTTTTAGGTTTGTGAGAATGCAAAAAAGACCACAAGTAATTCAATAGGAAGGAAGGACAAGAACGTAGATGACAGTCATGAAACATTCCCATTATTTTAAATTTAGAATTATAGAAAAGAAATTAACGATCAGCAAATATCTTTGATTAAAGGATCAGAGAAAATGGGAAGAAAAAAAAAAAGACAAATAAATAATGTCAACTTTATCAGGTTAAGTCTGTTCTCTTAGAATAATCATGGGCCAACAACTCATCAGCCAACCCCAACTACCCCCCCCCCCCAAAATAAAAATAAGAAAAGCTGCATGGGTGGGTTGAAAAATACAATTCCATGTAAGTCTGGCACACAGGATTGGGGATTGAAATTGAAGTTGGATCTTTGAATTGAGATTATGATGTTTAGTCCTTTAAGAATTTTACGGTCCTATTCTAAAGATTTCTAATATGACAAATTAACAACTAACATTTCCCAATTCTTAACCCTTATCCTCTGAATTATAATTCCTAATTTTAACCCCCACACCCCTTGTCACTGCAATTATTATCCCTATTTTTACCCCTCTCACTGCCACCCCTACTACTAACTGTTGCTACCACCATCACCATTGCTGCTGCCACCACTCCCTCACAGTACCACCAACCTAGTCATCATTGTCGCAATCACTGTCTGTCATCACCAATCATTGACAATGCCACTACTAACACCATCATTGATCATTACCACTCCCTCCTACCGTTGTCATCACCACCACCCCCTCACACATTACCAATATTGTGACCACATGTGGATCAAGTTTTATTACTCAAACTCAAGGTAATCTTACCTATAACTAAACTACCCCTAACTACTCAGAGGTGTCAAAATGGAATTTAGATTCAACTTTGAATTATAATGCTATACTCTTTTTCTTTGGATCACCCAAACATAAGAATTACGATTCCAAACCAATTCCAATATGACAGAATCAATTGGAATTACAATTCTAAACTACAATTTCAATTCCATGCACCAAACAGACCCCAAGTGTAATTAAATCAAGTTGTTCCCCTTCCCATCACTAAATGATAACCAATCAAATGATTGAGGTCAAACCTCTACCTTGGTTTTATAGATCTCTCACCCTATATAATGCATAAGGTATAAAAAGTAGGAACTTAACACCATGACTATTGAATTTGAAGTATGACGTCTTATGTGAGCGTGTATTTAACAGAGAGAAAACACTTATCATAATTTGTATGCAATATATACAACTCAAGCACGAAGCAAGCATACCATTTCCAATCAATTACTACTATTCCTTCCTCATTTCTATGTAATACAACCAGTGTTTCTCTTCCATAAATATCCTAAAACTGGTCAGACTTGGGAGTTTGGAAAGATGACTGAGAAGTAAGAAGAGTCACAGAATACAACACTAATGGGACATGGGTCTTCAAATTGAAAAGTAAAAACCTTATTCAATATATATGGACATATATTTGAATCTAATATTTAATATTCTCACAAGTGAGTGTATGTATAACTCCAACAGGGGATATGTCTTAGTCAAGTAATAGTACGAAAAACAAGTGCATAAACAAGGTGTGCCATTGCAAAATTCTCCTTTCCAATGAGTACGGAGATAGAAAGACTCAGAAAATACTTACATTTGCCAGACCCGCAGGCAAAGGTGGTATGATTCTAAATGCGACAGGACGATTGTCTAATTTGTATCTATTTACAGGCATTAATGGTTGAATTGGGTGCTTCAAGCCTGTAGATTCTTGGAGTCTTGTTGCTGTACTTGCTCTAGGACTTTGGGATACGGTATTGACCAACTGTTTATTTTTATCAGATGTTGTCTCTGCATGTGGAGATGTCCCCACATCAGCATCCGACGACTGAGGAGAAGCCAATTTGGCAACATCAGATGCTGGGCCCGTTTTGGGTCTCTTGGCAGCTTGCTCAGTAACTACTTCACCCTTCAATCCAGTAGCCTGTAAATAATCAGGGTTCATATGATTAGAAGAAATGACCTCAATACAAGAAACAAGACAATAACAGAAGGTAACAGGAAAATGATTATGTAGAGGATAAATTATGAAAACCATTTCATTAGTTGCTACTGCCTATCCTTGACTTGGACATAAGGCAGCTAATGCATTGTTGACTCAGTGCCTGTTACCTGACACTAAATTAATCACATTACTTACTAAATCTATAGCCTTTTAAGCTTGTAACAGCCAAAAGATCATAAGCCTCTATACCAGTGTATCATCAATAACAAATAAAATACAAGGGGCTTCAGATTTTACTTGTTTCTCAAGTTTGTTCAACTGGCGCCTGAACTCATTTCGCTTTTGATCCAGCATTTCCTGCTTCTTGCGCAGTTCTTCCTTTAGATGCTCTATGTTTTCAAGCTTCTTTTGCAAAGGAGGAACCTTGGGTCCATCGGCAATGACAGGCCTAGGTTGATCAGAAGGCGATGATACTTCGAATATAGTCTTTGAAGCATCAGCCTGATGAATGTCTTTTCCCCTATCACTGACAACTTGATGAGATGGAACAAAAGCAGGTGCTTGCCCACGGGGGGTTACAATTACACCATTCCCACCTGTAGTACTATCATTGCGAATGCTATCACGATTAGCCCACCATAGCTTGATAAAACGATTACCCATTACAGCATCTGGTGCCTTCAGAGCAGCTTCAGCCTCTTCCCTCTTGGAGAATTGAACAAAAGCTCGTTCACTGTTCAATGGAATATAAATGTCAATAACTTTGCCAAACTTCTTAAAATGAGCAAGAAGAGACTCTCTCTTGTTACTTTTCTGTGGTATCCCATTTACAAATAGAGTACGCAATGCCTTTTGTGATGGTTTACGTATGTTACGCATACTATCACTTTGTGCTTTCAAGGAGGCTTCCAATGCTTTTGGGTCAGCATCGTCTGCTATGTTTTGCTTTACTTGACAGGAAGCATTGAGACCACCAAGTAATTCATCATTATCTTCCTTTAACTGATTCTCAGGATATTGAAAGGAGCTCATGGTAGAGTTAGTTTTTTCTTTCATGTCAAATCTGTTTTTTGAACCACCAATTCTGGCCCAGACAGATGAACTGGCACCCTGTGAACTGACACAAGTTCTGGCAGGACAATCACTATCTGGTGCATCATTAGATATGGGCTCAGTTTCATCAATCTTGGATGACTGAAGAGTTAGGAGTGCATTTGAAGACTCCAGACCACTATCATTCCAAAGTGGTTGGTCAGGATCATAAAGATCAGCTCCGCTTGGGCAACCAGGACCAGTATATGCACCATCCAAGGGCAAACCATCATCACTGACTACAGACTTGCTAATTTTTCCAGGTATACATTTGTTGTTCATTGAAGTAGTTGAAGCATTTACTGAATGTAAAGATCCAGATCCAGCAGGTGCTCCAATTAGGTGTGCACTTGGAAGTGAAACGGGAAGGTTAAACTGTGAAAGACTCTGAATTGTGACAACAAATTGATTAGTGAATTTAACAATAAATCAAAACCAATAAAAAGGAAAGTATGCATCATTGCATCTAAGCTGAACTAACCAACAGTGTATAATTATGATAAGTTGGAAAATCTGGGAAGTACAACATAAGTTAATAAAAAGCATGCAATAAATATTAATATTAAATAATTGAAAATTCTATGAAATGCAAGCTCATGACATGAAAACCCAATAGTTTTATGAAAACATTCTATAAAAAAATGTGCAAACATGACAAGTTCAAGAAGGAATATGCACATAAGCAAAGAAAAAAAATACATATCTAATTTTCCAAAAGCAATGCCTCAAACAGACAGCAGGAAGGAACATTTTCATAAAGAATATCATTTCATCAAATTCCCCCCTGCCCCCTCCCTATAGAGATACTATCATGCATAATTTTATTCTTTATACAAATAAAACTTGAGGAATGATACCAACTTGATAGGAAGAGCAATCTTTTAAAATTATGAAACTAATTATAAATCATGTAACTTCTGTTAGCTAAACAAGAAATATCGTTAGGAAAAAAAAGGTACCTGAACATCTTCAATGACAATCCGGTTAACACCATGTTCCATAGGGCACATGTCCCCTCTCAAACAAAATCCACGTTCCTCAAAATCTCTACACCGTTGGCGAGTAATATTCACATTCAAAGATGAATTAATAGGTTGTCTGAGTGTTCCTTGTAAACCCATTGGATGAAGCATATCTAGGCCACCATTGGGCACTGCTGGAACTAAACCATATGTATTCCAGGATACATTTTGTGCATTTGAAACATTGGGTAACCCGCGTCCAGTATAAAGGCTTGGAGGAATGGACCCTGGCTGAACCATTTGTGAAGCAACATCCATTGAGCCAAACCTAGATTCACGTTGATTCCAAAAACCAGATTCCCTGCCTCTTCCCCTGCCAGCACCAGGATCTCCAGTAAAAGATTGGTTTGCCCGTAGTCTTTGATTCATATCCAATGGTGTTCGAGGCACTGAAGTCAAGCCAGGGCGCCTTCTATCAAACTTGGAGTATAATTCTTTATCTGTGGTGGCATCACTGTAAGTTTTCAGTGGTTCAAAAGCTTGAGGTTCATTTTCCCTGAAAGGATGCCTATTACCAAAAGTTTTGTTACGCTTTCTGAATGGCCTACTAATAACAGGATCTGAAACATCTCTCTCCAAAGATTGAGAACGTGCTTCCCGCCTTCGATGTTTATGATTCCTATCATCGTCATCGTCATCACTCACTTCCTTTTCCTCAGGGTCACTGATGCAATCAGATGGTGCAACAGACTCTGGTTTTGGAGATGAAACTTTCAGTTCCATTAATTCTCTTATAATGCAAGATTTACAGTATCTTCTTCCAAACCCCAACTAGGAACGAAAAGCCAGCTTATGCTGTCTGAAACAGGTCCAGAAATACAAAGGGCCTACAGCAATAGAAAATATAGGAGATCCAATATGAGATAATATGATTTCATAATCTATATATAAAGAATTAGCACTCTTACCCATAGTAAATGCACAATGCACTGGCTACTAATATGTGTTATGCTTGCTTTTAATGGCCAGTTTTCCTAGTCATGTATAGTTAAACTCAGTTGCAAGGAATGTGAAGAATGGTCAAATTGCAAATCTCAATTAACTAAAAGCAGAGACAAATTGTGATGAAAGATATTCTGAATTTCCACAACCTAACAAGCAATAAAGTCAAACAGATGCATGAGAATAAAACTAAATGATATGAAATCCACAATCTTCCGTTCCAATTTTAGGGAGTAAGAAATTCTTACAAAGTATGTGAAATGCTTACAAAGTCTTAAGCAATAAATAAGAATTTGGCATGTCCCTACAGTACCTAGTATGTGAACCACGCAGCATTTATGCAAAATAAGAGGACAAAATATCAATAATTACTTGTAATCACTCAAAAACAAACTGTGGTTGGCTCATTAAATAACAAGAAAATTATCCAAGTTTTGTGGACACCTCCAAAGACTCCAAAAAACCAACCATAAATGTAGCAGCTGATTCCAAATCAGAACAATAGAGCACAATCACATTAGGTTGCCCATAAAAGTATGCAAAAGATCTCCAGCTACCCAACATCGTCATCTACAACAATAATTTCACCACACTAAGCTAAAACCATCCAAACCCAAACTCACCAACAGCTCAAAGCTGCTGGTCAAATCACAAATGAACCCTCAGCAATCCAGAAAATTACAAAAAAACTAATAAAAAAAATCCACTTAATAGCTAATACAAAAGATCTCCCACTATCCTTTGCCCTAACCACGATTGTCGCTCACAACATTTTCTCCCCCTTTGAATCGCCGAATAACAACCACTACATACACTGTGCGTCTACCACGCGAGAGGGTTATGCCAATAGCGACGAAGAAAACCACCGAAATTACAAATCCCTTTCACAACACAAAAATTCACTGAAAAAGAAGGAGGAAGCAATCGCGTGTGTGTGTAGCTATTTCATCCATTTCTTCAATTAAGATAAGAGAGAGGCAAATTCGTTCGAACAAAAGCAATTATCATATCCACATAATTAGACAGAGAGGGAGAGAACCTGAGATAGAAGGAGTCGTGAAACCACGCGCGACGGTGGCCGACGGCGATTGGACGGAGGAGCTGAGAGTGAGAGCGTGGTGCGTGCGCCTCTCTGTCTTGAGACTTTGTAAGAGAGAGAGAGAGAGAGGTTGGAGGAGAGGAAACAAACACACACCTTAATCAAATCAATTCCTTTCTTCTTCTTTTTTCTTTTATTATTATTATTATTTCTCCTTCTTTGCTTCCCCTTTTTGCATACCAAAACGTTCTAAATGTAAATTCATATTTCATACTATGTTCATAAACCTGAAAATAAATCACAGTGTTACAGAAATATTAGAAGGACAATTAAGTTAATAGTAAATTATCTATAATCTAGAGTAAACATTTCATTCTAACAATACCTTATTTAATTTACACTTTTTCATATAATTTTATTAAAATTCAATTGAAATATATTAATAATGTTTTATACTGTGATCTAATTTTAAAGTATTCCACCAGTGTAAATTATACATTTAAAAATTATATTCAGGATATATTTTAATTTATTAATAATGTATTAAAACTAAACTCAGTTTATTAAAAACAAAATTTAAATACAGTATTAAAGATACAATTGTGTTGTTCTCTTATTATAATTTGAGTTTTAATTTTTAGTAGTTAAAGTTTTATACCAATATTAAAGGGAGCATGTATTATAAAGATAAAATTTTAATTTTAATTAAAAAATAGCATACCATAGTTTTGTCCTTTTATTAAAAAACACCAATAAAGATTTATTAGTTTATCACTTCTAGTGAAATATAAAATATTCAGTCATACTCTAATTATAAAAAATAAGAGATACACCAAAATTATTTAAAAGGTTGTTCCCACGTAAAAGTATGTAATAGGTTAATGACAAAAATAATAGCATAATCTCATCACATGATTAAAAGTTATAGTAAAAACCATCAGTTATGTTAAACGTGTTATGATAACTTTGTTTTTCGTTTAAAGCTTATGATATGTTTGTATTTTAACGATCAAATAATGCATTTGATGCAAAAGTCAGAGATTAGATTATCCCTAAAATTCATTTACAAGACAAAATACACACACATAACCATTTAGGTAGTATAGTATATTTTATACCAAAATTAGTTAAGGCTGTTCCCACATAAATTCATGTAGTATAAACAAGTTAATGAACAAACTTATAGCACAATCTTATCGCATGATTAAATAATAAAACTGTAACTTTTGCATGTATACTATTCTAGTTCGTTATTATTTATGAACGAAAGACAAATGCAAAATTCAAGCACTCACATGTACTCGCCATTTTTTTCTTACTTGGCGTTCTTTTGAATCATAGTAATGGCATTGTAAAGATTTCTATAATTTTCTTATTAAAAAATAATAAAGAAACTATAGATATCTTATAATTTCTTTATTATTCGGTAAACTACCCAGGTGTTATAAGAATTTTTTAAATATATTTAAAAAAAAATAGTTCTAAATTACTAAATGTAATTAGACAAAATCTCATCACTAATCTAATAGGTTTAAGTTAGAAAAGAAGAGAATTAAATAACCATTAAAACTCAACTCAAATGTTGCACTTGCGGTGCAGTATTTTTCTTTCTTTTCATATATTTTTCTTCACTTCTATTTGAAGAATAAAGTTTTTATCTCTCCTATTAACGTATAAATTAATAATTTAAGTATTATAATATTTGGTCACACTCTAATTATAAAAAATAGAGAGATATATCAAAACTAATTATGAATTGTTTCCACGTAAAAATACATGTAATATAAATAGATTAATAGCAAAAATTATATCACAATCTCATTGCATAATTAATAGTTAAAATCATTCGATTATATTACACGTGTCATTTCATGAGAAGTTCATTTCTCATTTAAAACTTATGGCACATATCTATTTTAATGACAAAACCATGACATTTTATTTTGCTGAAATTTGTATAACTTTTGTCTTTTTAACCCACGACTTTCGCATGTATATTGTTCTAGTTTGTTATTATTTATTTACAATAAACGCATCGTACTGTTCTCATTATTATTCGAGCACTCATACATACTCTATTTTCTTGCCACTCAACATTCTATTGAATCATCAACCATAGTAATGACATAGCATTAAATTATATATACAATTTCTTATTAAAATATATTAAAAAATTATAGATACCTTATAATTTCTTTATTATTTGATAAAATACTCATGCGTTACATGAATTTGTTCAAATACATTTAAGAAAACACAGATCTAGATGGCTAAAATGAAATAGGAAAAATTCCCAACACTAGTTCAATAAGTTTGAGATAGGAAAATAAAATAAAATAAATAAATAACAATTAAAACTCAACTCTAATGATCCTCTAATAATGCGTTTAATGCAAAGGTCACAATTAGAGTGAGAGGGTGAATTGACTGAATTACCCCTAAAATCCATTTACAAGACAGAATACCTCATGGCGAATCATACTAACTCATACGAATGTAGATGAACCATATATCGTATTGGCCATCTGCATGTGTACGTTTGCTTGCTGCTTGAGTTATTGTAACCGTTCTAGTTTTCTCGCTTCTTCACTTCACAGAAGAAAGGATCAATGACAAAATCTGAGCATATCATCTACCTGACGTATATATATGCTATCCCCAAAAAGGAGGCAAGGAACAGGCATGAGACCAAGCCACCCCAGAGTACCACAACAAACATTTGGTAAATTAATTATAGACCCTTGCAGCTCCATGTCAATTAATCAACTCAAAATCAGATTTTAAGCCAAACCAGGGTTGAGGCTCAACAATCATTCACAACTTAGCCATCAATATCAAGATCAGGATCCAAAACATTGCAGACAGCACAACAGTTTCTCCTTCCCCAATGTCCAAAAGTCTTCATGGCCTAACTATAAATAATTACTTGCAGAGAAGAAGGATATGCATTGAAGATGAAAACAAAAACATCAAGATAATAAACTCCTCGCATGAATTGCTTGTCCAACTAACTAATAGTACATGTCAACATCGATGAAATAAAATATGAATACAAAGTGCCCAGCATGGTAGGTGAACAACACCTACATAGAGGTAAGTAGCACTGTTCCATGCCCAAAGGGATTCCAACCAGTTCCAATAGTCACCAACATTAATACCATAAGAATCTTCAAATGCACCTTTCAGTAAAACAAATGCAACTGGAGGAAACCCAATAAGACCTAAAGCAAGATTGCAAGTGGCTCTTAGTAAGGTTCTCCAGCTCCTGCCTTGAGTATCAAGCTTCAATGGTCTAGCCATCAGACAAATTGGGACAATAAATAAAGCCCCAATTTCTGCTGTGGCAAAGTTAATGACGGACATGAGTGACAAACCAATGAAAGTAGTTGATATTGTTACAGACTTTAAGCTAGTCCATTCGCTTTTTTCAAATTGAGATGCAGAACCCAATATCAAGTACAAAATTAGGAGGCTAAACCCTGATAGCAAACCCCACAACATAAAGTTTGTTGTTGGAGTAGTATTGGGTATTCGACAAAGGAAATAAGGGAGTAAGGAGACAATAACACCCCATAAATGAATGACCAAAACCTTTCTAGCTGAATTCAACCATTTCCAAGACTTACGGCTAGCATCAACTTCAAAGGCAGATGTGGCTTGGGGAGTGCATTTGCTAGCATCAGCATGGAGATATGCTGCAACTATTGGAAGTGGTGCAACAAGTAACGCGAATGGAATCATGTAAACTCCAACTGACACAAACTTACTAGGGGATGTCAAGAGGTATAAAAAGAATGACTGATGAAACTTCTCAAGAAGATTGTTTATTGAGCGTATAACTCCTTCAACTAACCTGCAACAAGTATGAAACACTTTGCTCATGGTGTTCAAACAAAGAGAAAAATATTCTGACTATGTACGTTAATACAAGGTACATAAGCAGTAACAAGAAAACTCATAAAATGTTAAAGCCAAGCTGCATTCTATAGAATAAAAAGCTTTGCCTGCAACAAAAAGGATACAAACTCACTACTCAATGAAATTTTTCATACTAAAATTTCATGCACAAGTAGATATAATAAATCTCTAATAACTGAGACTGAAACGAGCCTTCAACTACCTAGATTTTTTCTAACTTTCTTTGGTTTATAAAAACAGGTACAATATGTTCATATTTTTGCAATTTCTTGATAGTAAATGGAAAACATAAACAGGACATCACCATATAATTAAGAATTAAAAGTTGTAAAACTTCTGCAAAAATTCGTCTGAGCGTGACATACCTTCCACCACGAAGAATAAATTCATTACGCCTGATCATTTTGGTAAGAGAAACTTTTGGTGAAATTTCCAGAGTGATCGCATCAACTTGATAATCACGGAAGGCACCATGAGGACCAGTAGGAACACCCAAACCCTGAGAGGAATAATACACAGATAAATGTATATAAAGTGGTCACAGGGAATCAAGCATATGATATACACATTTTAGATGGGGTAAAAGAAAAACACCTGGTAGTACAATGAACTTGCCAGAGTAGCAGCACCCTCAACATACTCAGTAGCAGGAATACCAAACTTCCACTGAGGATTTAAACTTCTAGCAATTTGTCCTAGGGATTCAAATATAACACCCAGAGTATTGAGCCACCTGGAGCTAACAAGAGACCACATCTTTTTCACTTTTATCCGCAACCCTTGTTTATGGACTGCCAGATAATTTACAATATTGATGAGGTCGAGGTTTGGCATCTGACCATTGGACGCCTCCGCATAAATATTAAGACTGTCTTCATAATGGTTACCTTGGTCAGCTACTTTAATTACAAGAGCTGCAGCCATAGTTCCAGCACGTCTAAAACCACCATATAACTTTCCATCCAAATAAAGACTCTGTCCAAGTTCATAAAAAATGTTGCTTCCATTACATGTTTCACTATTAACCATCTCAACTCCACGGAAAACAGGGGCTTGATATTCCCTTAGCCAAGCAGCCACAGCAGAATATTCTCCATACTGTGAATCAGCCACAAGCCATACGATATCCTTGGCAAGCCAAGTAACCCGCGAAAGCAGCGAGACCACTGAGTAAGCAATGCCCAAAGAGAAAGCCTCGCCCAGACCAACTTTCTTCGGATTGTAAGGTGTCACCAAAACAATAGCTTCCTTGCCATCCCCGCGCGGAGCTCTGATAATTCCAACAGTGTTGATCCCAAACGACGAACAAGTAGCATTTTCTGAAATTATACCTGAATCAGCACTGGTAAAGAAGTGCAGTGGATGAAAATGATTCAACTGAGGGTAGAACTTGTGAAAGGTAACTTCAGCATCCAAGGCCGACATATACTGTGCAATAAGTTTTTGACTTTCGCTGCATCAAAACACAGAGCAAACATTCTTATCCCATTTCTTCTTCCTAGAGAATCTACATAAAATCTCTTACGACAACAAGAAGGAAGAAAGTCCTTACATGGGTGAGGCCCCCAAATTAGTTAAGTCCTTGACAAATTTAGTTGCGTCCGAGGCATGATGAGTAGAGAGCATGTTGTTTGCAGAACCTGTGGAATCAAGCAACAATGAGAATCAGCAAATCAAAGAGGAAAATGTTGATAGAAAATTGGAAATGGAAGTGACCTGGCATGAGGGCATTTTCGGAAATGTAGGTGTTCTTGGCAAGGACAGGGAGAAGAAGAAGAGCCACCACCCCTGCCACAAAACAAACCACACTGGAAAGGAAAAATTTCAATCAAATTCAAATCAATCAATCATCATCACAATAACAACAACAACGATGATGATGATGATGATGAGAAGACTACCTCACAATGTTGCTGTGAGAGACAAGGAAAATCCCTAAGCGTACAATTGGGCGCGCTCTGGGTTTTGCACTATTGCTCTCACACTCCCCCATGTTTTCCCTTTCTTTCTGATTCACAAATCACAGTGTGTGTGCGTGTTAACATCAACAATTTTGAGATTGGATTGTTAAAAGGAGTACCAAACTGTGATTGTAAAAATTAAAGTGTTCAATGAAGAAGCATTTTGCAATCACAATAACACCTACAAAATCAAAATCAACAAAATGAAAGTAGCTGAGTAGGTTGTGATTCGGCCCCAAATGCGAACGGCGGCGACGGATCTCTCTTCCGGTTCTGATTTGGGTTCGATTTGGGCATTTACTTTCCTTTTTTCCCTCCCTCTTTCCTATTCATCAAAACTACGTCGTTTTTATGCTCAATCTCGAGGAGAAGAACAGAAGAGTATTGTTTGAATGGTGTGTTTGATTTATTGCATCTTAATTATCAGAATTTTATCAATATTGTTAAGAAATTAATACGCTTTGAGATGGGATAATCTAAAGCATAATTAACTGATATAAACGGCAAAATTCTTTTTTTAAATATAAAAAAATATTATTATAAAATTAATAAATTACAAGAACAATGTATATATTTGACAATTTTTTTAAAAATTTAATTAGTGAATCATACAATAAATTATGGTAATTTTTATTTAATAAAATTTGTATCATTCTTTCTCTAATTTTACCATATTATATGGATAATATGAGATAATTCAAATTTTATATATATATATATATTCTTAACATTAGTTCTAAGGGTTGACTTTAAGTAATTAAAAGTAATAATTTTTTTATTAAAAAAATACATTTATTGTGAACGTGTTGTAAATGTTTTTTTTTTTATAAAATTATCATGTTATTAGTTATTTAAACTCAACTTTAAGTAAATATTTTTTTTACTTATTTTTAAATCAACAAGTTAAATTATATTGTATATGATATAATATGTTAGAATGAGAGTGAGACAATTCTAATCATACTTACTTAATAAGTCTCAGTAGGTATTTTTTTTTATATTAAAACTGTGTATTTATTTCAACAGTATGACTATATTATGTTGGTTAACAACATCAAAGGATTTAAATCCTTACAAATGTTTTTTCACCCATCTTTTGATTTGACAACTTTATTTCTAAAGCAATGACCATTGTCAACAATATAAGTTTTCAACACCTTTAGTGATGTCATTCTTGGCAGTTTGATATTTAATTAATAAAATTTAACAAAATATAATTAATGTTAGCAGTCGTATTATCAATTTTGTTTAAATTTCTCTATTAATCTTATTAACGGTTACTAAAGAGTGGGTATTGCTTTTATTTTTCTTTAATATTTTTTACTCAAAATTTGGATGTTATAAATATATTATATGAACCCTAATAAATATGCTTGCTATGCTTGTCAACGTCGAAACATTTTCTCCTCCTTAATTTTATTTGTTTTTAAATACATACTTAAAATATATTTAAATTTAATGTTATTTTTTTAATTTTATAATTTAACTAAAATTAGATACAATATATCCACAAATCAATTTGACTAGATTTGCATGTATCAGATTTAATCCAGTCAGATTCAAATCCAAATAAATAGCAACCAACATAAATCTGACCCAACCCATCCTATGTACATCCTCAGTATGCAAAGCTTGGACCATTTACATCGAAATTAACTAATTACTACCATTTTGCATGTGTTTGTATACACTTCAGAATCAACTTTGTTTAAAGCAAAAATATATCACTGCCATTTAACTTCCTTAGGACTTCCTTGTCTTAAAAATCATGGCATGCCATCTTATATCACGAATAGATTAACCATTACAAAACGTGTATAAAGAATCATGCCAGAACTTGAGCTGTTGAAAGTAATTTTCGAAATCCACTTCTATTTATTGTGAATATACAGAACAAGATCAAGATAGTCACAAATAGGAGCCAAACAAGAAAGCAAACCAGTTTCAACTTCCCAAGAAACAAGAATAGAGGGTAAAACAAAGAAGACTCAAAATATCCAATTTGGCAAAATCCAACCAACCACAAAGCCTCCATTCCTCATAAACCTTGATCATGGAACAAGTGATTCTTCTATACATAGCTCAGTTAACCATGTCGTGCTACCTACCAAACCAACCTCGTGCTGGTGGTTGGATTTCACTATCATTCATAAGCTTATCCAGCACTGCATTTAGGTCAACTGATTGACCGTTCTCTGTCAGTTTCCGAACTGTTGCCCTCACATGGTCTCTAGGGAATCCCATAGTAGCAACTTTGTCAACTACATCGTCAATAGAAACCCTGCTTCCAGTTCCCGCAGAACCTGAGCCACCACTCACTGCAGATGCAGTAGGTATTGCTTGTGGGAGCACCCGAGCAGTTGGGAGTTGAGGGTAACCACTTCCACCACTTGGAGCCACTGAAGCAGTAGGTAGTTGTTGTGGTTTTAGCGCCGAAGAGCCACCATACTGAGGTGGTCCACCATATCGATATGGCTCTGCGGGGGCAGATAATGTACCATATCCAGAAGAATAACCTGAACCGGATCTGCTCGATGGTTGTTCATAGGTGTGGGGTGGTGTGCCATAAAACGGTTGGGAAGGAGGAGGGCCACTGGGTGACTGGGATGGTGGCTGACGAGCATTGGGAGGATAATTCTGAGGAGGAACATAAGGTGGTTCCTCCACATGGTGACCCAGTGAAGAGGGTGGTAGTTGAGGCGGATTCATGGGGGGAAGTGATGGCTGCTGTTGAGGTAGATGAGGAGCTGGCTGAGGGTACTGGGGATGAGGGGTTTGCTGATATTGTTGTTGATGGGGGGGTGCCCCGGGCTGAGGATGTGGCTGTTGAGCTAAGGGCAGTTGGTATTGCTGATTTGGGGTTTCCTGAGATGGAACGGGTGGTGGGAAGTATTGATCTCTCTGATGAGCAGCTAGGATTTGGTTCTGAGGGAATTGATTTGGAGGTTGAACTGGCGGTGGCAAACCTTGTTGTGGAGGGGGTTGTGGGGGTGCATTAGGGGGAGGAACAACAGGAATTGATTGTGGAAGATTAGCTGGAGCAGGAACCTGTTGTTGAGATTGCAGGGGAGCAGATGCAGCTTGCTGCGTCGACTCTGTAATTACACTAGTTTGCATTTCTGATTGCTGTTCCGTCTTGGACACTTGTAGCTTTGCCAGTTGCAGCTGAGCTTGCACTATATCTTGCTTGTCCTTGATGGTCTGCACCCCTGATTGCACCTGTAAATTTTGTGTGTAAAACAGAAGAGTAAAAAAAGGAAAGAAACCAAATTAAGGGACCTGTGACTATACCGAGAGATTGATATGATATCTGGGTGTTAATAAAAAAATTGTTTAAGTCAAATTAAATGATTGAACTTAATAATAGTTTATAAGATACAACTATTTATGGTGCTAAATAATTAATTATATCTTTTGCTTGGATTAACTTCTGGGAATCTTATATTATATATATACAACAAATATTTACATTATTAAAAAGGGATCAAGTCTAACTCACTCTTACATGTTCCCTCGAGTGTGGAAGACTATCCAAAGCTTATGAGAAATATTTTGGCCATACTCTTAGACAATATGAGACATCTTAACACACTTCTCTCACACCCAAAACTAGATACTAGTGTGTGAAGTTTGCAAACTAGATATTTGTAAGTGATTCAATGTTAAGACTGGATAAACTCTAATGGCATATTAGCAGTGGACCGTGTCTAACTCACCCTTTAAAATTAATTCAAAGGAGAAGGACTATCCAAGTTTTATGAGGAATATTTTGGCTATATTTCAAGACAATGTACGATATCTTAACATACACCAACCATAAAACTTCACTCAACATACAAATTGTTGTTGACTATTAAGATTGGGGGGGGGGGGGCGTAAGGGAATGTGGTAGATAAAATACCTCTTGAAGAATATTCTCCAGCTGCCTCAATTTTCCATCAGTGCTACCATGGTTATTTCCAACAGATACCTTCAAATCATCCACAGAATTTTCAAGATGGTGGGTTCTGGTTTCTAGTTGTGTTAACCGTGCACTAACACCTTCCAGAACATGAAGCATAGTTTCCATATGGTTCTTCATGGTGCGATCAATCTCAGACAACATTGTAGCATCAAAAGCATTCCGGTCCTTTTCTACAATGACCTTTGCAGGTTCAATAGAATCCAGAGAACCATAGTTCTGCCGAAATAAGATGAATGCTTAATATTCATGCAAAAAAAAAAAAAAAAACACTACAAGATGGCACACCAACTTATTATCACCTCCTACAGAACACTACATATGATCACCCAATTATTCAAATACATGAAAGCTTGATGCAATTGAGAACATAATACGAATTAGAGAGGTAAATGATAAATAAATAACCAAACAGTACCAGCTAACTCCTACTACTCTCAGAACAACATTTGGAACGCAGACATTAAGACAAGTATCTTAATAGTGTCAGTATTTTACACACACTAAAAAATAAATCTTTAGAACATGAAGCTCCAACTTGCCACACCAAGAGCTACAGAATTTTATGGTCAAACACTCAATCTGAAGAATAGCTATTAGGTACTTGGTAGAAACCACGAAGAGGCAGGGTGTAACTTTCAATGCTGAACCTCCCAGATTCAACAAACTTACATTCCATCTTCTTTAAGCACATGTAAATATGATGCATTCAAATATTCATAAATTTAAAAATAGCAATCAATAATCCAATTTAAAAAATAGGAAAAAAGTATTTATTATATTGAAAACACAGAAAAGTATCTAAATGATTGCATTTTAATGTAATTTAATTTAACATATTTGATGGGCACACCCCATAATCAAAACCTAAAGTGAATTAGTAATACACATATACCCATTCCTCCGACCATTGAAAACAATTAGCAATCACGAGTCAATAACCAAACAAGGATTAACAATCAATCTTAACTCTAATTAACTTAATACACATGATGATTAATAATATAAAAAAAAAACAAATACCCAGATGAGGAAAAGAGGTAAAGATGACAAATTTGGGTGAAAGGGTAAGTGAGAATGTTACTTTAACAATGGGAGGAGAAGAATTGGAGTTAGAATCGGAGTTCCAAGCGCGAGAAAATGCAGCAGCGAAATTGGGGGCAGAATCGTAATTGGAAGCGGAGAGTGGGCGAATCGGTTGGAAATCGTAACTGGGAACGATGTCATCTTTGCTGATCCCATTGCCACGCGCTTCATCCTCGTCTTCTTGGAGATGACGATGATGTTGGTGTTCTTCTTCTTGGTCGTCTTGTTGGGGTTTCATGAGGTCGATGAATTCCTTACTCTGCGTCGTAGATCCGTGAGTGAGATCCATTATCTGCTTGTCCATAAACGGCGTCGTATTCATCGATACGATACCCAGAAAAACCTTGCAACGCAAACGCAATGGTTTTGTGGTCTCCTTAGCATATAAGAAAACCTCTTCAACAACACTATTCTTCTTCTTCTTCCACTTTCTCGTCCTATTATAAAATCTTCTTTTCTGTTCTTCTTTATTGCTAATATCTTATCAATTCTTTTATTGCCTTCTCATCAACAAGTTTAATTTTTTATAAATACTTTTTATGTTTTAAATATAATTTTATTCTTATTTTTAATATATTTATTTATTTTAATTTTAAAATGTTTAATATTTTCACATTATCACATTTATAATATAGACAATGTTTTGTTTGTATAATTTTTTAAAAATTGTTAATAAATAACTTTTTGAATTATATCTATTTATGAATTAGAGTACTAGTATTGTGAATACGAGTAATATTTATCAATCAATTTGATCCAATGTAAACTGAAAAAAATAAACTAAAATTTGAATAAACTGAAAATCAAACAAATCATAAACTATAAAAAAATATTAAATTGAATTTTGAATCTCATTTAAAAAAATTAATCCAATTTAATCTAATCCAAACTAAATTTATATGTATATATATATATATATATATATAACTTTATTTATAAAATTAATGTCTCACCTATACTTTTAAATACTTAGATTTCAATCTCTCGCATTCCATTTTTTTTATCCTTAATTCTCAATCTCTTAATTTGTAAGACCCATTAGTAGCCTTTCCTCAAATAAACAAAAGTCAATTTCACTTTCAATCTTCATATTTCACTCTTTACATAATTATATTTTTAGAATTTTTAACTATTCACTTTTAAAAAAATATATTTAAAATTGATTTATCACTTTAAAATTTTGATTAATAATTAATTCAATATAATTTAATTACAATGTATCACCAATTTGTATAGATTCGAACATAATATAGAATTTTATTTATTTAAATGTTTTATATATCTTCCTTTTAATAATTATGTTTTTTTATAATTATTAGATAGAAATTTACAGTAAAAAATTAATTCAAATTAGTAAACAATATACAAATTAAATATAAGAAATTAAAATTAATATAACAAAATAGGTTTTGGGGGGGTTAGTGATACAAGTATCTAAGGGATGTTTACTCCTCTTTTCTTTTTGAGAGATTGGGTAGGCAATTCATTTGTGTCCTTCTTCTTTGAAAAGGGTTTTATGGGCTGAAAAGGCAAGTAGATTATGACCATTCAACCAAGAGTTAGACATAGAGTCCCAAAAGAACTAGTGTTAGGCCCAAAATAAAATAAAAAAATGATGAAATAAAGATTAACATATAATTAATGTCATTTAAAAAATTGAATTACTAGTGATTATCTATAAAATAAAGATACAATTAATAAAGCAAGATCCAATTATGTTATTCATTTTAAGTATCTTAGGGTTCAATTGCAGCTAATAGAAGTCACACAAACCCACTTAACGAAGTTTGCGATCATCAAATAGCCAAATTGAAAAAAAATCTGCAAAAGCATGATTCAGGATTCAGGTGGAAGATCCTATTGCAACACAGACGACTTTTAAGAATATATCGCCGAGGACACTAATTTGCAAATAGTATATATTATTGTTTTTTATTTTATTTATAAAAGAAATAACTACGAATAATTTTTATCCAATTTATAAGAAATAAAAATATATCCTATTGCAACACAGAAGCTATTTTTTTTATTTCCATGTAACAATTTGAATTCAATTAATTTCTGAAGTTAAATTCAACCATTTAGCCAGGATTACTCGTTTTCAAAGTGAAAATTGGTTAATACTGGCAGTATCGCTAATCATTGAAGGAGAAACAAAGGTACAGTTAAAAAGAAATTTATTGGATAAAAAACGACACTTGCTCTTGACACAATTATGAGATCATTCTTGTTACTTCCCTCTGCACTGAGGGGAAAACTACAAAAGCAAGATATCAAACATGCAAACAAGGGATACTAAGCCCCTTAACATCATTCACTATGGACAATAGCTAAAAAATAATCATATAACAAAGAAAAGAAAAAAAAAAATAGTTACAACCCTGCTCAGAATACGTACTGAACAGTGGATAATTTTGAAGAACCAGGCCATGGTACTTGAATTACAACCATAGACCCTTCATAATCAAAATCAACTTCTTTCCCATCAATTCTACAAGTGGTTGGTCTCTCTGAGGCAAAGACCCTCATCTCCCCAGTGCCCCTTACTCCTACTTCAACCAAATCATGAGCCTCATCAAAAGCCAAGGATTGCACTGCCCCACCAGTGTTTAGCATATTCACCAAACCAATAGGAGCAAACTGCAAGGATTTTCCAAGCAACACAGTCACAGGGGAAACTGTTATAAGCTCGAAATTGAATGGCTCAAAGGAAATCTCTTCATTGTCAGATGGTGATGAAAGGACAAGTTTCTTGGCTTGGCTGAAATACATGGCAAAAACTTGCACTCCTTCAATGGAAATTGGGTTCTTGCCACTGATCCACTCAATGTCTTTGGGATTGGTCTTGGTTGATACCTTATGAGAAAACTCAGCAGCACATTTGTTGGACCTGATCTCACGAAACCAGCCTCCTCCTTGGCAGTTAAACACCCCAAGAACTCCAGTGTACTGTATCAAAAAGCAAAATCACAACCCTGTTAGGTTCTACCACAATTTGATCATTTGTCTTAGTGGTATCTGACACCCATTTGCACACAATTATCTCTATCTAAACCTTGCTTTTTATCTTTTTTTATACATGAATTTTTAAAATACTCTCCGAAAATCCAATAAATAGGACAACAAAAGTTGGCCAATTTTGAAAAATTTTCCATCTGACACTGGTAACTAATCAACTTGCTTTTAAGCAATATCATCATAAAAGCATAGCACATATTTGTAAGTAACTTAGCACATAAAACCAATCATAAAAGCATATCTCGTTTTCTTCATTGTTTAAGATTAAAGGGACCCTATATATATAACACAGTTCCTGCATAAATAATGCTTACCAATGCCATGGATACAGACAGAATGATGCATATGATTGGAAAGGAATCAAAGGGTGAATTGAAATATTGAATTATTATGAGAAGTGAGGAGGGGAATTAAGCTAACCTTGTTAAGGTTCCATATTTTGAGCATTGTTTTGCCATCATGGAGAGGGTCAGAAAAGAGGCAGTCCCGGGTTGGGAGTGCATAGTGCTCACATCTGAGGATGGAGCCATCAGGTAAGACCAGGGTCTTGAGCAGCTCAAAGTTGTGGTTCCCAACAGTGTCACTGATGTAAATGGGGCCACCAGATATGGCTCGAGAGGCTGCATGGAAAGCAGCACAAGGGTGTGTTGACTGAAACATGTCCCAATCTGGGTGGATGAAGTTGCCCATCCACAAGCTGTTGTATGCACAATGCACCATGTGACACCCTTGTAGCCAAAATGTACCATTTGGATCACCATAAGGGTCAGTGCACCAGAAATCATCACCTGTTGCATTTCAATCCAACTCATACATCAAAGGAACTTCCAAATAATAATACGAAAAACAAAGGTTTTGCTAACTTCATTGGCAGTAGCAATGAGTTAGGTCTCACATACCAACACGACCAAGGGATATAGCTTCAGTTCCCAGCAACATGAAATCGTTGCAATGCTCCATGCTGGCAATGACACCGTTGCCCTTGAAGTGTTTTCTCACTGAAGCCGTGAGAGCCTTGTAATATGCTTTGGCCAAATCCACTCGGCCCCCATATTTCTCACACACCAGTTCTAGCAACTGTTTTAGCAATTCAACACATTACATGTAAGCATCTATACAAACAGTACCAAAGAGGAAAAAAAAACAAAAAACACAGGCAACTAATAGAAACAAAGACAACGTAAGCAAAGGTTCATCATATAATTAAGCGTGAGTGTGTGTGTGTGTATATATATATATATACATATACATATATATATATATATATATTTCAAAATGAGAAAAACTAGGAAAAAAAAAAAAAAAGCAGAACTTCAATTTTGACAAGAAATAGATAACGTGCCGACGAAAACAGTGAAAGTGAAAGTTAACAATGACTGTTATGAAAGTCAACATGGCCAAAACAGCCAAAATCTTTTCTCTTTCCGTAACAAAGAATGGAAAAATGTTTTTTCCACCCTTTTTTCTCATATTTATCCTATACTTAACTTCTATGATAAAAAGGAAACTGCCAACATTAACCATTCTCCGAGTTCCTTTTTCCTTTTTTTAACCACAAAATGGTAAATACGAGTAAGAAAACTAAGGTGGGTTCAATTTCTTTAAATTGAAAAATATCTTTAAAAAATAAATTATACTTATAATTACTGATGAAAAAGTCTCGTCTAAGATATAAGGCTATTCAAATACTTTAATTTTCAGGTACAATTTAGTTAACAATTTTAAACGAAAAAAAAAAAAGAAGAAAAAAAGTTGTAATCGTTATATTGACCATAACAATAAAACAAATACGAAAAAGGGTAACTTTGTGGATAAGATGTGACATAAAGGGCAGTGGTCATTTCCGTGTCCTTACTCGTGCCACGTAGCGCACAAAATACCGGTTGTGGTCTTTAATAACAATTAATACCAAAATAGTAACAAAATGAAATAAATAAATAAAAAGACATATTAAATAAAAATAACTGTTTTCTCAAGATACGTCTAAAAACATAATATATAATTTTTTTATTTAAAATTACAAAATTGAATATATGCAATTGAAAAAAGAAAAAGAATATGAAGAATGAATAAAGAACTTACGTGGATGACGTCAACCTTAACCCCATCAATACCAGCATCCTCCAAATGCTTATGAATGCCTTCATACATGTGTTCCACCATCTCCGGCGGAACCAACCCAACCCCATTATTGACGATCTTATCCACAGCCAAATCCTCCATCGTCCCTTCCAAACCCTTAGACAACTTGGGCATCTCCACCACCGATTCAGCCATCCCCTTAACCCCAGGCCTCACCCCTCCCCAATACCCACACAAAGCATGCCACACGTACACATACTCCACTGTCTCGAACCCCTCTTTCAATTCTCTCACAAACCCTTTCATCCCCTTTTCCCCTTTCCAATTCACAAAATCCCTAAATTTCTTATTCTCTTCGTATCTCACTAACCTACACGGCATTTGCTCCCCCGCAATCGTGTGGTTCATCCCTTCTTTCTCCACCGGATCCGCATCGTGGCTGATAGACTGCCACCCGTCGTCGATCAAAACTAACCCCGGAGGACAACCGCCGTCAACTAACCCCTTCACACCCTCCTTAACGCCGTCGGGGTGCACCGTTAAGTAAAACGCGTCCCACGTACACCAACCGAACTTGTCCACGATTCCCGGAGCGGTTTTTTCTTCTAGAAGGTTGAAGGTTCCTAAGTGGGCCCTCACAACCCTCATCGCTTCTTTTACTAAACTAAACGGATCTTCTCCTGCGTGGATGTAAACGACGCTGTCGTATGAGGATCCAACGACGTGGCTCGACCCGCTCTCCACGCACACCTCCACGTTGTCGTTTGGGCCCGGCTGCAACGACGCGCGGAATGGGCCTTCGATGATGGGGATGAAAACCACGTAGGGGCGTGTTTGGGTTGGGCTTGACTGGAGCATGAGGAATTGGGTTTCGGTTTCGAGGTCGCGGCCGTTTGAACCGGTCCAGAGAGTGGTCCACCAAACCTTGAACCGGAAAATGGACATAAAGTTTATGTTTTTCAGTTTGCCTAAGGCTGCCACGTGGCGGCTTTGTGAAGTGCGTTCGTGGAAGCCGAGGAAGCAACCGCTGGTGTTGGTGTAGGTGCATGGAGTTATGGTTATGTTCTCGGGAACTTCCGAGAGGATAACTTGGCCGTTGACTTCTAGGTTTGAGTCAACTATGGTGAATGGGGAAGGGTTGAAGCCGTTCACGTGCTTCGTTACAGATGAAGCTTTGTTTAAGCTTGGAGCCATTTTTGTGATGGTTTGGGGAACTAATAATAGTAAGTGAAGTGTTTGATTTTGTTTGTTTGAAGTTGTCGATTGAAAGATGATGATTTTGTTTTGCAGATGAAGCAACTATGGCAATTTATAGAGAGTGGTAGGAAGTGGGCCCCATCTCCGACGAAGGTGAGGGGAAGCTTCTTTGTTGAGTTTTTTAATTTGAAAAACTAGTCTATCTTATTAATATGCTGATTTATACTCTCTCCTTCCTTTTTAATATGTTACATATTAAGAAAATTATTCAATATTTTTGAATCACTAAATTTTAACATCTAATTTCTTATTTTACTCTTATATTTTTTTATTAAATTATTTTTAAATTAAATTTTGACTATTTCATAACTTATCTAGAATTATTATTATTAATAAATATTTAAAAAAATAGCTATTTATGATATATTTTTTACTCTCTTTTTTAGCAGTATTAAATTTATCTATGAAAATTAGAAAAATCAAGTATATTATTAAGATTTTCTTTTAATTTTTGAAATTTATACAAATTAATTAGTCATTTTATTTATATAAAGAGCAAGAGTATAATAGAAAAAATAACAAATATATTTTTGAAATTCTAATGAGAAAGATAAAAAATAATAATTTTTTTAAAAAAAGAAATAGATAAAAAAGAACAGATGGAGTATAAACTAATTTAAATGGTTCTCCTTTTTAACACCATTTATGTCAGTTTAATTTTATTTATATATAATACTTATTAATTTAGAAAAATAATCAGTATAGAGATATTATTTGATGTTGTTTACTGTTATAAGATGAATTCAGATTCATTGCAGTACACGCGGAAACTGCACTGTACATTTAGACAAAATTTTATATTTTTGCTTAATAAAAAATGTATTAACTTAAACGAAAATATAAAATAATGTTATTGCACACCACAGTTACTGTATTGAATCCAAATCCCTATAAGATGGTTTCTTAAATCTACGGAGTTATGGTAAATGTGAGTCTATTAATATACATATATACTCAAACGTATCAAATATCATTATCAAGCAGTTATGTTTGCAATCACAGATGCAATAAGGTTAGTGAACACGTGAATGACATCTACTATATATATATATATATATATATATATATATATATATATATAATTACAACTTTTATGTTTATGCTTATAAAGTTTTATATTTTCAACCACACTAAATTCATACTAGACATCACCAATCACGTCCATGGTCTATTGATTTCAACGTCAATCAGCACCCATTGGTGTAACAAGTAGCAACCCATGACCCCATTCATCGCTCTCTATGGTTCAGTGAGAAAAATAACCACACGTGTCCATGATTCTTTGTGAAGAATCTCCCAAAGTGACACAACAGAGCATCTGACCAAAATTCAAGGACATTTACAATGCCAAAAAGACATGCATGCAACTTCCTTAGTCACGCACACTACAGTTGCTAGGTGTTGGCACCATTAAGATGTCTCCAAGAGGAGAAAGGACGTGTGGTTCAATGCTTTGTCTATTGTCAAGGATTCTCTGTAATGCGATGACAAATCTATCATGAAAACAACGTTGGACCATATTAGCATGCGCTTTCCTAATGAAATCTATAAAAGTAAGTTGGATTTGCTGCATAATTAACGTGTACACCTATTGATTTTTATTTTTGAAAAAATATTAACCTGTATACGACTTTGTTGAAGTTTTCCAATCTTCAAATCCAACTTAACTAACCCTAAACTTGGTTTCATACCAAGCACGCATATGGTGTAAATACATACGAACTCAAAATGTGTTAATTTCTAGTTTTGTAACACAGTATTCGAATTCAGAGCTTAAATATAGTCGTGACTCTGATTAAATAAAATCTAAGCATAACACTGAATAAATATTTTAAAATATTGTGAATATGGTGACTCCATATCCCATTAATTGTAGGAGGTGTTTTCTATTTCTTTTCTTCATATAGAAAACCTATATCCCGTAATTTCGGGTGTATCAAAAGTGGCGTAGCTTAAAGTTATGGTATAATTTCTTCAAGAAATTTTTTTCCAAAATGGATAAACTTTAAATTTTGGAATACACTTTTTGACCTAGTTTTAGTAATACTTTTTTTTTTAATATTTAGTGTATGTTGGAAATTTTCATTTCTAAACAAGTAATTATTAGTCAAAATTTCTTTAAAATAAACAATTATTTCTAAAAATAATCTATGCAATCATCATGAACGGTCTTTGGGTGATCCATATAAGGATCAAGACCAAACAAAAAGTTGGGTGAGAAAGAAAAAGATTTTAGAATAATAATTAAAAAATTCTTTAATGAAAGCATCATCAGTGGACTCTTCCCTTATGGTAATTTTATTTTCTTTCTTTGTTCTTTCCTTATCAGATTCTGATTTGTACTACTAGCCACTAACCGATTGCCAAGTGGGGTCCTATTTTTTATATTTAATTTATTTTATTGTGTCTTTTGCTATTTTTCTGTGTTTCAGATTTTAAATCAGAGCTCTCTCTTTCTTTTCATTTTTTTATTAGACCCCAAAATCGTTGGCAAAAACTTCGGAGAAGACGTGCACCGACAATTGCCACGTGTATGTACCATGGTCCAGCAAACCGACATTTCATACGCGCAACTAAACACTAAAATATGTTGAAAAAGAAAACCAAAATATAGGTGACACGTGGATAGCTTACATTTATTAAAAATTTGGTCATTATTTTAAAAGCTCTCTTATTACAGAAACATATCAATATTAGTTACATTTTGATTTGAATGTCATATTTTAAATATTTAATTAATTTAAATTCTGATTTGTAAACAAGTAAATATAATTAAAATATGAGTATGAATCATATATTTATTAAAAAGTTTAAAAATGCCTCTCTCTTTTTTTACTTTAAATCTTTGAAATTATGTAATTTTTTTTAAGGAAGATAGATGAGGAGTGTGTTGTGTGAACAAAGAGAAAGGTTGGTAGGAGTGAAGGTTTATGTAATATTTTTAATCAAATCTTTTAATTTTTGTAATATTATACAAACTAAAAAGTTAAATATATTTTTAATACAAATTATAAATTTTAATATAATTAAATATATTGATATTACTAAATATTATAATTTTAGTGAAAAATAATTATAATTTTTATACTGTATAATATTATACAAATTTAAAACTTATTTTTTAAAATAAAATAATATTATATCCACATTCTTACTAACAAAAGACAAAAAGGCACGTGGCTGTGAGAATGAGAGGTTAGTTAGTAGCCGTTGGGGTACGTTGAGAACAGTTGATTAGTCAAGAGTCAAGGTTGAATATAGACTCAATGTTTGAGGCACGTGGCATTCATATATGTGGATAAGATAAATAAAACAGACATGGATAATGCAAATGCCGGTGGAAAAAGGTTAAATGCATCAAAAGACTTGAGAGTTGTTAATTAAAGATCTTTGAAGATAATAATAATAATAATAATAATTTTTACTTTTTATATAAACGAACATTAAATATACTGCATATTTTGAAATAAAAATTATTAATATTTTTTATGTTGTGCAAGTGAAAAAGAATTATTAACAATAATATAACAGAACTCTTATTATAAGTAAGAAGAACAATTGGCAGTTAAAGGGTTTAACAGCGTGTTCCTTTTGTTGCACTCTAATAGATGTAACGTGTCATGAATTGTTAAAGTTGTGTATATTTTAATAATTTAATGTTATAAGGTAACAGTTAGCTTAATTGATGGACGGTGACCAACCAAAAAAATAAAGGAGAATTGTTAAAGATGAAGGAAGCTTCTACCACTTTAAAGATTGTGACACTTTTATAGATGGGGTCCATCATCTTGTCGACAAAGTTCAAGAGAGGTGGTTGCTTTTTCATAACTTTTTTTTTTAATATATATATGAAATTATCCTTCTTTGAATAGACAGAATATATAGGCATTTCTTTTGAAAATTCAAAAGTAATTTACAAAACATTCCAAAATTAATTTTTAAAAAAATCAGAACATTGGAAAATTAGATCTCCAAAATTAATTTCAGAAGGGTTTTGAACACTTTCAAAATATGAATTCTGAAATGCATTAAACACTTTTCTTTCCGAAAACATAATTCTTGAATGTTTTATAAATCACTTATATAGTTAAAATTCCAAGTCATTTATAAAACATTCCAAAATTAAAATTTCAAGAGAGAATTTAATATAAATCCTAGCAGAAAAATTAACTGCTCATTCTATTTAGACAAGGACAACTTTGATATAACAACTTTTTAAAAATGGTGCCATGAGCAAAAAATGGATGATGCAAAGAGCAATGTCCTTTGTTTTTTGGTCCAAGAGTAATTTTCTTATTGAAATTGAAGCACCTTGTATAGCATGTTAAACAGCCCAAACAAGAACTCATCTGGGCCTATCTCATTGTTCCAACAGCAACAGGCCGAAGGGAAGAACCCATGCGATATAAAGGATGCCCAACTTTAAAATGTTCAAATCATAACTATTTTTCAGCAAAAAAATCACAACTTTTTTTGTGTGCTTTGCATTTAATCAAATGAGCCCAAAGTCCATTGACTTATAGTTGAAAAAATAGTGAATAGTGTACGTACATAGATTATGATACCCAATTCCAAGTATGCCTACAACAGACACTGTTCATGCTGGTATTTATATATCTTCATTAGCCAATTAAATTTATTTATATGTTTTTAATGATTGTCCACCAGTTTGTCAATATTATTCTGAAAAAAATTTACTACATGTACAACACAGGCTAAATATACAATTCATTATAGATATCAGTATTATTACCAATACTTCTCAACTCTTGTACTTTATTCCTTTTTTCAGCATCTTATTTGCTTTACTAAGTATAGTTTCTTCTTGTATCAGCCTCTTGCAACGAGTATTTTGTTCTCTTAACTGAAATCTCCCAGAACAGACTGTACAATGAAAGGGCAGAAAAATAATTATCAAGCTATGCTTGTAATACTCAAATAGAAGAAACTCAAGAAGACCACAGTTTCCCGTAAAAATTTTTGAAAGACACCATCATTCTTCAAGAAAACCTTGAAATATACATGAACTTACCATATTAAGAAGCCGTAAAGCAGCGGTTCGAGTAAATTTTCTTGCAAAAAGGAAGCAAGTCGATGGCTTACCCTTGCTGCTGCACCATTCTCTTCGGTATTCAGTTTCATAATAAATATTATCTATTTCCTGCAAAAAATTGATCAAATTTATGTATATTTTCTTTCATCAAAGTAGAGTGCATGCACTTTATATGCTTGTCCTCAGCTAGCTAAATTATGATGGAGAGTTCAGAATCTCTACATTTTCTGTTTTAGTATGGTTTTCAATGGTAAGTAAACTTTTGCATCTCATCTTTTGACACATTCCTTCTGGCTATGCCCAATCTTTTTGAGTTTTATTGCATATTCAGCTCATGATCATAAAGCTGCAACTACTGATAATTGTCCAGTTGAATATTTCGGGGAATGTTTTATGATCACTTGCTGCTATGAACTGGCCATATGCTGATAAGGTATTGACTTCAATTAGTTGGCTAATAGTTATCATAAATAAGATTCAGGGGGATCAGGGCAAGGATCAGAGAATTACTTGGTTATATTTACAAAAACAAAAAATTCAAACCTTGTTCTTTTAAGTCGGTGAATATGCAGATATGTAGTAGGTAATTTATTTAATTGTTTGAATTCATTTTTATGCTCCATTATGCAGTTTCCTATTATTACCACCAGCAGTATTTATCCAACAAATTAGTATTCATTGAGATAAAAAAACCAAGAATATCTTTGGCTGCTGAGGCAAACACCATTTAATGTCAAAGAATCAATAACCTAATGCGATATCTATCCCAGCATGCTTTTGTTTTACATGTATGAAAGTCAATTCAAAAGAGTGACTTTGCAGTGGCAGTTTAGGTCAAACCTTTATAAATTTTAGAAGCATAGGTGTAGCGTCTGAAAACTTGTAAGTCACAGGATGCCATCCCCGACGCTCATGATCCCTGGAGTTGGAAATATCCCAAGAAGTATGTGTCAATGATCTCCGTGTGATTTCTTCTTCAAGGCCCTTTTGCTACATATGGCAAGGCAAACATTTGAAAATGTAAATTGAAACTGATCACATTAAAATATTTGTAAAATTAAACAAGCCTTCTCATAAAGTAGATGTCACAAACTTGCTTCAATTTCTTTAGCTACAAGTTTTTTCACATGAAAAAAGGTGACCATGCAATCATTTTAACATTTGAACATCCAACAACAGTAATGGATAATTTTCATTTAAGTTTTGCATTGGCGTCACCTAAATCATGGAAATTCAGGACCCACACAAAAGTATAGAAACTAGTTTCTTTTAAATGTCAATTTTACTAGCATACAAAATATGCCATACAAATTGTTCAGCCAAAAGTGTGATTAACACGGGATTCAGAGATAGGATCAATACTGTAACTGTTAAATGATGAATCATAACAACATATGCAGGAAGATTTGAGACACACAAAGCCTGTTTCTGAAACTCACTCACAAATGTAGAAAAAGTGTGAAGGAGGAAAAGAAAAGGATACTTACAGCCAGTAATGTCTGAACATAATGTTCATCTGGTATACAGTTATGCACTCTAGACGTGTCAGCAGGCTGCATGAAGGAAGGAATTATACTTAAAAAATTGTTAAGTCATTTGTTCGTATAAGATAGACACCACTTATCAGTTCTAATGAATATTAAATTACTTCACGACATTTTATGTTAGATGATTTCAATAATAAAAAAAAGGTGATCGACTGTAGCTAATATAGTAAAAAGAGGACATCTTTAAATGATTTTTGCACTCATAATTTCATAAAGAGCACTTACAATGTAATGATCCCTCCAAAATTCTGGTAGTGGCTTTTTCTGCATCATTAAATACATAGGTAAGAGAAATGGAGAAGAAAAGAATAAGGCTGTGAGCATGAAAGGGACAAGAAACGATGGTTGGCTTAAAAAATACTAAAAAGAAGATTCCTGAGCGAAAAAATATAGCTTAGATCCTACCCATCTGAGTTTATAATATTTAATGAGCAAGAATGCGCGGAAACCCTGAGGGATGAAAAAAAGAAATAACTCTAGAAAAGAAATAGTCCCTACAACTGACAAATTTGGCACATTTTCTAAGATGACCTCATTGATTTGCACTTTCTTTGTACAAGAGTCCATTTTAAAGGATGTGACACCATTCATAAAAGACAGACTATCAATGGACCATGCCACTCATTCATTACCTTGCAATATAGTTGGAACATTGGAAAGACAGTTTCATCCTCCACTAAAACCTTGGCATGCTTTCTGGTCAGGACAGCCCACTGCAGGAGAATACATGAACAGACAGCAATAAAATGGTATTTTTTGGCAATGCATGTCATGTATCCTAGCTTTTGGAATGAACATAAACTAAGAACTACATAAGACCTTTACCTGAGATCCTTTCCTCCAGTTATAGACAGGAATAACAGGATCCATTTTTGGATTGTAACGACCTTCTTTTGTGTCAGCAAAGCTGCTTACATTTAATGCCAAAATCATCACAATTAAATTGTTGGAAAATAAATAAGAAAGACAAGCAGGTATCCTCACCTGTCGACGAAACTAGTTGATGTTGACATGATGTAGTCATATGTGTAGCTGAAGTTGTATAAAGGAATACAGCTGAAAAGAGATCAATCAACTGAAATATAGTGAGGCAATAGGCTAAAGTATAGAAATATCAATGCCATTTCCTCTATCAAATAATTAAGCAAACTGAGGTAAGACTAAAGGAAATTGTACAAGTGGTGACTAAAGATTAAATAGTCTTAAGTCCAGAAAGTCAGGCAAAAGTATAAGGATTAAAACTTTAAAGCTGTTAACAAATTTATACCCTCACCTATCTGAGAGGAAAACAAAACGGTCATTTAAAGGATCACTAAGCGCATGTCTAAGTAAAATGCGCTCAGCCTCTATCATGCTTGCTTCTCCCCATTCTACCTGGAAATAGTTCATATGGACTAAATATCATGAAGCTGACAGAAATAATAACATGGGATTACGGCTTTATAATTTTTCTGATAAATATGATAAAATTGAATATATAATTCAAAGTTCACTTTTAGAGAAACAGTTAAAAACAGAGGATAGCCTGGATTTTTATTGATGACATGAAAGTTAGTGATCAGAGCTCCTTTCAATCATTTTGAGATATTTAATAAAACAATGATTCACAATGCTCTTTGAGAGTAACATAAAGAGATCAGTTGATAAAATGCAGCATTCAATCCAAAATACTCAATATAATGCTAAATGGCACAAGGACAAAAACTCTTACAAAGAGTAAGGCAGTCTTTTAGGATTGTGAGCCAGCAAGGAAGATACGTTTCTCACATTCCTTATTTCTTTGAACTTGAGAACTCTAAAATCAACTACTTAAAAAGTGCACAACAACAATTCTTATTTGACATTTTAACCACCAATCCTCTCTCTGAAAGAAAAGAAATAGTATGCACTTCTAAACAATTACACCATAAACTATAAATTCTTGAATGAGGACAACTACAGATCTACTCTACAGTATTTAGTTCTATCCCAAGTAAAAGAGTTATACAATTTCACATTTTAGAAGAAATCATGTATTAACTAGGTATCCCACTCTCAATAAAATTTTGCTTCATAGACTAGGTGAAGAACAGAAGAATGTTTTTAATGTATAAATACTTTTAATTTAAATCATCATAATTCATCATTGGGTTAAAGCTACATGTAAGACAGAAGGGGCGTACAGGAAGTCAGAGAACTATGGACAAGTCCCACATTGGGTGAAGGAAAAGAAATGTAACAACATACAAGCTTGGACATGGATTAAGTTATCAACATGAACATAGCATAACAGATCAAATTGGACATGGATGATAAACAAAAACAAATGCGGTTGAAAACAGAGAGAGAAGAGCAACCTGTATGCTATCATTAACTTGCCGATTCAAAAAATATGATGATCTAGTTGTTGCCTTGTTGAGCAGAAATCCTGGCCTTGGGTGAACAAAAATTGAGAATTTGTTATCGCCTCCCTGAAGAAACAGCACAAATGGTTCTGTAAGCATTGCCACACCTCAATAGTAAACTTATGACACTTACACATAAATATGACTTTCCCACCGGATGCAGAGAAAAAGAGAACAAACCTTAACAACTAATTTAGCCAGAGGTAGGTCTATTGGCATCAATTTTAAGAAGTTATGCAAACTTGCATTTATTTTTAAAAGAATTGTTTTGTCAATCAAGGTAAAATAATGGCACTACCGTTACTAGAATCAATATTTTAGAGAAAAGATTTCCCTTCCCTTTCGAATCCTAAATTCCCAATATAGATTGCAACCGCACTAATTAATGATTGCTAAATGCACATCATGATCTCAAAACAGATTATTCAACTTGCCAAATTTACAGCATATGCTATTCTCAACAGCACATTCAAGTAACGTCAAGAGATTAACAGGAATATAGCACCTCCCAAGATTTATTTGTTAGTAATTCAAAGAGTCCTAAGTTCTGAATCTCTAAAGTCTAAATCTCCCATTAATTACAAACTCTACATACACACACACACACATACTAGATAGATATCAATCATAATTTAAAGAGAAAGGAAGGTACCCGAAAGAATGCGTCCCAAACCATTTCCAAAGGAAGCCTATTCCTTGCAATGAAAAGAAACGCAATCTTGGGCACCTGAACCTGAGGTTGAGAAACGAATTGGTGTTGCAATGAAACCAACCCCACTACATGAGTGTACCGTGTCTGCATAAAAAACAAGCTTCCAAAACAAAGCACCACCAAGATCAAAGCAAAAACCTTCTTCTTCCATTTGTGCTGAGATTTCTGCTGAATCACTTTCCGCTTCATATTCATTCCTAACACATTCAGCGACCAAATCACACCATAAAAAACGAAACTTTGACCTTCACTTGACCCTTGTAGCACTCAACAGCAGAAGATCCAACCAGATCCATGCCAACCCAACAATCACAAAACCTCAACCTTGAGAATTTCACTACAAAATTGTGCAAATTCGTGGAAAACTACGCTAACCCAGAAACCAATACAAGCCCACCAATTGACAAGAAAAGAAAAGCAAGGTGCTTGTGATCGTGAGGCTATGAGCAAAAAGCTTTTAGATTCTCATGAATTCTTACATTACAACAGGGTAAAAGAGTGCTGTTTTTCGGAAATGAAAATAAGAAATGAAGAAGAATAAGAGTGGTAGAGTGTTTGTTAAGAGTGAAAGGTTTGGTTTTTAACTGGGGTACGAGAAGTGAGTGAGAAGGGTCTCCTTGTTGCTATATCTCAGTTGGGATGTCGTAAAGTTGCTACTTCTTTTTCAAGTTGCGTGTGAATCAGGTGAACAAAATTTATGTAATTTTTGCTTTATTATTATGATTATGATTGGGATTTGGGAGTTCCGAGAACATGTGAACAATTTTTTCAAAAAAATGAAACCTTTTTCTGCGATATTGAACCTTTCGTGTTTTATTTCTTAATTTTATTTTCAAAGCGTTCAGGAAAGAGGATTTTATATTATGCATGTTTGGAAAAGTTTATAAAAATGACTTATATTTGTATATATAACTTATTTAAATGTTTACTTAATATTTTTTTAAAAATAATGACTTATATCATAAACTCAACTATTAAAATAATTGAATTAAACTGTGTGTAAGCTCTGCAAACAAATTTCTTATTAAAACCAACTATTTTCAATTAATGCCAGCAAATTCTATGCTCTAGACATAATCTCGGTATAAAATACAAGTTTGTTGAGTGAACAATTAACTAAAGTATTATTCAAACACCACTTAGAGACTTTGAGTGCAGTGTCTGTTTTTCAAATTGGAAGGGGTTGAAGAAGGAGGATTCTGCCAACAAATTTGGATTGCGCCACTATGGTTTGGTGGGTTTGTAGCATGGCTTTTTGTGTATGGTGGGTGTTCGTTGGATTGGGTAATAGCAATAGCATCTACCTAATGAAATTGTTTGCAACCAACTAATGATGAGTTATTTGTTGTATTCACTTTGATCAGACCACAAGTATTAACACTTTCCACATGAATCGTCTTATATATACACACGTCTGTTAACTTTTTGTTTTATCAGTTTTCTGGTCCAATTTTATTGTGACATGAGATGTTATAATTAAGTATATATTTAATTTAACTTGTTTTCGATCCCATGTTTTAAAACTTGATGAGTCATTGCTTAATTAATATTGAATTAATCAATCTATAAATAATAACTATTTTATTAAAATATAATATTTTTTAAAATGTTGACTTGAAACTTCAAGTCTTGGAATAAACAATTAATAATAAAAAATTTCTTAAAATAAAAAATCTTTATTATACTTTCATAACTTTAATATAATAAATGGATATTTTTATAATTTTTTTCTATTTATAAATAGTTAAACTCAATTCTTAAGAATGAGTTGAACAGAATATATTAAACAAATATACACAAAATATCATTTAATCACTGTACATTTAATAAAGCACTATTTCATTAGTTTATACCCATATTGAAAAAATAATTAGGCTATTTCTTTTGACGACAACGTGCCAACGTCCAGGGTCAAAGCTGTAGAAAAAGAAAAAGAGAAGGGTATTAGAAGGGAAAGTTTTAAGAAAATGTGTTCTACTCAGCAACTTCTTTGGAAAACCAAACGGAATATTAGGAAACAGAGGAAGAGGAAAGATGACTTTGACCGTTGTTTTTATTTTACAAACAATTATTTCGTGAAATAATATGTAATAAATATCACATAATAATAAATAAACAAAATATTTCACTTAAAATCTTCATTGATTGCCTGTGGGCAAAAACAACTTTAGCCTCAGTAAAATCATCTTTAAATTAAATAACAAATATAAGGAGCAGTATTTTTCCTTTACAAAAATACAAAGGACATCTTCAATGAAAGTTGCTCAACTAAACAGCCATTGCTTAAAAATATTGTGGATCAAGCAACAAATTTAAAAATAAAAATGAATGTTGATAATAAATAAAAATATAAAATAATTTATGGTGAAATCATTTAATGTAATTTTTAAGAATTGTGAAGTTGAGAATTACTTAAATTGTAAAAACAATAAAAAAAAGTAATATATATTTTTATAAAATTGACATCATAAGAGGACTTTTTTACTGTAATATTATAAAACAAAAATTTAAATATTAGAATGGACCCTGCAGTAATATATTTACGAGACTATACCCATTTTTTGTCTATCCAGAGAATCGAATTCTGAGATAGTTTTTAGTTTTTTTTATATATATTAAAATATAAATATTATTATTTTAATTATATTTATATAGTAATATTTTGTTAAAATAAATATTTATAATAAGTTATTTTAATAAATATTTATAAATATTTTTATATTATTTTAATAAAATAAGTTTTATTATTTGAATTATGTTTTAATTTTTATATTATTTTAAAATAAATAACATATTATATTAATTTTAAATGTTTATTAAAATTTATTTAACATATTTAAGATAATAAATAATATTTTTACTTTTTTATTATATTATTTAATAATTTTTTTTGAAAATAATATTAAAATTATATTCTAAAATTATATTTTTGGTTATTTAATATTATATTTAAAAAAATAAAAATGACAACAATAATTTATTTATATTTAAATTTGTATTAAAAAATTATAATAAAAATTTATTTAATATTATATATTTATAAAATAAATAAAGTATTAAATAATAACCAGTTTATTTATTTATTTTGAAATATTAATATTTATTAAAATTTATACATAATTATTTATTTTAAAAAATATGTTATTAAAATGAATAAATATAATAAAATAATATTATGTAGATATATTATATATATAATTATATATTTAATATAAATTACAAATACTAAAAATTAAAAAGTTGCAATGACATTCATAAAATTAAAAATGACATTAAGAAAAATTTAAAATAATAACAATAATAAAAATCAATTGTGTGTGACTAGGGATATGATAATAAGAACAATTTTTTTCTCAACTTTGTTGTTCTCTAATGTCCATCTCTGTTCTTATTCTACTGACTTGGGTCGACCCTTTGAAGTTCTTTTCAATTTTAGGTTTAGATACAAAGTTGGACCCGTGTAAGATGGCCAATAGTCTTTGTGTCTAAGTTCACCAAATTGACCTTCGTATACCTTATAAACTTGTTGTAAGGTATACACAGAAGATATGTAGATATTAAAGTTGTGGTGTGCGTGTAAGCATGATGCAAGTACATGCGAGCATGGGATGTGAACTTTTTGAAACTTGCCACAGTCACACCACATTTCATCTAACCGTACTGTAAATCTTTCTACGGGTCAAATTTCTGTTAGATGTTGAGTTTCTTCGACTAAAAATCTGGTGCTTATTCTGTCAAAGGTGATGACTCTATGAGTGTTTGCCTTTGACTGTGCATCTTGAATTGTTTTAGTTGCAACATCCAAGTACATATGTCCAGCATTAATCATTGCATCTACTTCCTTACTTCTGTCAATGAAGAACTTATTGCAACTGGTGTATGTTGCCATGACCATAGAGCAGATTAGTAAGTTTCTGGTTTTCTTCAAGACCGAATTGATTGACTCCACTAGCTTTGTTGTCATGTGTCCCCAGCGTCGTCCATTGTCCCATGCCAGTGTCCATTCTTCCCTTGGAATGTTGTCCAACCATTGTACAGTTTCAGGATTATTATCTTTTACTATGTTGTAATAGTAAAAGAATCTTGGTTCAGTCATCCTATATGCTTGAAACAAGATTACAAATTAAATTAATATAACTAGTTAAACAATTGTATAAAATATTAATGATAATATAGAGTATGTAAAAAATTAAAATTACCCATATTGACGACATCTTTCTTTAGTTCAACATTTTTTAATCGTCGCATGAGTTTTCTGTCCAACCACTTCCATTTCTGGAGTATGCACTTCTTATGACCTCGTAACGATCCGAAATGAGGCACAACCCCTCTTGCGGGGTTACGTACCTTCTTAAGTTTTTCAAAAAAAAGAACCATGCATCGCTAGTTTCACCTTCAACCACAGCAAAAGCAATGGAAATTATGTTGTTGCGGCCGTCTTGTGCAATTGTCACTAATAAAGTCCCTTTGTATTTGCTAGTCAAAAATGTACCATCCACTTGAACAATTGGTTTGTAGAAGGAAAAATCATCAATGCATGCCTTAAATTTCCAAAACAACCTCTTGAAAAAGACATTCCCCTCGTCAAGCAAGCCACCGTTGTATGTCAGTTGTGTACTCAATTTCCATATGAAGTCCAGAACATACAGTTGCATTGCAAGCAACTGTCTAGGTAACTTATGGTATGACTCATCCCAATTTCTGAAGATATTCTTAATGACATATTGTTTCCCTAATTATCCCTTTCTATAGCTGATTGTATAACCTATTGTAGACTTTATATGAGCTAAGATAGTTGAGATGGGTGTGGATGAATCAGTCTCAATAATTTCATGAATGGTTTGAGAAATCATTCGTGATCCCAACTTGTTGTGATCTTGTGAAATGAGTGGGGAAGCACATGTGTGGCACCCTTCAAGCTTCATTATTTCCCAGTGTTGCTCTTTGGCGCGCAATATAGCGCGACATCTCTAGGCACATTCATTATGAAGGCATTCCACGACAAGCCTAGTTGTGCTTGACATTTTCACCTTGTAAGTACAATGATTGACAATGTGGAATCTATTTATGGCGTCTTGCACTTGTTCTTTTGTTAGGGAGCGTTGGTCAACGAATAGTGTTTCAGGCGGATACACTACCATTTCACGATCAAGGACATGGCCAAACTCATGGTCATGTTCTTGTATTTGACTGGGAATGTTTAGAAAATATGGAGGTGGGTTGTATAAAGGTAATGGTTGTGATGGTGAAATATTTGGAAGTGGGAGGGAGTCTTCTTCATCATCCTGCTGTTGAGATAGGATTTCATCTTCGTCCTCGCTAAAAGAGTCAAATACTTTGATTGGGAGACCCACAACAGCATGTTTTTCAATGGAGGTTTCTTCAAGAGGCTAAGAGGGTAGGGTTTGCTGAAATGGTTCAGAGGGTATTTCATTGAGGTCTATGAATGGACCAGTTAACAGTTGTGTGTAGGGCTGAAGGTCATAATTTATATCATATGTTGAAAAGGATGGATGTATGGTTTCGTAAGTTTGGTAAGGTGAAGGTGAAGGTGAAAGTTGTGGTGGCTGAGTTACGTTTGTAGCAAATCTAACATATAATTCTATACCTGATTGAAGTTGATTTAAGTCATGGATGTTGAAGAGTGCCTCGACGTCTTCATCATCGTTCAACTCAACACATGTGTAGTTGCTAACTCCTGGGCCAAGTCTAATTGGGTAGTAAAAATGTATGGTTGTCACCCTTTCATTTGCGTCTCGGTTAAATTTTATATGGATGACTTTCTTGAGCCTTTGTAGAGTCACTTCTCTCTTTAGATATACTAATTTTGCTGATGGTGAGGTGAACATGACTCCTTCATTAGGACATTGGTTAATGGCACCATCAGAGTGAACAATGACATAGATTAAAGACATTTTTAGAAGGAGAAGATTCACAAGAACAAGGAACAAGTTTAGAAGGTTTAATGAATAAAATGACCACGAAAATAGATATTTATAATGGTAACGTTGGATTCTCGACGTCTTCATCATCGTTCAACTCAACACATGTGTAGTTGCTAACTCCTGGGCCAAGTCTAATTGGGTAGCAAAAATGTATGGTTGTCACCCTTTCATTTGCGTCTCGGTTAAATTTTATGTGGATGACTTTCTTGAGCCTTTGTAGAGTCACTCCTCTCTTTAAATATACTAATTTTGCTGATGGTGAGGTGAACATGACTCCTTCATTAGGACATTGGTTAATGGCACCATCAGAGTGAACAATGACATAGATTAAAGACATTTTTAGAAGGAGAAGATTCACAAGAACAAGAAACAAGCTTAGAAGGTTGAATGAATAAAATAACCACGAAAATAGATATTTATAATGGTAACGTTGGATTCTCAATCATTCAATGCTTTACCACGTTTTACGATTGATGGTGACCTTTCCATTCACGCGTGCCAAGAGATAGTGACTTCTTAGTCAGTCATGCATGCCAAGTGATAGTGACTTCTCAGTCACGCATGCCAACAGACGTGAGTTGACAATAACGAGTCATCCAATGCAAGGCCCATTGTGTCACACACAAGAATACATGGACATTGCCAATTCTATCTATTTCCTATCTGTGTCACCACTACTACAAGATCCAAGGAGGAGCGACCAACAACTAAGGACTACCAACACATTTGAAATGGGTACAACTTCCACACCGTCATACCACGAGACTGCATCAATTCCTCTGAACATTACACCAGAAGCAAACATAATTAACACAAGACATTCATTTGCAACAACATCAGAGGATTTTTTTACAAATTTATTTGGAGTTGATTTTACAACTCCATATTCAGCACAAACTTACATGCAGTCTCTTTACCAACCGGATTTTGATAATGAACCTGATAATTTATCAAATGCATTCCAACAACTAGACCTTCATGATGATCCAAATCCTTCACAAGTTCATCATGAAATCCTAGAGCAGCAACCACAACGATGAAATCTACCACGTCAAAGACGTCGCTTTTGTTGTGGAACTGACTACCATTACGGAGATAATTAATTACTAATGTTGTTATGAATTTGTTATCATCTTTATTAATGCACTTTATTTTCATCAATGTTACCTTAATAATAATATGAAAACGTTAATTTCAAAATATTTGTCTCAACTATAAATAATTTACTTATAATTTAATATTTTATTTACTTTTTAAAAATAAATTTTTTATTCTCTAATAAATTTATTCAAAATTATAAAATTATAATATTAAATAATGACACTTTAAAAAAAAAATTTAATTAAAATAAAATTTTTATTCAAAATATTATTTTATCATACTATATTTATAAATATTAAGTCAAAATTACATATTTAAATAAATAAATAAACAGAATAATATTTAATATTTTTTTTTAATTTTGAAAAATATATTTAGTATTTTTTAACTATAAATAATTTAAGCATTAACATTATTATCTAAAATAATATACTTATTATTTAAATATTTTAAATAATTTTTAAACATTAACTAAAATAATTTATTTATTATTTAATTAATTTTTAAAAATTCAATTATTATTGTTTTCTAAAATAATTATTTATTATCTTAAATATGTCAAATAAATTTTAATAAAAATTTAAAATTAATATAATATGTTATTTATTTTAAAATAATATAAAAATTTAAACATAATTCAAATAATAAAACTTCTTTTATTAAAATAATATAAAAATATTTATTTTAACAAAATAAAACTGTATAAATATATAAATATAATTAAAACAATAATATTTATATTTTAATATAAAAAAAAATCAAAACTATCTCAGAATTTAATTTCTTAGAAATTAAATTTTAGATAGGCAAATAATGAGTCTAATCTTATAAATAAATTGCTGAAGGATCCATTTTGATATTTAAATTTTTGTTTTGTAATATTACGGTAAAAAAGTCTCATGTGTTAAAAGTTAAAAGACTTCACTTTCCTTTTTTCAATTTCGGTGTTAAAAATTCGTTACTTTGTAGTGTCTTTTTTTGCGCTGAAAAAAGGACGTTACTTTCCACCACCTCACGCATGCCACGAGTCAGCGTGCGAGTGCGATCCTCTACTTCACTCTGCACCACTTCCCCAAAACCCTAAACCCTCAACACTCACTTTCACTTTCATTCTCACTCTCTGCAATGCAAAATCTCTCTGTTCTTCTTCTGCGCGCGTGAATGATCTGATTCGAACATGGCCTTCTTGTTGAGTTTTCTGGTGATGGTGCTGATGCACGCTACGACGTCGTATGCTGCTTCTGGCCCTCACATTGCAGATGTTAACCTACTCTTGCCACCTAAAATGACCTTCCCTGTGGAGTACAGGCTTCAAGGAAGTGACGGTTGCTTCAAATGGTTACATTCTACTTTTCAATCACACTCGTTTTGCTTCAATTTCTTATTTGAAAGTTTGAATGATACTGCATAAAAGAAAGGAAAAAACTCAATGTCATTTTAATTAGTCAATCGTGCGTATGATATAACTCTGTTTTTTTTTTCCTTCTTTTTGGTAAAGAGATAAAGGTGGAAAAAGCAGGAGAAGTTTAATTTGTTGTTGATTTCTTAGGTTTTGTTCGAGTGTTGTTCATTGATTTGTTTTGGTTGTAATTGTTTGATTTTGAGTTGTTATTTTTATTTTTAAATAACACGTTCTTAGGTCGTGGGATCATCATGATATTCTGTCTGTTGTGCCTGAGTATAATTCGAGCAGCAAGTGCTCCACTAGTGCAAGACTGCGATCGATTGCTCCTTATAGTGGTCGGAAGGAAACTGCCATTTATGCTGCGGATGTGCATACAGGAATTGTGATTCGCTGCAAAGTGTTTATTGACAACATATCCAGAATTCAGATATTTCACAATTCTATTAAGCTTGATTTAGAGGGGCTTGCTACGTTACGTGTACAGGCCTTTGACGGTGAAGGTATTTGTGCAATCGTACTGGTTTTGTACATATCTTGGGATTTTTGTACTTTTGATCATGAAAATCCTTCACCGTTGCAAACCTCTTCAATATGGTTGATTTTAGTCATTTTACTATTTCTGTACAGAGTTATTCTCTTGCAAATATGCTTTTGTTGGCATCTTTTCTCTTGAAAACATAAACATGACCTTTTGAGAACAGAGAAGGCATCCTGTAACAGGATTGGCATGAGAATTGCTGTGGTGCTTGCTTTAGTCCTCTGAGCATTGGCAATAAACTAATCTGCATTTATTTATTTGTCTATTGATTAACGGACATAATTATTTGCAGCTTAAATTTTTCTGCTAATTTTTAGTTATCTTTTTCTTCCCTAATTGGGTTTTGGTCAGATTGGAAATATTTATTGAACTTCTCTACTGTGCTGCAGAAAATGTATTTTCCTCTTTGGTTGGCTTGCAGTTTATGTGGAACTTTAAGCCTGAAGCTAATGGATTGCCTCATCACCTTGTTAATGTTCCCCTAAAGGATTCTCCCCTTAGTGATTGTGGAGGACTATGTGGTGATTTAGATATACAAATAAAACTTGAAGACACTGTAATGCTGCTACTGGCTAGTTTAAATGGGCTAAGTCATTATTATTAATGATGCATATTTAATATTATATCCAACCTTGTTCATGGTCCTGTGTTGCAGGGTGTATTTTCAGATCTATTTGTGGTAAAGGGAGTTGAGATTGGCCATGAGATTGTGTCAGTGCATTTGCTTGAGCCACATTTCAAGAATTTAGCTGATGAGATTGTTCTCACTGTGGCTGAAGCTATGTCACTTGATCCTCCCTCGCCAGTTTTTGTCCTTGTTGGTGCAGTCATTCCCTACACCCTTAAAGTCATCCAGGGAAACATTCCTCAAGGTTTTCTTAAGTTGTTTTCTGTTCATTTAAATCTTTGTGGACGTTGTTTAAAGTTGTAAATCCTTTATCTTTGTGATCATGCTTTCAAATTGCAGTACTAGTTGCCAGGAATAAAATTGGCCATTTATAGATGGGGACTCTTCATCTTTCTGTGTTTTAGGAGAATTTTGCCCCCTTGGTCTGAATTCTTTGAACAAATTCTTCTAATTTTGCCCTTTTCTTTGAGATTTTGCTCCAATATCTTTTGGAAAGCTAAATCTCTTAGGCCAATACCATTTAATAACATTGAGTGGTTATGGTATATTGTAAATTTAGGCCTCATAAGGCCCATTTCTCTGACATGTGTGTTTTGGCTGCAAGAGTTTTTAATCTAGCAGTAATCTTTCCTTCATTACAAGTGGTTATTAGAGCATTATGTAGAAATGTGGATCTCTCAGAAATGCTGAGAGAACAGAAGAATCAAGATGAATTTCCACTCAACTGCTTTTACTCTATATAAATTTCATTTATGCTCTGGTTCTATTTATTGAATACTGTTACAATGGATATGTTCTAATTTGGAGTTCTTTTTCTATCTGCTTGAGTTTTTTATTATTATTATTATTTTTTGGGGACCGGGGGGGGGGGGGATGGGGGGTATAAAAGGGAATTTGGGGCTCAAGAAATATGCACTTAAGGCTGTTTCATGGTGTATTTGAATGGAGCAATGAGCAAAATACCAGAACTTTGTCTCTTATGCGGAGGGAGTTTGCGTGCTTGTTTAACCTTTCTCTTCTTTCTCTGACACTGTCCTTTTCTTTTGTAGAATTTCTGATCTTCCATCTTTGCATTTTGTTTTCTTCTCTTTTATGATAAAAAAACAATGGCACAATTAATGATTGATGGTAGTTCCATTGTGGCAATCAGTAAAAGCATGATTTTTTATATTTTTTCCTTTGGATATTGATCAATTGTTTAAGGTGGCTATAGTTCAAAAATTTCTGATTGGATATTGTTTTCTCATGTTTGAGAGTTTAAACATGTGTTTTGTGGTCTAATAACTTTAATCTATTTGTTTCTGTTATAATGTAGGTCAGCATATTGTCAAAAGTCTAACCAATATTTTTCTTTGGCATTTGTAGTGGTCCCTTTACCCTCACCACATCACCACTGGTCTGTCTCAAATGCTTCGATTGCTCAGGTTGACTCGAAGACGGGGTTAGCATATGCGTGGAACTTGGGGATGACAGCTGTTATTGTTGAAGATACAAGAGTTGATGGCCATATACAAGTGTCTTCATTAAATGTGGTCCTACCGGCTTCTTTATGTTTATATATATCGCCTTTATCTAGTTCTGGTGATCCAGTGGAAGGAACAAAATCAACGCCTCTAATGACCCGTTGGTATGTTGTATCTGGCCATCAATATCTTATCCAGATAAAGGTTTTTGCCCATGATCATGATGCACAAGAGATTTATATTACGGAGGTAGCTTCTATTATTCTACTTTGATTACTTGAATAACAACAATGGAAAAAGTAAAACATGTTTATATTGACTTGTTAAAATTTATTTTATAATTTGCATGACTCTTAGTTCGGTAAAGGGGGGTCGAGAGAGATCCAAAAGAATCTTAAACGAAATTATTAAAAAAGACCTTTTTATAACTAGATTTCTGAAAATTTAGTTTTTGATCGAGCTTAATGACATCTTGTGATCCATGTAGCCGACTTCACCTAGTGAAATAAAGCTTAATGACATTGTTGTTGTTTTTGTTGGTGTTGTTCTGCATCTATTCTATATTTCATATCTTCATATTTGAAGCACACAATTTCTTAGTGTTTCTGATAGCACTCATCTAAATAATTTTACTATTTTACCTCCTGAAGTTTGCCCCTTCAGAAAATAAAAAAATTCATATACACACTAAAAGGATTCTAGAAATAGTTTATCAACAGTGTGGTTTTTCCTTGGATTTGTATAGTTTTTCTGTTTAATGATCCATAGTGATGAGATCTTCATACAATAGGCCACCAAATGATCTGTATGGAAGTTGACAAGTACAGATGAGAGTAGCTATTGTGCATTATGCATTATATGATTTTAGATTTTTTTTCATATCAGCTCATGTTTCTTCAAAGATTAGGGCACAAAATCAGTTTACCTATTGATGTAAAGATATGTGGTCATGGCATTTTTTTGATATTTTCTGTTTACATTGCAAGTCTTGTTTCTTCTTCGTCTGTTTTTTCAATTTTATTTTTTATAAATTATATATCTGAATTGGAACTTTCATATGTGATCCATCTCTTTTCTTATTTTCGATAGATTTCAGTGTTCTTCTTTGCATTGCAGAATGACAATGTTAAGGTTTACGATACTGAGTCCAATTATTGGAAAACAATTTGGGTTTCAAATGATATTGCTGTTAAACATGGCTGGCGGAATTCTAAAATCTTGAAAGCTTATTCACCAGGACTTGGAAAACTGACAGCTTCTCTGAGCTATCCCAGTGGGGCTGATGACAAAAAGAAGGTGGATCATTCTTAAAAGCTTTCTCACATAAGCGTATTTTGTTTCAGTCCTTTCCCCTCAATTATTTGCAGCCTCTTTTACTTGATGCACCATTTATTGCTCTTGGTTATTACATAATTCGTCTTTGTTTGGGTTCGGAGGGAGGCTATTTGTTGCCTTGTCTTAGGAATGTTCCAGTACTTTTTTCAGTTTCTCATTTGTTCTTAAAACCTTTCAGGTTATTGAAGTTGTGCAAGAAGTCATGGTTTGTGATCAAGTAAAGTTCACTTTGGGAAATGAAAGCGAAATCATCTTACTGCCATGGTCTCCTGGTGTTTATCAGGAGGCGGAGTTAAAGGCTTTGGGAGGTTGGAAGCTTTTTCTATCTGCTCCAATCTGAAATAACTAGATGATTTTCTGATATTTTTTCTTATTCATTTGTTTCCATTTCATGCTGTAGGTTGTGCAAAAGCAGCAAGTGACTACAAATGGATGTCTTCAGACACATCTACTGTATCTGTGTCAGCTTTTGGAATTGTCCAGGCAAAAAAGCCTGGTAAAGCTACTATCAAAGTTTTATCTGTGTATGATTCACTAAATTATGATGAGGTAATGTTATTAAGGTAAATTTTTACTTTTATTCATTTGTACCAAATATCTTTGGAAAATTTGATCATATTTGATTCCTTAAGCTCAAATATGTTCCTATGTTGCATGCCATGGAATTTGAATGTGAGAATGCTGTTTTATTAGAGAATAGTAATATGGTATGAGTTAGGTGTATTGGCTGGGCATTTACATGCTATACTTAAAAATTGTATTTCACTTGTACTACCCCTGCTTTTTTGGTGCATAAAATATTCACAAATTTGTTTCAAATCACTTGGATATCTATACATTTTGGACTTGTATTATTTTGTAATTTTATTTTCTTATAGGTCATTATTGAAGTCTCCAGCCCTTCTTCTATGGTTATGCTTCACAATTTTCCAGTAGAAACTGTTGTTGGGTCACATCTTCAAGCTGCCGTGACAATGAAAGCAGCAAATGGTGATGCCATATTACGAAGTTTATTTTCCATTTTTCTTTACATTTTTACTCAGTTGATGTATCATTAGCAGGTGCCTTTTTCTATAGATGTGATGCCTTTAATTCTTTGATAAAGTGGAAAGCTGGAAGCGAGTCTTTTGTAATTGTCAATGCAACTGAGGAGTTGTCATACTTGGAAAGAGTGCCACAAACTCAGCTCCATTCATCAGTTGATGGCTTTCCCTGTTCATGGACATATGTATATGCTTCTAATCCTGGTCAAGCTGTGATCCATGCTGCATTTTCTAAAGAATATCAACAATACAATCATGGTCCTGTTGTCTTGAAAGCATCTTTACGTATTGCGGCATATCTACCCCTTACTGTGCATCAGGCAGGTGATGGAAACCAATTTGGTGGTTACTGGCTTGACTTGGCTCAAGCAGAAAGTAATAAGAAATCACATAACTTAGAGGAGTTATATCTTGTCCCTGGCACAAATATAGACATATTACTTGCTGGTGGACCAGAACGGTGGGACAAAGGTGTTGATTTCATTGAAACAAAGGAAGTTTTGGATGAACGGAATGCTCCGGCTGAAGATAGAGTTCTTGTGCATCGGGTATCAGGAAGCTATAGGAGTTTGTATGGCATTTTATGTCAAACACTGGGAACCTTTGTAAGTTTCGGTATTCAATTCTTGGTAGGAAGTATATTAATATATTTAAGATGACATCGAAGTTAGCAGATATTAACCTTTTTTTCTTCCAAATTACTCAGAAACTTATTTTCAGACGTGGAAATTTGGTTGGGGATGATCATCCTCTGCCTTCAGTAGCTGAAGTTTGGCTGTCAGTGAGGTGTAGCATTCCTTCTTCTATTGCACTTATAGCTGATGAACCAGGTATGCACCACTATTTCACACATTGAGTTAAAGTCATTGACAACACAAATCTTCAGATTTCTCTCTCCTAAGTAATTGTGCTTTCCAGTGAATGAACGTGAAATTATTAAAGCAGCAGCTCAAGCTGAACGTAGTTCCGGGAGACTTCGTGATGCTCCTGTTACTGTGGCGAATGGGCGCACTATTCGGATATCGGCAGCTGGTATTAGTGATTCTGGAGAAGCTTTTGCAAACTCATCTTCCCTTGGTTTGAGTTGGGAACTTAGCAGTTGTGAGGGATTGGCATATTGGGATTATGCTCTTGATATTGTGAAGTCTAGCAGTTGGGAGAGATTTCTGGTCTTGCAAAATGAATCAGGATTGGTACTGAAAGATTCTCTCTAATTTTGTGATTTTATTTTTTGTCTAGCCTTATTAATACACTTGACAACTTCTGGTAATTTAATTACTGGAGTTGCTTGAAAAACATGATGTCCAAAAAACTTGTTTATTTTGATCTGACTTTGAACATTATTTTTGTTTGGATGTGACCTACTTGCACTTTGTAGTTAGTGCCAATAATGTTTCTGTATTAATGTTTCAAGTTTTATAACATGTGATCTATAAATCGGTTCTTTAGAATTTGATTTCATTTTTTAAGTATATACAGCCTTTGTATAGTATTTTTGTTATCTGATTAGTGATTGTTTATTTTTCACTGGCTTAAAGAGGTTTCTTATTTTGTATAGATTGCTCTCTCAAGGATTTCTAGAACTATATGTTATGTTTTCTAATACTTTCATGTTTTTCTATGTGGTAAATTACACTTTCCTCCCTTAATAGATGCTTAAATTACACTTTTCTCCCTTTAATTTTAAAAAATTACACCTCCACTGACCTAAGAGTGATCATATGGGTCACTGTTTGGTTCATTTTAATTTAATGTGAAACGAGTCTCTTAGGAATAGTTTTCTCTATTTCTGACTCTTACCATCAGTGGTAGCTACTTTTGAATTCTTGCTATTGGCTTTTAGACTTTAGAAGATGAAGTGATGGCTTTGTGTGAAGTTTCAAAACCAATAATTGGGGAATCCAAGACTTCATGTCCTAAAGTCCATATTAAACTATTCAAGTTTAGCTATCATTCACACTGAAAGTTGCATGCAAATATGCAACAAATCTCTTTGAAAGGCTTGTTCATATTGGCTCACCAATTCTAAAAGGTTCTTTACATTAAAAAAGATTGAAGTGTAACACATTCAATCTCTCGGGGAGGGGAGTCTAATTTTCAAAGTTAGAGGGAAAGACATAATTTAAGTGTCTCCCATTAGAGAGGAGTGTAATTTACCCTTTTCTTAAGCTTCATTGCCTGAGTTTGATAATTTAAGTGTCTCCCAATAGACATAGTTTGTATTTGTAATAGAACACTTTACTTACGCGGACTTGTTATCTAATCTAAACTTGAATTTTGCAAGTTAACTTGAGTTTGATAATTATTAAATAGACATGAAATTTACTTGGGTTGATGGTGCATTGCCTGAGTCTGTAGCAAATCTACTTTAAATTTATAAATAATCTATTAGTAATTCTATCTCATTGAAGCATCGGTTTTCACGGTGTAATGAACTTGTTCATCTTTTTAGAGGATTTTTAGTTTTGTCTAATTATTCTTCTCCACATCCATGATCAAACTTTTGTTGTATAAGTATGTCTTTGTAATAGCTGCCAATCTTTGGCCCCATCCTAATAAATCAATCCTTTATTTGTGTAGTTCTTTGGTATTATGTCAAGCCATGTTATAAATTTATTTTGAGGTTGATTTGCATCTGTCTTGTAGAATTAAATCTCAGTCCAAGGTGGTGATAGCCATATGTGCTTTGGTTATTCTTAAAATTGAATGAGTTATTGTGTGAGATAACATGTTAGTAGTACTAGAATGTCATCCTTTGACTCTCAGTTATGACCCTAAGGATCTATGCTGGTGATTTTGAACATCTTGATCAGATTCAGAATACGATAATCTGATAATCTATACTTGTAATATCTTTTTGGTGGAGCTCCAATCTACCCAATTCACCTACTTTATGGATGACTCAAGATTCCTAACGCAGTTGTGACATTTAGATTGTGATTATAAATTATAATATATGAGTGCAAATTAATTAATGTTTAATAAGGTTGTTGCTACTACTTTGTATGTTATTATTTTTGTTGTCTGTTAATTCTTAAAGTTATGCTTATTGATAGTTGCATAAATAGTGTAGAGTATTGAATGTGTTTTAATTTGTCCTTTATGATGTATATTGTGCTGGTTAACATTCATGTACAATTTCAGAAAATGATGACATTATTTTACTTATTTAGTTCTAATGTATGGATGATTGAAGTGACCTTAAATGCTCTGTCTCAGTGCATTGTTCGAGCTACTGTTACTGACTTTCCTGATAGCTTGGGAGATGATACATATAATCAGTTTCCTAAAACTGAAAATCTTCTGACAGATGCAATTCGTATACAGGTAATATCTGTTGTAATTAATTTTTCTTTGATATCAAACTGATTCTTTTACTTTCAATGATTAGAATCAATCAGTTTCTAACTTCCATGGGCACTGCATCTTCCCCCTGCAGTTTATGATGGGATTTTGTAGCATCTGTATATTCTTATTGCTGTTATTTTGTCTTGAGAAGTTTTCTTATCTTTACGTTGGTGCAACAATGCAGCTTGTTTCTACCTTAAGAGTTGATCCAGAGTTCAACTTGATATATTTCAATCCTAATGCAAAGGTAAATCCATCATTTGAGGAGATTTTTTGTGTATGTACACATCAGAGGGGCCCAGAATTATTAATTCTTTGTATGCTCATCAAATTTTCATTGCCTGCGCTCTTGTTTTTCTTTTTTACTTTTTATGAGATTTGGACAGGTTTTCATGTATTTTATCTAGATTATGGCAGTATTTTCTCTATTTTTATTCAGTGATGTTCTGCTGAGGGTTTTGTGGTGCACAATGAGCAATGTTTTGCTAGATTATGTACTAAGTGGCTGCAATCTAATTATAGGGTATCATAGGTTGAAAAAATGGAACTTTTGGAATTTTGGGATGGGCCTTTCCCTATATACTGTTAGTCCTGTAGAAAACTATAAGATATTTTGGTAGATTTTTTTTTTTTACCTTCCAGGATGTATATTAGTCAATTAAGTTGGCTACTTCTACTGGTCAATGTTCATCTTAACTGAAATTTCATGTTAAAAATATGATTAGTCTTAGATATGAATGTTAACAAAGTAATGACTAATGATTACAACTTTGTCTGAGCACTTCATGCACCAATATATACTACTATTACAGAGAACCAAGAGAGGTAAATGAATTATGCTCCGTAAGTATAAGAGTATTGGTAATTTGGATTTTAAAGTTATTAGGAACAATTTTATCTGTTTTTAAATATGTTGATTGTTTTTCTAATAACCCCAATATGCTAATACACCAGATTATTGAGTCCAAATAATTATTAATTTTCACCAAGAAATAGTTGATTATATTATATTACACGGTATATCTGAGTTGGAGCCTTTTTTTTTTTTGGGGGGGGGGTGTTCCCTTCTTCCTCTCAATTCAGAGTTCTGTCATACTTGGCAGTGCAAATACATTTTACATATTGCTTTTTGTTCATGAAATTAACAATTAATGCTTTCTAGTTAGAATTGAAGGGCAGTATAGTATCTTGTATAACTCCAGGTAAATTTGTCAATTACTGGAGGGAGCTGTTTCTTGGAAGCGGTTACAAACGATTCTCAAGTTGTTGAAGTTATTCAACCACCATCGGGATTAGAATGCCTACAACTGGTTTTGTCCCCTAAAGGATTAGGGATAGCTAATCTGACTTTATATGACATTGGGCTGACTCCTCCTCAAAGAGCTTCTGCACTTGTAAGCTCCCTTTTCCCTCAATTCAGAATTGCTTGAAATTTTAAGAAAATGCTTGGTTTTTATGTCCATACCTTAGTTTAATGATCAATTTGAGGATTTTGCAATGGTATATATTGTTAAAGTCCCTTGTCTGTTGGAATCATTAATGTGCTACAGCAAATCTTTCTTCCTACATGCTTATGACTCTTATTTGTGTCTGGTGGCAAGCCACAAAATTGTCTCTTTTACCATTCAAACCTAAATGTTAGTACCTAATCTCTTACTAGAAATATCAATTCCCTTCTGTACTTATTCTTGGTTTACCAAGCAAAAGTTATAATTACATATTGGTTCATTGTGTGTGATTTGTAATACCGCCATTCACTTTTTTATAAGGAGCTGCACTTTGGTGAACAGAAATAACAAAATTTGCTTTATATGACTATCTAATTCTGTGCTCAATTTCGTGATTAAGTGGATACAACAACCAAGCCTTATTGCACTAAGTAAGGTCGGTTACATGAATCACACTACACTGTTGAGCTCAGGGAAAAACTAAATTTTCCGAAATATTATTATTACTTTTTGGTCTAAATGGATATTTGGGAAATATTTTTTTGAGGAAATAATTGCTTTTTTCTTTTTCTTCTTTTTTTTATAAGTTCTCTAAAGCTAGAAAAACCAATTATTAATTTTTAAAAATCAGATGTGCATTAAAACTTATGATTTTGGGAGGGAAATTAATTAAGAGTTTAAATATTATCACCTGCCAGCGTTAGTAGGATGTCAAATTTGCACGTTATTTTGTTGTAACTTGTAATGCATCCTGACTTGGTCTTGGTATCTGATGTTTACTGTTTGAGACATATAATTACAGGTTCAAGTTGCAGATATAGATTGGATCAAGATCATTTCAGGAGAAGAGATTAGCCTAATGGTATGTCTTCTCCAAAAATATTATTGTTTTTTGGTCTTGAATGACTCATGAGATTGCTTGGGTGGACAGGTATCCAACACAAAATTGTTTCACTAAAAAAAACTGGTAGAAATGACCAATACAAAGATGAATAACAGCTTTTGAGCCTGTTCAAACCTGATTTATATCAAAGGTTTATACAAAAAAATATATTTGAATTGAATCCACCATTTTTAATATTGATCATATTTCATATTGGAAAATCAAGAAGATAATCTCCACCTCTCCCACAATTCAAGACATGGATGGGATCTGTTCATAATTCCATCCTTAACACTGTTACCGGATTTGGGGCTTTCCTTCTATCTTTGTAGAGCCTCATGGAAACAACTTTCATCAGATTGTTTTTGCCCAAACTAAGTGGTTTTCTTCCTTCTTCCTTTAAAAACCCCAAAGTGTTTCTGCTAGTTTGTCCAATGTGTCCATAACAAGCTGGCGTGCTGCTTTTTGCTTTTGTTGTCATTTTTAAATATGATATGTAAATGGATCCATCTTCCCAACCTAGAATTTCTCCTTCGTGATATGCTATTCTGTTCTTTACAGGAAGGAAGTTCGCAAACTATTGACTTATTGGCTAGCACTACTGGTGGAGGCAGTTTTCATGCTTCACAGGTTTGAATTGTATTCCCATTTAACTTTAAGAGCCACACTCCAGTTTTTTGTTCTTGGCCTAGTGTAATATGACATTGTGGGACATGGATATAACTGTATTGCCCTGAATGTGGTCAACAAGACGGTTATATCAAACATTTTGGTTTTTTTGGATACTCTCCCCAATTTCACCTATTTGAAGATGTCATAATGAGGTTTTTTCTATTTTGAGTGGCAATTTGTTGATTTGGAAACTGTGATGCAGTTTGTCTTCATGAATCTTCATGTACATGTTGAGGATAATATAATTGAGCTGGTGGATAGTGACCATTTCTCTATTCTCGTTGGTGGACTTGTTAATGCACCAAGTTTTAAAATAAAGGGGGGACATCTTGGAATTACAACCCTTTATGTAAGTCTAGTAGCAACCTCTATAATCTTAATCTTCATTTCAATCAAATGTCTTTATATTCTTTGGAAAAGTAAAAAAGCTTAGTTATTATTTATTGAAATCAGGTCAGTGCCATACAGCATTTGGGACATGTAATACAAAGTCAAGCTATTAAGGTGGAAGTTTATGCAGCCCCTAGAATACATCCTCAAGATATTTTCTTGCTACCTGGTGCATCATATGTGGTATGTTCTAAAGTTCAAGGCTTGTTTCTTAGAACAAATTTGACTTGAGAATGTGAACTTTGAAAGAAACACTTTGCTATCATTCTTCTCTTTGATTTTGGTTTAATTTTTCTATTGGAAATGGCAAAGTTGTTTTTTATTCTTAGGAAAATAAGTGCTCACAATTAATTTAATGTTTCCAGGTTTGTTTGTTTACTTCTAGGTTCATGTTTCTTGTATTTACTAAGTTAATTGCATCTTTGTATTTCCAATCAGTAAGTTGATTTGTCAAGGTTTGCTCATTGAATAAAATCTAGAATTATTTCAGTTTTTGTTCCTGTGTCTCTTTTCCATACCTTTCTCTTGTCTACATCTTTTTGCATTTTCTTTTGAGATTTTTTTTTTTGCACTTGGTTATTCAATCTTGAGCTAGAGTGAAGTTTACACCAATGTTTTCCCCCCCCATTTTCTCTGTTTTATGTTCACACCATGTTAATTAATTTATTTGCTTAGCTTACCATGAAAGGAGGCCCAACTCTTGGTGTTCATGTTGAGTATGAAATTGAAAATGATAAAATTGCAAGCATTGATCGATATTCTGGACGACTCTCAGCAATTTCTATTGGGAACACTGTAAGATTTGAAATCATGCTCTGACTTATTATTGTGCCTTATTTTGTTTTGCTTTTTTCTCTTCTTATTATTGCTCCTTACTTTGTTTTGCTCACTCTTATTGTTTTTTTTTTCCTGTTATGTTATGGAGTATAGACATTCATGCATATGCATCATTTATAGCACAAACCACCAACTTTAATACATGTGCACAAGATAGATTCTGTACTTTGGTTGAATACTGTGCTTGTCAGCATGTTCTTTACACACCTTTTTTGAAGTTATGTGGCTCTTTGACATCTTTGGCAAATAAATATATTGTTTCCTTTGGCTTTTACACTGTACTGATGTGTGGACTGTTCAGAGAAAGCTTAGCTTTTCTTTCCCTGATGGATATGTCAAGGGACTGGGCAGCTTTGCACCATTGATGCTTGAGACTTTTGTTTAGTCCCTTGTAATTTATTGCTTTTACAAAGAATAATCCTTTTGTAATTAATTCTCTTTATCTTGCTGGTATTCTCTTTTATTCAAAATGCTTCTTTTAGTTTGTTGAAAGCTTTGAGTTTTTCTTATAAGCTTGCAAAAATTATTGTTGGGGGCACTGCAGATGCTCTTGGATCAAGGAGGAAACTTTTGTATTTATGAGTTGTATTTTAATTGTGTAGTGCATTAGCTTAAGGTCACAGCTTAATGTCAGAACTTTTATGAAAAGTTCTTTGCCGCCCAATTCCTGTAGGATAGACTTTTTCTTTTGTGGCATCCTAGTGGAGCTCAGCCACTGATGTGTTTATGAACAGGTGTCAACGCATGTTGGCAGGTCAAATGAGGGTTGTCGAGGTAGGGATATTACATAAATTTTGTCGACCTCACTACGCATTCATAATCATGTCATGTTTTCTCAACCTTGGCACTACTCTTATATTATAGGATTGACCTTGACACTACCTGTTTTAGCACTATTAAACAGTACAAATTCAAGATGCCCACGTCACATTAACCTTTTTAGTGTTTAGTTTGTAAAAGATTGATCCTGACTACGTGTTTAGTCAACTTACTGTCAAAGAATCAATATTTCGCATCGGAAGGTCAACAATTCATATGACAAAATATGAGTGAAATTCAAAGAAATATAGACATAAATAGCCAACTGACTCAGAAAATGTGGTCATGAAGCAAAAGAGTTGACTGCATTGTGGTGATTTTGACTCTTGCTGTATTGCTTTCAGCACAAATGGAAGAAAAATGCATAGAAGGAAGCAACAATTGAATAAAGGTATCCTAATGACTTGTTAGCCAAGTGGCTTCAATGAACTTACGAGGGGGAGGTGAATTGAGTTAAAGTTTTTCTTAATGTACAACACTCTAATTCCTTTTCCAATAAAATATAAGAAATTGGATTGAAATCTAATAAAATAAATGACAATGCAAGAGATTTAGAGTTATAATAATATAGATAAACAAGATAATGAAACATAAACTTGCAATAAATGTAAAGAGATAAAGGAAGAGAAAATGCAAACTCAATTTATATTGATTCGGTCACCTTTTATGGGCTACATCCAGTCCCCAAGCAACCCGCTTGAGAATTCAACTTTGAATTCTTTGCAACCAATAAGCACTCTTATACCCTGGGATTACTCATCCTTTCTGAGTCTCTCAAGAATCAAGAGATGCCTCTTCTTCTAATAAGGGATACCTCACCTTTTCTGTTTAGGGATGGCAAAACGGGCTAGTCCTCCTTGGCCCATCAAAAGTCCATCCAAAAACAAGCTAACTCGAGCCTTAACCCATCTGAAAAATGGGCTAGGTTTTCTAGCTCAGTCCGTTTAAGAGTTGGCCGGCAGGCTAACGGGCCAACTCGTCCAAAACCAAAAAATGAAAAAAAAATGGTGGGCCATTTAATTAATGGGCCAGTTCACAAAAAAGTAACCAAAAAAATAATTTTTTTTTAATAAATAATAAAAAATATTTAAAAAATATTTTTATATTAATAAAAATTAATATTTTTAAAAATAAAAAATGGGTCCAATGGGCCAGCCTGCCCGAGCCTGTCATTGGCTCGAATTTTGGTGGACTAAACAGGCCATTGAATTGAAATCACTCAGTCCAGCCTGCCAAATTTAGTGGGTTAAACAGGCCGGCCCATTTTGACATCCCTATTTGTGTTTGAGTCTCTTAAGAACTAAGAGATACCACTCTCTTGTTCTAACAAGGGATACCTCACTTTTTTCACAATTTCAATAAAAGAATATTAGAAATCACTCTGGCTAGAATAGATATTACAAATTGAAGTACTGAAAGGTTCCTCAAAAGTAACTATATTTAGCCAAGAATTAAATATGTTTAAGAATGATTGTTAAAATGATCTTTGTAATATGTTTTTCATATATATTATATCACTCAAAATCTGTCATTTAATGGATATTTATAAGCCATTGAAACATGCAAGCCGTTTGATAGTTTTATCTGAAAAGACATGACTGTTCAAAACTAGCCATTATATGTTCATTTAACTGCACTGTAATCAATTACAATACTTGGTAATTGATTATATTGTGTAAGAACACAATTCTGGATAATCATAAGAAAAGTGTAAGCGATTTATAGCAATCGATTACTTGTAGGACAACTTGCAAATTTTGTTATGAAAACCAATTGTAATCAATCACAACACAATTGTAATCGATTGCTAGTTTTGAAAATGCTTGTAAGCGTGACTGCATTCCATTGTCCCTCATTTTCAATCCAATAAAAACAATTTTACTATAGTTTTCTTTCAAATCAAATTTTCCTTAAATTAAAACTTTGATTAACTTAACAAGGGCCAAATAAACTTATTAAATAAAAATCTTTTAACAAAGTGATCTAAGTCTTAATTATTTTAACCATGACTTGATCATTTGACTTGTTTATCTTCAAGAAACTTCATGCTCTTGTGCTTCCAGCTTTTTGGCATCACCAGGACCTATAACATAATATTTTACATAATGGATTGAAACTTAGGTGTGATTTATTGTCTGAAATAAATAACCAATAGTCTCTTCATTCACTAAAAGAATTTTATTTCTTCTATTGAAAAATGTTCAATTTAGAGGGTCAAAGCAGCTTAACACATTTTGGGCTATCAATACCTGTCAGAGATATATAAACTGTTCTTTTGAGTCTCCGCATAACAGCTTGAACTATAGGAAAAGATGTTTGATATGGTATTGGAGCCTCTTTGACCACGTGGTTAGGATATTGGTCATTGCTGCCTGTTATTCATAATTAAATGAATTTTCACATATAAGCTGGGCTTGTGTTTATTGTACACACTCCAAGCCAACTCCTGTGAGGGGTATGTTAGAGATCTATAAACCATTCTCGGGTCTTCACCAAATGGCTTAAGCTTTTAGGGGACTTGGTCTTTCATGATACCAAATTACCAATATGAAAAAAAGGGGTCATTTTTTGGCTGCATTACTCATCTTGTAATTCAACATGTTTATTATTCATGTCTATTGGGTTGCATGCCTATTCCTCTTTTAATGTAGACTGTCTCAACTTGAAGTTGTGTTCATGTTAGGGTTGAGTTGAGAATATTGTTTTTCTAACAAAAAAAAAAAAAGATGGAACATGTATGCTAATTATTTCAATCATTTGCTTCAAACATAACAGATTAATATTTATTTCTTTAAAAGTTTTTTCATTCAATCTTATCTGGTTTGTGAAAGATATTAGTCTAATCCAAAATATCATTGCTATTGTCAGACCATTATTGCTAGCATCTTTGTACATGGCAATACTGTGATCTGTGATGCACGGAGTATTTTAAGGGTGGGAGTTCCATCTACTGTTGAATTGCATGTGCAGAGTGAACAGCTTGGGGTTGGACGCAAATTGCCAATTTATCCATTATTTCCTGAGGTGACAGTTAAATCTAAATGAAGTTTACATTCATGTATTTAAAATCCCAATATTGACAACATTTTTGGTTTTGTCAGGGAAATTTATTTTCTTTCTATGAGCTGTGTAAAAATTACCAGTGGACCATTGAGGATGAAAAGGTTTGGCTTTATCTTGAAATCTATTTTTTTTCATTATAACATGTATTAAGGAGCACCGATGGAGTGCAACTCAAGTACATACTGTATACACAATTTATGCACCTAGGAATTGAAAGGCCATTATGGCATAAATATCATATACTATTAAGAAAAATTAGAATCAGAAGGAAATTAGGAAAGTCTGTTGTGGTCAAAATAGTAAAGAAACAATTAATTGAAAACAATGTTCTTACAACTCCTCCTGAAACTTACCTTTTTAGATGTGTGTCCCTATCAAATGGTGGATTGACCACAAAAATGGATACTTTCTAACTACAAATTGGTGCTGCTAGTAATGGAACTGCAAATTATCAATAATCTGACCATCTGTCTTGCATTTATCTCCAAGCTACCACAATTGTTTTCATTACTTGCACAATTATCAACATTGTCTATCCCAATGTACAACTCCATGTACAACTCCATTCTCAAGTCTCAACCTTAACTAAGAAAGCTACCAAAGCTAATAATATGTCAGCTACTACAGTTAAACTTGCAGAAACTTTAACTTTTGACACCTCAGAAATCATTCAGAAAGATACTATAAACCTTTTCCGACCTTAAAATAAAAACTGCACGTGCATGACCTTCCAAGAACACCCCTGTCCCCCCAGAAAAAAAAATTGAAAAACCCACTAGGGTTTAAAATTGTCAATTCAAGGGAGTAATCTGTCTGTCCTTACTCCATATATTTTTTGGCCAATCAATTTCTGCCAAAGAAACAAGATGACAGAGGATGAATCCTGTGTGTCATGAGTACACAGCAGAACTATCTATTCATAATTACGTATAATGATTACATAATATCCACATGATATTCTTTGATCTAAAATCATGCAGTCTACGTAGTTACCTTATTTGCATACGTTAATCTCAATACTCTCTTTCAAGTTGGAGCATATAAATCCTATGCATCAAGCTTATTTCATATATAATTGATACAATGTCCCCTTAAGGATTTAGTCAAACAATCTGCCAATTGATCATTAGAGTTGACAAATTGAGTAACAATATCTTCAGATAAGATCTTTTCTTTGATGAAGTGACAATCTATCTCAATGTAGTTGGTTCTCATGAAAACTAGGTTTGAGGCAATATGAAGAACAACCTGAATATCACATATTAAGGTCCTTCAGTAGCTGTTTGAGTCATATGACTCGATATTCTGTCTCTGTACTTGATCGTGCAACAACATTTTGTTTCTTGCTTTTCTAAGAGATAGTCTAAAGAATTCTGACTTTGATTTGCTTGTTTAGGTATTGAGTTTCAAGATGGCAGAGACCTTGCATGGGGACAGAATCCAGTTTACAGCTTCAGATGAAAGTCAAGTTAATGATTATTTTGATGAGAATGATCTTGGTTTTATTAACATCTTGTATGGAAGGTATTAAGTTATACAACATTCCTGTTAAGAATAATAGCCTGTGATAAACTTATAATAGTACTTTAATCTTTTGGGTATACTATAATTGATCCCACCTTCCAGTACATTATATGTATCTGTATGTGTCTAATCCTTTTCTATCTTAACAAATCAGAATCCAAATAATGATCTATTATGCTTCCAATTATCACATATCATCGGTGCAGAGTCTTTTCAAGATTTATGTTGGTTTTCTGTAGTTTAATTTTTTTTCTTAGATGTTGCTGAAGTTAGTTCCTTCTAGATGCAAAAGTGTACATAGATTTCATAACAATATAACATGTATATGAATTATTATAAAAAATTTGAAAAATAGAGTAGAAGAATATGCGATGCAGTTCCAAATAAATTTTTTTTCTCAGATCTGCAGGCAAGACCAATGTCGCTGTGTCATTCTCATGTGAATTTTCAACTTTTGGGTCAAAGTCACAGTCAAGGTTTTATAGTTCATCTTTATCAGTTACAGTGGTTCCTGATCTTCCTCTGGCTTTGGGAGTCCCTATAACCTGGATTCTTCCTCCCTACTACACAACAAGAAGCCTTTTGCCTTCATCTTCAGAAACTTATTCACAACACGATAGTTGGCCTCGCAGAGGAACCATCAGTTATTCTTTATTGAGAAATTTGGAGAAAAATGAAGCTCTGCAGAAAGATGCCATATTCATTGATGGGGATAGAATAAAGACAACAGAAAGTAATAATCTTGCTTGTATTCAAGCTAAAGATCATACAACTGGAAGAGCAGAGATTGCTTCATGTGTCAAGGTTGCTGAGGTATGGACTTTGATCTTTCATTTACTGTTTATCCGGGTCCACTTGTTTGTTGGCACTCCTATGAGAGTACAACTTTCCAGCTTGGGGCATTCTGCTCTCTCCTACAATGGACATCTAACTTCATAAAGTGGATGTTTAAAATATTAAATGGTTTTAAACCTGTATTCCCTAAATTAAAAAATAAAAAAAATCTCACCACAATAAGACTAAAGCTCACTAGCATGTTAAAAACTTCATGTAACATGGTTCAGCTCTCTCTTACCACACTGGAAACAACATACATATTTACTTATTAATGCTAGCTAGGGGTGAGAAAAAGATTCATTAATCCATTGCCCATCCCATCTGTCCATATCTAAAACCATCCAATTACAATAATGAAGTTTAATGGATTGGATTTAAATTAGTGGATGGCTAATGAACCAACAAAATAGAGAATGATATCCATTGGATATTTACTTATTAACTAGTCCATTAGACTTACAAGATCCAATTGAAATTACAATCTAGTGGTCAATATTTAAATAATTAAAAAACTTGTGCATTTATATGTACATGTTCTCTCTCTCTCTCTCTCTATATATATATATATATATATAACATTGAGTTTGAGAAATTTTAAGGAGAGGTAAGTATTCAGAGAGAGAGAGAGAGAGAGATAAATAATTTTTTACACAAAATAATATAATATTTAATGGATGGTTTGGATATTTTATTATTAAAGTTGGCAAATAGCCCATTATCTGCAGGGTAAAGTTTCAATGTAAATATTTTTTTCAAAATAGGCAGGAAAAAAAATCACAAAACAATGACATCTGTGCAACATCCTGGACAGATTATGGGATGAGTCATGTATGGGTAGAATTTTTTCATACCTTTTTAATTGGATCACAAATGGATTAATAATGTTTTTCAATCCAAATCCATCAATCCATCCATTTGCCTCTCCTACTTCTGGGTGCACATCTGTTATAAGGGTAATACATATATTTATTTTATTGACCATGTTATTTTCATTATAAACTCAAGTGTATTTATTTGATTGGAAATCGTAATTCACATCACCAATTTCTTTGATATGATCAGGTGGCTCAAATTAGAATTGCCAGTAAGGAGGTTCTGCTCAATGTAATCGACCTTGCTGTTGATTCAGAACTTGATCTTCCAACAAACTTTTATGATTCTCTTGGTATCTATGCCCCCTTGATAGTGAATCACATACAAGAACTTTAGACTGATAATACTCATCTTTTATTGTGTCTTACTATGTGGTTCAACAGGAAATCCTTTCTATGAAGCGAACAATGCAGTGCCTTTTTTTGCTGAAACTAACTATCCTGATGTTCTCTGCATAAACAAAACAGCTGATGGAAAAGGAAATGTGCATGTCAAGGTTTGTTGGTTTTTCTTAGAAATCATTTTTCTTGGTTGCCTATGTTTTTTTTTAATTTTGAGAAAGAAGCTGCATAAGAAGCTGCATACAACTTGCGCATTCATAGATTTTTGCAACTAGTGTTTTACATTTTTTTGTTGTTGAAAAGTGTATCGTGTGACTTTGGTCTCTAATGAAGTCAAGCCTACATAGTGATTTCCAGATCAGGCCTATTTCACTTTATTCATCCTTGTGATTTAGAGTCTTCACAGATTTGTGATTGGTATTTTAATTTAGTTTACTATTTATGGAATTGCTTTGCTTAGCTTAGTAAATTAATGGAATTCTTATCCTAACTAACTCATGATTGAAGGCAATTCGGCATGGTAAAGCTCTCGTGCGTGTAGCAATTAGTGAAGGTCTGCAAAAGTCAGACTATGTGCTGGTAAGAATTTACATTTTTTCCCCCAAAACGTGCACTAAAGTAATTAACTGCTCTACATACATATCTTGGATCACTTATGCTAGATTTTTTAAACCTATATTTTAATGACAATATGGAAATAATTTCATACTGATACACCTAAAGAGTCTCAGAATTTTGTTCGACATGATTTACCATTTCAGAACCTAGTTAATCCTGCAGTTCTGACTGTTGGGTGTGTATTGGTATTAGATATCTGCTAGATTGGTTAGTAACTGTTAGTGGAAGAGTTAGTTTGTAGGTCTGGGACTGTTAGTTAGTTGGGCTGGGATACTTAGTAGAACTAAGGTTTATTTGCTATAAATAAGACGATTTTGAGAGAGATAAATTTTTTCATTTGAGAGAATTGGGGCCTTTGGGAATCGGAAGGTGCATAACCATAAAGTTCTGCAGTGGTTCTATCTTTGTAATTGGGGTTTACCCCTATTTCTTCTTAATAAGATACCAGTTTTTGTCAAACTACCCTACTGTTTGCTTCTGTTTTCTTTTGAGAAACAAAACCTTAGATTGAACTTAATGATTACTAGATGCAATTGGCATCAATGATCAAGTTAATAGCATTTCCACCATAGCCATGCACATGATAAGTTGATTGAAATCATTGGTAAATAAGAAGTATTGGAGTGAATTTTTAAGATCATTCTTTTCCATTTTTATTCCCCATGTAGCTATTGCTACCGATAGGATACCTGATCCTCATGTTCTTGTTTCTTTCTCTCTTTAATAAAGCATCATTATTCATGTGTAATTTGGTTTGTTTTTTGCTTTCTTTTTCAGTTTATATATGTTCATTTATAATTACAAAAATTTGTTGGGGTCTCTAGGCTAGGAAGAATAAAGAGGTTATTAGGGATTAGAATCCTATTCTGTTAATAACAGAATAACTACTTGTATACATTAATAGAAAAGGGGATAGGGAGGATTAGCTAGGATCAGTAAAGAGTTTTGAGAAGGAAAATGGGAGGGAGTGTATAGGTCTCTATGGGAAAGGGAGAGAAGTTTCTGTACGATATATCATTCCTATATCACATTGATGCTGGGGCAGAAGATTGATTCTTCAGTAATAAAGATTACAGTTTTATCTAATTTCTGGTCCGGTTCAATCAAGTGTCACTTTGTTTGACTTTTTGTTAGAATATATGAAAAATATCCAATAATATATTGACCATATCTTTTGAGTAATTTGGAGTATCTTAGGATTACTTTCTATAGGCTTGTTTGTTTATTGTTTTTAGAAACAGATTTTGTTTTAAAAATACTTGTATGATTATAAAGGTTGCTTTAATTTGAGTACTGAGAACAAATTTTAAAATTATGTTTTCGAAAATGCAAACAAGTTTAAGATGTTTTGAAAACTCATTATTGTTTCTGTAGTGAGTAATCTATAAATAATTCATTTTACTAATGAAAACTTTATAATAAAATCTGAATTTTGAAGATCATCTCCCAATCATGATCTGTTGATTTCTCATTCACAAGCCTTTGATTTCCCACCATCCCACTATTTGCATAACCACCATCTTCCATCTATTTTCAAAATTATGTAACAATTTTTTTTTTAATTCCAAAACAATATTCTCTTATAAAATAGATTTTGAAAATAGAGGGAAAAAAAAAAACAGAATCAAACAACCCCTATGTTTTCTTATTATCTCATGACTTTTTTGTTTATTTAGGATTAAGAGTTTAGTACAAGTACAAATATAGTATTTTGTCTTTTTTAATACATGCAACATGTCATTTTGTTTGCAAATTCTTGAAAACAAGAGACAAAATAAAACCTACATGAAATTCTTGTAATTATTAGTGAAAATATATCAACTAAAAATGAAAATAGAAAATGTACCAATCACCTCCAAAATGTTTAAAGATCAATTGATGGGCTGGCTTGTGAAAGCATTTGAGTGATAATCTCCATGACTGGAAACATTATGACTTCAGAATCAACATGAACGCTGGAGCTTATCCCTGACATATGCATTTTTACCATTTATGTATTTCTCATTGCTATGCGATAAATTGTCCCTTTGCGTGAGTTATAACCTAACGTTCACTATTCTACCCTGTATTCATCTTGCCTCTTCACTTTCTCCATCCTCTTTCACTATCTGAATCCTTTTCTTTTTGCAGATTCGAGTTGGTGCCCATATATTTCCTCAAAATCCACTTCTTCACATAGGAGGAAGTCCACTCAACTTAAGCATAAAAGGTGTGGCTATTTTGAATGGTCTGTGTTAATTTATTCTTCTAATATTGCCTTGTCTCATGAACAGTTTTTTTTTTTAAATGTATTTATTAGAGATGTAATGAGACCATTGATTTACCTTCACTTAACATCTTATGATTTTGGGTGTTTTGATTTGTAAACCTGGCACACTGGAAGACAGTTATTCTCAATTGCTTGAACTGAGTTTAAGTTCAGAATGTTTTAATCTTTCCGGTTTGCCTATTTCTTCAGGAATGAATAAAGCATTCTATGTTCATGTTTCAGGTTTAAGTGAAAAAGTTTCAGGACAGTGGTTTACCACAAATCAAAGTGTAATATCAGTTGACACATTATCTGGGATGGCCAAAGCTATTGGGGAAGGTTCAGCCCAAGGTACTGAATAGTAATACAAGTACAGAAAATGAACTCTTTATTGTCTTGGCGTTTTTGCTTTATAAATAATTATTAATTACTAGTTAATTATACAACTCCCTAATTGAAATATGTTGTTATGAACAGTATCTTTCCATTATGGAAGATCGAAACTGCAAACAAAAATTACAGTGTTGAAAGGAGATAATATTTCTGTGGATGCTCCGAAGGAGATGTTGACTAATGTTCCGTACCCCTTAAAAGGATACAACTTCTCTGTGCAGTTCGGGTTTGTACATTATAACTCTAGACTTCAACTTGGTTTGGATGACGTTACCTTCTCTGACTGAATTAATTGTAGCAGTAATTCCTACAGAGAAAGCCTTGGTGCATCGGGAAGAAACAAGATAATTTCATTCAATTGTAGAGTAGATCCACCATATATGGGGTATCTCTATCTTTACTCATCTGGTATGACACTTTAAATTGTCAATTCATTCTTAGACTTATCTTCTACGCTCATCCACTGAAGGTATGTGAAGCCATGGTTGGATCTGGATTCTGGCAACTCCTATTGCCTATTTTTCCCTTACTCCCCGGAGCATTTGGCGCACTCAGTACCCAAGTTAGAGGGCATGAGACCAGATGTATCGCTCTCCATTTCTGCTTCTCTTAAAGAACATGAACATATTTCAGGATCTGCATCAGCACTTTTTATTGGAGGATTTTCTATAGTGGAAATGAGCAAGGTCATACTAACTAAGCAAAATGGATCCTTCAATTCTTTACCGTCTCAGTGCTTGAAAGTACATGCCTGCTTGACATAAGTGTTTGATTTTTTAAGTTGAATGCCTGCCATTTTGTCGGTGCAGTATCTTGATCAATTTGCCCTACTTTATGCCTGTAATGTGCTGAATTGCAAATTCAGCGGAACCCCTCAAAACCTGATTGTGAAACAAACTATGAAAATTTAATTTCTGATGTTAAAATTCTCTTTTTCCCCCTCAGAATTCGATGCAGCTGAATCTGACACCTGGCTCTAACAAAACGTGCATAACCATCTTGGGAAATACTGGTACGATGGCATATCTCTGTTTATCTTTCAAGCAAATCATGTAACCTCATTTACACCCCACCCTCTCCTGGTGAATAAAAAACTGAATAAGGCCAGGGTGAATCTTCCAATGGCATATTTACTAGGAAGGAAATTAACATCATTTCCCCCAGTCATTACCTCATTTGTTACTTGATTAACCATACTTTCGTCAGAAGTTCCCCTGTCTATCTCTTCCTAAAAAAAACTGATGTGGTTTGGTGGGTGATTGTGAGACATTCTGATAATGATGGAGATTTTTCTTAAGCAATAGCTATCATCTTCATTAACTGTTAAGAGCGTAGTTGCTACGAATATTTCATCGCTTTATTCTACCATATGTAACGTTGAACGCTTTGGCTGTCTTTAATCATAGATGTTGAAATTTACTGGCATCACCGAGATTTGGTTATGATCACTCTCATACGTAAAGAAGATTTTGGCATTCGAGGGTTTGCACGATATGAGGTAAGTGCTTTCACTGTGTTTTATCATTGCCCAAATCTAAATTTGAACTCGCCATTTTTCCCCCTTAGTTAAGTGAGATGCATTCTCCATGAGCCTTGTATTTCTTTTCTTTGTGCTGCAGTCCGATGTTAAAATATCACCTGAGAAGTTCACAACTATCCAAAGAACACTGATCCCCTTACTAGACATGCCATAAATGTTTCAATTTTAGATTTAAAACATTCTTATTTATTTTTTCTTGTCCATTCTTCCAGGTTAAACTGCTAAAAGCCAAGAGATTCAAAGACAAAATCATCATCACACTCCCAGCTAATGGTTACATTTCCATAAAGCTCAATATGACTTTTATAAGTTGGAGGTCACAAGTATAATCTTTCTTTTACCTGTTTTACAGGTCAGAGAGTGGAAATAGACATCAACTATGAACCTGAGGAACCAGCACCACCCAACGCAACTATAATAAGTAAAGCCTTCATGGGAAGCGTCCTGGGGTGTTTTCTGCTGTTGATTTTGTCAATTTTTATCTTCATACGTTTCTTGGACAGACCAGACAGATCCCAGCAAGCAAGTGCTCCAGTTACTACAAATTGCAATGCGCCTACAACTCCTGATAGAAGCAGCAGTCCAACTGTTGTAAAAGACGTGTCTCCTCGAACTCCTCAACCATTCGTAGACTATGTAAGAAGAACAATCGATGAAACCCCATATTACAAGAGAGAAGGGAGAAGAAGGATTAATCCACAGAATACGTTTTAGACTTACCACTACGTTGTATTCCTACCATTACTCTCACGTCAGAGGCTGACACGTAGAGGAGCTCACTTGTACTCGCTAATGTTGTATAATTTTCAGACTCACAATTTTGTTAGCTACATTTAGTTGTGTAAATTTAGGAATATATGCCATCATTAAGTGGTGATCACGTTAAATAGCTGTCTTGTAAGGTTAGTGTCGTAGTTGCATTATCTCATTGTTTCACCAAATAACCTTTTTTTTTTTCTTTCAAATAATGATAATATAATTTTCCTGCAAAATGTGATAGTTCCACGATCCGTTCGACATTCCACATACTGTAATGACATTATACGTTTTGTCAACATATTGTTTGAGTAAACCCTCGAGATCATCTTCTAATTTAAAGTGGAATTACAAATTAGTTCATGAAGATATAATTAAATTTTCAATGTACCAAAAAAACATTAATCCTATAAAGACTGTACTGCTAAATTAATTTTTAAATACTTAATCGGTCGTTAAATTAATCTTTATATTTTTTCCTCACGTTGAATCTTATTGAGCTCCAGGCAATATCACATGTAAGTTTAATTTTGTATTAAGTTTAATGTATTTTGTCTGCCATAATGCATTTAATTTAGTAACAAGTTAAGAAAAAAAATTGTATTTTGCTCCGTAGTAAAACTTTTTTCTTTTGTGTTCGTTTTTTTTTTTTTTTTGTCAAGGTTTCTTTTGTGTATGTAAACGTCATAAAACACTTCAAAGAGATGATTACACTTGTTTTTGGTATGAACTTATCAAAAAGAAAAACAATGAAATGATGAGCACAAGAGGCCCATAATAAAACATCCGAAAACGTGCGGCCCATGAACCACAACACAATACAACACAGGATATTCTACGAGGAATCTAAGACCATTCATTGTCTTGTCTGGTTCTTAACAAATAAAGGGTTTTACAAAAAAAAAAAAAAAACAAGAGAGAAAGTAATATCTTCTAGGGTTTCTCTTTCTCTTGAATTGTCTGCTACCAAAGGCTCTTTCTCCTCATTCTCTTCGGAATTCGTGAGCCATGGAATCACCCGATAACGAGCATGTAGTGGGTGGCGCCGAACCCAACGACGTCGTTAGACCCTTTTCCCACAGAGAAGAACCCCACAACTCCCAACCCCTCACCGGCGATGGTGCCAGCCCCGGGTAACCGTCTTTTCTATCTCATCAATCTCTTTGATTTCCCAGAAAATTTTTAAAATTGGAACCTTCTAGAAATACTCAGACTAAAAGATCCCTTTTTTTTTTCTTTTGCAATTCCAAGCAAAAGGGTTTCTTTTTGTTATTTAGATTAGACGACAATTTTCTTAGATTTGGTTCTAATTCCACTCGACCCCATAATTTGCAGAAAGATATTTATAGGTGGTTTAGCGAGAGAAACGACCATTGGTTAGTGCTTGCTTTGTCTTTATTTACAATTATCATGATTATTAGAGGGTGCTAATCCCTTCTCTGTATTGTGTGGATTTGAATAATGGATTCTTAATCTTACCCCTTTGGCTTGTGTTTCATGTTCAGCCCAATTTATCAAGCACTTTGGTAAATATGGTGAGATTACGGATTCTGTCATCATGAAGGACAGGAAAACTGGGCAGCCTCGGGGATTCGGGTTTATAACATACGCGGATCCCTCTGTGGTTGATAAAGTGATTGAGGACCCTCATATCATCAATGGCAAACAGGTATCGCTTGAATTTTAATGATGTATGTTGGCTTAGGACTTTGTGTTTTGTTTTGATTATAGTGATTAGTGAATGGATAATGCTTTGCTGGCTCTTATGGTTTTGGGATCATATATAGGTTGAGATTAAGCGGACGATACCAAGGGGAGCTGTTGGCTCTAAGGATTTTAGGACAAAGAAAATTTTTGTAGGTGGAATTCCTTCAAATGTGACTGAAGGTAGGTTGCCTCTTTAGTGAGCTAATTTTTTGCTGCTTGGCTCTGAGGTGTAAACAAGGGGGACACATTGCAACACCTTGAGAGAGCAAACTCCAAAATATAAGGACAGTAATGACATAAAATAAGTAATCTTAGTTTCTGATCCTAGAATTGAAGATTGTTTACTGTATATATGAGGGTACTGTCTAGGATCTATCAGAGGTACATTTTGATACTGTACTTGGATAGAGCTCCCTTATTGTCTTGTACCTGATATGTTCAAGTTTCTTCTCCTAGAATGTCTGCTTTTGAGCCTTTTCACCATAGCATAATTCACATCTATGCCGAGGTGAATGATATTTCATGTTTGTTTGGCGTGCAAGTAAATTGACTATTTTCATTATTGCTACCCTTTCTCCCTTTACAGCTCTTTTGAAATTACCTTTAGCTGTTTTTTAGACACTAGAAACAATTATTTATTTGGAAAGTAATTTGTTAATCCTAGAATAGCTGCATTGATTGGCACTTTGCTCTGGTTGATATTGTTTTACTCTAAAGATGCACTTGTGCAGATGAATTTAGAGACTTCTTCACACGCTATGGAGAAGTCAAAGATCACCAAATAATGCGCGACCACTCCACCAATCGATCTCGTGGCTTTGGGTTTATCACATTTGACTCTGAAGAAGCTGTTGATGATCTTTTGTCCATGGGGAACAAGATTGAATTTGCTGGAGCTCAGGTGAGGAATCTTTAATCGACTACCTGCATTGCATTATTCTATCTGGCAGATGTAGAATTCAGTGTAATACAGGGTTTGACTTCTATAATTGGCATCCAAACCCTGAAGCTTGAGATTTTCATGGCTGAGAAGTGTCTTGAAAACAGCAAGAGATTGGCTTCTTGGTTTTGTCAGCATCCAGAATTGCATTTTTTAGAAATCTTTTTGGTAAAAAACCAAGTTTTCTAAAGGTTTAAGCTTTTTGGTGGAGGCAAATTATTGGCTTTGATGCTCATGTCCAAAGAATATAACTCATGAATCATTGTAACTTTAAGCCATACTTTACTGCCAAGAATCAAGAGGCAATAATTTCTGACTTTGTCCTCTTGAATTCTTTGTACCAGTTGCAAAGCACATCACACAAAAAAATTAGTTTGATAGTTCTATAACATCATATCCCTCTATATGTTTTATTGACAATTACTGCTTGGAGTAGTTGAGTTGATTTCTCCCGGGGGCCCAATACAAAAAAATTCAGGCTACTTATACTTTTTGTTTTGAACAGTGAGCAGAAACGAACTAGAGTAAAAAGTAAGGGTGTATGGGGAGGAAGTTCAAGCATATCAATAGAAATTTGCACTGTGCTTTGTTTATGGGGGGGATGGGAATTTATGTATTGTTTTACTGATGAATAAAGTCATCTGCAAAAGTATATTGCACTTAGTTCTAACTGTTTGTGCTACCCTTCTGGGTTGGTGCGTTATCAATCAAAAAAAACATTTTTGACATTATAAGTAATTATTTCCACGATATGACAGACCAAGAAACTTCTTGAGCTATTTTGTGTGTGTGTGTGTATATTGTTTTTTTTTTAATAAAATGCAATTTTTATCAATAAAGTAACCTTTTTATCTTTCCTTTGTAGGTGGAAATCAAGAAGGCTGAACCAAAGAAGCCAAATGCACCACCTCCATCATCCAAGCGCTACAATGACTCGAGGTCTTCATACAGTGGTGGATATGGAGATGCTTATGATGGATTTGGTGGCAGCTTTGGAGTTGGAGGTGGTTACAGATCCGGTGGTGTCTATGGTGGTAGGGGCAGTGCATATGGTGGCTATGGAAGTGAATTTGGTGGATATGGAGGATATGCTGGTGCAATGGGGCCCTATAGAGGAGATCCCTCCCTTGGGTACTCTGGTCGTTATGGTGGAAGCTTTAGCAGGAGCTATGATCTTGGTGGGTATGCAGGAGCCAGTGAGAATTATGGAGCATATGGTGGTGGTGCTGGTGGTGCTGGTGCTTCTGGTGGCGGTGCCTATCAAAGTGGCTATGATGCTGGCCTAGGGGGCGGATATGGAGGGCCCAGTGGAGGCCCCTTCTATGGAAGTAGAGGAGGATACGGCGCTGGTCGATATCACCCTTATGGAAGATAAGAAGATAGAAGCAAGAACTTTTAGTCTAGGACTGATATATCTAGCACCAAGGCAAGTTTCTAGTTTGTGTTTGGTTCATCAAATAGATAAAATATTGTCATTTAAAAAAAAATTGTCAATGGGACTTTAAATATTCAGCACACTCATTTCTTGTAATCGTTAGAAGACCAAAAAAAGTTTCCTGTTGAAGTTGGGTTTTTGATTGATGGTAAGAGCTGCAAATTGTGCAGATGGTTGTATTTTAAACCTTGTTCATTATTTTTGTAACGTTTATTACTACTATCTATCTCTTTTGTTTGTTCGATTTAATTACTCCGTAGGGATTTGTTATTTATACATAGTTGTTATTATCACCAGCCGCAACGAATAGAGCCACTATTGTGTCGGAAAGGTGTGTCGTGTTTCATGAAACTTTTAGTGTCGTGTTTTGTGTTGGGCACAGCTGTTCCTTGTTTGTTGGCACATCAGTCCTTCTCTTTTTCCAATCAAAACATTAGGAGCTGTCTGATTTTTTAAAATGTTTTTTTTTTTTTTTTTTGCGTTTAATTACAATTCTTATCTTGTTTTTATTCACTTTTTTATTTTGTTTCATATAATAAATAGTTTTTTTTTTGTTTTTTGTGTTTTATTTTCAAAATGTTGAAAATAGAAAATAAAATAAAAAAGGTGGTAATTTTATAATTAAATGAAATTTTTTAAAACCAAACAAGTCCTTGTTTTTCTTTACAAAGCTATTAGCCTAATTATTTGTGGGCCAAGCCGAAGCGCACTCCTATGCAGATTTCATCGTACTAGTGTACTGTATGACATTGTCCTTTCATTTTATGAATGATTTTGACGTAATGGATATCAAATTACTAGCAAGATGAGTATGGGTTTGGATGGATTTAGTGTCTAAAGGTGAGGAAACAAGTAAAGGAAAAAAAATTGAGAATTTATTATTAATTTTATTTCATGCATTTTATAAATATAATTAGTGTTATATTAATGGTAAATAGAGTTAAATCTAGGTCTAGGTTTAAATCTGATTGTTTTGTGCAATTTATCATTATTTTTTTCAACGTTGAAATATTACAGCTTGTGTTGTAACTTATTTTATTTTATTTGTGTTGGTCTTGAATTGAGTTACATCTTACACAAAATGTTTCATCAACAAGGTTCAAAAGATGTTTCTACATTTTTTAATTGGGTTAGATGTAATTTAATTAACTTTTTATTTTTTGTAGTTAATTCTAATATTAACAGAGTAATTTTATTTCATTATTTTGTCAAAAGAAGATCATATATCATTTGACTAAAATAATAATAATAATAATAATAATAGATGTAGATATGGATGAGAAAAAAGTACTACTTGTGCGAGTATGTTTCTAGGGATGAGGATTTTTTTTAGATGCTAATACAGGAATAAATACTTTAACATCATAGTTAAATGTTATTCATTGTTATTCCTATTTTTAACATCTTTTTCTGTCATTTTAATCTTGCTTGGAAATCGTTTTCATCATCATTATTATTATTATCTTTTATCCTAGCTCTAGTCTGTATTGTTCATAAGTTCTTCTAATAAGATTTTACAAGGAAATATATAAGAAAATATAGTTTGTTTGGTTTTTGTTGATTGAGATTCTTTTAGAAAAGTGAGACTATTTTAGTGTGATTTCCAAGGTAAATAAATCTCGAAATTTTCTTCTCATTCTGGTGATAAACATGCAGATACCAAAAACAAATGGCAATCATGGAACATTGGTCTTGCCGTCTTGGTGCATATACAAAGGTGCTTTTTCAGCTATATATACATTGTTGTTGAGTTTCCCATTGTTATGGCTTTTCCTGCTCAAATTTTTCCTTAGAAAGAATACCTTTTGCCTCAATAAAACAGATTTAATTGCATGGACAAGGGAAGAGTGATAAGGTATTATAATAGGAAGAAAATTGAAAAATTCATGAGAACACACCATGACAACAAGTACACAACATAATACGAATACAGTTCCAAACTATTTAGCTATATGAAACATATAAACGTGCGATCAAATATGCAATCACAAAAGTAGATAGGCATATAATAGGGGACAATGCATGTGTCCGAGCTCAAATTACACAAAAGTAGATGAATGATAAATTTTAGCATATATATATTATTTTCATAAATTTGAGAAAATAGTTGAATCACTAAAAATTAATATCATATACAATATTGTGTATGATTTTATCTTTTTATGTGCATACATACTAAAAAATATACTTTAAATATATGTGTGTATATATAAAATATCTACTCCCAATGACACACAACATTTTAACCAAGAGAAATGGTTGTGATTGCTTCCTTTGGATCTATTGTTTCTCATGTCCAATGGCAAACATTATGTGGGGATGGCTAATGGGTCCAATTGAGATGAGGAAATTATGGCAAGGTGTTTGGTTAACCAGCCATGATGTGATTGTCTTTTGCCTTTATGGTTCAAAAAGCAGAAGGTGAGTGTAGATTCATCACTTCAATTGTTCATGTACTATTTAATAAAACATAATTCATCTCCTTTCATGTTGTCAATGTTTCCCTATTGATTCAACTATGCATATTGGTGTTCCCACATAACTGAGAATGGGAATGGAACAGAACCATGCAACCTTTTCAGCTGGGGCATACACCTAATGTCATGTTTTATTTTTGAGTAATTATATTCTTACAATAAAATTATAAAATCTGTCACATCATTTATTTTATCACACATTTTCATTTTTCATTTCATACCTTTCTCCAACTCTTATTGTATGAATTATTGTGTGTACATATTGTAAAAATATGATATCTGGTTTGTTTTTTCAATACAAGTTGCAATATGGGGAGAGTGTAACAATCATGAAGGCCCAATATTATTTTTTTTTTCATTGAAAAATATAATGGCTTGTATTTCACATTCATTCCACTATATTCTCACAGCTGATTCTCTTACATCGTCTTTTAGACTTTATTATTTTAGTTTCTCTCTTTTTATTTTCATTACATCATGCATTTTACTATATCACTCACTCCACTTCATTCTTTAGTAAAGTACACAGACTTTAATTGGATATCAAATAGTTTTTTTCTTTTATAAAAAAGTGATATTTATATATAAATATAACATTTTTAACTTTATTTTTTTTATCACATTATAACATTTATTTATTTTTCTCTTCCTTTATATCCATTTTTACGTAAATAAATAAAAAAAGGGTGTACAGATATGAGTAGTCTTTTCATAGCTTAGTACTATTGTACGTATCTACTCTACCGTCTGCACTGTTTCACACGTGCAACACAAGCATGTCCCACCTCTTTTCACATATCATCCCAAACATTCAAAATCAATTAGAGTAGTAAAACAAAACAATTTCAAAAATAATTATTGCATCGTGGTCTGCTATATTTAAAAAATAAAAATATATTTTTTAACTTATTTTGATAATTTATTTAATATAATTTATTGAAATATCTTTTTGCAGTTTATTTTTAAAAATATATAACTACATATGTGATATAAACTTGTATGTAAAAAAAATCACATAAATAATTAGTTAAAATGTGTTTACAAACATACCTTTGTTAATTATTAAATAACTTTTTATAGTAAAAAACTTAATTTTATAATCAATAAATAAAAAATTTAAAGTATACATATATTAATTAGGCCTAATTATTATTATTATTATTATTATTAAAATAATTTTACTAAATGAGTTGGCTCTCTTTCTCCACTGTGGCCAACAGAACAGGGTGTGTGATGGCAATTAGGCTGTTTAATTCATAATATTGTCGTGTATGTGTCAATAAGATTCAATCTATCTTTGCACAAACAAAATTGCACCCATCAGATACATCTTTTCCTCTCTTTCTTCCTTTACTTTTATTAGTATTCTGCTTCAACTACCTGTAATCCAATTCCACTTCAACTCTCATAAAAACTGCTCATAGCTTTGTTTAGTCAAGCAATTTAGAGCCAGAAAAAACACTTTATGGAATACTAAAAATAGCTTTATAGAGTTCTTTTTCTTCTTAATAATCATTTTTTTGAGTGTCAATTTAAAAAAAAACATTATTAAGAACTTTAAAAAATTGCATCTAAGTGAGAACATCTCTTAATCATGGTTGGATTTGCATACAGTTGTTGAGAATTGAGTGTTAAAATATTGGTGTGTTGTTGTGGGGCTAAATGGAGGCTGAGGTCCATCATATGGGGAAAGCATGTAAGTGGTCACAATCATTGGCTTGTGCTTATGCTGCCCACCCTCTCCACTTGGACCCCACATATTCTCTCCTTTCATACATTTTTTTTAATCACTCAAAGTTAATATCATATATCACATTATATTATTTATATTCTTATTTATTTTAAAAATATTCATATTTATATGTTTATGTAAAAAATTGAAATAATGTTAATTATTTTGTATTAATTTCATTTTTTATAAAATGACATTAATAAAAATTACTTCAACAAAAGTGATAATAAATACTCCAAAAAAATGTTTGTACTATTTGAATAGTGTTGGAATTAAATAAATATTGATAACGGATAACTTAATGATTTTTGTAATTATTTCAAAAAAATAATTAAAATTGAAAAATAATGTTTTTTACAACTATTTACTTTTTATCTTATATAAATTTTAAGAAAAACTTAACTAGTGTCAATTAATTTTTCAGAAAACATGGTTTTACTATGGAAAGAAATTTAACATTATCATAAATTATTAAATAAAACATTAATTATAATTAAAAAATAACACTGAAAATACTTTTAAATTTATAATTTAAAAAATGTCTTAAATATAAAAAAAATTCAGATAGTGTATAGAAAAAATTTCCATTTATCATAAAATCCAACCTAGCAATGATTGATGAATAATAGAACCTTATTTTACATTGGACAGTGAATCATATTTATAGTATTATTTTCTTTCATGAACTAAATAAATTTATAAAAAAAATACAGCAAAAAATGTTTAAAATAATTGAATGTTGTGTCTCCCCATTAGTTGCACCTAATAATAGAGTTTCTCTCCAAAATAGCACAGTGGCAAGTTATAACAGCATGGCCGCGATCCTCTACAATCAGCTTTCCCTGCAATTGTTAATCAAATTTTTTATAAAAAGAAAAAGAAAATTAATGGTAAAAGATGCAAGTCTATACCCTACAATCATATTCTCTACTGCAGAGGATCAATTTTGGAAGAGAATCAACGACAACAGTGCACGTGGTACAAGTCAGGTTCACGTGTGTGCATGTGAATGCTCTTCCATATGATTCTTCCCACTCTATTTAATTTCCACCTTTTTTAATTTTTGTTGCATACCTAACTCTCATGTCATTGTTATTACCAATTTACCATCGATTTTAGTAACTTTTTCCTTCCCATTATTTCCAAAGTTAATTTTTTATTGTAAAAAATATTTACTGAATCACTTTCTAAATAATAATAATATATAAGATTCCTTAACACATGTGATTTTATTTTAGTATAATTTATGTTATTTGATTATAACTTTTTTTTATGTATCTTCAAAGATATTAATTCATAAAAGAATTATTCAAAATTTATAAAAAAAATATTTTAATTATATTATTCATCCATGTAAAATATGTTAATGACACTTTTCACACATAAGATTACACATTTGATGTTTAAAATATGTAAGACTAGACATTTAATTAAATAAAGTATAATATCATATTAAAAAATTAGTTTTAATTTGACTTTAAAAGTTTGCTTGAAAAATAAAATTTATCCAAATTTTATAAAAAAATATTATAAGCATATCTTTAGTTAATATAAAATATTTTAACAGGAATGATTTTACAAATCAATTAAATTGTTTTCTTTTTCATACAGTAAGTTCAACTCAATCAAATTGATTAAATCCTTAGTTTAATTATTGAGTTTATGTTTTTTAAATTAATTTAATCCAAATTGATTAAGATATTTTGTACGTATATTTTACTTTTCTAATATTTGAAACAAATTAAGAAAAATATTTTAGTTAATGTTATTGTTAATTACCTTTTGTGTATTTCTATGATGAATTTTTAATTGTTTTCATATTTTTAATTAGAATTTTAAAAGAATTGTAAAGTTGTGCACACCGATATAAATATTTTACATTTTTGCCTAAATATATACGAGAGAACATTTTTTATGATAAATTAAATATTTTTATATTTTAAATTTTCATGGTATGAGAGAGAAAGCAACTGAGATAATCCAAATTATTTTAATAATCGATAATAAGGTGTAAAAGAAAAAGGCTTGATTATATTTTTAGTTTACGTATTTTCATTTATATATGATTTTTTTAAAAATTTTAATTACTCGTACTTAATATTTTTTATTATTTAAATTAAATCTTCAACTTAAAATTTCATCTAATAATTAATAAAAATATAATAGAGTGTGATATATTATTAATTTGTATAAATTAATAAAGATAAATTAAGTAAATCAATTTAAAATATATAAAATATAATCAAATTATTTTAATTACTTATATTTTTTTATTTATTAAAATATGTGCATAAATAATTTATTATATTTTTTAATTATTAGATAATAATTAATTTACTATAAAAAATAAAATTACACACAAATTAAAGAATAAGAATTAAAAATAATTAAGCAAAAGAATTAAAACTCCCAATTCTGTTCTGGTTTGACACTTTGACTATAATAGAAGTCGTTCTTATGGCGAATGTTTGATGCAAATTGCATGGAATTTGTAATTTGAATTTTATTTTATTTTATCTATACGTGTATGTTGTATTCTTATATTATCTTTTTAATTTTATATTACACTAAAACTCAAAATGTAAGAGATACCATATAGTGTCCCCTTACGATGTTATTACAAAGGTGTTCAAAAAATATTTTCTGATAAAAATATAATATATATATATATATATATATATATGTATATTTGTATTTAAAAGAGAATAGGAAATTATTAAAACTGTATATATCTACAATTATATTTCAAGATAGACTTTTTTTTTTAATATTATTCAAGCAATCATATTTTTAAAATCATATTTTTTGGTATAAAAATTTTAAAAAAACTTTGAGCCATTAATTTTAAGACCGCATCGTTTTCAATTCAATTCAAACATACACTAACTATATATGAAACAGGTGAATGAATAAGCATAACCAATAATTTACAAAGTCTATCAACTTTTTATTGAACTTGGAAAATAAAACATGAAACTACTAAAATTTCTCTTTGACTAAGTATGGATTAGTAACTTTTATAAATAATCACATTTTAGTGAAATGTTTTCTTTTTAAAATTATTCTCATTTTCTCTTTCTTTTCCTTTTACTCATGCAACTATAAAATTTATATTTCGAGTAGTAAATATCATATGTATTGTACAAAAATATTTAAGGAGGAATTTTTAATGGTATTTAAAAAATATATTAAGATAATATAAGTTAAAATATTACTTTAGTAGTTATATTTAATTTAAATGAAAAAATGATTATTAATTAAAATGATTAAAGAAACAACAAATATTAATTTAACTTGATATAGAAGCTCATAATATACGTGTTAAAAAAATAAAGAATTTATACAACTATATGAGAACAAAAACCATATATATATATAATATTTCTTAAAAGTATAAACTCAACTTTATAATATATAAATAAATAATGCAGATAAATATAAAAAAGAACAAATCTAGGGGATTTAAATTGGTGTTAAAAATATAATACTTTAACTAGTTTAATCATTTTACACTTATAGTCATTGTAAGGTATTCTTAAATTATTCAGGGAATTGTGTGAAGTAATATATTATTGTATTATTATAATGTACGTTTATGGCATGGCACTGTTAACTACCTAGTTTTCTTCTAACTTTTTGGTTCCAATTTCTTCATTTGAATAACCCATGATATCAGAAGTTTGACAAATTACTACTATTTCTATGATTCTCTGCATGTTATTAAGTATTTAACCTTTCAATCTAAAAAATGAAATAGACATTATAAAACAAGTAGTTTTGTTAACATTTAATCCTTATTTAATTTTTAATGTTGTCATTTTAATTTTGAAAAGATCTTTATCAACTTTACCAAATAAAGCCTTTATCCGTCTCAATTAAATTTTTTTGAATAATTAATACCGTATCTGAATACCGATTATCCTAAGCAAATTTACTAAATGTTATCATCAAATAAAAAGTTCATAGTATATCAAAAATATTATGTCTGGATAAAGTCTGTAAGACACAAGATATATAGACAAATCGATGGCAAAGTAAATTTTTAAATTATATTCAAATTTTTAATTACTGTTTATCTAACTCTTATTTTTTAGTTTATTTAATAAAAAATATTATTTTCTCAATTCAAAGACCAGTTTATTTCAGAAGGAGCTAACTCTAATTTAACCTCATATTCTATAATTTTACATGCTACAAAAAAGCAGCAAAAGTATATTTTACATAAAATAACCTCAAAATGATACTTAAAAATTGCATTGAAAGCAAACTATTTTAATATTTTAAAAAATAATGTAGGAATAATATAAGAAAAATGGTATATATAAAGGGACGTTATTGTGCAAAAAGTGGGAAGGAGTGTCTCACAAATAATGGTTGATGCTAGGAAAATGAAGTGCCCCATACCAGCCACAACATAACCCATTTCTCTTGAACCTGTGTTCTTAAAAAGCATAAATTTTTTATTGCAAAAACAAGAACAAGAAACAAAGAGAATTTGGCTTATAGAATGAAACAATACATACATGCATTAAGATAAGATGGCTCCGTTTTCTGCAACGCTGATTCCATAAGGCCACATTGTTTTAGGTGTAAAAACAATAGTAAATAAATAAATAAATAGTATTTTATTATTGTTGTTAGTATTATTACAGTTTTATTTGTTTAGTGCCTTTCTTTTGGATCGGATCTGAGACAAAGAGGTTGTTCACTCTTGTTCAGTGGTGCTGAAAGACATACCAAAGTTACTTCACTTTCTGGTTTTTCTTTTCTTTTTTTTTCTTTTTCTTTTTCTTTTTTCTTTTTCTTCCTTAGCATGTCCACATGCTTCTTCCTCCACCACCCATGAACAAATGAAACAGCGTTTCTTGCTCTTAGTCTACCACATTGCCATTTCTCTCCTCTGATCAGGTTCTCTCTTTCTCTCTCTACCTATGATCAGTTATTGTTTCCCACCCTTTGCTTTTTCTTTGAAGTAGAATCAAAGAAAGCTCAAGGGGACTTCTAAAGAATCAAACTTTTAACTTGGGGTGTTTTAGTTTAATGCATTTGGTATCAGAAAGTGTTGGTGGTCTTGATTGTTCTTCTGGGTGAGGCTATCTGCTTCGTCAAGTTGTGGTCTTGTTTGTTGCCAAGTGTCCACAAAGGCAACCGGGTTCTTGGGAAAGTTGTAAAACTGTTTGAGAAGCCTTGTGTGAATTTTCTTGAGGTTTAAATTTAATGGAATCCTTTAGGTGTTTGCTGTTTATGATGCTTTCTTTTGGGTTATGAATAAGGTGTGTGAATTTAAAGTCTTTTGTTTGGGGCTTTCTAAATGGATTCTATTTAGTTGAATGGTTTTATGTTTGTTGCATCTGAAATGGGTCTCTTGCAGATTCTCTTTTGTTTTCTTTATTTTGTTTTGTGATTTTCATTATCTGCGAGCATTTTTGTTGTTTTACAGTTTCTTTTCCTAAATATAAATTTTATAGACATTTTGAATGAGTACATTACATGTTGATGTTGGTAATTCACTGTGCTGAGTTGGATTTTGAAGCGTGTTCAGATACCCTTAATGGAGTCAATTGTTGATGGAGTTGAGGCTTTATCAGAGGTTCAGAATTCATTTTCTGGGGTAAATCAAGATCCTCCTTCAACATCTGGGACTCCGCGTCCTTCGCGGCCTCCTTTGAGAGCATCTAGAAACCATGGAGCTTCTTCAACATCATTTTTGGGTGGTAACCAAACCAAGACCATCATCCACCATAAAAAAAACAGCTATGTAATTAATCAAAAGCATTCCTATCAAGAGGGTAACAATGTGGAGCATGAAGGATTGCCAACAAAGTTTTGCAGCAAGCAACCATTTGATGACTCCAAGAATTGTTGTGAGTCAAGTAAAGAGTTATTAGAATCCGACAAACCAGCCTTTGCTAATCAAGCAAAGAGTTACTGTCAGTCAGAGGTTACATTTTGTCCAAGTCCTCAGAATAGTTTCTATTCAGCCACTGTCTATTCAGAAGCCAAACAAAGTTTCACCAATACTGAAGTCAGTGAGCGTGCAAGTGTATGTGAGAGTGGCGAGGTGGCAAATTCCTGTGATTTTAATGAGAGCAGGAAGACCAGCATATGTAGAGTGAGTACTGGAAGTGATGTTAGTGATGAGAGTAGCACCAGTAGTTTGAGCAGTGCTTTGTATAAACCTCACAAGGCAAATGACATACGATGGGAAGCAATTCAAGCCATTCGAGCTCACGATGGGGTGTTGGAAATGAGGCATTTCAGGTTGTTGAAGAAATTGGGATGTGGAGACATTGGAAGTGTGTATCTAGCAGAACTGAGTGGCACAAGGACTTCTTTTGCCATGAAAATCATGAACAAGACAGAGCTGGCGAGCCGCAAGAAGCTTCTGAGGGCTCAGACAGAGAGAGAGATATTGCAGTCTTTAGATCATCCTTTTCTACCCACATTGTATACACATTTTGAGACAGAGACATTCTCCTGCTTGGTAATGGAGTTCTGCCCTGGTGGGGACCTGCATGCACTCAGGCAAAGACAAACTGGGAAGTACTTTTCGGAGCATGCTGTCAGGTTAGCAATTCCTTTTCTCCTTGATCCTTATAATAATATCTATATATAACAATTTGACACATGTACAACAAGCAAGGGTCAGGGAACTTAATATTGGTTAATTCCGTATTCCTTGGTTTATGATCTCATGGATTCCATGGCACCCTGGAGCCAGGAGGGAAACTAGTTATGATGGAAAACAATGAATAACTTGGTGAATAATACTACGAATAGTTTCTCTTTCAGCACCTCAATTCTTATATAATGGTTTTTACAAGTGTTTGCCTATACCATTTTAAGAATATTAGTTTTTGATAATTTCTTCTGTGAGTAACTAGTATCAGTTAGTAGTCATCAACGCATAATGTATTTCATTAACAGATAAAAAGAATCTGATACCGATTAACTTGGTGGAAACCACTCCTCGGTACAAACTAATGAGTTCTATCCAACATAAGACAAACAAATTTAGATTGCCGGTATATTAGCTTCTAGTTGCCTGTTTAGGAGACATGAGCTATGACAATGATAAGGATGCGTCTTTTCTTTAGAATATTTTGGAAAGGAAAATATATGGTACAACTAAGTAAATTTTCATTTCTTTACTCTCAATTTTTTGGTTTGCAGGTTTTACGTGGCAGAAGTTCTCCTTGCCTTGGAGTACTTGCACATGCTTGGGATCATCTACAGAGACCTCAAACCTGAGAATGTGTTGGTGAGAGAAGATGGTCATATAATGCTATCAGATTTTGATCTCTCTCTAAGGTGCACTGTCAGTCCAACTCTAGTGAAGTCATCAAACTATAGCTCAGAGACAAAAAGCTCAGGATACTGCATTCAGCCTGCTTGCATTGAGCCAACATGCGCAATGCAGCCGGACTGCATCCAACCTGCATGCTTCACGCCACGTTTTCTATCTGGAAAATCGAAGAAAGAAAGGAAGTTTAAGCCAAAGAATGACATGCATCATCAGGTGACCCCTCTCCCCGAGCTAATTGCTGAGCCAACAAATGCCAGATCAATGTCCTTCGTGGGGACACACGAATACTTGGCTCCTGAGATCATCAAGGGAGAAGGGCATGGCAGTGCTGTGGACTGGTGGACATTTGGGATATTCTTGTATGAGCTTTTGTTTGGCAGAACCCCGTTCAAAGGTTCAGCAAATCGAGCAACGCTGTTTAATGTTGTTGGACAGCCTTTAAGGTTTCCTGAGTCTCCTACTGTCAGCTTTGCTACTAGGGACTTGATCAGAGGTTTGCTTGTAAAAGAGCCTCAGCATCGTCTTGCCTACAGACGTGGTGCTACCGAAATTAAGCAGCATCCATTCTTTCAGAATGTTAACTGGGCATTGATCCGTTGTGCAAATCCTCCAGAGGTTCCAAGACAGGTAATGAAATTGCCACAAACAGAAAAGGACCTTGGTGTGAAGTCTTCTGGTAATTATTTAGATATTGATTTCTTTTGATCCTTATGTCTTTCTTTCTTCTCCTTTGGACTAGTTTCTAGTTTTCATCTCTCATTTGTGGTGGTGTTTCATGTTTGTATGTTCATGCTTCTTTCCTTTGCACAAAAAGGAAACTCAGCACTTATAATTGTCCATGATATAATCTGTTGTAAGAAATTCCAAATGCCTTATATTGAGGAACAAAGTTTCTGTTTTCTTATCTAAATAATTACCAGAGGTAATTATTTAGATATTGATTTCTTTTAACTCCAAATGCCTTATGTTCACATGAGAATATCTTAAAATCTAACCTTGCATACCGGGTGAATTTTCTTTTTCTTGTTGGATTTTGAGATGTTTGCATGTTTTTCACTTTTTTTTATGCAGCTTTATTATATCCTGTATAGTAGATTTACAAGTATGTGATTACTGCTCATAAACTAATTACTGTATTTGATTTTAAAAAAGTGAAATAAAAATACCAACGATTTTTCTATAACTTGTGTAACATTACATTATACAAGATAAGTTATATATAGTAATTTTTAAATAAAATTTATCAAATTCAATGTAATTAAATGTGCATTGATACTACTAAATGTTATATATCCTTATGTCGTAATGTTTTACAATATATAGTAATTTTTAAATAAAATTTATCAAATTCAATATAATTAAATGTGCATTGATACTACTAAATGTTAATATATCCTTATGTTGTAATGTTTTACAAGTTAAAAAAAATATCAAAATAACAATAACTTGGACAGAAATTAATATTAGATTTCAATTATGCGTGCTTTCAATTTAATGCTCTCGCATTTACTATCAACTAAGCATTCAAATGTTTGGCTTTGAAAATAGATTCATTCTGTCTAAAACAGGATATCGTTTAGGAGAATAATTAAGACGAGAGATTAATTTTGATACACTGTTGTTGTATAAATCAATTTCAAAATACACAGTAGCTATGCTTTTTAAATTAACTTTTCTGAACAAGAGATTAATCTTACATTAGAACAGCTTTCCCCTGTTATCATAAAATTGTTTCTAATTTTGTTGACTTAATGTTGGAACTTTCCTAACAAGTAAACATTTTAGACACATTTTACTCAAATAATATAATATTATCAGATTAACGAAATAATATTATGCAGTTTAAATAGAGTTAAAAGGACAAAAATTGACATATATAATATTTAATGTGAAAAATTCTTAATCGATGAGGAAAAAAAATACAAACAAAATTAGATAAATATTTTTATTAAGTAGAAGAAAATTACAGCCTCCTTTTAAATATGAGAATAATTATACTTTCTCTTGAAATTTAGAAAATGAATTCTCTGGGAGAACCTGATATGAGAACTATAATTTTTTTTTAATTTTCTCTATTTTTTTTCATACTAAATCACTTATTTTCAATATATATATGTTTTTTTGGTTTAAGATTAGACACTATAAGATGTCCTTATGTCCTAAAGGTTAAGTTGTACTTGTAGTTCATGAACTGTTGTTATCTTAAAAAAATTGCATATAGTAAAATTTAAATATGGATTTTTCTATTAAATAAATCCACCCACTTATTTCCAATGTGAAAGTACTTTTATTATTTATATTCAATAATTTAAACTACCCTCTTAAATGTCATCAAACTTTGTTTTACAAGCCAACCAATTCACGGGCCTAACATACATAGAGGCAATGAAATTTGTACCCTCTAAATAAAATGGCATTACTTAAAAATATATTCCTTTTAAAAAAACGTTGACCGACAAGTTCAGCGGAATTTCTGAACAAAACTTTTTCACTTCCCCCACGCGCATCTTTTTCATCAACGCGCTCCACCGTCAAAAGCATTTCATTTCACATATATATGAAGCTTAAATTTGAAATGCGCCATTGGGTAACAAATTCTTCAATAAAATGATGTATTTGATATTTTATGTTTTCTTTATATTATTGTTTTTCTTAAATGTTTTAGACGTTGCAATATTATTTAATTTTATGTGACTTGCGTGTTTACCTAAGTCTGGATTTAAATAGCGTTATGAATTGACTTTGGGAAGTGGAGCGCGTGGGCACTTGAGAGTCATTTTCTTCCTTACGTCTTAAGGTTGAAGGTGGAACGAATGCGCATTGTGCACCCATGCCGTTAACTCATATAATTGGAACCAGAATCTGTTGCGTTCCCATTCTCTTTCGTAACCATCACTTTTCTCTCATGGCTTCTGCTGCTGTTGGCGATGTCAAACACGGCTTCTCCCGTCCTGAGATGTATAAGGAAAATCTCGCCGGCACTGTTGACGCCTACGACCGCCACGTTTTCCTCTGCTATAAGAACCACGTCACTTGGCCACCGCGCGTTGAGGCCTCCGACAACGATCCCCTTCCCAAGCGCGTCGCCACTGTCTGGAGAGCTCGCAAGAACGACATCGCCGTTAAGGTCGTTCGCTGCTTTTTATTTCGGTTTCGTTGCTCTGTGATTTTAGTTTGCTGTGATGTGATTCGGATTTAGTTTTTTGATTGATTTGTATTGGTTTTTGGCAGACGAAAATCACGGTGTGTGAGGCGCGTGAGGAGGCTGGCTTCTCCGACGGAGACGTGATGATTTTCCCCGAGATGATCAAATACAGGTAAATTAATTAAACCACTTGTTTTATTATTTTGCGTCGGTGATTCGGTGTGTTTCTCTCATCCGAGACTTTTAATCATAAGAATGTTAATTAATAACTTCATAAGTCCTGTTAGAACATCCAAAACGTTTTAACATGTAAGAATGATGTTAATAAGAACATTAATTTGTCGGGGAATTATGAGTGAATTTTATCTTTATCAAATTATAATATGTAGTGTAAGTTTAGTTCAGTTAGTTTTGAAGTAATTGTTAATTTTTTTTATCAGCTTTACAAGATATTTTTCGAAAAATAAACTACAATCAAAGCGCGAGTTAGAATACTATTTCAGTAAAGAGATTACAAAATGAAAAATAAATATAGTTAATAACTTGACAATATAACAGCATCAAAACTTTACTCCTTTAAGTGAAGTCAAGTATGATATCACTAAATAATATCTCCAAGATATTAGTTAACATTAAGTCTTTTTTAATAATTAATATATATATATATATATATATATATATATAATAACTTAAAAATATAAAGGATATTTTATTATTTTCTTTATCAATTAAGTAAGAGAATTAGTATGAATATGTTGTAGCAGGAAATTAAAATTATTCTTTGCGTATTGAGAATTAGACTTATAGCAAAGCAAAACGCCTTTATGTTGAATAATAGTAGTATTGGAATTTTGTGTATTGAGAACGAATGTTTTGTTCTTGTTTCATTGAAAGGGGTTTGGAGGAATCGAATGTGGATGGATTTTTTGATGATGTTATAGTGAGGGGTAAAGCGTGGAGTGGTGCAGAGCAGGGTGTGTTGGCGGGTTCGTACATTTTTGTATGTGCTCATGGAAGTCGTGACGTGAGGTGCGGTGTTTGTGGGCCGATTCTCATGGAGAAGCTCAATGAGGAAATTCAGCTAAGGGGATTGAAGGATCAGATATCTGTTGTGGCGTGTTCTCATGTTGGTGGCCATAAGTATGCTGGAAATTTAATCATATACAGTCCAGGGCCAGATGGAAAAATTATGGGTCATTGGTCAGTTCTCACACTTGTATTGTACATATAGTTTTGAAGGAATTAAGGTCATTTGATATTGGTGGTTTAATTTTAGCGCTTAATAATGGATTACATTTATAGGTATGGCTATGTCACTCCGAATGACGTGCCTGCCTTGTTGGACCAACATATTGCCAAAGGAGAGGTCATACAAAAGCTCTGGAGGTTGGTACTTTTTTAATTCTGCATTTTCTATCCGTCAATAGAGAGTTAATTTCAAATAAAAATCGTTTGTAAAGACAAAAAGAGTCTTTATTTCTGCATCCATATGGTTTATTTCCTTTGTCATGGTTTTGTCCGATAAAATAATGTGCTTTTGCATCTAATATTACCACTTAAAAAAACCAGAGGAGGACGGCATTATTTGGTTATTTCATTTCTGGTATATCATTCATCGGTTCTTCTAATTAATTGCATCTTAAGCAATTTCCTTGTAATGGATGATGATTAAATTTGATTGTGTGAAATTGCTTCAGGGGCCAAATGGGGTCACCTGTTGCGGAAATTAAGGGAGCAGACGACCATAAACATGCTAACGGAGATGATACTGGCAGGTCCAAGCAGAGTGACTTAGAAATTAACAATATGAGCAACAATATAAATGTGGCGGGTTGTTGCCAGGGTGGTAATGGGGTTTCTTGCTGCATAAGTGAAGGTATTGAGCAAAACAAAGGGATTAATAAAACAACTGAAGAATATAAAAAGCAGGGGAGCAATATAAGTTCGTGTTGGCCTCTGTTGCAGAAACGTGATATTCTTACGGCTGGGGGTATACTTGGAGCTCTGGCAGCTGTGGCTGTGGCTTACAAACTTTACAGAAGGTCAGGCTGAAATACGCTCTAATCTGAAGTTTTAGCTTGCCGGAGAGTTATAATTGCTTTGTTTGGAGCCTCAGTTTCAAAATAAGACGAGAAGTAAGTAAGAATAATGAAAGAAAGATAGTACAAAATTTCTCAATTTAAAAAAACTTTAAAATATTAATTAGGAGGGTTTATAATTTTTTATAATTTAGAAACTTTTAAACATAGATAAATATCACATAAATTTTTCTGTTATTTTTTTTAAATTGATTAATTATGGTTATATCGTCGTATTTGTTTCTTTACATTACTGGTTTGCTCGTGAATTCGAAGTTTCTACTTTTAATTCTATATATATAAACTTTTATCTTGTTAGTAATGCCTTACTGTTGTGGCACCAAAATTACGTTCGCCGGAACATAAATATAGATAATTTATTGCGTTGGCATATTAATTTTATTTTTAAAATTAATTTTAGGGGAAGGAATATTTATTTTGACGAAAGCAAATTTTTTAGGGTAAGCATATTTATATTTTAAAAATGTTTTTACTTTACTGTATACATTTAAATTATTTTTTGTCAATTCACTTTTGAAATATCATTTTCAAACAAATTATTTGTTTACCTCAACTCTTCTAAAATTTATTCTTTAGACATCAATTTACAAAAATAAATAAATAAACACCAAGCTGGTACTGATTATCATTTTAATACTGTTTTGATACAAGAAAAAGTTAACTGAAAAAAATGAATGAAAAATAACTTTCAATTTGTTCTATCATATGAAATTGACGAGTCGTCATTTTTTTAAGGGGCGCCAATCTGAACGGGATTCTGAAAGAACAAAGCGGGATTCTTTAAATATTGTGTTTCTATTGATTATTTTTTTCTTGTAATTTTCCATACTCATCTACAAAAAGAAAAATGGGGAACTCAAATTAACTCTAAGTGTCCGTTTGGCGTCCTGAATTGAGTATCAAACTGAACATTCAATTCTAAGATTTTAATTTTTATGACAACTAAATTTATTCTACTTTAATTTTTAACCTGTACTCTAAAAATTTAAATCTTTAATATCATAATTCACAGATATATTTTCACATGTCTTCTCTTTGTTTCCATAGTTCCTCGTCTCAGTGATGTTATAACTTTCAATTTATATCTGTTTTTTATTCCTCTAATGAATTAATTCATAGTATTGAGTCTTTTTTTAATACGGAGAAAAATTTAAAAAAAAAATTATTAAAATACATTGTTTTGGAAAAAAATTGCAAAAATATGAGAACTTTTTAAAATTGCTTTTGATATTTTAAATAGTTATCGTTGAGTTTTTAACTTTTCATAATTTTTAATATTTTTTTAAAAAATTTTGCCGGTAACAATTTTTTAAACTTAGTAACTACATAAAAAGTTATTGATGATAATTTTTGAATCTCATATTTTTATAATTTTTTAAAAGAATCACGTTTTAGTATATATATATTTTTTTTCAAATCTCACATATAAAAAATTAAACTCACGTTTTTTATTATTGTTAAAAAGAGAGACCATTTCACCGTAACTAAAAAAATTGAGACGATTTTAATTTATTTTTGTTCAAATTAATTTTCTTAGAGGAGGATTTTAGAGCAATGTTACCTTTTAATTTTTAAAAAATACACTTTTCTTAAATAAATAATGTATTATAATTTAATTTTTTAATGAAGATAAACCTCCTTAAATTTTATTTGAGAGTTTAAAAAAAAGAATTTAAAAATAAGAAGAAAAAAAAGTGAGTTAATACAAAATTCTCCAAATTAAAACTAAACTTAAAAATATGAATTAAGAAAATTTTAAAAGATTTATAAACCCTCTTAATTTCATTTAAAACTTCTCAAATATAGATAAACATTAAGTTTTTTCATTTTCTTTTCGCTCTTTCAAAATTCAACTTTTAAACAAAGTATTAAATTTTTATTTTTCTTTAATATCTTATATCATCGATAGCTAATTTTAAATTCTTCTTATTTCTATATTAAAAATTATATAAAAAGAAAGATCTTGAGTGAAATTTTAAGGTTGATGGCATGAGTATTTAAAACGTCATTTCATATTATGTTTAAAATTAGTTATCCGAGACCTTAAAAGTTGAGAGAAAAAGCTAAGTTCGTTTGTAGTTGGACATTACCACTAGCACTCATCAATATTAAAATGAACCTAAGTATACTAAACATTGATCCCTCAAGGGATGGAATAGAAAATTTCAATATAATAGAAAAAGAAATTATAATTTACGTTTTTCTCTCAAAATAAAGAAGTTTAATTTACTCTAAAATTAAAAGAAAATACAGCCATGGGCATAAAAGATACCTTTAAGTGACATAAACCAGCTTCATAAATGCCTCTTTGTTTCATTGGAAGCTTATGTTTTGACAAAGAGTGAAGACCCCACATACCAGCGATTTGATAATTGGTAGTGCGTTGAGATAGAAATGTTGATTTGTTTGTCCACATGTTTCAAAATGGGGCAAACAACAAAGGATGGTGAGTGGTGACATGCCACATTTTATCTCTTTCAGAAAAACAGACCCAGGGCAATGCTTTCCAAGTTTGGTCGATTGTTAATAACATCAAAAAGTAATATCAGATCCTAAACTCTTATTGGATTCAAACTTTTTTGTGTATCAGTAATGTTAAAAGCAAAGCATACCCATCAACTGACCTTACCAAAATCAAACACGAATCATACCAGAAGATCCCGAACCAATCTTATTTACAAAGCAATGTTATCAATTCTACATTGGCTCACTAATATATTTGTACTAGTGAAGTCCTAAACTAGAAGTCCTAGTCAAAAATATGATTAATGCCAAAAAGTTAGAAAGCAAAACCAGTAATGCATGAGGATTTACTTGAAACGTTATGCATTGAGCTTGGCAAGCATCTCCTCTATCAACCTCAAAGTAGTATCGCCCAATTTCTCTCCTTTTGAATCAATTTCTTCCATTACCCTTTCTATAAGCTCATGATTAATATGTTTACGTCTCGAGCTATAGTTTCTGCAGTCCCTTAGAAGCAACAACAATTCTCTAGCCATGGATTTGGCTCTCCGTGTTCCATCCACACTTAACTGAAGCAATCCTGGCATCACTCCCTCTGTCAAAATCAAACCTCTATATTTATCTCTGCAGCTCTGGCATATAAGTAGAAGCATACTCACTGCATGCTCTTTGCTTAGTAAAGATCCATCTTCAATAGTCTCAACCAGCATCCTAATTGTTCTTCCATCACTACAAGCCTCACAAAGTGCATTCTTTAATGAAGAGACAATGTTTTCTAGCAACCCAATTGCTTTCTCAACCAATTGAGATGATTTGACTGATCTGTGGATCAGTTCAAGCAAGGAGAGTATGACACCAGAAGAGACAATCAATGGAACAATGTTTTGGCATGTTGTGAGGTTGTGCAGGGTAGCTATGGCATCTAGCTGAGACTGAGTGCTACAACTACTATTGACGAATTCAGCCAAGAGTTGGATAGCCCCAGATGAAGCAATTGCTACCTTATTTGCATTGCAAGACGAGAGGGTTAGCATGGCTACTAATGTCATTTGTGTCACTGTATTTGGCTGGCTACGACAATGGAGGAAATTCAGCAAAACTGGCAAAGCCCCACACTTGATGATCCGAATCTTGTTTCTGTAAAATTATTGAAAAAGTTGTGTTAAGATTACACTAACTGCTAAGGATACTTTCCAAAGCATTCTTACAATAGAAGAAATTTGTATTCCCCCTTTTGTTTTATACATTACTTTTTGGTAAAGAATCATGATGGTACTGGTACATAAAATCTACTATTAACATATGGCAAGCATTATTACCAGGAACATATTCCTTAGCCCCACTACGAAAAAACCAATCATGAGGTGCTAAAAAGTTCAGGCTTTTTAGTTACTCCAAACCCATGTTTAATTTGCCTCTAATCCTGTTAGTGATTATAATTAGTTTTCATAATAAGTTATTCGATTATGTACACTTTGTTAACTCCAGAAAATGAGGTATAACTAAGAAGAAATTGAAGAAGTTTACAATGGGTATTGAGGGTGAATGAACTAACCTTTCACTGCCAAAGCAAAGGCTGAGTAGAGCACACAGAGAAGCTTCTATGGCTTCATAGTTTTTAGAATGAAGCATGGAAATCAAAGGAACCATTGCACCACTTTCTGCCAACTTGTGCCTCTGTTTACTTCTTAATCTACTAAGTTTCATAGCTGCTTGAATTTGTGAGTCTCTATCACCATTCCAAAGATTTTCCACAACCTCTTTTTCCATTGAAGCTTTCTCAAGGCGGTTTCTTCTTTTGCTGTGACTCACTTCTGAGGTCTAAATCTTCTTTGTTGTGAAGGGGTAATTGTAGCACAGAGATTGGTTGCTTGAAGAGGTAATGTTAAGCTTTTGTGGGCATTCTAATCCGTTGTTTCAGCCAGAAGCAACATGCTATTCTTTTGGTCAGCTTTTGTTCTCATAGGTGTATGCTGGTATTTATAAATACAATATTTATTTCAAAGAATGAATCTTTAACTTTCCTTATATGGAAGCAAACGCCGTCAGCTTTTGGTGGGTTAAATATTTTATGGATTTTTTCTTGTGATTTTGTGTTTCAACTTTAATGGTAGGTCTTGTAGTAGTACGAGAACAGAAAGAATATTATATTTCACTTAATCTTTGTTCTTGATCACATTGACAACATTTATTATTAATTTGTCTCTATCGATAATTTATTGAGTTATTTCCTTAATTATTTTCTTTTGATTATGCAATCTTTAATTTATATTTTTAGATTATTTTTAACCATATAATCTTGCATTGTTTTCTTTATTTACATAATTTCTTTGATTTAGGAACCTGAATTATTTTCTTTAATTTAGACTTTTATGTCTATAAATTGTAGATTTCGTATGGCTTTGAAAACAATAAAAAAACAAATTAATTTGCCTAAAGCTTAATTGAAAGAATGACCTACAGTGGTATATACAATGCTATACTAAATAGATATTTTGAAAGAAATCAACAAAGACTGTCTAAAGAAATTAACACATAATTAAATCTTTTGTGCTTATAATTTATTCTAAACGTGAGTACACTGTGCAATCGAGGGGATGTTCAATAAATAATAATTAAAAGAGGATATTATATAAGAGAGTAAAACATAAATCAAATATTATCATAAAAAATCAGTTTCATTGATAGATAATCATTTTAAGTATAATAAATATACATATAAAGATATTTAAAACTATTAAATTTTCAAAAAAAATCTAATTAGAAAAAATTATAAAACATTCTATGATATTTAATATTTATTGAAAATTTTAAATATTAATCAATAAATTATGGAAAATAAAAATTGTCCAATTTGAAAAAATTAACTAAGAAATAGAGTAATATCAATTTGACTTAATTTAATAATTTTTTATCATCAATAAAATTGGACTGGATGTGATCATCATTAAATTATAAAGATTCTGTTAATTAATTATTTGAATAACTAATGAAAAATATAATAATGTTAATTTGGATTGAGTTAAAAATATTAAGATTTAGTTTGATCATCATCAAAATTTATAAAGATTCTATTATATTTAATGGTATTTGAATAACTTTATGTACTGGTTAATAAAACTATAGAAAGTAAAATTCTCTTTTATTAGAATAACTTATTATAGAATATATTAATATTATGTTCATTTGATTTAACGTGTAAGCTCAGAATATGTTACAACTTAATAATGACTTCATCAAAATAAGAATAGGTCCTAAATAATAATAAAAAAAAAAAATCAAAATTGATTTATTTATGTTAATGATACATAAATTGTGAGCCGATAATTTGATTAACTCGTCAACATTTAACAATTCGACAATAAAGTGTTTTTTAAAAGGACAGTGACAACAAACAAAAATAAAAATTTCATAAAGAACAAAATAAAAAATAATATATTTACTAAAGATTATATTTAAGAAAACGCAATGAAGCAATTGTAACATTTACCAAAGCAATAGTAACAACGAAGCATATAATTTGTTAAATAACTTGAAGTATCTATAGTTCCTTACTTTATCAATCTAAATGCCCTTTATGTCTTCATTTATCTGATTTCCCCAAAACATATTCGTAAAACTTAAAAAAGGCATTTATCATGCATTTACAGAGGAATCGGTATAATATTTTTTCAGGCATACGAAAAGGTTAAGCATATGGGGATATTAACTAGGATGTGTTTGAAAGTTGAATTATTTTTAAAAAAGGAAGATATTTTTTTAAATTTTTAATAAGTAAATAATATTATTTTAATGTCGAATATTTATTTTTTGTAAATATTATATAATTATCTTAATTTGAAAATTATATTTTTATTTTCTTTTTTCATTTTCTAAAATAATACTCCCAAACATATCTTTAGAATATATAAACCTTGGAGCACTAAAATCAATGTCTCAATAAGTGAAATAATATCCAAATTAGTAAGTATTTCATGTCTTCTATAATTATTTATTATTTAAATTATAAGAGAATATGTGTATATATATATATATATATATATATATTAATATAATATGATATAATATAAACATGAGTGGAATAAATTTAAGAGAAAAATAGTAAAATTAAACAAAAAAACTCAGAAATGTTATAAAATGAGAAAGATAATTATAATGAAAGTTATCCTATTTAAAAAAATTCAAATTAATAAAAATTTAAAAATTATTTTTTAGAATATTCTTTTTCCAAATTTGCATGAAGTAATCTCTTGATTCTCCTCCGTTAATATAACTATTATTAGATTCAGTAATACAAATATTTTATTCTTTATTTTCCAAATAACAATGCTCTGTTGAAAATATATGAGTTGCAAATATAATTGGGATGGATGATCACAAAGAGAGGGCAATGATTATAGAATGAAAATGTGAGGTCATAGTTCAAAATATATATTGGTAAAAGGAATCTTATAGCTTTCGCTTTCTCCCTCATTACTCGAATTTCTTTTGGGATGTGCTCCTCATGTAGTAGTTTGAATTTCCGAATAATTGAACTTTTTATAGTTTTCACCACTTTTTGGTCTAGCACTTTCTCTCACTCACGTTATTTAATAAGAATATTTCCAGGGCAACTTATTATATCTTCACATTTTTAATCGATTATATGCATTTTCTTATTTTCTTTATCTTGCTTTCCTTTTATGTAATTTCAGTCTTCTTTCCTCGGAAGGTGTGAAATGATTGAGTTCTCTTTTCATTGAACATATGATTTGCAATATTATGAATAGCTAGTTCATAAATTTTGTGATATGATGCTTGGCACAAGTGGATATTTGAAGTGCGAAGTTGTTATTTACATATTGCACGCTTGGCTTTTTATTAAAAAAACACAAATCATAGTTTCAGAGGACGACGAAGAAAAAATTACTTAAAACATACATACAAAGCAATGCCTAATTGTTTGCTTAAGCTTGAGAATAAAAATGTAAAGTGTAGGGAAATTTAAATTCAAATCTATATTTTATTTGTCGAATTAAAACTTTATTTAAAACTATTACAAATATCTATGAATCATTGTTACCATACTGATCTCTCAATTACCACTACCGAATAATGAAATATTACAAACCTCTCTTCTGCCAGTAAACCCTTAGCCTCAAGTAGTGCAATAAATCCAAGTTCTTTATTGCCTCTACTTCACTATGCTGTCAACCATCATCGTTAACTCACTACCACTATTCGAAATGTTTTAGGCCGTGATAAGAATGGAAGCATGAAATACTTGAGTGAGCACACATACAATCAATTTGGGCGTCAAAACTCAACATAAATAAATTTCATCAATATTGATGCTACTTAACTTTATTAGAACACACTTTCTGAAAACAAAAAATATATAGTTCATATTAATTTATACACGAATCTTGATGACATTCAATAGATCAAAATCAATTTCATCAAAATTAAATCTACTTTACTTCAAATCAAGAATGACAGCTAACATCTATCAGATACAATGCATAACTAACAACTAAATATCAGCCGGTCAAATGGAAGTTCACCACTCAATGTCTTATTGTGAAATGGCTGTCATGATGACAAACTTGCATCTCGAAGACCCATTTTCTAACAGCTTTCTCAAGTTTCATATCGTTAATCTAAGGACAGCAGCGCAGAAATTCCCAAAGTCCATCAACGCACTCCCAGCAGCTTAACAACTATTTTCAGGATCTCATTGATCTAATTAGGCTCTATCAGAAACCAGATTTCCAATAAAACCTTTGGTGTTGCTTACACTGCTGGAAGAGTTTTTCCAAATGATGATTTTGGCAGTATAAATCCATTGGTTCTATCGGGAAAGGAATTACTATTTACCACTAGAAAGTTATGTATCAGCCACAGAAGAAGACAATACTGGAATTCCCTTGCTAGAAAAGCTTGAGCACACAACTTGCATCACATCACCTATCTTGAAGTCTTTTTTGCCATTTTCCTGCATGACAAAACAAGAATAGGTTAGGAGTGTTGGACGGTTCATGTTGCAGACCAAAAAAGTCAGCTAAGCTATAATACATCGAGAAGAAGAGAATAATACAATTTAAAAGTGTTGTGGGTTTTAGAATTTAAAGGCAATCTCAAGTTTATCTGTGAAGTGGTGATACAATGATATATATCAATAGGTGAAGAAATGGAAAGCAAGAAGAGGAAAGAAAGACAGACCGATTAGTAAGTGGATGAAGTTGTGTGTATGGATGATCAGCAAAGCAATTACATCAAGAGAGAAACAGATAGATACTGTTTGATAAATGCATCATGAACTTCATGATGACCACTAAAGAGAGACATGTTGTACGATTAACGGAAAAATGACAACTGACTAGAGAATATCTCCCCAACAAGAATATTCATGAGAAAAGAGGATAGAAAGAAAATTGCTCCTACCTCGAATCGGTACATTCCTCGGAGTCCTCCACCCAAATCCAACACTAACCCATGTGCACGAATTTGATAAACTTTGGCACTTACTTTTGTCCCAAGTTTCAGATCTTTTGCAGTTAGTGATTCCTTGTCTTTTGTTTCCTTCTTGTCCCCTGCTGGGCTCTGAAAATCAGATTTTGACTCTTTTTGCATTGCAACTTTTGACTTCTTAACATTTTTATATGGCAAGGGACCTGACTGAGAAGATGGAGAATCAATAACATCTTGAGATCTACGAGATTTTGACTTAGGTGGGGAATCAACCACATTTTCAGTTCGACAAGATTTTGACTTGTGATCCAATTGTACCCCATTATCTACCTGGGTACCTTTATTCAAGCTGGTTGATTTCTCCTCTTCGTCACACTCTGCAGCACTACGTATTAAAATTACTGGTACTTGAGAGGTTGGGGATTTTGCTTCACGCATCTCAAGTTTGCCCATAGGCAACTCAGAAGTAGAATTTTGTTGTTCTTGTGTACTAGATGCATTCCAAACTGGTGCCCAAACATTGGCTGTTTTTTTTGCAGATGCAATAGATTCTTGAACTCCATCATTAGTCTCCAATCCTCCAGGACAAGGCAAAGTTGCTTTAAGGGATAACTTGATGTTACCATGAACATCTTGACCTATGCACATCAAAGAAAGCTTCTGGCCAACAGAGACAACCTCTGAAACTCGTAATACCTAAGGAAAGGATGCAGAGTTATTAAAGACAAATTTATACATACAAATTGTTACACTAGTTAATGGCAGACATGAAACGTGACTCTTAATGACACGCAATTGAAATAGCTGGGATCTTGTTAACCAGTGTCCTTGAAGTAATCATGGCACTGGTTAAGGAACAAAAAGTGAAAAGATTTTATTGGAAATATCTTAGAGTTAACGAATAAAATTTTTCTACTTTTGATTACTTAACAGAACACTGGTTAGCATTTGCCAAATAGTTATCCTACATACCGGTTCATGTGACAACTCAGAAATGTGGAGAAGGCCCTGCTGGCCCCCATTAAACTCCACAAAAGCTCCATATTCTTTTATAGAAGTGACAATTCCTTTGTAGACGCCGCCAACTTCAATTTCACGGCCCACAATAAAATCAATCTGACAAAAACGAAGTTTGCACTTCAGAATGATACACACAAGGAAAAAGATGAGGGTAGATATTTCACCATTGGTCATCAATATATGCATGAATAAGCATGTATAAGAACAAATAATGGACTTAACAAATGACCCAGTGCACAAGATTCCCACTAAGAGCAGTCTAAGGAGGGTAGATGTATGCAGCCTTGTTTCCAGTATATGAACAAAGTGGAATTTTAGGAACACACTATCTAACACAATCTTTCTATCACACACTCAGTTATTGACTGAAATTTTTCAAAAGTATGAATGAGAATTGAAAATCATTGAATTAGGAGGACCTACAGGATTTTTGTAATTTCCAACAAATTTTATCCAATAATAGTGTGTTAAAGAGTTTATTGATAGCATCTCTCATGAACAAAAATATAGAATGAAATAGTTCGCAAGAGAAATCTGTAAGGAAAGCATTAATGCATGATATTATCAGCACATCTTCCTGATAAAGGACTGAGGCAGAATGGAAGAACTACCTTTTCTAGTACTTTGTCCATTTCAGATTGATTCTTAGCAACTATTGTAAGTGTTCCATCGCCCACAGACATCCGTACACCTGATTGTAGTACATAATAACATGTTCAGTAGGCATAAAATGATGCAAATCTGTTCTGTTCCACAAAGTATATATAATACAGCATGCAAAAATTCTGTTGAAAGCATATTCATATTTAAATTAGAAGCCAAAAAAAGGACAATATTTCAATATATAGTATTAATAGAATTTAGATATAAACATTTCAATTAATAATAACTGAAAAAACAAGATCAAGAAGGATCAGAACTAGCAGGCCCAAAAAATGTGAACAAATGAATCCTTCCTCAGAGCATATCAGGAAGCACATGATATGAGAACTTCATAAGTTCATAATATACTCTAGATGGCAGAGGAAGGTGGAATCAAATAGGTAAAACAAGTGAACAATTATTTAAAAATACTAAACAAAAATTCATATATTTGTGAGGTACAAGGAAATACTAAAGGAGATGTTTACTTTATTTTTTAAGAAAAAAAATTATTGGGAGGGGAAGGCCATTCTATTCCAAGACCAAAGCATGCCCAGAGCCTTGGCAAGAGCTAACAGTGATGTTTACATATCTGTTCCCTAGGGAATTGTTAGCAACAGAAATCAAACAGAGGCCTTTCAATTTTCAAGCAAAGTATTTAATTCTAAACAATGAACCAACCCCCTGGCCCAGGGCAAACCACATATCACTTTTTACGTTTTACATCATTAATTGAAATGAGAAAAGGAAAATGGCAATGTTCCAATAACTAAATGAATGCAGGAAGATCAACCCAAATATTATATTAGATTGAAAACTATTTTAGTTGAAAAAAACTGGTGATCCTCAAAACTGCATTTATAGGTAAACCATTGAGAGAATAGAAAATTGTTATTTCTGATGAAACTTCAAACCTAAATTTACCTGTTTGATCTTCCATTTTTTTCTTTAGCACACCCATTGGCCCAATTAGGCGACGAAGAGCATCATTGCTGTACTTTAAGGTGGCTGCATCATCAACAACAAATTTCAAACCTCAAGGGTATCATAACTATCAAGGAACCTAACAGCAAACAAAAACCAAATGAATAAAAAGAAATTAAACAATATAAACCTAGTCGTGGAGAAGTGCTGTCATCCTTGTTACGAGGTGCATTAATTTCCTGTTCCATGTGATCAAGAATTTGAAGACGGGCTTTATTCGCAGGCTCTAAACATTCACATATGATATCAAGAGGAATTCCAGCTGGTTTTATATCCAACTGAATAGCAGTTACTCCTTTTCGAGTTCCAGCTATCTTGAAGTCTATGTCACCCAGATGGTCTTCCAAGCCCTTAGAAAAATTAAAATTTAATAGTTTTGCATGAAATCAATAATGTCTTTTTTGTTTAATATCTCCACTTTGCTTAGTAATATAGAATCACTGAAACCCATCATGATACCATGAAACCCCAAGGTAAACATTGCAACAAAAATGCATTATTATTCAAACAAATATTTGATAGTCAAAAGTAAGAAACTAGAGTATCACAATGTTGTATTCTTCTTAAAAGAATTATTTTCCCCTTCAGTTCAAGGGATAGGTCTTCAATTTAATATTCCATCACTTCACACAGTCTAACAGTTCAGTTTCTATCTAATGACCTTTTGGAGGCCCTATTTGAGAGCTAACATAAAATTATATATATTCTTAACAAATATGCAAACAAAATATATTCTTTTAACATCATTATTTATGTAAATTAAAAACATAATGTCATTTAAACTAAAAATATTGAAATAATTTAATATCATTGACATATGTTGTTATCCAAAAAGATCATAAAATATGACAACTTGAGTGCAGTTAATAAATTAGAAAGTAAAATAGAATATTTAATTGGATATTACTCAAACAGACATCATATCAAACAATATAACTCAACAAGTTCTAGAAAATACCAGAATATCAGTCAATATACGATAATCAGTTATTTCGCCAGTGGATGGATCAAGTTCACTAACAAGACCCACAGAAACCCCAGCAACATGTTCACGTACGGGAATGCCAGCATCCATCAAAGCCATACTACCTACAAAGGAGAAAGATCCACAGTGAATTTTCTCTCTATTTTGCCCATGAAAATAGGCTTGTAATTTGTGGCTGATAAAATTACATATAATCATGTTCTTTTCTGTTTGAGCACCTGGTTACAAGTTACAATGGCATGATACTTTTATTTTGACTTTCTTTTTTTCTAATAACAATAATAATAATAAATTTTCTTTTATTCAACCTTATGTGGCTTAAATGTGAATTAAGATCATAAAATGGCACCACAAATGCTATAATTGTGGGTTGAAAGAGTACCTCCACATACAGTTGCCATTGATGTTGAACCATCTGAAGCCATGACTTCGGAGTTGACACGAACAGTATATGGAAAGTCATCTTCAGGAGGCAAAACAGCAAGAAGTGCTTTCTCAGCAAGAGTTCCTACAAAAGTAGAACAACAAAAAAACCAACATCTTTAATTAATGATTCAACTTTAGTTTAGTGGAGCCAAAATACAAATTACATGGGATTATTAAGAACACTGTTTCTTTATGATTTCCAAAATAAATGCCATTACTTGGCTGTCTGTTTATTATTTCTTATATAGCTGGGGCTTATAATAAATCAAGCTCAAACATAGAGAAGTCAATTGTTATTGTTGTAGAGTAACTTTGTTCTTTCACATAAAATATTTTCTTTAAATTGATAATTTCAGAAGCTCTTTCGTCTTTAGAAGATAGATCAAGGATGTGCTGTTATTGAATTGATACCCAAATATCCAATACTTCCATGTTATAAGAGACATCAAATTGTACGACGGATCATTTTGGTAGTCAGTACTTTCATTATCTGGAAGACAACTAATTTTGGTTTTTAATATCATGTTTCACTTATAATCATGTTTACAAAAATTTATTGTCTCCCTCTACCCATTACTTCTCCATTCTTTATGCTGTAATTCATTCCATTCAAAAAGCATTAGTGGCTTCCATCACTAGATTCACCACAAACAACAGAAAGGAATAGATCTGCTGTCACAGTCAACCTCTGAGATCATAAAAGATCCAGCCTTCGCATTGTTCCCCCTCAAATAGCAATGGCCCAAGGTTCCACTCCCAGACCCAAGATTGGATAATTAATTAAATATCCAAACAGATAAAATCTTCCATTCCTGTTATTGGGTCACAATATTCATCTTTTAATATGAGGAACCATTCCTAGAATGATGTCTTAAACTAAGGCTGCATTAGCATAATATTTTTGAAAAAACAAATGCTTTTACAATATAGTCCCTTTGTTTCTTTTTATCTATCTACTTTTGGAAGAAAATTTTGTTTTTATTAATGTCTAATTAGAAGTTCAAGACAACAATAATTAGTACATTTTCAAGTATACCATTTTCTCTACCAAATTTTTTAAAATATTTCACACACTCAAGCGAAAGAATAGTGGAAGTTAAAAATAATTGAATATAAAAAAGAATACTAATTACATTTCTTCATATGCATACTATCTTCTAAAGTGAACAAATAAAAAGAGACAGAGAGTAACTGCTTTTTAGAGCTTTTAATCAAAAGCTACTCTTTTTATAACTTTTGAGGGAACACTAAAAAAGTTTTTTTTAGAGTTCTCATTTTTTAACTATTATAAATTTTTTTAACATGTTTTCAATTAAAAAAACATTTTTTTTTCTTAAAAAAAAGATCCTAGTCTGCTATATATTGCCGTTTTGTGGGGAAATATTAAAAAAAAAAAACTATAATTAGGGGGGGGGGAGGACTTTAGCCATCTTGCAAACATGGGAGGAGATATCCATAACACATCCCCAAGATGTATAAACAATACACAAAAAAATTAGGGATAGTCTTAGCAAGTTACACATTTACCATGACCAACTTCACGCCTATTCAAACCAGTACGTTTACCAACTTCATTTATGCAGAATGGTGGAAAACTATAATGAAGCATAAATCGCTTGGTTGGAGGACCAACTAAAGAGTCCAAGCGTTGAGCATCTGTAGGTGCACCAAGTGTTACTGTACATAGGACCTGTCCATCATGACATCAACATATATCACTGCAAATGAAACTGAAACCACTCAAAAAATAAAATGATTATTTCGCATCATCACAATTATCTAACTTTCAGCAACCCATAGCAAAAAAGATTAAAATAATTAACCTGTGTTTCTCCACGGGAAAAAAGTGCAGATCCATGCAATATGGATATATATCCAGCTTCACAATACAAAGGCCTTACTTCATCAAGTTGTCTTCCATCAACTCTGTATCCTTCTGCGATAACTCTTTTACGAACCACCTACGACATATGAAAATATAAACACCAATCTTCTACAAGTACATTTGAAATCAACATGACAAGAACACGCACATAAAATCAATGTTCAGAATTAAATATTTAGAGATAACATCACCAATAGTAACTCTTAATAACAGACAGTCAATCATCAATTTTCCTTACGTACCATAATGAATAATTAAACAAAAATATAACTTTGTAAGGTATCTCTAGAATAGTAAAACCTAAATAATATAGCTACTAGCTACACCAGATTTGAGAGAGGAGGGGAAGATATATTACTGAGTGCAAATAAAATCTTCCTTCTGCATATATTCAAGTTTCACACTAAATATTTTACCACAAAAACAGTTTTTTTGTTTCTTTGGAAACTTTAGAAGATGATTAGACCAATATCCCACTAGAACATATATTGAATTATGCTAATTTATTTATTTATTTATTTATTTCCATTTTACCTCAACAATAGCCCAAGTGAACTATCCTTTGACATATGTCCCCTATTCATGATTTCTTGATTACAGTGAAATACTTATTCTCCAATTCGTATGGACAGATAGGGATTTTATAACAAGCTGAGGGAAAATATAAATTGGTAAGACTTTCAGAGTGATTAATTATGTATGGATAACACATTCTTCTACATTAAAAATAATAATAAGTATATTAATATTGAAAGTTTTAATAAATTTATCCAAAGCTCCATACCTTCTTCCTCACTGTATCTACTGCCTTTGACAAAACTTTTAAGCTTTCTTCATCCCCTTCTTCTTCAAGCACTCTCTTTACATCTTGTGTAATATTGTCTAAAGCTTCTCCGCGTTCAAACTAGAAGAAATTATAACAGAAAATCCTCCAATATAGAAAGAACAAACATCTAACCTTCCAAACACAAAAAGAGCAAGAAAACAAGAGAGGCAGAATAAGAACACCTTTCCATATGAAGGATCAGTAAAAACAGCTTCAATAGGTGCCTCTGCCACATTTCTGACTTTCTCCAGTGTTCTGTCAGACAGCAGAGACAATTTGTATTCCTTCTTAGATTTACCAGCTTTAGCAGCAAGACTGATTTGAGGCTCAAGATACTTAACTGCCTGAACATAGTAACCCATCTCAATAACATTCAATCATCAAAACAGTAAAACAAGTAACAAATTTCAAAGTCACCTCCGGATGAGCCAATCTTAACCCAGCTTCTAGATCTTTCTCAGATATCTCGCGAGCTTGTACATCAATCATCAAAGTTTTGTCCTTCGTACAGGCATATACCAAGTTAAGATCACTTAGTTTAAGCTGCAACACCACAATTATAAGCAATAAGAGAATGAAGAAAAAAAAAACTGCAATTCAATCAACCAAGTATACTCTCGTCAACAAAGTCACAATCTAACCAAGTTCCAATAAAATAAAAATGGCACACAATCACTTCAAACAATGCAGTTTCACTCAACATTACCTCATCCATGGTAGGATTTACAATAAACTGTCCACATATCCTACCAATTCGAACCATTCCGATGGGACCGCCCCACGGAATATCCGATAACATAAGCGCCGCGGATGTCGCATTAGCTGCTAACACATCTGGATCTTGTTTTCCATCGGAAGAAAGAACACTCGCCATTACCTAACAATGAGACATTCATAAAAAATCTCAAATAAAAAATAAACAAAAATTAGATAAACAATATAAAAAATACCTGAACCTCATGGTAAAATCCATGAGGAAACAACGGGCGAATTGGACGATCAATGATTCTTCCACACAAGAGTTCTCGTTCTCTAGGAGCACCTTCCCTACGCATGAACGTCGTCGGAATCACACCTTGCGCGAATTGCTTCTCTTGATAATCGACCTGTTACGAGCGGCGTTTTCGCATTGTCGTCTACATACGAATTGAAACGAACAAAGAGAAGTAAGGTAAGAAGCTACGAGGCACTTACGGTGAGAGGTAAGAAATCGCGAACGGCGTCGCCTTTAGCGGAGGTGACGGTGGATAGGACCTTGGTGTCTTCCATGCCCAAAACGACCGCGCCGTTTGCAAAGCGCGCGATCTTACCGGTCTCGAGTGTGATCAAGCGCGAGCCAACTTCGAATTCCTCGGTGAAGGTTTCGAGCGGCTTGGCTCCGTCGAAGCCGAGCCGACCGGAGCAAATGGTGCGGAAGCCAAGGGCTCGCCATGTGAGGAAGTGTGGTATGGTGCGAAGGAGTGGATTGGCTCTCGTCATTGGCTTTGTATGGTGTAAGGGATGGAAGCGTTCACCACTCGGGACGGAGCCACACAGACACAGGGTACTACTACAAGTGTTCCTGGAACTCAACGTGCAGGGTTTAGGGTTTAACTTCATAAAAATTAAATGTGCATTTTATTATTTTATTATTTTTACTATATAATTTTAACATTTTGCATGTCATTTTTTATTGATAATATATTTGTTATATATGCTTGTGTCTTAAAGTCAAAATTTGTGTAAATAAAGTTTTTAGTTTCTAAATGGGTACAAAAGTTATAAATAAATTTTTATTCTCCGAGTTTTAGACATTAAATTATAAAGATAAAAATATGACTGAAATTAAAATATTTACCAACATAAATCATTAAATATGTTGTAAAATTATAATAGTTTGTATTTTTTTTTAAAAGTGGTATAATTTAATTATATATGTTAATTTAATTTTGCTTTTTGTAAATCGGTATTTTTATTAGGACAAAAATTTTAATTAAAAAAACTACCTTTTATTTTTATATTTGACAATAATTTTTAAATTTACTCTTACATGGAAGAGAAAAGTTTATAAAATAGCTTAGATGAAATTTTGTTTTTAAAATGAACCTTGCTATTAATAAACTTCATAATACCATAACTATAAGTTTTACATAACAAACAAGATTCTTATTTGACATATCATATTGCTAGTAAGGCTTTATAACATTTCAAAATTTGCTACCTCAACATCTTACTCACCCCGTCGTTGTCTGGTTGCTACAATGCTCAAAGCATTAACAGCTTCTACACATGCCATCAATTTTAATAGCATTTCTGCATTGCTATTGATGATTGCTTTAATGACATAAAATGAAATATCCTCGTGATTATTGAACTGTACCTTTTCCTCGCACATTATTGTTAGCTTAGATTTGGACCTACTCCAACATTTCTATCAAGTTTATATGAAATACTATTAAACACAACTTTCCCAAAATTTAAAGCTTGCTGTGTTCTCCAACCCCTGTTGTGAAGATTTTGGTAAGGCTTTGAGGGGTTGGGATATGTAGAATATCTTCTCCTGCGTTGTCTTTTATTATCAAATTTATAATTAGGTTTGCTTAAAGAAAACATATGATAGGTTATTTTTCTAATTTGTGGCTAGTGAAGGGCACATGCGTGGCTTTGTTTGTTTATTTTAGTTTAACTAGAGAGTGATGAAAAGAAACTAACACTATTTCATGAAGGTTTTAAATTTGAATTGACACTTAAAAATTTTTAACCAAGAAAGAAAAAAATCATCTCATGTTTAAAACTGAACATAAAGATTATGTTGTATATTTTAAAACATTCACTTAAGCGAGTAAGATTTCGCTTAAGTAAAATTATAAAAATATACGAATATGACTCTTAGGTTTGATTTTGAATATAAAAAAATTCAGATCTAACTAAAAATACGTGAAGAAACTCTTATCCAATGTTAATTGAAATAAAAATATAACAAAATTATTAATCTTATTTGACTTTGCAACTATGAGGTTGTAATGCTGACAACAAATTTTAAAACTTAGTATAAAGAATAAAAAATAAAAATATGTTTAAATCAAAATTATATTTATTATAAAATAATAAATAAGAATAAAAAATGGAGCAAATAAATAATATTTGTAAAAATTTGTTTAACAAATAGATTTAAAGAGTGGTGGTATTTTTAACTTCTATATTTATAAGTTTTTTTATTTAAAATTAAAATCACAATTCTTCGATAATAGAAATACAAAATATTTACTTTTAATATTTTTTTAAGAAAATTCATATTTTTATGTATATAATGATTATGAATATAAAACAATTTAAATGTAATTAATGACACTTTAATATAAAATTAAACCAATATATTTTGAAGTAAGGAAATGACTATTAATTTTTTTATTTTTTCCTATAATAAATAACGTTACATATATTTTTTGGTTATGGACATGTATATATTAAGTGTTAACATCTTTATTCTTAAATAAAAAATATTTATGAAAAAATTTAAATAAGAATACTGTTAAAATTACATTTTTTATTACATCATATAATTATATTTAATTTTTAAGTTTAATATTAATATTTAATTTTTACAAATTATATTTTAAATTTGGATTTTTTAATTAAATAATATGTTTTTAAAATATATTTTTCTAATTAGTATATATGTAAAATTATTTCTAACTTTTTTCGTCACAAGGTGTAATGCATTTTGAGGGATGACATTTTTTTTAAATATGATATATTTTAAAATGATACTTATTTCGGTAATAATACATAGCAAACAAAAGATAAATTTTTAAACTTTTGGAGCGAGACTAATATCTCTAGATTAGTGAGATATTAACATATAATATGAATTTAAAAATTTAAAATTTATTTTTTAGCAATTAATACAAAAATCAAATAAATATTTTGCAATTTTTAATATTATTTTAAAAATTATAATTTTAATAAGTTAAATAATTATAATTTTTTTAAATTTTTATATATATTATGTAAACTAAACTTATTATAATTACTTTTTGCTAAAAAATAAAATAAGAATAAAAAATATTACAATTTCATGAAAATTTATATCAACTAAATTTATTACAACTAATTTTTTATTAACAAATAATAGTATAGTTAAAATTAAATTCTTACGATTTTTAATCTTATTTTTTAAATTCACAATTTTAAATATACATAAAAATTAGTGAATAAAAAAGTGTTTCATACCACATGTAACACCTTAGCCACTGATATGGAAATATATGTTTCTTTCCAGAAGTGAAGTCACTCCAAAAATTGAGATTTTTACATGTCACTTGTATTGTCGGATATTATTTAAAATATACAACATTTATTTAAAAAATAAAAAATAGTAGCTTAAAACAATAATTAAATATATACTAATTAGAAAAATATTTTTTAAAATATTATTTAAATAAAATAGCCTTCCAAATACACATAACATCTGGAAAATAATTGCCTTGAATATTACGTGTAAAATATTATCTTACGCGAGAAAAAGCTACATAAAGAACATTGGGAGTGTCGCACTCACCTCCTCAGGCGTTTGTTTGGGCTGCAGTGGCACTTGTAATGGTCAGAGTTGCAGCGCTTCGATTAAACGCCACCATCACCATGTTCTCTTCAACGTCTCTCAGAAACCCTAACTTCCTCTTCCCTTCAACTTCCACCCTCTTCGATGCTCCTCCTCTTCGCCCCCACACTCTCTCCTTCTCCAATCGCCTCTCGCTTCGATCCTATGCTGCTCGCGCCGCCTTCCACAGAGTTCAAGTTCTCAATCCCATCGTCGAAATGGATGGTACATAACCTCCTCTTACTTCAGTTTACGATTGTTTCATCGCAATTCAGTTTCGTTTTACGATTTTCTTTGCTGTTTAGGTGATGAAATGACGCGGATTATATGGAAGATGATTAAGGATAAAGTATGAATGCCTTTATTTCTTACTTTTTATTTATTTTTAGAGTAATACTACACGGTAAATTTAGGAACGAGTTTTCTGTTTTTATTTTTTATTTTCTTTTTTTATTATAATACTGTCACTTTGTTTCTTGTTCTTTAAGATTATACATGAAATACTAAAAATAGAAATAATTTGTTTTCAGTGATTTTTGTACAAATATTTGAAAATAAAAAAGGGAATGACAATAAGGTAGCATTTTCGTAGTAAATGTAAACAATAGAAACGTTTTCCGGAGCCAAACATTTCCTTTAGTTTCTGAAATCATTGAATAACGCTCGTTTTAGTTGGCCTAGTAATTTCGGGGGCTACAATGAAATTTTCGTAATTATAGGTACTAAATTGTTCTGTGCGTGTGATTTTAGAGAATAATTTGGGTTATTCCCCTTGTTATTATTTTGGTGGTTTTGGATTTGCTTTTAACGTGAACAAGTGTCTTTGTGTCATTGCAGCTTATATTTCCTTACCTGGATTTAAACATAAAGTATTTTGATTTGGGGCTTCAGAATCGTGATGCCACTGATGACAGAGTTACTGTAGAAAGTGCTGAAGCTACTCTCAAGTGAGTAGGTTTTAGTCAACAGAAGCGTGGAAGCATGCATAACACCAACTATTTATGCTTGTGGTTGATTCTTGTTTTTGCTGAGCATAGATGTCGTGGTGGAGCTAGGTCTCCTAGCAGGGAGGAATTAATAGAGATTAGACTATTATATAAAGTTTATGCCTTTGTGGCATTGTTCAGTTCCTGCCATTCTTTGATACATTGCCTATTTAGGGGGGTTTTATCTGCCCTTAACCTACTTACATCGGCAGTTATAATTTTGGTCTCTCTCTGATGATCTGCCACTGTCTGTTTCAAGCGACTTGCCATTAATTAAAGATATGTATAGGGATTGGGCTGCCTTGCCGCAATTTTTATTTTCTTTTCACCTGGTGTATTTCTTTTCTTGATTTGGAGGATTTCTTCTATGTATCATTCTCTTCCTTTATTCTAATAACATTATATTTTATAACCAAAATTTTGAACACCCTTCCTTTTTGTTAATTGAAACTTCTGTTTGCTGCAGGTACAATGTTGCTGTGAAATGTGCAACGATAACTCCTGGTTAGTTGTATTTGGCTTTAATATTCTGTATCATGAATTGATGGACAACTTTGTCCCATACTCTCAAGTTTTGCTAGATTTAATGTACTGGTTTGTTCATATTCATAGTGCATGGCTAGCAGGCAACATAGTACATAATCACGTTACATGTGTCATTATTGTGCAAATGTGATATTAATTCTTTCAATTTTTCAGATGAGACCCGAGTCAAAGAATTTGGATTGAAGTCTATGTGGAGAAGTCCCAATGGCACAATTAGGAATATTTTAAATGGTTTGTAATATGTACATCATATTGAATGCAGCCAGCAAATTTGATTTGTTATCCATTGACTTTACTGCAAGAATGATTTTTTTGCTACATGTTTCCTCATTTTTGGGTAGTCAAGTTAGATGATCATGTGTATAGTGGATGATATATAATATATTAGTTTGCTAAGGGAAATATTGCTTTTTGATTGAAAAGAAGTTGTCTATTATACCTGCAGAATTTCCGTATTTTAGTACTTATTTTGGTTACATATACTAGTAAATATTAAATTTGTCATACCCATTCTATATATTATGATGTATTTATTCATTACAACAAATATGCTGATCCTGACATCTTCCTGTTATTTCCTTGTTTTAACATACTAACCTGTAGCTTGCAGCACTTGTTTTTTTACCTGTCAATCATTTTGAAGAACATTTATACTCTATATTTTGTAGTTCATATTTTATCTTTGATTGTAACTGTATTATTGCTTATCTAGTTTGCAGCAGTGGAATTTGTCATAAATTTCTCAATGCAAATAAACTTCTTCATATGGTGATGTCCCTAGATTATTGAGAATATGATGCTGAAAATATTTTTTTCTGATCCTGACACCCCCAATTTCTTCACTATAAAGTCTTCTATTGGTTGTGCACTTGCTAAAATCCTTATTATTAGGTTCTCATTGTCTTTTTTTAATTGTGAAGTGAGGAAATCCTTGGAAGGACTGAAAATAAGAGGGTAGGGTCAGGTGTTTGGGTTGTTTTACTAATATAAATCTCTGGTAAAGTGGTAACTTATTTCAGCTGCATCTTGTATGACATTATGTGAATCCTAGCAATTGAAATGTATTGTATTCAAAGTTACTTTGTAACAAATGTTCGGAACCCTAGTTAAACTTTGGTTCTTTGTTTGTTGAAAATATTACTTCTTTTCTAAAACTTTTTCAAAATTTTCAATGATATTTATCCTTTCTTTCTAGGTACTGTTTTCCGTGAACCCATAATATGTTGCAACATACCCCGAATTATTCCTGGTAATGTCTCCACTCTAGTTTGATCCTTAACAGAGTTAAAATACTGCAAAGCACCCTTTGGAACTTATTCTTCATTTTGCAGGGTGGAAGAAACCCATATGTATTGGTAGGCATGCTTTTGGTGATCAGTATCGTGCCACTGATGCAATAATTAGAGGACCAGGGAAGCTTAAGTTGGTATTTGGTATGTTAATTTCCAAAGCCCTAATTTCAGATGAAGTTGAACCTATTTTCCTAAATTTATTGTTTAGAATATCACACACATGGTTTAAAAACTTGTGTCTATTTCTAATTTAGTCCCAGAAGATGGTGATACTTCAATGGAGCTTGATGTTTACAATTTTAAAGGCCCAGGCGTAGCACTTGCTATGTATAATATTGATGAGGTTTGTTTCTTTTTATATTTTCAGTGTGTATACAGCAGTATGTTTTAGTTAAATATTAAAGAAGTTACTTTTGTTGTATTTTTTTCAACATTAGCTTTCCTAATGTGTCAGTCTATTCGAGCCTTTGCTGAATCATCAATGTCACTGGCATTTGCAAAGAAATGGCCACTTTACTTGAGCACCAAAAATACAATTCTAAAGAAATATGACGGCAGGTAATTATTATTATATCACTGGGTTGGTTCATATTTTTGTTTGGTGTTTGGCCCTAGTGTCAGCACTCAGCAGCATTTGGAACAGACTCAATGGTTGTTCTGTTGTCCTCTGTATCAAGTAGTTAGATAGTCTTAACTCTTAAGAGTGTGGGTAGGGATTGGGAGGGGAGAACCAGAACTATCAAATTTCCTGGAACTTTGAGATCTACATTTCTGTACTATTTCTTCTCTCTGGATTCTTGCAATGACCTTCGATTCAACTTAGGAAAAAGAGTGATATCCAATAAAGTTCTATTAGAAAATAAGGCCTAACTAACTCTTATAAGCTAGATAAAGATAGGAGGATTGCTCGAGTCTTACAAGGAGTATATTACCCATATTCTTGATCAATGTGAGAAATCTTAACAAGTTCATCTTTTACTATCTGTTTTTTCTACTTTTCTGTTCTTCAAGACTGCCTTTCTTTTTGTTTGTTGTTATTGGAGATGATTTACAGTTTAAGATTATTACAGATTTAAAGACATTTTCCAGGAGGTGTATGAAGAAAGGTGGAAGCAAAAGTTTGAAGAGCACTCAATATGGTTTGCTTGGATGTTTCCCAACTAATTTGGTTTGATGTATCACTTATACACATAGATGGTTCATGGTTGACACTTTTAAGTGACTTCAGGTATGAGCATAGGCTAATTGATGACATGGTGGCATATGCAGTCAAGAGTGAAGGTGGATATGTTTGGGCTTGTAAAAATTATGATGGTGATGTCCAAAGTGATTTACTTGCTCAAGGTAATATAGATTTTGGATAATTTACCTTATATGTTCAAAATGGGAACCTGGGAAGTATGATGACAACAAGCAGTAATTAGTTGATTAGCCAGCAGCCCTGCTCGACATTTCTGATTATCCAAAAATGTTTAAGTTTCATGGATACAAAAAGGCAAAATATCCTAGTCCTAGCCATTTGGCTCAACTAACGTGTAAATTGGGATAGTTGAAATTGGGATCATGCAGGCTATGAGGGACCCTAAATGTAGAGATGAGGTCTACCTCTTGCTTTGCCTTTACAACCCATCCTTGTAAATATGTATTTGTTCTGATTTGGTTGTTAATTTCATTTTTATTTATGTATTTACGAAATGTGAAGGTAATCATTTGAAAAACTGTTGACATGAATACTTCTGAGATGCTAGGAGGTATCTTTTAAATCAAGTTTCTTGAATGCTTTTCTTGTTTGCAGGATTTGGCTCATTGGGTCTCATGACTTCTGTGCTGGTGTGTATTAAAATTTCAGTATTTCTTCTCCAGCATTGTTATCTCTATTTTGGTTATTGGATGCCATGCTTTATTTTACAAACAAAATTTTGCAGTTATCCTCTGATGGCAAGACATTAGAAGCTGAGGCAGCTCATGGAACTGTAACTCGACATTTTCGGTTTCATCAAAAAGGACAAGAAACTAGTACAAACAGTATTGCATCCATATTTGCATGGACACGAGGACTAGAACATAGGTGCTTTCTTGCTTCGATTCAAGCTGCAAATTCTAGTGCGTTTTTAGGTTTTTCCAAAGTTCTCCTATGTTAAAAGCATTTCCATGTATGAGTGGACGCTTAAAAAGTTTTTGCAGAAGTTTTAGGTTGGAGTAAAGGAATATATATTATTGGATAAGTTATATTTTAATGTGTATACATGAAAGTGGCTACCATTTTTTTATGTCAATAAATTAAGAAATGGTCTTTCATACTTTTGTGGTCTTCCTCATTTCAGTTGAGCTGTTTCCCAGACTAACATTGAACACATGCATTTGGGGAATCTAGTATGAGAATGAGGTCTAACTATTTTCAAGGTTGAGAGTTTTCCCCCATCCTGTTTCCCTTTGGTGATAACTATAAGTCATCATCTCTGTTGTGGCATTCTTTAGTTGCGCCTAGGATTTAGATAGGGAGTAAACATTGGGATTTTTGTAGAGAAGGATCTTTGGGCGTGGAAGACTGGAAGAACTGATACTTATATTCTGATTCTAGAAAGACCTTGTCAAGGAGGCGGGATCGAAGCCCTCCTTAAGACACCATTCCACCTGGGGGCAAAAATTGCACTTGAGTTTCCACTCCTTTTTTTTTCCCCCTAAACTCACCTGAGATTCACAGCTGAGTCCTTTTGCTCATGATTTTCCTATGTCAGAAAGATTTTTCATATCATTTATTGATTTTAAGGCAAGGAGCCCAATGTATTCCATACCGTGTCCATGAGTCCAGCGTGGCTGAGACTTCCATCAGGAAACAAACAAAGCATGTTTCACTTGATACTCTCCATTTTAAAGATGTACTCGGCTATTTAATTTTGGTCACATAATGGACTCATTTTGATTCTTTGAATTATGTAAAAGAGGGACATGATGATGTTCTTGGATAAACTTATATTTTCCCCCTTCCTTATTCTCCCTTTTCTCTGAATCTGTTATTGACATGATTCTGTTATTATTTACAAGAGCCAAGCTGGATAATAATGAGAAGTTACGGGATTTTACTCATAAGTTGGAGGGTGCATGTGTTGAAACGGTGGAGTCGGGAAAGATGACTAAAGATCTTGCAATTCTGGTTCATGGACCTAAGTAAGTGGATCTCCTCCTTCTGTATGCTTACTCTCATTTGAGGTTTTTAGTATTACAAATAATTTCCAAAATTTTGTATTACATATTTTAATTAACGTCCGTATTCTTATCCACAATTTTGTATTACATATTTTAATTAACTTCCGTATTCTTATCTACTGCTTTGAAGCAATTCCTTCTTTTAAGAATTTATTATTTAATGAAATATTTGGATCTCCTTCTCCTGTATGCTTACTCTCATTTGAAGATTTTACAAATAATTTCCAAAATTTTGTATTATATATTTTAAATAACTTCCTTATTCTTATCTCTTGCTTTGAAGCGATTCCTTCTTTTACGAATTTATTATTTAATGAAATATTTGGATCTTGAAAAAAAGATAGTGATTGCAATCATTCATTCAATTTTATCATGAAATTCTAATGAACCATGTTTGTTTGTGATCTTATTAGAACTTGTTTATTTATTATTTGATTCCATTTTTTCCACTTAAAATAAACAAATGAATTTTATGTGCATAGTGTATATACTTTAAACTGGTTTGTTGCATGCATATTGTTTGACACGTACGAATGGGGCACTAAGCAATAAGCAATATATAATTGGATGTCTAATTGTTCTGGACATCTGCATTATGTGTAGGGTATCAAGGGAATTTTACTTAAACACGGAGGAATTTATTGATGCTGTGGCACAGAATCTTGAGAGAAAGCTTCAAGAGCCTGCTGTGGTCTAGGCATTTTTTGCGAAGGGCAGAGGAAGAGAAGTTGGAAAAGCTGCACAGTGGTTTGATAGATGCCCACCCTTTTGACAAGTGGTATTCGTATTGGTTGAAAATTGAAATCCTGGGGTGCCAGAATGTTGGAAAAACTTCATTCCCGAGGGGGCCCTCATAACTTGATCCTTTGGTTCTTGAGATTTTGACTTCTGGATTTCCCATTCTTACACTCCACTATCAGTTGTATAAACGGCAAAAATCAGTGAGTATGATGAACCAGCGGAATTAGGAGTAAAATAATTTTGATGTGAAAAATGCATATGAAAATTAGGATTTTGTGAATTTAATTCTTTTTTTAATGAAACCTATATGATTTTTTGGTTGGAGTTAAAGGATTAAAACAGGTGATACTATATATAGAAAGAGGTCTATAGCTTAGTTCAACTTGAACTATTTAAATAATATATTTAATTTAAGTTATTTAAAAGACTTAATTAGTTAAATAAGTTAGACTTTAATTTAAAAAAAAAACTTATTAAATCTATTAAAATGACTTATTTAAAACTTATAAAATTTATAATAATATATTAAATAATTTTACATAAAAATTATAATATTATATTAAATAAATTAAATTTTAACATAAATAAATATTAAATTAAAAAAAATATTAAGTTGAAAAGTATTTTTATTACATATTTTTTAAGAGAGAAAATCATAATTAATAATAAAAAAATTACATATAACATAAACAAATACACAAAAGAATAAATGAAACAATCTAACAATAGATATAATTAGAATAATACAAAATATTTTCTTTAATTGAAAGCAATAAAATAAAAATTAAATTAAATTAAATAAAAAATTTATAATAGATAATAAGTCTTAGACTTTAAAATTAATAAATAAATCAGATTTTTTTTGTGATAAGAAAAATATATTATTATAGAGAGTTCAAGAAGAACTTAAAACTCATACATATAAAAAAAATTAATATTTATTTAAAAAAAAGTAAAAATATACTTATACTTAACTAAAACGAATGTAATTTTGTAGATTCAAATACTAATTAACTAACAAAATAATTTTTCTCTTATTAATAAGTAATAGTTATTTTTAAAACTTTAAAATAATAGAATCTAAAATTTTTCTCTTATCCAAAACGTTATTAAAAAATATTATGTAATTACAAATATCATACTTTACTTAGTATGAATATTTGTTTATGTTGAGAAAATTTTGAAATATCCATCCGTTTCAGCAGAGTTTTCACTTTGTCACATCTCATGATTTGGGTTTGAAGTGTCACAATAATATTAGGAACCATCTCCAACTCAGACGCTCAATCTTTATCACCGACGAGTAATGATTCACTTTCACAATTGTTAGCTGACAAAAAATTAATATGGTAAAGAAATATTGTTCGAATGAGGATTGATGTAAATACATATTAATAAATTAAATTGAACTAGTTGGTTATTATTAAGCACTGAAGGAGATTCAATGAAAAACTGGCAAAACAACTAAAAACAAGTAAAGGAATATATTTATGTAACTAAACTAGACACTTAAGAAGCATTACCCAACATTCTATTTTTCAATTTTACGAGTCTCTATCCAGTCCATGTATATGATTATATACTTCGTACAAACATTAAGCTAAGATTTGACTGCTAAGTTACAAATAAAACATTGAATTAGGAGTATAAGTTAATTACGTCAAAATATAATTAAGATCCATCATATCTAGTTAAAACGATTTAGCAATCTATGACAAGCGAGCAAGAAAACTGTTCAACCGTCTTTAAGAAAGGGGATATGAATGCAGAGAAACCTTTTAGAACCTTCTTGAACCCTCAAAATTCTTAGATGTACTTGAATGTTGCCTTTTTTTGTTTCTTCTCCTTACCTCATTGTTTTAAAAATTATATTTATGATGCTTGATGAGGAGTTCTATCAATGCTGAAATACATGCTTTTGTTACGTGAAATGGGCACTTAATGGGTCCCTAGACATCAACGAATAACTTAGAATATGCAACAACGACATCAACGAATATTGAGTGGTGTGTTTTGCATTCATACTGTTTCTAAGCCAAGTTGTTTTGTTTTTTTTTTCATGGTTCCTTACGTTCATCTGTGGCCACTTCGTTCACAAAAAATGCTTATACTTTGAATCAACTATTATCTATTTTAAGGGATATTCAAATTACATTGACCCTTTTTATATTTAAAATTTCTACTCTGTTCTTTTGAAGGATAAGATGTGTTATACTTTAACTCCTTTTTATAATAAATAATAGCGAACAACTATAAAATAAATTTGCATTAACTTTTTTTCTCCCAATGCAATATGCCACCAACTTATATTTTTTTAGCTATTTTATTATCAATTTTAAGATTTTAAAATAAAATGATGTTCTGTAAACATTCTCATTAACAACTTTAGAATTTTATCAAAAAGTTTTATTATTTAATTTTTTCCACCATTATGTTACAAAGCATGGGCTACCAAATGAAATAGAAATCTCACCTCTTTCTTTATCAAGACATAAACTTGTTTTGCATTGGTACAAATACTATAAAATTTTGGTTCTCTCTAGATAACTTACATAATAACGTTGCTTTCCCAATATCATTTTCAAACACCTCTTCATAATTATTGGTCATTCTCAGTATCTACTACCACATAGGTACAAACAATTGTGAATCCACGAGACAAAACCACATTTGCAAATTGTGGTCCATGGTTGCGAGTTGCAACGATATCAACCTCAAATCTAAAACACTCTTTTAACGTGGTCCATTTTCTACTATTATTAAATTTATTTTTATTTTATTTTTTTTCTCTTCTATTAATTTTTGCGGCTATAAATGTTTTTGCACTAAGATATGTAATGAAATTGCTTTTAAGAGTATGTTTGTTTCCTTTCTTAAAAATGACTTTTTTAAAAAATATAATATCAATTTGTATTACTTTTTTTTGAAAAAAAAACAAACCTAGTCTAAGCTATTTTATTATTAAACTAAATTATGTTCAGAAGTGTTTTTTTAATTTATTGTTGTACCATTTTTAATTATACGTGATTTTTTACAATTTTTTGGTCCATTGCGCCTATTGTATTAAGATTAATTTTACCAAAATAATTTACCAATGTTATATAAGTTTTGTTAAGTGTGATTTTTTTCCATAAATATCTTTTTTTAAAAATACTTTTGATAAATTCATGGTCACTATACAAAATATAGAGCTGACCAGATAATGTTTGAAATAGAGTTCTGAGAGAATTAATTGTTTACTTTTACTTAGTTCATAGGTAGACACTCATAAGAGATTTGAATTGTGATTAACATTAATTTATAGAAATGCTTGATCTAAGATGAAACATATTATGGAATATATTTTATTAAATTATTAAAAGTTAAATTATAAGTTTATTTTAGTTCTTATATATGAAAAATTATATTTTTTTATATATAATAAGTAATGAATTAATTCTTATTATTTATAAAATTTATAATAGTGTTAGTATAATTTTTTAAAATAAAATAAAATTAAAAATGATATGTCATTATTAATTAAGGACTAAAATACTAAATGTAAAACTATTGTGTACAGAGACCAAAATACAATATAAATATAAGACTTAAATATAAAAATTGTATTAAGTATAAAAATTAAATTTTGAATTATTTTATAGGACTGGTCTATAAATAGTTTTTCATACAGAAATTAAAATAAATTTTTTTATGTAGAGACTAGAAAATATATTGAGAAGACTAAATCATTAAATTTATAATTAAATTATTATTATAATAGTTAAATAAAAAATTATATTTTAACATTTAATTTATTGATTGTTATATAATTCTTATATAACAATTTCTAGATTGATCTTTTAATGTATCATTAGAATATAGATGCCAACATCATTCTTGTACTATATGCAGATTAATTATAGGACAACTTCTCATTCAAATTAGGGCTTTACCCTGACTTTACATTAATTGCATATTTCCTTAATTAAAACCTTTTATTACTAATAAAAAAATGTTAACAAAGCCAATATATTGTACATGTACATACACTTTTATTGATTTATTTCGCCGAATTTAACAGTCACCCGAAATTTATCTAAAAAATCTAATAAATATCATTGCTTGTAAATATTATTTGATAGATCTTTTGATTATGACTTGTTGTTGATTCCTATCCACAGCAATATTTTTCCCTTCAAATATTTCACAACCAAACACGTGGGTACATCATATCAACATCATATATATATATATTTCATTGCACGCCAAAAGAATGTAAATAAAACGACATATATGTAAACTAAATTTGGATAAATTACACTCTCTTTGGGGATAAACGCTTAAATCACATGTCCTCTTTTTTATTAGAAAAAAGTTCTTCCTTATAAGACTTACTAAATCTGTATATGCTTCCTTGTATATAATTTTTTTAAAATATAAAAAAATATTTTTATAATTAATTATAAAGTTAATCATAAAAGATAATTTTTTTTAATTGAATCATATTAATTAAAAAGTCTATATTTAAAATAAAATTAACTACACAAATTTACTTATTAACTTTTATATATATATATATATATATTAATCTAATTATTAGTTTAAAGATTCTTATTAAATAGATTAATTTTATTCGTATAAGAATGAATAAATATTTTATTTTAATGTGTAATTTTTGAAAAATATAAATAAATATTACATTTTGAATAATATATTTATAAATATGTAAATTACTTAAAAATTTGATAATATAAAATAATATGATAATTACATTCATCAATTTTGTATTTTATTAAAAGTTATTAAGTATTTAAATTTAACATTTAATGTCAATATATCATTACTTAATTAATTTACATATTTTTTTAATTTTTTTACTATTCTAATAAAATTTTTAATTAAATAGATTAACTTACTTAATTTATGAGAAAAATAACTGATGACTTTATTTATTTTGTATTTAATAATTAGTTAAATCCATTTAATAGTGAACTGTCTAACTTGGGTCAGGTTGATCGAAACATTCAATACTTGTAAAAGTTTTATTTGAGAAAAACAAATCTTTTATATATTCTTTTCATAGAATTAAATAATTTCTTTTTTTTCTTAGAAATCCTTTGCATAAAAGGATAGAGAAATTATATTTATATTATATATCTGCACAATTTTGCACAATAAAAAAAGATAATTAGTGTGATATTATGTTTAGTTTAATATATAATATTTTAAAAATTATCATGATATTTCTTGAAATAATTTTTTTATATAAAAATACATGTTATAGAGACAAAATAATTAATTAAATAAAAAAATAAGACCATAAACCTTGTCATATTTTTCTTGCTATTCAACCTTGTCAATTTTTTAAAAATTATTAATTTTATATTATTAATAAAATTAGTTATATTTCTTAAGTTTTATAAATTAGTTAATAACAAATAAAAATAATATTATGTCCTTTAAATTTCTTAATTTGTAGTGTGTTTCATATCCAATTTTGACACACCTTATTAAACCTAATAGAAATTAAGATTTCTCTGTGTATATAAACATCTTTGTTCTAAGGTGTGTCAAAATACACTATAAGAATCAAATAAATAATAGATTTTTATTATCAATTATAATATTTAATATTATTAATATATTAAAATTAATGATTTTTAATAAAAATTGACTTATATAAGTTGAAGTTGTGTGTGCCTTGTGCATAATCATAAAGACATTCTTATACTATCAAACTCTTCACTCCATGCATCGGCTATGTCTCTCTCTCTCTCTCTCTCTGAACCCCAAAATGCAGAGCCTTTCTTTGTCACTGTCTCCTTCAACACAACGTGTTTCATATCACAAACCTTCTTCTTCATCTTCTTCTTCTTTACCTCTTAGTCTCACCATTAATGCACTTCCATGGCCATTTTCTTCTTCTCTTCTCACTGCTCGAAAGTCTTCTCCTTTCCTCATTTCCTCTGCAAAATTTGCATCTTTAAAGGTCTTTGCTGCCTCTTTTCCAGATGCTAAGAGTGATGAACCAGCCAAACAAACTAGTTTTGTTAACACTCTTCAACTTGGAGCTATGTTTGCAACCTGGTACCTCTTGAATATTTACTTCAACATCTACAATAAGCAGGTTCTCCACTTTAATCTATCATCTTTTGTCAAAAAAGTTTCTATTTTTGCCATTATTTGGGATTTGGGGTAGGAAGGTAAATTTTGAAACAAAAAATACTAGTAATTGATTTTTTTTTTAAAAGTTAAATTAAGTATTTATCTAATAATTGATTATTTTTCTTAAAATTATTTTAATTTTGTAAAAGATATACTAATTATAACTTATAAGGAATGTCTAGTAGAATGTGTTCAAATAATTTATTGTAAAGTTTTTCAAATATGAAAACTTAAACATAGGTTTGTGTTAGTTAATCAAAAGATTTATTGGGTGTCCTTAATTTTTATTTCTTAATCCTCTTTTGGTTGTTCTCAATTGCATTGCATTGGTTGTCTATTAGGTTCTAAAAGTCTATCCATTTCCAGCAACAGTTACAGCATTTCAATTTGGCTTTGCAACGTTGATGATTAATTTGATATGGGCTTTGAATTTACATCCAAGACCAAACATTACTGGTTCACAGGTATTTTGGATTCTGTGGTTCATCATTTTTGTGAGGTATAACTCTGATTTCAAATGATTAATTTACTTGTATTCATAGATTGTATCAATCTTTCCACTGGCTGTGGCTCACACAATGGGGAACTTGTTGACCAACGTTAGTCTTGGCAAGGTTGCTGTATCATTCACTCACACCGTCAAGGCTATGGAACCTTTCTTCACTGTTGTTCTTTCTTCCCTTTTCCTGGCTGAGGTAATGTCTTCAATTTCTATTTTTCATAATCAATTTTAAATTTTCATCCTAGATGCACTACAGGTTCACACATGTTGCTTGCCCTTGACATTAATAAATTTTTGTTAAAATTTTTATTGAAAAACATACTTGCTATAAGAATGACAATTAAGTCTAATTATCCACTGAATAGCTACTTAGCTCATACAATTTTGTTTTTCCAATAAAAGCTAACTATTTTTAGTTGGTTAAAGTTAATTTAAAAGACTAATATTAATGAAATCGTATTAACATTAACTACATGCAACAAAAGCGAGCTCTTATGCTTAATATTGAAAATTTTCCATAATATTTGAGGTCAAGAAGTTTTGAAACAGGGGTACTCTATTTTGTGTTGCTCTGGTTTTGGGTACTGCATTACGAAATGAATTTTCTTTCTTTCTGTTTTAAAATAGATATGCCACTCGGGTACTGCTAAGATTGAGTATAGCTTTGAGCACTATTTAGGCAATTAGTCATTCCCTCATAGGACTAGGGAGGTAGCTTCAAACCTATTTTGCCTAGCATGCCAAGAACATGTGCCCTGTGTGCATAAACCATATTAAGCGTCAGTTTGGGCAAGCTTTTGAATAAGTACTTATACAAGAAAAGAATAAAGAAATAAAATGAATTAAAATTTTTCTTATAAATTAAAATCAATCTATGCTCCTCAAGTTTTGGAGAAGTTAAATCAGAGAGTTTCTTAAAATGTAGAGGAACATAAATTGATTTTAACTTGAGAGAAGTTTGATTCATTTTACTTCCCTAGTTTTGTTTTGTACAAGTATTTATTGAGAAATTTATCCAAACTGAGCCTAACTTCTAGTTTTCTTAGTATTATTGTGAATGCCAACTGTATATAATTATAATTTTCAGCAGCAAAGCAAAATAAAAACATAGCAATATGCACACTTTTGCATACTGTATTAGTACTAATGCTTGTACACCACATGCTACTAATTTAAATTAAAATGCAGGAAAATCTATTTGTTTTGGTGTTCTGACCTTCACTTTTGATCCTTAAATGAACAGAGGCCCACTTTGTGGGTGGTTTCTTCACTTGTACCAATAGTAGGGGGAGTGGCACTTGCATCAATGACTGAAGTCTCTTTCAATTGGTAATTGATCACATTAAAATTGTTGCATGTAACAAGTTCCATCAAGGACAATAGTGAATAATTCTGATACTGATCCCAAAATATTTACCATATTTGTTGCATTGGAGGGTTAATATTAAAGATTTTTGGCATGTTGTGTCTTGAAACAGGATTGGGTTCAGCACGGCTATGGCATCTAACCTTACTAATCAATCGCGGAATGTTTTGAGCAAAAAATTGATGACTAATGAAGAGGTAAATAACCTCCTCAGATCTGCGAAATGCAGTAACTTTGTTGTTGTTATGACACAGTTACAAAATGAAGTTGTATGCGTTTGTGTATTTGTTTGTTAATTATTTATTGGAACTCTTTCACAATATTCTGTTAAAATTATGGCTAATCATTTGAAGTGTGTTGCTGACAGGAAGCTTTGGACAATATCAATCTCTACTCAGTTATAACAATCATTTCCTTTATCATGTTGGTTCCGTGTGCTATACTTTTGGAAGGTGTCAAGTTTACTCCTTCATACCTGCAATATGCTGTATGTATACTATTTTTATTTTTTAATATTATATTCTCTTTGCCACTATTTTTCCTTTTAAGTAATTGAGGAAGAGAAAAAACTGCCTAACAATTATACTGTTCTTTCCTATATAGGCAAGCCAAGGGCTTAATATTAGGGAGTTATGTGTGAGATCGGTTTTGGCTGCTTTCTGCTTCCATGCATACCAGCAGGTGAGGCCTTTCAAATATTGTTTTGTTTTGCTATTGTGATTTGTTAATAATGGGATTTTCTACTTTAGAAGATTGTCATGCTCATTATGGTATGCAAGGCAATAACTATTTTCACTTGAAGGAAATGTGGCATTTTTTATTTAAAAGATTGTCATGCATGAAATTTTGTATCCTATGTGTACAATTTTCTCATCATGAGCTGTATTTTGCTAGATTGTGACCCTTTGATTTTTCAAACTTCTAAATTAGCCAACTTCTAGATCCCTTTTCTTAAAAAGTCTTGTGGAGCCTTTCCCTTTGCAAAATGGTATCCTTTCGTCCATTTCCCATCTTTTCAATTATTTTGAACATTGTCATAACATGGGGTCCATATCAAAAGATGTTGATAGCTTGTCATTTCCCCCTCAACATATTTTCTGAGATAAAATGGGGTCCATGATTGTATTATTATAAAATTAAATTCATTATTCTCAACTCGTGTGACAGGTTTTCTAATGAAATATTCTGACCTTTGACTGGTAACCATATATTTAACATTTGAATTTTGAGATGTAAACTTCTGGGCTCATTGATATATGTTTATACTCGATCATTTTATTTGTTTGTGGTTGATAAGATACTCAGAAAATAAACCACCTGTTTGATGCCAATGATTTAGGGTACATAAGTTAGTAACATAATGACTTATAGCATAAATTTGATCGAGAAACTTACTAGAATAGGCTAAAAATAACTTACTTTTATACCAAAAAACTTAATGAAATAAGCTTATAAAATTCATAAGCAATTTTCATAGGTTCTTCCGAATGTCCCCTTAATTGCCTCACTAGGGGTCCAAATTTTATTTTTCTGGGTGGTATTATATTCTCATGTTTCATCTTAAACAAAATGAAAAATATTTTGTGAATACAACATTGATCAAATTTAGTGACAGTGGAATTAGGCACTGTGACTTTGTTGAGTATTGTGGCATAAAATGTCTTGGAGCTAAATGCATTTGGTGGCAGGTATCTTATATGATATTACAGATGGTGTCACCTGTGACCCACTCAGTTGGAAATTGTGTGAAGCGTGTGGTTGTCATAATTTCTTCTGTTATCTTCTTCCAAACTCCAGTCTCACCCATTAACACAATTGGTAAGTCTCTCAGGGCCTGTGTCCCACAATTTTTTGGTGTTTTGTTGTGAACTTTGCAAGTCTCAAACATGTGAACTAAAATTGCTAAACCTTAATTTCTTCTCTCTCCTCTCTTGTGGTCTATAGGAACTGCATTTGCACTAGTTGGAGTTTTCTTGTACTCAAGGGCTAAACGGATTAAGCCAATGCCAAAAACACATTAAGGTAGCATTAACCCTTCCAAAGGAAAAATAGTGTTGACATAACACCCATTATTTTATTATTATTTTTGTATAAATATGCTTCTCCATGCGAAGTCTCATTGATAAAAAGAAATATTTTTGTTATTGGATATTATTATTCTTTCGCATTCCTTGCTCTTACATTTTATTTGCACCAACTTTTTCTTTTAATTTTTCTCTTCTTTTTGTGTTACATTACCATCATTGAGGGGTTATCAAGTGTGAAAATATCGTTGTTCTTGTTTTTGCATGCATCACTTACCCAATTTGTTTGAGATCAGGGTGAATCTGTTACCTGCTATGTTCATAAAATAGGGCAACCAAACTTGCTATGTTCATAAACTAGTGCAACCAAACGACTTCTTAAACGCTCAAGTGAACTAGAATTAGATACATTTAACAGTTCAAAAATAGCTATAAATCTGTTAGGAAACCTTCTAATTTCAAAAACTTAATAAATAATGGCATATATTTCAATTTGTAATTTTTTCTATTGAGATTACGAAAACAATAATATTTGTATGTACAAAATAAGATGCATACAATCATTTAATTTCTTTTGAATATAAACAATGACACTTTTTTTTACATAACTATATTTAGTACACAATATAATGTAATATTTTGTTTTTGATATTTGGTCACGTCCTTGAACTAAGATGTATTAATACATGTTGGTCTTTCCTTTTCTTTTTGAGTAGTAAGTATTAAGTTTAAAAGTTTTTAAAAATCAAAATTGTTTTCTATTTTATAATTTAAATTTTATTTCTTATTTTAATACTTGAAGTTTGATATTAAAATTAAAATATAAATCATTTCTAAATTTTCATTTAGATTTTTACAATAGTGATAATGGTTAATTAATAAATTTAATGATATTAACGATAATAATGTAAGTAATAATGATAATAATTATGATAATAACATTTATAAAGGTAACAAGCGATTACAAATAGTTGCAATAATAAGGTAAATAATAGTAATAATAATAACTACTTATAAAAATTGGTAAAAATAATAATGGAAGTAATTGTAATAATAACAATGGCAGGATATAAGTCTTTAATTTTTATGCATGTCCACTAAAATTATGTTGATATTTTCAAATCTTGTTTGAAAAATAATTTTTTGTTACATTTTTTTAATCATGTTTTTTTTAATATATTCGATTAATTATCATGAGCCTCTTTTTTTTGCTTGCATTTTATATGACATTTTAATTTTTATATATGGTTTTGAACTAAAATACATAAATTTATATGCATAATTTATTTTTGACAATTATTGAAAAATAATGCATGCCTTTTAAACTATTTTTTTAATGTTTGTGTAAAAAAGAGATACTTAAAATATAAACTTAACTTACGATAAAATTGTTTAAATTAAATTTATTTATTTAAATGAATTAAATTTAAATATTGAATTTGACATTCATAAAAAATCTTGAAACTTGAACTTGATTATTTTTATTAATTTAATAATTAATAAATATTTTTATGCTAAAAATAAATTAAAATGTAATAAAATGTAATTTTAATTACATAAAGATGTTTTAATGTGTAAAATAAAATATTTTATTAATATTAAGCTGGACTCATGTAATTAAGTTTCACTTTAAATTTAAACTTATTTACTTAATTAAAATTAAGTTAAATTCAAATGTGTTTAATCAAATTATATCAGTATAAATTACATTTTTTATATTGTCAATAAATTTATATAAAATATAATTTTTATTGATTTAAGTGTTTTATAACTACATATTATTTTAATTGTTTGCATTAATTTTGTTAAAATTTAATAATTTTAAATTTATTGAAAAGTTTACAAACATAATCTATATAATTTAAAAAATTAATTTAATGATTAATTTTAATATTAAATTATTTAATAAAATGTTACTAGATAATATGAAAATCAATAAAATTACATAACTACATTTTTTCATAAATTATATCATTATTAACGTCTGCCAAACATAATATCGCCACAGAACAGAAGGAACATAACATTTTGATTATTAAAGTAATTAGATTTAATTAATGAAAAGCATAAACATAACTATAAGTGCATATGCTCAAGTATTTAGCATTTATCATCATCTCTTTTTCCCTTGATAATCTCATTCGTTTGAGGCCAAGCCTTCATCATTGTAAATGTCTTTCTACCATCAATGACTTGTGTTGGTGCATAGCCACTGCTGTTTCCATGCAACACATTATATGTGATCAGTAAATATAGAAAAACACAAGCTAGACCATTACTACTTGGGAGAGAGAAAAATATTGAAAAAGCATTTCTTCATACTATAGAAAGTTTGTCCGAACTAAATTAAAGAATTTGCAAGAAATAAACTGAAATTATATATGTAAGAGTGCATGTAAAAAAAATTATTTATGAATTAAAAATATATAATTTTATTAACAAAATTACATATATGCAAAGTTAATTGGGTGTAATTTTTTTAAAAGCCTTTCATAGAGTCAAAATAATAATTCTCAAGTTGAAAATTTTAATTTTATTTGAAGTTACAATTTATTTTAACTAAGTGCAATTTTAGTACATTGCACGAATATTATTAAATTTAAATAAGATATTAAAATAAATTTTATAAATATTTTAAAATTTAAATAAATAAATAAATATTAATAATAAATATTTTATTATGTTAAGTAAGATTAAATTAAAGAGATATTTTTTTAAAATTATAAAAAATTAAACAATTAAATTGAAAAAATAATAAGAAAACTAACACTTAAAAAAGAGTGTTTTAAGTGTTACTCTCTTCTTAATTTTTTAATTTATCCTTAATTTTAATTTTAAATTTTTATAATTTTTTAAAATAATTATCTCTTGGAATTTAATTTAATTTTATATGACAAAATATTTATTATTAATAATTAAATGTTTATTTTTTAAAAATAAATTATAAATTTATAAAATATATTTTTAAAAAATTATTTTGATTCAATATTAATAGTACAATATATAAATAAATAATATGAATTATAGATATTTGTAATATATGTTAGGTATACAGGTATTACATACTAACTTTCATGTTTTGATCAAAGACCAAAAATGTCACATTTTATACATGGCAAATTCTTGTTTTTAAATTACTTTTGGTCACTTATATTTAAATTGTTATACAATCTTGAATTATTTTAAATTAAATTATTCTTATTTTAATATTATATATATATATATATATATTAAATGTGACATAATTTTATTATATTTATATATATATATATTATATAAATATTTAATTTTTTTCTTCTTTATTACCATTATTGCATTTTAAATAAGTTGATTTAATCATAGAAAAAACTTATCAAAGAAGGTAATTTATCATAAAAAGAAAAAAGTGAACTAAACTAATGCCCTAACTCCAAGTGATAATTTAAAAACTTGATTTTATTTAGATAAGAACTTAAATTCAAGTTTTGTAAATAAAAAAATATAGATATGAAATAAATTCTTATAGTTCTCTATCACCTTAGCATCTCTAGCATGTCAGTCAAAGAGACCCCTAAGCTTATTTTATTTTATTTTATTTTAATTGTTTCTAGGTTGACAGATTTAATGGTTTAATTTTAAATTTAGCATTAAGATTTTTAAAATTTTTTTGCTATATTTTAGAAATAAAAAATGGCAGTAATACAAATCCTTTTTAATATACATTTATTTTAGTTAAAATTTATTTAAAATTATTCAAAAAATTATAAGTTCTATCCTTAATTTAATATTTATTTTTTACATTTTTATAATTTACAATAAACTTTAACTAATAATCAAAAGAGTATAAAAAATAATATATTTATAACATTACTTTCAAATATGCATGAACAAAATGCCACTGTATATGTATTTATGGATTGTGGCTATTATCTTGTAAGGGTAAAAATGGATTAAATTTTCTTGAATTCAAGGTTAAATTTAACCTATTTACTTGATGTGTGTTATATTTTAAAATTTGTCTTAACTTTTTTTGAAAGTTTGACTTATAAGTTTATTTTAAAAGCTTATTTTACAGTAAAATTTTACTTCTAAATAGATTAATGACTCTCAACTTATATATAAATATCAATAAAATTAAGTTAAATAAATTAAACATAATCTTAAAATATTATAATAATAACAATAATAATTTTAAAAGATATTTTAAATTATTAAAATTTTAATTTTTTTTTATTAAACATCGACGTTTTATTAATGATAAAATCAAAATATAAGAAATACTCTAATCCATTACATTTCTAAAAGGAATTAATAATACATGTCAAGGGATCATTAATCAAATATTTCACTAACATTTAGCATGCTGTTATTAAAAAAAATATTATTATGTTAAAGTCAAGTTGTCCATACTACTACAAATCATACCATTACAACTCCTTCCCATTTTTTTTTTCATATTGAATTACATGCATACTCAGCAATGTCTCATGCAAATTTTAAGATAAACATATACTGACTCCAAATCATTTGAATACCATGTACCATAGTCTCTTAGAAATATCACAATACAAAAGAAGGTGCAAGACGTCATCATCTTTTGTATCACAAAACTCATAAGCTTCAGATCGAATCGTCAAACCTTGTTTGGTCAAATTCTTGCACAATGGACTACATTAAGTAACAAACGCTACACGAATACTACTATTTTTCTCAGTGCACTAAGCTTCCAAATTTTGCATAATGCCTACATTAGACACAATTGCAAATTGCTATTTGTAGTGAAGAAATTATGAATGTAGAAATAAGTGGATTAAATATTGTATTTTTTATTATCTTCACACTTCTATATCAACATGTTATTTTCATTTTTCCTCGGTCTCTTCCTTCCATAGTTTCTCACAACTACTATCTTCTCTAAGACATTTTCTATACTCGTTGGTCCATTATCTGCACCTCCTTATCAGTTGTTACTAAAAATAGCTTTGGGTATGAACTAGCCAATGCAATATTTCTCACCTATTTATCGCTTCAAAAACTAAAGGAACAATCATCGTCAAGAACTTGTGTGACATTAGAATCTATCTACCAATTAACTTGCTTACAAACCCACATCATATACCTCTACCAATCCAAAGCATTATGAGTCACTTCCAAAGAAACTAACATATCAGCACATAAACCATACCACGTCCTTGTAGCACATTAAAGCACAATGAGTTTGAAAATTTTAAACCTCTCTAAATCCATTTACCCAACAAGCTTTGATTAAACCATTCTATAATTCTCACTTCCAAATTTCCCTCATTCTTTGGCATGTATACTTTTCTCCATTTAATCCAAGCTATTTTTTATGATTACTTCACGCCACTCCAAAGTAATTGACGTTGAACTTCACTATTTCTTTGATGACAACCGATGACATTATCCAAAAAGATAAATAATGTATTGGAAGATTATTTAGAACATCATTAATTAGTGTTACTTTACCCCCAATGAAAATGTATTTGTGCTTTTAAGATGCTAGTTTGCAGTTAAGCACATCAATAAGCTTTTGTCAAGCACTTCTTCTTCTCAGTTTGTCCTTAAGATAATGGTTAAGTACCGAAAAGGAAAAGATCTAACCTTACAATTTATAAAGCAAGATGTTGTATCTAGAAAGTCATCTGTCATGTTGAGTTCTATAATACAACTCTTATGAAAATTAACTTTAAACCTAGATAAAAGCTCAAAGTTACAGTAGAATGACTTTTGTCGTTAGGGATGTCAAAACAAGCCAAACTGCCCCGCCCCACCAAAAGCCAGCCTAAAAATGGGCTAGCCTGAGCTCGGCTTATTTAAAAAATGCGTCAGTATTCCTAGCCCGGCCTATTTAAGAGTGGGAGGCGGGCTAATGGGCCAGCCCGTCAAAAACAAAAAAATAAAAAAAAGTTAGTGGACCATTAAATTAATGGGCTATCCTATTGAAAATTACCAAAAAAATAAAAAAATTACAATAAATAATAAAAAATATTTTTATTATTTTATATTAATAAAAATATATATTGTATTTAATTATTTTTATTTTTCTAGAATAAAATTTGGACTTAACTGGCCAAAACATTCTGCCTGACCCGCTAAATTTAGTGGGTTATGCGGGCGAGCTTGTCGGGCTAGACCCAATTTGTCATCCCTGTTTGTTGTTTACAAATTTTGTTCAATAGCTTTGTCTATAATCAAAATATTATCTGCAAATTGTAACAATGAGATTTCAAGTTTATCACTAACTTTGACCTCAGAGAAAAGTTCCTTTGATAAATACTCCTCATCAATCATCCTAAATCTTTAAACGCCAATAAAAATAAGAAAGGAGATAAAGGATAGCCTCTACCAATCATCACTTCCTTTGTGGGGCTCCCAACCTCCCATTAACGAGAAGCGATAAATGACCATCGCATATACAAGCCTCCATCCACCTTACTCACTTTTCTCCAAGACCAAGCTTTCATAGCATATATAACATATATTTTCTTGAATCATACACTTTTTCATAATTTATTCTCAACCTAAAATATTTCTTTTTACTCTCTTATCTAACTAACTTATTTAATAAAATATATTTAACTTAATTTAAGTCCAGTTTTAAATTATACCTAAATTCTTAATAAACTATTTATCTCTACTCCCTTCTTATACTTTTAATGTTAATAAAGATTATTTCTTAAATCACAACCTAATAAAAAAATTATTTATTTAAACAAGCCACTCTATCTTTAAAAATATTTTGTGATAAAACTTAATACAAGAGTTTTTATATTTTTTAATTTTATTGATATTTAACTTTTATCTTTTTTATTTTTTGTTTCATTTTATTAATAAAATATTATTTAACACTTTCTTGTAATTTTAACTTTTCATCTTATTTTATCCTTTTACAATTCCATCATTATCGTGAATTCATTATATTATTTTAAATGATGTTCTTTCCATGAACATGAAATTGTACTTAAACTATTTATGAAATATTTATATTTTTTTAATTTTTTCTATCTTTAATGCTTTTATTTTGAGCTATAGGCCTCTTATTCGTTTGTTTTTCTTTTCATATAAAAGATTAAAAAATATATTTTATACAAATCATTTTGAAATGAAAGCTTTTAGGGCTTCTTTAATTGAATTTTTAGTTTTAAGTTATGAAATATTTAAAATTAGAATATTTTAATTTTAATTATTTTTTATGATAATATAATTAATTAATTAATAATAATAATAATAATGACAAAGATAACAATTAATAATGACATAATTATTGTGACAACGGTAATAGTAATAAAAACAATAATATGACATAAATTTTCAAATAAAGATAGAAAAATTGAACCAATCATGTGAATTCATGTATTCGAATTAAACATATATGCCAAAAAATGAAACTTTAAAGAGATTTAAAAAAACAAAAACAAAAAAATTACACGTGTTTTGAATGAAATTAATATGTATTTTGTTCTTTACATTAAATTTAAATTGTGATAACAAAAATAAAAAATTCGAAAAGAAACAAAAAGAAATCTCTATCATATTATTTGTCTTGTAATTGGATCTCCAAATTTAGAATGTTCTAAGTTCTACGTGACCATGTATAAATTTGGATCGCAAAAACATCTCTAAAGAAGGTTTTAACATATTAAATATGCTCTATGACAAACGATTATGTTAAAAAGTAATTTTATACGTAGTTGTTCAACATTATATATATGCTTATATATTTTATTTGAATAACAATATTTCTTTTTTCTTTTGTTTTCAATCACGTTTGTTGAATCATAGATAAGTGTAAATGTTGAATCAATTTTTATTGATCTCTTTTTATCTTAGTATATTTTGTTATGACATTTCAAATTTCTGTTGCATATCTTCGAAATTGAAATACAAAAATTAAAGATATTTATACAAGTTTTTTAAGATCAATCTTCATCCTCTGATTATATATATATATATATTTATTAACACTCATTTTTTAATGCAATTCTTTGGAAGCAACACAAAATAAAAAAATTGGAATAAAAAAATTATAACGGGACTCATCACTTAAAACAAAACAAAATAAATCAGCTAAACTTTTGAAGTCATCCCATTTTGTCACATCTATTCTTATTAGTTTGAGAATATAGTTCGGTGTACAGCAATGTTCTACTTGACTTATAAAATTTTAAATTTCTATCACAATAGTTTTTGTAGAAAAATTAATACAAATTAAAATTAGACCTATGTTTCTTTTGATCATTGCTTATTTAAAAAAATGAAATGGTGAAAATATTGATAGTAAGATTTTAAAATTAATTAATCAATCATATATTTATATGTATGAATTATATGGTAGATGGATATAATAAATTAAATAATAAGATATAATAAAATATTAAAAAATAAAACTATATATCTTAATATTATTTTCAAAATTTTGATTGGTTGCATATCTTTTTTTTACTTTCAAAACGATCACTATCCTACCATCGCAATGTCCGTTCGATTAATCTAATTTAAGCTAAAATTATAAAAAGCAATCCAATTTTCTCTTTATATTTATAATGTAATTTCTTTTTCAAGATTTTGAATTTGAAATCTTGTCTAAATTAAAAAAAAAATTCTTATATGTTTAAGTAAGATATTTTTTAATATTTTCTTTAATGTTAGGTTGTAGTTTTTAAAAAATATATAAAATTATATTAAAAATAAAAAATATATACAATATTTCATACAATATCAAATTTTAAATAAAAAAATTTAAGTGTTAATTTTGATGTCTTAGACTCTTATTTTTAGTATGTCAAAGAGTGAATGATTTTTCATCACATAATAATTTATCAGCTAAAAATTGAATAGTGAAATATATATATTATAATTTATTACTTTTGTTAGAAAAATAGATGAATGTAAGAGTTTTAGAGTCACACCAATCAATTTATTAAAAAATTATATATATATATATATAAAATGACATTTATAACATAAATTATATCATTATTAATGTCCGGCCAAAATACACCGCCCGCCGAATAGAAGGAACATAGCAGGTTAAAGTAATTATATCTAATTAATCAAAAGCATAAACAAAACTATGCATACAAATTGCTCTTAATCAGAATTTAGCATTTATCACCATCTCTTTCCTCTATTTCATCCTTTGCTACCAAGTTTTCCATCACTGCACCGCATCATTGCTCCGTAGAGAAGGTTTCTACCATCATCATTGTTATTGACTTGAATCGGTGCATAGCCACTACTGTTTCCATTTCCATTGAGCACGTTATGTGGAGAGTGATCATAGGGAAACATTAGAGCTAAATCATTACAACTACAATCCAACACATTCTTATTCTTATTGCACATAGATTTCTTAAGCTTTTTTGCAGCTTCTTCATTTTCAGTGACCCTTTTGATATAGGCTTGGAGCAATGAACCTTCAGGAGTGGAAGACTTGTTCTTCGGCTTCTTGCATCTTTGGCGTCGCTTAGTGGCATTCCAATGGTTCTTGATGGTGTTTTCAGTCCTACCAGGCAATCTCCTTGCAATCTCTGCCCATTTGTTTCCAACTTCTTGGTGGGATCTGATCAGCATTATGTCTTCCTCTAGGGTCCATGAGTCCTTCTACAATAGTAATTAACAGTCAACAAAAATGTGTAGATATATATATGAATGAATCTTGCATTGAAATATAAACATGATGTTAATAATATATATTTCTTTTTATTAAATGTAAAGACAGGTATATCAGAACAAATTATAAAAGTTTTAATTTATTCAAATATAAGCTTAGACATCAAATTGTAACATGTCACATTTGATAAATTAAATAAAAAATTTAATGTTGTTCAAGAAATGAAAATGTTTATTTGTGTGTTTCAGAAACCGACAAGAAATAAAATTAAATAGTATCTATTGTGACTCCAAAATGTCTAATAATAATATTATTATTATTTATGTAACTAACCAATAAAAAAATATTTTATATAAGTAAATATTATATAAAATGTGTAATAATTGACATTTTAGAATGATGATAAACTCACCCTTATAACCGGCTAAGAGCTAATTAAACATGTAAATTTTATACGTTTTAATCAAAAGTACAAGTCAGACAAGAAACGGAAAATTACTTATAAATTACAGAAATTGACAAAAATCAACTATCATATAAATTCATGTGTTACAATTTAAAAGGTATAATGGAAATTTTAAATAAAGTGTTTTATAACTAAAAATAAGCAAAACAAATCATTAAACTATATTTTAAGATAATTTTGCATTATACTAGTCATTAGAATATTCAAAAAAAATTCTTCTGAGTATAGGATTAGATATCAAATTAGCAACATAATATTGCATGATAAATTTAAAAATCTAAATGAAAATATAATCAATTATATAAAGAAATAAAAATTTGCATATTTAAAAGAAAAAAATTAATAAATATTTAAATTTGTGTATTTCAAATAATGTGTGATAAAAAATAAAATATTGATAAAAATGTTATGTCTTATAACATATTATATGTCAAAAAGAAATAAATGTCTATTATAATTTTTCTTCTAAAAATTTATGGTTAAAAAATCCTTGTTTAAATAGAATTAAATGCACATACATCCATCTCATTTTTCACAAAATATATTTAAGCTACAATATATTTTAAATATATATTAAAAAGAAAGAATTTTAACATCATTTTTCACATCAAACAAAATTAAGTGATCAAATGTGTAAATACATGTGCCAAAAATCGATTCTGGTGAATTTTTTCTTAAAAAATAATCTTAATCATAGAATCGTACAAATGCAAAGTTAATTGTGTGTAACTTCTTAAAAATCTTGGACTGAATTGTAAAATTAATTCGTTGATTGAAAGATTAAGTTTTATTTAGATGTACAGTTCATTTCAATTGCCACTTAAAGTAATTGCATGTATATATTTATTAATTTATTAATTTTCAGATTGAGCCCAAAAAAAAATAATGTATGTCTGAAAAATAAGATTGGAAAGGGAGGAAACCCTAATGTTTGGGCGGAGATGATTGTGCCATCTTTCTCGACACTGCTTCCCAATTCTGCCATTCAGAGACTTTGCGATGTGGGACCATTTCTTTAATCCATATTGTTTCACCAATTCCACAAGAGCCCTATAAAAACGAAAACTCAAATTATATATATATATTCATCAACTCCCATCATTAAAAAAATCCTCAAATAAAATGAATCAAAGGATTTTTTTTTTTTATCAAAGATCTATGCAAATCCAATTCCAACAACAAAAACTTTATCCCATTAAATAAAATAATTTTCATCAAAGATCTATGCAAATCACACACACAAAATAGCACATGCAAATAGAACTGATTTTACAAAAAGAAAAAAGAAAGAGAGAAAGAGACAGAAAAAGAGAGAGAATATGAAATTCTCTTCATAAATAAGTGACACATATGTGTATGTACCTGTCCTCATCTGGTGTCCACTGTCCTTTGATCAAGTTAGCATTAGGAATGTTTGGATTGTTCTCCTCCTTTACTCTTTTCTGATCACTCATCACCAATCCATGATCACTAGAAATTGGAAATGGTGAGAGTGGGTTAATTAGCCTTGAGGAAGAAGCTTGAGAAGGTTCAACCAAAGTTTTTTGAGAAAAGTCCCAAATAACTTTGTCTCTCTGGTGATTACCATGCAAAGGTTCCATTTTGTTGTTGTTTGGTGCTAAAGTCGACACAGGGTGACGATGGTGAGTGTTGACAAAACCTCCTTGAGACCCATCACCAATTGTCCCATAGAAGGGGTTGGTGATGGATGAAGAAGGGTGGTGGAGGTAATTAGGCACATTCAAGTAATGGTTGAGAGTGTTGGGGAGAAACATGGGGCTATGGTTGGATGGTGGTGATGGTGCAACGAGAATGGAGCTTTGTAAGGGTAACATGGTTTGAGTCTCTTGCTTTGAGCATGGATTTTCAGGGAAAAAGCTTGAAAGGTATGGGTGCTGGCCTTGGAAGCTTGGATTAAACTCCATGCAAAAAAGCTCAATCAAGAGAGAGAGAGAGTAATTGTTGTATGTGATGTGAGGAATGGTTTGAGTTGGTGTAATTGAGAGTGTGAAGAGGGGGGGTTCTTATGGCTGAGGTATGGTGGGTCCTAGAATTGGAAGAAAGAGAGTTGGGGGCCAAAGTGGAAATTGACCCTTGATGTGTGAATGTTCTATGGCTCTGATTCCTAGTTAGTGTGACTGTTGAGGTTCTCCTCTTTGCTAGCCCAAAGGAGAAATTGGGGCTTTGCTTTTCTTTTTTGCTTTGCAATTCTTTTTCCCCCTCTTTTCTGCACTATTTATTTTATGTTTTTGGTAAAGAAGAAAGTGGCTATGATGAAATCGTTAGAAAGTACTGTACTTTATGGGAGATTTTTGGACAAGTGTGCAAGACATGAGGTGTGCTTTTTGGTTAAGACAAGATATTCATACAATGTTTCTTCATAACAGGTGTAAATGAGCTTAGCTACACGTTAACTGTTCAAATTTAGCTTGTTAAATGTTCGACTCAGTTCATTTATTTATGTAATTAAATAAGCTTACATTATAATTAATTATTTTAAAATAAGTCAATTGCAAGATTGATATTAATAGCGTGTGAATAATTCATATATATATATATAAGTTTATTTATTATATTTGCATATATTTATATATTATTATTATTATTTGTATTATTTATTTAATTTTAATTATTAACTTTTATATGATATTTTTATAATATTTTTTATCTTTAACCTTAAATCATTTTTACATAGATCAAATCATATTTTATTTTATTTTTTGACATAAAAATATTCATCATATATTTAATTATAAAACTATTATTTAAATTTTATAAAAATAAAAATTATAAATAAATTAATCAGTCAAATTCAAGCTTTAAAATTGCTAAAAATTAAGTTAAAGCTTTTATATTTAACTTGTTTAAATAAATAAGTTAAATTTAAATTTTTTATAAAATAAATTTAAACTTTACATATGACTCAACTTATTCAATTGCACCCTACTTACTAAGACAATGTTATCATAAATAATATAGTTAATATTTTTTATTCAATAATTAAAAAATTGTTGAGATAAAAGTATAAAAAATATTATTTTTATTTATTGACTACGAAAGAATTAAAGAAGAGATTTAATGAATAAAAATTAATGAATTTGAAGAGTTTTTCTCTTTTACTAATCTCTTTGCATAATTAAAAATTAGTTTTAGTCAACATATTTTAAAAAGTTAATCATTTATGAATTGTGTGAATATTTTTTTTGTTGATAAAAAAATTATAGGAACAAATTTTTATTATTAAGTAAGATTTATATAAATAATATTAAATTAATGAAAATAAAATATATTGAGTAGGAACTATAGACCTACATCATTTATGTGTTTGTTTATTTGTGAACACAACAGAGATTTATATCATGATATCAATTCTTTGAATTTAAGCTTAAATATCATTAAAATACATATTTTTATTTAACATATTTTCATAAATATTAGCATTGTTTTGCCCACTTGATGATAATCTGAAAGTTATATTCTCCTAAGTTGAAGGCGAGGAAGTGCAATTGAGAAAAAGCAATACTTTATGTAGAAAGTTAAGGGACTTTATAAGAAAGCACCAAAGCTTATATGGTAAGAGAGATGGTATCTACACTTGATCATGGAAGAGACTTACTTTTCGTAACAGTGTACCTAACCAAAGTATATAACAACAAAAAGGGTCTTAAATGGCATCATAATCAATTCCGGGATTTTGGTTTAAAAGAAGTGGCTAAGTAACTCAATTTTAAGCCTACCCTGTAACCATATCTTTTGTCTCTTTTACCATATATCAATAATAATAATAATAATATAACCGACCTTTCAAAAATTCCACATTCCTTCACCTATTTAATGATGCCTTTAACACATTTAATCACATATTCATTGCCAACTCCTTATATATTAAAATAATGGTTCAAGTTATAGAAGTGAGAGCATATAATATATAAAAAATTTCACATTCATATACGTTATTTGTATAATATATTATTTTTTCTTATATATCTAGTTTAAATTATTAATATCATTCTTGTTCTTATAAAAATTCCAAGTTAATCAATAAAACATTACTATTATTTAAATAGTTTAAACATTAACGAGAGTTACATCAACACTTAGAATGAGAAATGCATATGAAAATTGTTTATTATAATTCTTCCTCCATTTAATAGTAGTAAAAATCTTAATTATTGAAACAACTATTAATTTTTGCTGTTGAAATTTAACTCAGAAAATACTCAAATCACTATATTAATGATTTATTTAGGGTAAAGTTAGAATGAAACAATTAATATTTTATAAAATCATAAAATATCACTTGTGTAAAAGAAAAATGCTAAAAGGAATATATATAATATATTAGATTACGTTAAATTTATTATATATATATATATATATATATGTATATTATCACCAAAAATTATCAACTAGAAAAATCTTTGTTAGGATAAACTTTATCTAATAAAAATATAATTGTTAATAAAAAAATTAAATGTCTATACTAGCAATATCATTCAATATACTTGTACGGTTTTAGAAGTTTTATGAGTAGTTAATTTGAGCTTTTAATACATTTGAAGTCCCCAATTTAAATTGATTACTCACACTCAATATAGTTTCACAAAAATTAAAGAAAATAACAAAAAATTTAATTTAATTTATAAAATAATTTTATTAAATGTTCTTTATTAAAATCTTATCAATTATTTTTCTTATTTTTTTATTGAATTTTGTTAACCTCAGCTCTTAAGGCTAATCAAATTTTTTTATAAAAAAAAGTAAATATTTATTATATTAAAGGTATAAAAATATAATAAATAAAATTTTACTATTATTAACTGTTTATCCTCACACTGAAGTTAATAAAACCTTTTTTAATTTATTATTATTTTTTAAATGTCTTTCATCTATCATTTTTAAAGTTTACAAAATCAGTTATATATATATATATATATATATATATATATATATATGTTTTTTTAGTATACCTTTATTCTTCACAAACTAATAAATAAAGTAATTAATTAGACAAAAGAACAGTAAATTTTAAAATTAAATAATAACTGTTATACAAAAGTTATAATATGATTCTAATTAGATTAAAAAAAAAAGAGAATAGTGTCTTAAGAGAATTTAGTTTTAAAAAATAAAACTAAATATTTAATTAAAATTTATATTAAAAATATAAGAAAATCACAAATAATGTGTATTAATGATCATCTTAATATTTTTTAATTCTTTAAAAAATGCTTTAAGAAAATTAATTAATATTTGTCTTTTATCACTCATTATATTTGTTAATTAAAATTATCAGTATAAACATAACTAAAAATGTTATATTTATTATTTATTTTTAAAAAATAAAAATTTAAAATGTACGTCACTAGGTATCAAAATATATTTTAACTAAAATGTCACTTAATTATAAGTATTAATTATATTCAAATATGTCCATAAATATATTTATCTTTAATTTTTTATTTGGATAACATGTATTATTTTTTAGAGGATTACAAATAAGAATAGAAATAGATCAATGACATAAGTTTATGACCTAAAGCTTAGCTTATTTAAATAATAATCTTAATTTAGATTTTTAAAAAAATTTAATTAAATATGTTTAGCTTAAGCTTAAAAAAATTTATTATACTTAATAGAATGATATATTTAAGATTCATAAAATGTATAATAATATATTAAATAATTTTATATAAAAATATAATATAATATTAAATAAATTAAATTTTAAAATAAAAAAAATTAAATTAACATTCTTGATCCTTTTTGTTAGAGTTTAAAATTTTCTTATTATGTATCTTTTGAAAGAGAGTGTAGATTTTTGCATTACTATCGTTTAATCTGTCTTATAAATATATCGTTAATTTGCATTTGTATTCATTATATGTTTACTAATTTACTTATTTAAATCAAATTTATGATTTAAAAATAATAAATAAAAATATTTAATTTTATTACAAATATTCAAGGTGTTAAACTATTTTTCTATGACTTATTTAGATATAAGTTTTATGACCTTATAGAAATATATTTATTTAAATATTTTAATAATTTATTTATAAATAAACTTAATAAAATTTTATAATAAATAAATAAACTTTTAAAAAAAACTAAACTAAACTTAATAAAATTTTATAATAAATAATAAATTTAAAATTATTAAATAAGTCAAACAATTATGCAAAGTCTAACTTAATCTATTTAAATTCTTAAAAGTAAATTATCGGTCATTATGTATTTTTTATAATTATTTTATATAAACATATTATATACTTAGATATTATTTTGTCAAAATATATAATTAATTTAAAAAATTAATTATTAAAATTTAGATTTATTGTCAATTATTAAATCCATGTCCACAACAACTTCAATATATACTCAAATATTGATATGATGGGAGTACCCCTTCTCTTCGGCCTCATCTAATCAATATTTGATACACTACAGGAACTTATTTTAGGCTGTATATAGGTAGTTCTTTTCCCAAGACATGCAGCATGCACGAGAAGAATCTATCCGAACTAATAACCAAACCAATTCCCAGTTGAACAGATCAGTTCAGTTCAAGGAAAGTTGGCTTTGAATACAAGTTCATTGATTTACATTTCCCGTGTGGCTTTCGGCTCGAATGAGACCATAATAATGCTACTCTCGTCTGCTCAATTCCCATCCCAAATAACAAGTTGGTATCACTTTAGTAATTATTTGAAAAAAAAAAGAAAAACAAAATGGGAGGATGCGAGTTTGTCTCCACCCAATCAAAATAATAAGACTTAATAAAAAGTTGAAAACACCAGCTCATCACAGATTTCAAACACAAACTACTATGGAGAAGGGAAGGCGAAAAGATGTTAATCGAGAGATTTCTTTCACCAAAAAAATAATAGGTAAACTGGAGTAATACAACATTTTATAGTAGCTAAATAATTTCTGTTCTGATTGTGTGGGAAGAAAGAACCCGGCTCCGTCACCTCGAGTTCTACCAAAATAACAAAAAACCACAATATTCGTTACTAGGTTTTCATCTATGCCATATCCAGGCTTCTACGCAGCCCCTCAAAAATATACATTTGCCATGAATTCCACTACCAGATCCTAACTTGCCCGTGTTCAAGCAACATTGCTCTTCCACCGACGTAAGTAGACCAAAATTACCATAAAATGTGTAAACCTTGCAAGAAATGGTCAGAAGGAATAGCTTAAGAATTCCTAATCCACACTTTGTTATATGGCATCATCGTGACCGATCATTCCTTCTTCATCAGGAATCATCCCTTCCTCCTCTTCTCCATTATAAGATGAATGAGATCCACCATATCTTCCATCACCCACTGATCCTCCCCACTCTTTTGAAGGACTATTATTAGTCCTACCACCACCCAGGGAGGAGGGTGAGTTTCGATGAGGACTGCGTGTATATCTAGAATTTCTTTCCTCTTTACCACTCTCATCACCATAATGGGGTGGACGATGCCGATGAGATGAAGGGGAGGATTGACCTTGTCCCATCATTGATCGATGGAAACTATAAACTGGGGATCGCTCACGACCAGCTGGGGCCCTCTCCTGTCTGTAAGGGCTAGGACTGCGGCTTCTATCCTGATTACTGCTCTTGTTACGATCACCATCCCATCCACCACGCTCCATCATTGCTTTGTGAAAGCTGCCATGGGAATGTTGAGGCAGTGCTACCCTGTCAGGACTACGACTGCGATCACGGTTGATGCTTTTGTAGCGATCACTCCAACTAGATCCCTTGTCCGGGCTCCTACCTCGATCGTTCCTACACCACAAGGCAACACATCTGTGACCATTACTTAAAAACATGTAGAACAGTATGGAGAATCCTTTCACCACCCACATCCTCCGCTAAAGCATATACACAAAGGGTCTATTAATTTTCTGTAAAACAAGGGAAATACAATTAACAATAAACTGAACTAACCTCTGAGAGTCATAGTCAGATCCACGGCCGCCACCTCTGCCAGAAGCAGCAGTCCCCCACTCTCCCCGTCCTCCATAGTTTGAATCACTGCTTCTTCCACCATATCCTGCATCATTACCCCTTCCAGCATATCCTGAGTCGATATTCCTAGCACCATATCCAGAATCACCACGCCCCCCACGACCACCAGAACCCCATCGTCTGGATCTGCCCATCCCACCACCCCGCAATGACATATCTCGAAGTTCTGAAGGGACCCGCTGGTTTGCACCTTCCAAAACCTTGATGAGATCTGAAGCATATTTAGCATCCTGATCCCCAAAGAAAGTGTACGCTACACCAGTTGCTCCAGCTCTCCCAGTCCTTCCAATCCTATGTACATAATCTTCCACTCCTGTAGGGAAGTCATAATTGACAACCACCCTGCAAAGTATGTATGGTCATTTTAAAATGTAATGGTCACTTTTCCAAGACATGTTTACCAGTAAGCATAATCATGGAAAACACAAATAATTAACCACCTTATGTCTTTGATGTCCAGTCCTCGAGCAGCAACATCTGTGGCTACAAGCACAGGAGACCTCCCAGTTCGAAACTGATTCAACACGTGATCCCTCTCAGCCTGGGATTTATCCCCATGAATAGCAGCAGCTCCAAACTGACGTGTCAGGTTACGAGCAAGTTGATCACACATTTTCTTGGTAGAACAAAAAATAATTATCTTTGATCCTTGATCCTGTGACCGCAATATATGTTCCAGCCGTCTCTGTTTCTCCATTGGTGACAATACTTCAACATGCTGATATAATAAAAATAACAGGAAAAAATTACTACAAAGTCAATAGAAATCCCAAGATCAACACAAACTCTCTATCAAGCACAACAGTCAAATGAAAATAATTGCTATCAATGATATTATTGGAGAGCAAAAAGAGCACTGCAGCAGAAATCAAACCTGAGTAATGGATTTGTTGGCAACAAGCTCATCTACATTGCCAATGTTGACCTGGACAGGCTTGACCAGCAGATCAGCTGCAATTTTCCTAACTTCCTTTGGCCATGTTGCAGTAAACATGAGAGTTTGCCTGCGAGCAGGCACCTCATTCACAATTTTCCTAATTTGAGGTTCAAAGCCCATATCCAGCATCCTGTCTGCCTCATCTAGCACAAGGTAAGAAACCTGATGAAGACTAATTCTCCTCATCTCAAGAATATCATTCAAGCGTCCAGGAGTGGCTACCACAATATCTGCTCCACGGTCAATGTCTCTCAGTTGAGGACCCTTTGGTGCTCCTCCATATAAACACTAACAAAAAAACAATGCATAAATAAATAATAGCAAACCCAGCCAGGGAGACAAAGCAGATAGCTTCTCTTTAGCTCAGTTTTATATAGTCCACAATTATTATGTTTTCTTACATGAAACATCTCAATATAAAAAGAAATGACACACTATAAGTTGACAGAATATAATGGGAGAAACAAATGTGTAAGGAACCACTGCATGATAAAAAAAAATAGTAAGTTGATAAAGATGAGAAGTTACTTACTGCACAAGAAATTCTTGATGATTTCCCAAACTTCACAGCTTCATCTTGTATCTGTGTTGCCAACTCCCTTGTTGGTGAAAGCACCAATGCAGTGGGGCCCATTCTGGAGTTATTACCACAGCGCTTCAGGTGGATAAATGCCGGAATCAAATACCCCAAGGTTTTCCCTGAACCTGTTTTAGCAATGGCAACTATATCTCTACTTTGAAGAGCAATCGGCCATGACTGTGCCTGAATTGGAGTTGGGGCTGAGAAGCCAGCATTTTGTACCTAAAAAAAGGAAAATCCAGGAGATTGGTTTTCTTTGGGACTTATAGAGCAGTGGTTAATGCCGGAAGAAGCATCATCCCTCATATGCAAGCCACCAATGCTTGCTGAGGCAAGCTAGCGCATGAGGAGGCATCTTCTTCCGTACAGACCAAGTGGCAGACTGAATCATGACCAACAGCAGTCCCAGCCACGAACTTGGATGATTCGGAAAGCCCTTCCAACACTTGGTCCACACCATAAAGGGCGCTCCAAAGTCCAAACTAATTGCTAGCCCCACAAAAGAGGGCACCACATCGTACGACATTAGCTCCTCCCCAGGAGCAAATATCGCACCTACGACAAAAAAAAAGTAAAGATGGCAGAAAAATTATCATGAGCCTGAAACTTAGAAATTGAGCTTCAGGAATCAGAGTTGTGCAAGAACATTGGGTCAGATACCTATGAAAGCTTGGGTACCTCCTAACTGCCACTACTACTGAAGATAGACAAGAAAGAAGAAAAGGAATTGAAGCTGATACCTCTTTCAGAATCTCAGATGGAAAGCCAGTAAACCCAAATGATGTAAGAGGTGGAGGCACATTGTCTCCCTACAAAACATGAAGAAAACCTTTGATAAAGTCATGTAATTGGAGCAAATCCCAAACCAGGAATAGCATTTTCAAAATATATTTTGAACAGATTTAATAAAAGAACTTTTATGCTACTAAAGTCTAGTCTACAGTAATAATAACAACATTTATAATGACAAAGTAGTGATCGATAATGATTTTCCATGAAATTATAATATATATACTCACAGTAACAGTAATTTCATGCCTACGTCTATAAGACTCTGGAGATAATCCAGCTCCAGCATCCAATGCCCCATGACCTCTGACAGAAGAATTAGCATTGCCAGCAACATGTGTTCCATTTGGAACATTATGAGAACTATAACTTCCACCTTTGGAACTCTAATACAAAATGAAAGACAAGATTAAGTTCCCCAAACAAACTCTGGAGAAATGAACAGTTGGTTTTCAAACACTGCATGAATTCATTTCCAACACAAGTGTGGGTAATGCCCAAACATCTCTAGCATCCATTTGAGGAGTAAGACAGAATTAAACTGTTCAATAATCAATACACGCTTTGTGAGCTTAATGTTTCAGTTCAATTCAGTCTAGGTTCATAAAATTCCCTACTACGGTCATCATAACAAGGTTATCAAAATTAGTCATTTGAAATTAATTCAAAATCTGTTTAAAAAATCATTGTTGCCAAACCCCTACTACACATTAAAAGAAGCCTACATGTCATAGGTCATGTCAACTATCACGTATCAATATGTTAAAATACAAAAATAAAGTTGAGCATAAACCTGATGGTTCCGTGATCCAGCTTCATTTGACCCAGCACTGCCATTTCTATCATACCTATCACTTAAATCAGGACTGCGACCACGCTGCAGCCCTTGAGATGATTGTTGAACCTGGACAGAAGAGCTAGGCACTGAAGAAGACTTTGGTGGGCCAGCTGAGCTCGAGGGTCTCTCATATTGCGTGACATTGGTCTCAGGATTCCAAAAGTAAAGATATCCAGTCTTGCCATCCACAAGACCCCTCCACGGTTTAGGCAGTGTCGGATCTGGTGGTGCATATCGTGGACCCATTGAAGGGGCAGTTGCCGTGGCGGCCATTGCAAGCAGACCAGCAATATAATTCTGACACCACCACCACAGTATATAAATATTACTAGTCAGTAACAACCTAACCTAATTCAATATTTAATATAATATAAAATATTTTTATTAAAAATTATAAAATTTGCTCTTTTTTAAATTTACTAAAATTTTAAAAAATAGTCGTATACTATATTTTAATTAATTATTTAAAAATAATAATTTAAGTTAACAATAGCGGTGCAGTGCACGAAACAGTTACTAGTTACTAATTTGATATTACACATCTATCCCAGCATATCGTCCTTTATCAACCAAACCAAACATTCCTACATAAACCTAGACCAGAAAATCTCAAAACGTTTACACAGTACCTCAACAAACCCCAATCCCTACCAAAAAAAGAGAAAAGGCCGTAACAAAAAAAATAAGAAGCTGAAACTATCAATTAAGCGCATAAAAACACGACGTAATCGAATCAAGAAAACGCAAATATAGCGCAAATAATTGCATGCAACACAAACTGAATTCAGAAAACGAAGCCCTAGATTCAATCGAACCGCAATCCCGAATCACGGTGGAGTAGCAGTGGTCGTGCAAAAGAAAACCCTATGATTTCACATTCAGATCTGGATGATGATTACGGAACGGCACATGTAACGCATAAAATCGATTTAACGCACAGAATAAAAATTAAAAGGAAAAGGAATCTAATTGTACCTGTTGAAGAGGGTGAAGTGAAGATTATGAGCGCTAGGCCGGTGTTTCTCTCTCTAAGAATAGGATGGAATTGGAGTCGCAGAGCCTAGCGGAACGCTTCGAAAAAAAAAGGAAGAGCGTAAGAGGATGGAAGATGGAGAGGCGAGAAGGAAGGAACTATGAAAGATGAGAGCGGTTATTTATAGGAATAATGAATGAGATCAGAAGATATTATTAAAGGGAAAGTGAGACGGTTGGGTTAGGCTAGGTGTCTCACCATGGTTAGTGATTTCAGATTCAGATTCTTGACCATGGTTAAATCTTGTACGTAGGGCAAGTTGTGCTTGTTGGATCATGTTTTATATGAATGAAAGAAAATCATCAGGCTCTGCTTGCATGGGCCTATTGTATGCGTTTGGGATAAGATATTTTCCGATAAAAAAAATGTTACAGATTTTAAAAATAAATTACGTATTTGATAAAATAATCAAAGTGAAAAAAGGATATGATTCCAACATAAATCTTACATTATAATCTTTATCATAAGTCATTTTCCTTCTGAAAATTCGTCCAATATTGGAAAGGAGGAAAAAGTGAGAGGAGACAGATTTTGGCCTCTTTATTTTTTTCATCTCTTCCTAACAAATTTTTTTTTATCTAAATGAGAACAATTATACAAGCAATCTCTTCCTCGTTAAATCATGTAACTTCTCTTCTATTAACTATTTAATTTTATATTTCACATACAAATTCTGTTTATTTCAAATACTAATTCGTTTTAATTTAATTTAAATTTCTAAATTTTACCACTAAAAATAATGTAACTTGTTACTATAATCTCTTTTATTTTTAAAAATCTTATCTCTTTAATTTATTAAAAAATAATTTAATAAAGCATTCATTACTTTTAATCAATATAAAATGTTTATTAATACTGAAAACGATTAGCATTCGCTATAATAACTTGTTTGAAAACAAAGTGAAAACAAACGAGTCCTGAATCTTTTGAGCCGAAGGTTGTTTTACCAAAATTCCTTTTTGATAAAGTTCTTTGCATGTCAAGGGGCGTCAATTTAGCCCTTGAAAACGGACCAGATTCCCCTCATTTTTTTTCGTTTAAGCGAAAATATGAAAAATGCAAAAAATGGCCTACCTGCATGGTGGAGATTCTACGGGGAACTTGGGTCCCCTGAAAAGTTTTTATCCCCACAAAACTATGTTCCTTCCATATAAATTATGTATACTTTAGTAGAAAGTAAAGATATCCAGGAAAAAATGAAAACAAAACTAAATAAGAGACAACACAATGCGCACACAAGACTAAACCAGATCATTCTACACCAACTGAACACAGCAAGACACGCTACAGAATTTCATATAAGTTAACAGTCAAGAAGTTCCTACAATTTTTTTGCGCTAGCATCTCATCTCAGCAAGCAACACAAAATTGATCCCTTTTGAGTTCAGAAACCAACAAGAGACTAACAAAATAAACGCAATTGCTGCTAACCACAGCCATGACTGTAAGAAAGGTAACACTAGAAAAAGCTGCATCGGAAGGATCAGTTGGTAGATTCATCTATAATCTTCGGATGTACTGAACCCACAAACATGTGTTATGGGTTTAAACAGTAAACTAAAATCAGAAGTTTTAAGATAAATTTATTTGAAACCGTTGCCTTTCTTTGGCAACAAAAATGGGGTGAAAAGTTCGTCTCTAATGTTTCAGGTTATATATGATGAACCTGAATGTTTGGATTAACCACAGAAACGGAAATGGAGGTTTTAGTGAAATTCATCCATATTTTGTCATTATATTTTTTACCAAGTCTAGAATGCGACAGTAATCATAAAAGAGGGAGGATTCTTTTCCCTCCAGTCCATCCCGGCTGACCCTGTTGCTGCCAGCCAGGTTATTACATGGACTGCCACCAACAATGAGATCAAAACCCCCGAAGGAGTTCATCAGCCGCTCCAAATGATCACCATCTAGTTGCTGTACATCATCCAGATCAATTAGATTACCTTTCTGATTTGTTTGCTCCCACCAACTTCTAACAATATTCCTATTCACTTCTGATTTTTCAACAGACACAACATTCTTAAGAGGGATACCAAGCCGATGAAGAGCTACTTCTGCCCCACCAATTCCAGAAAAGAGAGAAAGAAGATTGATACCTTTGGGATACATCTCCTTCAGAACCGACAGGTGGTATGCCACAGTGTCAACCTGAAATAAACTGAACCAATAAGTACAGAGAAATTTACGTGAAAACTTCAAGCACAACACGCTAGTTTCATATTCATAGAAAAGAAAAGAATTACTGAAACATCATAATTTCTGGCACTATGACAACATTATTCTGAATAAAACAACCAAAGCCTATAGTCACCAGCTGAAGACTCCCACATGGATTAAATGTTGCCTGTGTTCTGTCAAAAACCAATTCTTTATGTAGGTTATTTGCATCTAAGTACTTTTTAATGGGTTTATTCTGAGTTTTTTTGTCTTCCTCTACCTCATTGTTCTGAATATGAATAAAAATAAAAGCATTACTACCTAGTTCCAAGGTGTATTACATTTCCTTATGACAATAATCACATCCTAAAGGATCTCTATGGAAGGTTTTGTTATTACATGAAGAGTATAGTCATACCTGGAATGAATTGCCAAGTGACTTATATCTGTCAGTCCTACTTATTCCACCTCCCCTGGTGTGGTTCCTAGGGAAGCCCAACAGTGTTTCTACTTCATCAGGCTCTAGTGGAGCAACCTTATTTCTTCCCACCCAAACCAGATTCCATTTCCGACATTGATCAAGAACATACTTTCGGACATTCTCAGGAGGCTCTCCATCATGGCTTTCTATAGCTTTTCTAATTCTATCTGTTAGTTTTGCACTGCCAATACATGTTTGCAAACAATTAAGCTGGGTCCTAGTATCCCATGAAGGCCACCATTTCTTTGTGAGGGGAAAGGCCTCATGTATTGTGTGCGGTGGAAGTGGTAGAAGCGGGAATCTATTTTTGATGGGGAGATTGTGAATATAGCCCCTTTTCCTGGCTGCGGCACAGAAATACTTTGAATCTACAAATTCAGGTTGAACATCATACAAGAATCTTGAAATTGTTTGCCAAACACCTTTGGGTGCTAATGCCACATTCTCATAGTAGAAGTAAGGCGGCCCAATGGCATCTTCTGGAAGCTTTCTGTGTGTTATGAAGGCTGACTCAGTAGGAACACCAAACCCAATCATTGGGTTTGGAAGATGTAGCGCTTCCTCATCATCTTCATTGAGGATTTTCTTCTCACACACCCTAGGCTTTTTCCTTCCCAACACTTCATGATCATAAAATCTTCTTTTATTGGATTTAGCATAGTCATTGTATTGAAGCTGGAAAAATGAAGTTTAAAATTAGTTATTCCTGTGACAGATGAATGAAAAAATAACAGAGCAACAGATGGATGGTGGATAATTTAAGGGAAAAAAAATACAGAAAATTACATGCAATAAATTTCTATTTTATTCATCCCAAGATACCAATACCTATATGGCAATATGCTACCTTTTCTTCAGGAGGTAGAAGGGCATCTTCTGCTTTTGCCATTTGAGCAACACCAATAAAATCTATCAATTCTACAAGTGAGGAATTTGCACCTGCGGTGTTTTATTAGAACAATGAGGCCAAGAAAAACGAGAGTAAAAGGAAACATAAACCAGCCTAATCTGAGTCCTATCACAAATTGTAACCAACTTGTACATTACAAAAACATAAACGAACATAATTATCTTATGAGGTGTTCATTAAGAAAAGCTCTTCACAAATGCATTTTATCAGTGGGACAAAACCTTATAAGCTAAGCGAGCATATAAAATATCCAACACCTAAAATCAATAGTATGACTACTCGTAAACCTTCTAGAAGACAAATATGCAAAATAAAAAACAAAAATAATCACATGGCATGCTTTTTTAATTAGTCTAATGGCTCAGTTGCCTGAGAAACACAATTAAAGCTGCTCAAAATCAAAAGAGAGTGAATCATACAAGAACAATAATAGAATCAAAACAGTAACATTATTTGTAAGATAAGAAGCACATGGACCACAATAAACATAAAAATGAATCATATAAAACACACCTAATCTTTCTATAGCAATCAAAGCCTCCTCTTGCTTGTAACCCATTTTCACCAAAGACCGTAAGGTATCACCATTCTCAGAAATAGTTTTTGTAATTTCCTGCAAATAATAAAATAAGCCATATCTTATAATACATAACCTGCTCCTAGATTGTTTCCTAGCATAAGAAATTCCAGACCTTACATAAATGTCTGTAAAAGAAAGTGGAAGCGTGATTACATTTTCATTTTTCTTTGAAGTAAGAAGAAATTTTACAAGTTCATGAGATGCCCAAAGAAGAAACATAAACCATCCTAATCTGTCTCATATTTGAAAACAATTACATGTCAAATTACATATCCTATTGCACTAGCAGTAACCATACCAGTAGACGACACTAATGACACGAAATAACATGATTAATGAATCAAATCATACAAACTATGAAAACAAAAATTAAAGCACAAAGAGCAGAGATTACTTCGTCATCAGAAAAGGTATCAGTATCTGAGAAATCATCCCAACAGCTCCCAGCATACTCTGAAGAAGAGGGATCAGGCTCAATTTGCTGTTGTGGCAGGAGAGAACTTCCTAAAGCCTGAAAATAAATAAATAAATATATATATATAAGACAATTGTAACATTAACAGAAAACACTAATAATAAGCAAATGGTATATTAAAGATGTCAGAAAGAAATCTAAAAATAAACATCAGAAAAACAAAAGAACCAAAATGAACAAGGTGTAGGGTGAAAAAGGTAAAATAATGAATAATACAATTGAAAATGTACCAAGAAAAAAGGAAATGCATGTCTCATTAGTACACATGGACATGTAACATTGGCTACTAGATTGTACAAACTTTTAATGAACCTATAATTCACGTGATTCTTGCAGATGAATTCTAAACAAAAAATTTACCGGAAGTCCACACCAGATCACTCATTGAGGTCGGTCAACTATCATTGTTTTATAGTTGTAGAAAGAATTTATCACCACACTATCCAGATTTCACATTGCCATTTTTAGGGTGATCAAGCCACTCATTTAACCCCACCCCTACATCTTACAAAACTCAAGAGTCAAGACAAAATCAGTAGAAGCAAACTTGCAGTCATTTACAGATTTTCTTGGTGACAGTCCCACAACACATTTTAGAAGAAAATTTATATTAAAAGAAGGAAAGAAGATCTAGTGAAAAAAAAATCCTACTCCGAAATGAAGAACATGGAAAAAGCTTATTAATGCAATCCCCCAGAGAAACATTGGTGTGAGCACTAGAAGCCATAAACACAGCCCCAATGTTTTATCTTATGACAATTACAAAGAAAGAAAATATAATTTTTAATAGGAATTTACTAAAATCCTTAACAAGAAGCTTCAACATAATTCTTTTTCTTTATATCGATATCATTACTTTAAAAATATTATATGTCATCCTCGAAAGATTAAAATAAGAGATTGTTATCCTCTTCATGTAAGGAAAGAATCATAACAAGTAAATGAAATCGATTTAAAAGTTTAAATACATAAAATTTTGAGAAAGCATTTTTTGCGAGGATTGAAGAATAAATATATAACCATCATACTATCACAACTGTATTTCATATCAATGTAATTAAAACTGCAATTTGTTTTCTGATAACAAGGTACTCAGAATTTTATTGCATTTTGGGAACTAAAATCATGGCAAATTGATGGTAGTGACACTGAGGTGTCTGCTACAAGTGTGCAAAATTGTGAACAATTGAACACTTAACAACTCCAGTTATCCAGAGTCCTAGGGCCCAGGTTAGAATATTTGAGCAGCCCCAGTACACGAGGCTCCCACCTAGTGCGGTCTAGGAAGGTTGATATATGAACCCCTCTATCCCCACAAGCAGAGGGACTGTTTTCAATATTTGAACCTGTGGACTTCTATATCACAATGTGTGCAGCAACCTTACCACTGCTATAAGGCTTAGTCTCTCCAGGTTAGACAGGATGGCCCAAAAAATTAACAATTACCAAGAAAACCAACTATTTCAATTTATTATGTAGTTTGCTAGATGGTAACAACTCCACCGTATGGGAAAGGAACTATTTCTTAAATTCATACTTGTTAATAGTGCGCTGGCATGGTGCGGCTGTCACCTGTCACATCGCGGGGCGTGCGGGGGGTTTGTCACGTCACGGCAATTGCAGGAGTTTGCTGCCAAAACCTCAAGAGCAGTTTGCGTGCCCTATTGCGCGATTTGGGGAAGAAAAAAAAGTTCTATCTTACTAAAACGGTGCATTTTGATTAATTTTAAGGGTAAAAAAGTCATTTATTTTACTACCCTTTGTGAAACCAATATATCAAATAACTTCATCTTCTTTGCACTGCAACAAAAGTTGGGGCCTCAACGAGGTTTTTCCCCTCCTCACCGATTCACCCATTCGATTTCGTTGGTGAAATAAGCTTTTCTGTGTTTCCTCTCCGGTGTCTCTACTCACCAGAGAAATCAACTTTTCTGGCATCTCCCCTGTTTTTCCATTCACTAATCATTCTTGCTTCAAGCTTTGTTCTTCTGTTTATCCTCTGCTTTGTTGTTCAAGCTTTGTTCTTCTACTCATGCTCTACTTTTTTGTTTGCACTCTCCTTATTTTTCATGATTTCATGCCCTGTTTTGCTGAAGGAAATAAAGCTTTGTTTTTCTGTTTAATAACACTCATGCTATAGTGTTTCGCAGTTTTACTTAGATGATGATTATATGATTAATTTTTCTAGAGCATTTATACTAAAATTGTGTATATTATGTATGCATATTACAAATTTTTAAATCCCGCTATACGCTATTTCGCTATAGCGTTTTAGGAGTCAGCCGCTAAATGAGATTAAAAACTATGCTTAAATTTAAGAAAGATGAGGTGAGACAACCACAATGCAGTGAGCAAAATAGATATTAGATATAATTAAATAATAGCTCCAAGAGACAAGTTCAAAATACAGTCAGTCAAGGCATATGAAAATATAAACTCACCGAGTATGTGAGAAGTTCTTCAAGTAGTTTATCTTCATTTTCCTCACCTGGATGGTTATCCAAGCAATATTATTTGTGAATCTTATTAATCAAATCTCTATTTAAATGAAGTAAAGTAGTGCTTTTACCATATTCCTGAATTACTTTAGAAACCATTTCTCTAGGAAATCCCATACTAACAAAGTGGACAAGTACCTTGGAATTAGATAAACCTGCAGATGAACTTGCCTTAAGAAGAGAGAGAGGATTAGACATCAGTAACTAAAAAAAATTCCATTTCCTTTGTAGAATGTTATTTCTACATGCATGTTTCTCAATATTGCATTTGCATTGGGTAATTGGAAAAACCACCAAGTAATAACACATAAGTAATCCATCCTTTCCCATCAATGAGGGCACACAGGGTCTTGTACAAAAAGAGAAAATGAGAAGAATCATACATATTTTGTAGTGTGGAACAAAATAGAGGAAACAACAGTACCAAAAATATGATAACACCTTGTGAATATTTGAATATACACCCATATTTCATATTAGTTGCCTTAGAAAATAGTACCAGATTGATTAAGGTTATACAGAAACAGTAGGAGGGGGTGCAATATGGTAAATAAGTCCACATAATATCAATAGAAATGAAGAAATTTGATTAATGAGGATTGAGAAACTAGCTACTATGAAACAATAAATGTATATAAAGATGACCAAGCCTTTTTGAACTAGGTAAGGTTATTACATAAGATCAAAATAATGTGCTATTTTGAAAAAAATATTAATACAAATGAATCCCACAAAATTTAAACAGAAAATACATATTATACATGGAAATTAATTTTATACAGTCCCAATCCTAAATTTTATTTTCTGCATTGATCTCCAAGGTTAGTTTATCATTTTGGTTTATCACAGTTAGTTGGTTACCTATCACTCTTTAAGTATTATCATATTATGCCAGAGACATTTGGTACGGGTAAAAGGCCAAAATAAAATCATTGCTGTGCTAACTTTCATCTTAGAAGCAATTGTAGTTGCTAAAGACAATGTACTTGCAATATCTTTAAGTTTCAGGGAATATGTCCGATAATTTCTTAATATTAAAATAATCATAAAGATGATATCAGATAAAAAGAAAAATGCCTAAACTTGCACCTCGCCAGACCCAGCAACAGCATTTCCATTAGGAACAGATAAACATGAAGAAGACTGAAAGTTCTCAATTTCACGCTCATCTTCGGAGTTCCAATCAAAATTGTCACTCTCCACACCAGAATCATCTCCACCCTGCAACAGTAGTTGTTCATAAAGAGAAGCAAAAATTAAGTAGCAAAAAGAAAAACATGAAACAATTAAGAAAATGTGAGAACGAAGAAAAATTTTCTAGAACCTCATTGCCATTCTCCCAAGGAAAATAACAGATGTAGTAAATGACAACCCATAAAAAGCCAAATTATCCTCATGCGTGGATATGATTTTAAAATTGACAAGAAAAACAATACCATCTTCAATCTCTCAGCTTCACAGAACTCAGATCTCCAGGCTGCTCAAACACAGAAGCACATCCAACTATCTACAATTAGGATTGGCAATCAGAGCAAAGCTATTCAACAGGCTTTATCAGTTATATTCTCAAAAGATAGAAATGTTCAGCATGCCACCATAAAGTTTTTACTTCCTATCCCATGCCAAAATACATTGCAATTATTCATAACTTAGAACAACACATTTTGTAAAACTAGGACAAATAAGATCCACAAACTTACAAAGCATCATTAGTTACCCCAATTTGAAATGACATTTTAAAAAATTGGTTTACAAAAAGCACAAATTTGGGTCCTAATAGTTTTATCCCCAAGTATCAGAAAGGACATAAAGACTCACTCATTCTTTGGTAGAATGTCTATATAGAGCCATTTCCCAAAAGCTATTTCAGTATGGCACATCACATAGCAGGCAGTATTAAAAAAATAAATAAATTCAAAAGCGTTCCAAAGTATATTAAGGAAATACAAAGACAAACATGAAATTATCTAAGTAATGCAAAACTCCAAAAACAATATATATGTACAAGAAGGGATGCCAAAATTATCTATTGATGCTTTATCCATCCAGTTCATCCATGCATAAATCCAATCCATCCACTAATTATAACAATATAATCAATGGACTGGACTTACTGGATCAATTTTGCTTATTGGATGATTTATGGGCACTGAATTAGTCACAAATAAATTATCCTGTGCATTGACCCATTGGATATTATCCAATTACACAAAAATCCTGCTCTTGTGAGCGAAAGTTCTCTCCAGTTATCTCTTCATCATGCTGACTTGCCATTTCTGTTGCTATCCCAGGCTAAAATGAGCTTCACATAAATATTACTTTAATTAATTTTTTGTAAGCTTGAACACTTTAGCTAACACCTCCACACAGCTTGGACATTTCAGCCAACAACTCCATATGGATGAACAAACCAATATACAAAGAACAAATAGACCATATATTGAATTGTAAAATAATCTTGCTTAATATTCTTATGTACTATTATAGGAAAAAGGCATGGATACAATAATATGCAAATGCTGATTATCAGTTTAAATATTGTTTTATATTACTCATATCTCATTCATTTCATTTGAGTCTCTCTCTCTCTCTATGCGTGCGAGTGTGTGCGTGTGGTGTCTTATATTTTAGACATTAGCCATGTCAGAATGTCCATGCTTGTGTCGTGTTTGGTGTCCATTCAAAATATACGCTTCATGGTTTTCAGGCATTTAGACTCGTGATTTTTGGGCATATTGTGGTGCTACATGCACTACACGAAAACACTCCATCACAACCATTTTGAATATGCCAACCTTGCCAAGTCACAATGTCAGCCAATATGCTGCTATTGACAACCCTGTTTACCACATGCAACCCCCCTCCCCCAAACCCAACATCCAACAAACAACCATTTGACTAAAAGAGATCATCATGTCGCATACTCCTGTGAAAAACATGTGTCCACATAAGACAATCTAAACAACAAGAAAACTGCCTCTTGTTGCTGGGCAACAGTCCAATCCAGCATTGACTGGTTGCCTTGCAACTTGCTGTTTTGCTACTAGGATTTCTCTTTGGCAATACAAGTAAGGCATTAACTTTGACTATAACAACAATAGAAGGAACAAAATCACCATGCTTTGCAAGTGAAGGTGTGGGTAAAAGATTCATGCACATTGACACGTGATATATATGAAAAGAATGTTGCGTTCCTTTAAAACAATACCATATTGGGACCACACTTTTCATTCATAAGACTCAATATGGAGACCTTGTTCAAGAAAAATAAAAATCCTAGCCAAATGGGCATTGGTCACCCTTTAAAAATTTTAAATAATTATAAACCATACAAACCACATGCAATGGTTACCCAAAAGAGAAAAGAATATAACTCCCAAGCACAAGAAGAAACAAAATCCACCGATTCCCTGAATTAATTACAAAGAAATAATCACTTACCCTTTAAAACTGAGAAAAGCAAGTGATTATTTCTACAAAATAAATTCCAGAACAATATCAAACCCTAAAAAGTGGTCCACAGGAATCAAACACCATAAATCTTCAAACAACACGGAAACTAACAACCACCAGTGGAGTCTCTACCTGCAGGAAAATGCAGACGCAACACCCTCACTGACGAATTTGAAATGCACTTTCACCTCTACACAAAACACACAAAAAAATCATTAACTCAAATTTCAACCTCCTACAATCAAACAAAATAAAACCAAAAATTAAACGAAAAAAATTCAAAACCCTTCGCATGCAAAATTTGCGAGCAGAAAGAGAACCTCTATGGTGGAGCAAGCAAAGAGAGAGAGAAGAGGGTTCTTGAAGTCCGTAGAAACGGACTGGCACTGAGTTACGACCCTGAATTGGGTCCAAATTCCTGGACAAGGGAGCATAGACCAGAAAAACTTTCCCTACTCGCGCACTTTCTCAGTTGATGTTCACTGTTTCACTCTCACTGGGATCCACCTACATCACAAAAATCAAACGGTAGAAATGTTGAGCTATGTGTTATATATTAAGTGCACAGTGTTTATTTCTTAATCGTTGGATTGGAATACTAACTGACTCTAATTTTTGTGCTATCTTGTTAGCACAAAAGGGAGGAAAAAGAAAAGAAAGAGTTCACTGGTGAAGAGTATGATAAGAAATCATACTCGAGAGTGTGAGTAAGGTTAAAAGAGGAATCTTTCCTCTTTTCCTTCATTTAATAGACAATGACAAAAGTTTTTGAAAAGAGTGACATGATATTAGATAATATTATTTTTATTTTATTTAAAGATATATAATAAAATTTTAATATAATAATAATATTAAATATTTTTATTTTAATAAAATGTATGATTTTTATTTTTTAACATGTATCTTAAAAGATATGTTAGAAAATTATTTATTTATAAAAAATAATACTTTATTAAATTATATTTATAATCATATTTTTATTAAATTTAAAATAATTATGATATTTGAGTAATTTTAAAATTAAAAAAATAAATTAATAGATTAATTAAATATTGTATCTATATGTTTTTTAAAACTTATTCCACCACCTTGGCATGCTTACAATTTTGATTGATAAATGCATTTCTTCTAGGCAAGCTTCTTTGAAACTTATGTTATAATAAAGACAAAAGTTAGAAAGATTGATAATAGGAACAATATAATTTTTAATATATTAATTTTAACATATTAATTATTAAAAATTATATAGTTATTGCTTTGTTTACTATTGATTTAATATTTTGTTTTTATAAATTTTTAATCAATTTTTTTTTAAAAAAAAGTGTGTTTGAAAAAAATGTTCTTAAAATTCTAGTTTTTCATGTTAAATAGGAAACTATGTGTTTCTTAGTTCTTATCCTCAAATACTTGTACTTCTTCACAAATCCCTAACAGGCTTGTAGTTGCTTTTGGAAGTGTGGGCTTAGTTTCTTTGTTTTTAATTTCTAATTTCACATGCTACCAAAACTACCTTTTTAATAATTTAATTTAAAAAATTTTAGCAGACAAAATAAAATTAAGTTTTTTAAAAAAATTTAATTTATGGAAGAATTTTAGAAAATTTTTAAAATAATTTTATCTTGAGAAAAAAATAAAAAATATAAATTTAATTGGTAATATGATTAAAAAATTATATACATATAATAATAAAAAAAAGATAACATTATTTTTTAACAAGAAAATAATCATTTATACTTTAATATTTTATATTAGCAGTTGAATTATATAACATCATTTAATTCTTTTGCTAAAGATTAAAATTTTAAATGTATTATATACCTTAGGATAGCTCACCTTACTTGAAATTTCATTTTACTCAAAATGAAAATTTCATCCCAAGTTATGCCCTTCTCAAAATTTTCAAAACCATATTTTCAATAGCACAATCATTTAATTGATTAGTCTAAATTTTTAACAAACTATTTAATTGCATAGTAAATTTATCTTTAATTCTTTAATCTCATCGAACAATTTTTTTTACTTTTACAAAGGTGAATTCTAAGCCTTAAAAAGTATATGCATTTTAAAAATTTTAAAATACACATTAATAAATGTCCATGATATTGTGCATTTCTGTACATTTTTAAATTTCCATATAATTATCATTAGACTTAACAGCTTTAAATTTTTTCCATTTTCTGTAGGACTGCTTTTACCTTTCTAATTCAAATTCTTCAATAGTTTGTTAATTTTTTATTTTTCACTTGAATTTTTAAATCTTTTATCTTATCATTAAAACTGTTTTCAAAACAATATTTATGTCTAAACTAGTGGATTCCCAAAGGATAAATCACTGCTATACCACCCAAGGCATCTTACAAGATTGAAAGAAGTACCATTCAGTTATTTTAATCAATTAAAAATCACAATCATTTGATAACATCCAAAGAATTCGTTATAGTTTGCAAAGATAATGATGATAATATAGTTGCATTATCACATAACATATAAATTGAAAGGACTGATATATATATTATTTTATGACAAGTGTATCACGTGAAAATAGGTGTTCATGTATTTCACAAGTCGTGTAAGTTAACGGAACATTTGAACTTCCAAAGTACTTTTGTTATTTATTTAATAAGATAGCCTCCCTACGCCTCTCCCTAGGATTTTGTAGACTTTATAACATCTTTATTATTATTATTGGTTATAGAAATTAGGATTCATCATTTGCCATGGAGAACTTGGACTAATTTGCGACAATAATTCAATTCTGTACTTACTAAAAAGATGGGGTTTATGTTAATCAAATCCTGGGATAAAGCGATGATTTGGGGAATTGATTTTATGATAAATTTTATCAACCAGACAAACTTTCAGTTTTTGTTTATATCTGAAGACTATATATATAAGAGATTTATTTTACAAGTTTTCTTTTTCACTGAAAATTGATTAGAAGAAAAACTGCCCATTAAATAACAAATGCAAGTTTGTGGCCTATTAATATATTCCTCATAATATATGTACAAACTAATGTTACATTTGGATGCTTGGTGCATATCAGATTAATCTATATTAAACAGATCCATATATATACTTTATAGTGTTAATTATGAGTTCATCATGATCATCAATAACTTTGAAGCTTGGTTTACAATCGCCGCCATTTGAAACATTCTAATTATGTAAATGTATCTTACATAACACAAACAAATATTTTGCCCCAACTTAGAAGCTAAGTAAGTACAATCAGAAGCTTAATATGAGTGACAAATTTCAAACTCACATGTTCAACAGGAGACATTACTAAGTTTTGGAAGCAATGATTCTCTACCTGGCTATATTCAGCAAATTGGAAATTAAAAAAAGAAATGATTTGGCCATGGTGAAGTGTATGAAGCACTTAAATGTCAATTTATGATCACTCTAACACTAGAAGCCGATAGAATAAAGCCTAAACATTTGGCATTCATCTTGGGTTGCTATTCAGAAATTAAGTGCTTTTATCATGGATGGCGGCGAGATCACTGTCTTGAAATGAAATGGATTGCTATTATGTATTTTTTCAAACATTGCGTCTCCACCGGATTTCCTTAACTCTATGTATTTCAATTGCAATATCCCTTGTATAGTTTTTAAATTTACATCTAGTTTTTCTAAGACTATGTAAGAGAAAAAGAAGAGTTAGGAAAAGTTAAATCTTAATTAGAAGAAGAAGTGTTTGAGTGTTTTTTTAATCACATTATAAGGTTGTTATGTTTGAAAGCTGTATTATTGAACATTAATCACATTCTTTTCCTGAGTTCAGAGGACAGAATTTCAATTTCCTCATAGCATCTTGACTTTCTGTCTCTGTTTAATTGGTATATAGAAAAATAAGAATGTAAAGATTTTATAAGTAATAAACAATCCAAATGTGATTATATTCAAATGCCATATCAAAAGTAGCGATCTTCCGAAGTCATTTAGCATATATCTACACAATTTTTGGTGTCACACGCAAAATTCAACTTTAAGTTATTAACGTTGGCTTAAAGAATCATATAGCCATGATGTGGGTTTACAATGTTTATCTAATTGTAACTAACAAAACTGTTGACTAAAATGTTTCGTATATATACACTTAAGAAATATATAATATATAATTCTCATAAAAGTTAAGGGGTAAAAATCATTGAGAGTTAACACAACCTTTCCTAAAACCTTTTGCATTAAATTAAGGGTCATTGCTATTTATATTTTGGTTAAATAAACTGTTTATATTTAAACACGAGACTGTTAACTATTAAATGGTATAAGTTTAATAAAATTTGTTTGAATAATTATAACATTATTTTAAAATGATTTTCCATCACATTCAAATCTGCGCATTATATGTAGCATCATATCCTGTTACTGTTGAACATTCACATGCGGTGTCACTTTCATGAAGTTGATTTATTAAGCTTCAAATAGTTTAGGTAACAAAAATTCAACTAATATTGTATATTTCACGCAAGCATCAGCAAGGGTGTGTGGCTATTAAGTTAATTACATTTTTTGTCAAAATCATTGCCGTTTTGGTTGCCGGGTTTGATGGCTTTCTAAGTACGAATTAAAGGCATTTAATTCTCTAATCAACAAAAATTTCCACTTCATATACATGAATGTGTTTATTTCAAAGTTTTGTAACTCACTTTAGGACAAATTAAGAATGTAACATTTCCATAGCTTTAAATTATATTCACGGGGATTCTTCATTTCTAAGAAAAAACAACATATTTTACTTTTTTTTATTTTCAGGGTGAGAGTAGTGAGAAACTAAGGGATGAGTATGTTGTGCTTAATTTCGTAAAAATATGAAAAATCTGTGTCCTACTGCTGTTATATAAACACTCTTATTTATTGATTTAAGACTTTGAAAAATGAAATAAAATTATAAATACTTAAATATTTATTCCATTTTTAAAGATGGTAAAATATTTATCATAAAAATGAAAATCTAACATTTGCAACTTGTGCTAGATAGGACACTCCTCGTTCCTATCCACTCCTCGGATTTACTTATAAAAGAACGTAACCAAATACTCCTTCGACCTAACATAGCCGAATATCACATGTCAGGATTAAAAGATAATTAACTTAATTAGCAATAATTAACAGATCATTATCTACTTTAATTAAAGGGCCAAAATCAGGTTGACTCAGCAAGCCCATTAGCCCATATCATTGCCTATAAAAGGAAGATAGGAAGTACAGGTAAAGAGTTGACTTTTCAATAATAAATAGCACTTATTGCTTAGAACTGAATACTGACTTCAGCATCGTAGTGCCTTTTGCAGATAGCCTCCCCACGTTGAACCACATCAACGACAGTCAGAAGGACTTCACTGTTTCAGAGCAGAGACCTGAAGACTAGTGTTTCTCTAGCAAGAACATTTTGACGCCCACCGTAGTGCTCGATTTGTCTCATTTTTTAAGTGTAATCATGGTACTTACTAGAAGCCAGCAAGACGAACAGACTCAGCAAGGCGAAACCTCTCGGCACCAGGAGGATACTACGCC